AAATTCAGCTAATTAAGGTTAAAAAAATACCATTTTCAATGTAGATAACTCCAGATCTTTCTAGAGGGTTTCAAGTGAACTTACGTGTTTGATATTGAACGTGTAAATTGTAATTTGCCAAATGCAAAAAAAAATGGGGGTATTTTTTTAAAGAAAAATAAGTGGAAATTAATTCTTTTGAACTTGCACTTTTTCAGACAACATTACTTTTTTTTTTTTTTTTTTCAAATAATATGAAAAAATTCTGGTTGTTTTTGCTTATTAAGTATGAGTAGCTGATCTTCATCAAACTATGGCTTAGTCAGCGGTCGTGGTGCAAAAGAAAAAGGCAAAGCAAACCCCACAAGGCAGAGTATAGTCAAATCAAAATAGTATTAGTTAGGGTTCTTCTCTCTCTCTCTCTCTTTCTTCCTTTTTTTTTTTAATTTTTTAAAAAAAATTAATTTTTTGTAGGGACCATACAACATAAAGACGGTTCAACGTTTTGGTATTTTGGGGTTATTGACGAATTGTCTCAGTTAACTTGCTATACTATATACTATTTTTCTTCTTCTTCTTCTCCTCTCGTACCTGTCTCCATTTGTTTAGTAATTTTGATCAAACTGCAAAGTGTACCTTTATCATTCACATGCCCACCACTGCTTTTCCTTCTACCTTCTTTCAACGTGTGGGGGGCACCAACCCTAATCCTTCCTTCTTCCATTGGTTCCTTTCTTCTGTTCATTCCCTGCTTTATATGATTCCATGTCTTAAATTTTTGGTAAAACTCTTCAAAAAAAAATCACTCAAGCTCTGAAATTATTAGAAGACTAATCAAAACATAGCTGCTGTTCGTAAAGATTCTCATTTCTAATCTAACATCTGCAAGTTACTTAATGAACAAAAAGAGACTCATTTATGGATTATTACGTGGGATCCATATAAAATTAACGATACGACGGCGCCAACAAAAAACCAATATATCAACTGAAAATTACGTACTAAATATTTTTTTTTATTATTCATTATTAGACTCTTTATTTTGATCCTTTTTCATAATATTACATAATAAGATTTAAATATATACTTTTATTGTCTTGGATTTAAAGACATAGATAATGAACGGTTTGAAGTTAAAGGGCATACACACATTTTCATAGACAGCTTCTCAAGTGTGTTTGGAAGTTGACAAGTAGTTTTCACTTCTGGATAAAAAGCTGCCTTTTGAAATTCTTATTTGTAGTGAGTTTGCTTTAGTTGCCTTTTCCCCTTTTTAGTTTGCCCTTTTTTAGGTCGCAGCAGAAACCGATTCATAATAATATTTATGGAGTTATACCAGTATAAAATAATTTTCTCTTTTAAATATATTTATTAAATTGATTATAATTTATGATAGAGAGAATTTTAAATTCGATATCTCTTTTGGGTAACTTTATGGTAGGAAATAATTAAAATTCGAGAAAACTCTCACGTTCCAATTAAATTACACTTTTATCAGCTGTTTTAGTTGGATTGAGACTCTTGGATTAATTGAGGTTGTACTATTTACAAGATTGTTTAAGTACGATAGTGAGGTAATTTTAATTTAAACCCACACATAATTTAATTTAGTTTTTCCATTGAAAATTAGAAATTGTGACTCCCAATTTAATTTCAGTTCATTAACCCTTTTCCTTATTCTACACTAAGGTGTCTGACTCCATTGGATTAACCAATTTTGTTTGATCTATGAATAAGATTCTCTAAGGGACAAATAATTCAGATCCAAAAAAAAAAATCGGGAACTATAATTCCTTTTTCGAACAAACTGCTAGTGCTTTAACCACCCACTCAGGTCAGAATCTTTTATTTTTATTTTTTAAAAAAAGAGCTGCTGGAATCTTTGATTTTGAGAATTGACATTTAGGTTTTAACCTATGAATTAATTAGAGTTGATTAATTTAAAAGATTAATAACAATAATTTGAATACAAAAGCTAAGCAGCATTCAAATGGTTAAATCAAAAGCCCTTTTGCAACTAGTCAATGAAAAGAAAGCCAACTTTCGATGGAGTCAGAGATTTTTACTTCACATCTTTCCTACTTTACAGATTGCAATAATTATAATTGTGTGTTGGCTTAAATTAGGTCTTCTCAGGCAATCTATGCTACTGCCACGTGGGAACTTTTAATTTTACTACATTATTCTTTTATTCAACGTAATAACTGCCCAGCTTGAATTCGATCCTAACTTTTCAAATAGACAATAAAAAGTTGTAAATAATTTCACAAACATGGATTTTTCCACCAAATAATGTATCCAATAAGGAAGTCGATGTAATTTGATCGGTCTTTTTATTTATTTAAAAGTGAGAAGTCTAATTTTCGAGATCTTTCGATTTTTAAGGCCGTTTGAATATTGTTTAACTAGTCTTATTCACTTATGTGGAAGTGAGAAACTTTAGTTTCAATCTTTTCGATTTTAAAGGTCATTTCATATATGGTTTGGTTGATCTTTTGACTTATATGAACTTCTCGATCTTAGAATTCTCACCAATTTTGGTGAGTAAAAATAAAAAGATGGACCTATAATATAATCTACGAATGTTCTTTCGTCCTTAGGTCTCCATATAAATCAACGTGGCTTCCCGCTGCACCATGTTGCTACTAGTTTAAGATTAATTATATTTCTTTCGCAACTATTTACCTTAAAACTTCAATTTTCATAAAATTTTTAATATTAATAAATGAATTGTAAGATTTTGATTAATCTTTTATCAAGTGCTTGATGATAAATGATTAGTTTCCGGTTCTGATTTGAAAATATTAGTTAAAGGCTAGCATGAAAAAGACCCATCATTTTCTTATCTTAAAAGAACTGGACAAAACCAGAATTGGAGAAAGAGTAAAGAGCCTCAATTGTCTGCAAACAGAAAACTAACCAAAACACCAAACTGGAAAAAGAAAACTAATAATGGAAAGTAGTAAGAATAAGAAGGCCAAAAAAAAAAAAAGGTTCTTGCGACCGACCAAACCATTTGAAGTGTCAGGGAACATTTTAGTAAATGTAAGATTACTAACTAGCAATATACCCAAAATTTAGATTATAGAAAAATAGAAAATATACACTCAAATTTATTATAATATTTTTAGAATTATATTAAAAATTTTACAACATACCCATATTTAATATATTAAAAATAAAATCTTTAATTTATAATATATTGATTCCTTACCATCGGGAATAAGTAAATTTGCCAATATAATTCATTCAATCTGATTGCGAATTACTGCATAAAGTTCGAACTGTTTATTAAAATAGAAAATTGAATATATTATCAATTAGTATTAGCTTAGGGGTGGCCACCAGGTTTCCGGTTCCAAAAAAAATGGAACCGGAACCGAACTGAAAAGTTTTCGTTTCGATTTCGGTTTGGACGAACGGCTTCCAGTTCCGGTTTCTGGTACGCGTGACCAAACCGACGGTTCGATTTGATTTTTCGGCGAATCGCATAATTTTAAATTTTTAAATTCTGAAGACCGCTTTAAAAAAAATATATATATTTGACATAAAAATTAAAAGATACACCTAAAAAATTAAAAATAATTCAATTAAAATTTATTTTTTTTAAGACTTAACATATTTATTTTTTTCTTTTTAAAAAAATTTTCAACTGAATTTATTTTTTTGTTTGAACATATTTTAAATTTGAAGACCGGTTTTAAAAAAAAAATATTTGAACATAAAAAAATAAAAGATACACCTAAAAAATTTAAAAAATACTTCAATTAAATTTAATTTTTTTTAAAGACATAATAGAACATTTAATTTAAGAGATTTCACAACAAAATTAAAAAAAAAAAAAAAAAAACCTGACAGTTTGGCTAGAAACCGGCGGTTCCAGTCCGGTTCCGACGGTTCTCTGAACCGCCGGTTTCTAGTTCCAGGAAAACTTGAAACCAGACCAACTTGGAAGGTTCCAGTCCGGTTCCGACCGGTTCTCTGGAACCGCCGGTTCTAGTTCCAGAAAACTTGAAACCAGAACCGAACTGGAATTCTCTGATTCCGGTTCCGGTTCAGTTCGGTTCCAGTTCTCATCGGTTCCAATTACGGTTCTGGACCGGTTGGAACCGACGGTTCCGATTTCCGGAACCGTAATATGGCCATCTCTAAGTATAGCCGAGAGGAACACCGGAGCTGTGCAGAAAAATAAGAGCTCTAATTCAATTCAATTCAATTTATTATCTAAAATAGTTGCCATTTTAATTTTAATAATTATAATTATAATCTCCATTAATATACTTTCATTTCTTACACCAGAAAAAAAAAAAAAAGAAAGAAAGAAACTTTCATTTCATGGTAGATGGTGACACTGACATTCACTGTTCGAACACCAATAGCGAACTATTCACCTGGGCTTTGCACTGTTGCAAAATTATTTATGGATACGTAAATATATTAATCAATTTATCTCAATAAAAAAAGACTGAAATCTCTTAAATGAGAAATTAAATATTCGATCCAGTAAACGAAGAAAATCTCTTCAGAATTGCTTTCTTGCAGCGCTTAAAATTAGATTTAGTTCAGTAAATTAAAAACACGTTATATTTAGATATATAAAGGTAAAATAATGGTAAATGTAATAATTTTCATGTTTTTTTTACTTAATTTAATTTAATTTATTTTAATTTCTATGAAGTATGATAAAATAAATCTTAAAAATCAAATACTAATATATTTTTAAATAAAAAATCGATAAATAAATAAAGTCAAATATGCTTAAAGAATGAAATTAAAAATTAATTTTGTTTTTTCGGACTTTGGCTTCAAACTACATTTGATTTGATTACATTTTAAAGAATTTGGTTTGGTTAATCTGAAAGCAGGGACAATTCTGAATATGATAACCAATGAGAAACCGAAACGTGGCAGAGTGTCAAGTCACAGTTAAAACGACGACCATAAAGAGAGACACGTAGTCTATAAATACGGGGGCTAGCCATGGCCATTATGTGATTGTACTGTTACCCACCGTGTAAGAACGTGCAATTGTTTCTCTCTCTCTCTCTCTCTCCCTCTGTAAAGTTGTAAACTTTTTTCATTTTGATCAGTCATTTTGTTTTTTCTGTTACCTCTTCAGTTCACAGTCTCTCTTTCTCTGTACCCACTTTATCTGATCTCTTCTTGGAAAAGAAAGTAAAGTCTGGTCTTTTTCCTAGCTCAAGTTCAGGGGGTTTACTTCAAACAAAGACTACGCCTTTACATATACAACTCTCTCTCTCTGTCTCTCTCTCTCTCTCTCTGTTTCTTGTTGTTTATCTGTAACTAGGATTCTTCAACTTGGAATTCGTGTAATGGGTTCGTTCTTTCACACGGGTTTTATTCTGCATCTTCTTTCCTCTTCGGCTTCCACTATTCTCTAATGGCGTTTTATTCTTCCTTTTTACTGTTTACAAGCTATATTGATTGTGCTTCTCTTCCTTCTAGTTCTATCTATTAAATATATTATATTTCTTGTCTTATTAGAAGAAGAAGATAAGTTTCCCTAATTAATATTTTTATTTCAATTTAAATATAGACATCTGTGCATGTGCCGAAATCCATGGAGGATTTTTATAGGCTTGATCCTACAATCTCTTGTTCAGATAATATTGTTACAGTTGAAAACTATACTGCAAATTTCACTGCTTCTACTACTAGTAATAGCACTAATCATCAATTCCATAGCTCGGTGGGTAATTTACTTCTAATTGGAGAAGGTGGTGATAATCATGGCCATAGACAAGTTTTTGAATCAGATATGATTGATCTAATTAAGAATCAGATCGCCAATCACCCTCGTTATCCTTACCTAGTTTCTGCTTTCATAGAATGCCAAAAGGTTCTCGCTCTTTCTTTCTTTCTTTCTTTCTTTCTGCTTATATATGTATACATATATAGCATTTTTGAACTGCTTTTTCTATTGAAGGGTACTGAAAAATAATGCAAAATATTATCAAAAGAAGAAAAAAGGAAAAAAATAACCTACAGGAGTAATACAGTGTTTTAAATCTGAGTTTTTTTATTTTTTATTTTATTTTTTGGGTTTTTGTGTGGCTTGGCATGAAAGGTTGGTGCACCACCAGAAATGGCGTCTCTTCTTGAAGAAATAGGCAGGGACAGTTATTCAATCAAGAATTGCAGCAGTGAAATGGGAGCTGATCCAGAACTTGATGAGTTCATGGTGCGTGTGTTTTTTGAAACCTAAAGTTTTTTTTTTTTTTTCGAGTTTTTAATTTTCGCTTTCCATTTGGTTCTCGGGAAAATTATTACATGTGCAAGAGAAAATGACCAATCTACTTTGAATCTTGCAACCCTTATTCTCATCGACATTTCATTCTCATCTACATTTCAAGATTCTGGAATTTGCTTATATATAATTTCAAGTATTCTGGATTTTTGCTTTATATTTACCTTTTCTAGTATAATATATATATATAATATGGAACCTACTTCCATATCACCACGTCTTGTACTATTATAGACTACTTACTATACTTATCTGGTTCTAAGTGGTCTAAGCTTTTAGTAAATATTTTCCGGAACGTGGATGGTTAATTGAAGCTATGATGTATATATGTTCTAATAGGTCTAAGCTATATATAGTAATATTCTTGGAACAGTGATGGGTTAAAGAAAACTATATGTGATTGTTGTTTTTGAAGGAATCATACTGTGAGATACTCCATAGATACAAAGAGGAGCTGTCCAAGCCGTTCAATGAGGCGACTACATTCTTGAGCAGCATAGAATCACAACTGAGTAATCTTTGTAAAGGAACGCTGACAAAACCCTTTGATTATGGCTCTGGTAAAGTTATTGCACTGTGCATTTTCTAATTGATTTCCATGTTTAACTTGCACCTGTAGTAGCACTTTTTGAATAAGATCATATTATTATATTCTATACGCATTGAAACAGCTTGATTGATGGAGAGTAAAGGGGCTCAATTATCTCCTGCCACTGTGCATGTTAAAAGAACAGTATTTCTAATGTTTGAGTTGAAAATTTGGAATTCTCTTGAATAATCATTAAACGCCATATCTTGTACTTATCCAATTACCATTGCCTTTCATAATTTTCAAACTTCTACATTATTGTTAGTCACTATACATTGCTCTACCAATGTTGACATGTTCAAATTGATTCAAAAATATTATGCAAACCCAAATTTATTTTATAAATGTTGACGAATGTATATATGATACCTTCTGGTTCATGGAGAGTCTCTTATATATGCTTCGGGAATTTATGTGGTGTTATTTGAAAGTCTAATTAGATAGCTCTATAGGAGTGTTTTTCCTTTTAGAATAAGCGTGTAATTAACTTTCAACTGATTTCAAATAAAATTTCCATTTTCTCAACGTTGGTTGAACTCAAAACTTATTTGGGCATTTTTGAGGTTAACTTAGTAAACTCTATGTAATTACTTCCACATAAATATTACTTCTGAATAATATCATATATCATACTTAGAATTTAAAAAGTAATTAGTATTTACATCAAACGGTATATGGCCATGGAATGCATTGTGTTAGAATCATTAGATATATTGCAATAAATCTCCGAGACTTCGACTCCCGCTTGATTCTTTGTTTAATAATTGACGCATTTAGGATATAGTTTAAAGGCAGTAATCCTTATAACTCCACATGTCATATCACTTTCAATATGCATTTTAGTTGCTTCTTACTAGATTTGAAATGATAATATCAGTGAAGATTCATGTCAAGAGTAGTTAATTGAAAATAATATTTGACCATTAGATTTGGATATTATATTTGCCCCTTTGCTTTTAATCAAGTTCCTAACTACTTTATAACTCCTTGCAATTCTTCTGGCTGAAAACACTAGTATGGTTAGGGCGGTATTAGCATTCAATTTGTAACTTTTTTTCACTCATGCTAGTAGATGAAGGCGAATGATGTGGAAGTGAAAAAGAAATGTTTAGTGTACGTTACAGAAAAGGTACAAGTAATAAATGAGAAGGGAAATATTTTTAACGGCAGAACTACCAAGTATTTGTTTTAGCTAGTTTTGGTGTGGAAGTACTAAATATTTGCAGGGGCTGTACTTGGTTAAATTTATGCTACACTGGATTAATAATATAAAGTTTCGCCAGTGTAGTTTTATTACAGATTGCAAAACAACGTTTTGAAAAAACTTTAGTTGCCCTGGAAAATATTTTTAGTTTCAGCATTAGTGTTCTCATAAGAAGCTTTACCAAATCAGAACCTTATCAATGGAAGAAGGATATTGCATTTTTTTTGAGAATGGAAGGTTAAAATTTCTCCAATAATATTGAATTCTTCAAGTTAACTTGACTTCTTGGTATCTGAAAATTATCAGCTTTCATGCCTCCGCTTGTTCTCAACTTAAATTTTACCTATGTACTAAGCTTGGAGTTAACGATCAAGTTTAAGAAAGAACTTGTTAAGATCTTAAAACTCAGATTACAGGATCTCACACACACACACACACACACACACACACATATATATATATGTTCTGGTGAAAATTTTTCCTTTTGAGACGAGGATGAGTAGAAGTTGGCTAATTTCAGAATCTCTAGTTAAACTAAGGAGAAGATGATCCTATATTGCAGGAACTTTAGAAAATAGAATGCATGTTTTGTCGTATACAATTAAAAATCATAGGTATTTTTCATTTTGTGCTTGGCCATTAATTGGGTTATGTAATTATCATATATTAATGCGCTGGATATTCTGAACCACATTGGCAAGTTATAGCAAGCATTCTTCTTCAAGCTGTTTGATACTGAATTTTGTGCATTTACAAACAAAATATAAAAGGATGACCTGACAATATTGAGAAACCTGAATCTTTTTAAAAAGTCACTAATGTATATCCCTTGAAACAACAACTTAGCCTTAATCCTAAACTAGTTGGAGTCGGGTATATGAATGGTTGGCAAACATTGGAATGATGCTTGTAATGTTCTGTTATAAATGGTTATTTCCTAGTTAGTTCATTTCCTTCAATTCAACAGATTCAACAGGAAATGGAAAATATCAATCTGTTTACAGGTCAAGAATTCAATTTTCTTTGTGGAAGTATCTATGTGCTGCCTCATAATTCATTTTTTACTTTTTTTTCTCTTAAACGTTTTCTTGCAGATGAAGCAGCTGGAACTTCTGAGGAGGAGTTAAGCTGTGGTGAGATTGAAGCATCAGAAAGTCAGGAATCTTCTGGTGGCCGTCCTAATGATCAGGATGTTAAAGGAATGCTCATGCGCAAGTACAGTGGTTACCTAAGCAATTTGAGAAAGGAGTTTCTAAAGAAAAGAAAGAAAGGCAAACTACCTAAGGATGCTAGGACGATTCTTTTGGATTGGTGGAATAATCATTATCGGTGGCCATATCCTACGGTGATTACTAATTACAATGCACTTCCACTTATTGCCATTTTTATATTCAATTTTTTATTAGTCCATTTGTGTTCTTTCATGATTGATGGATCGCCTATATTAGGACTATATCCATGAGCAAGGTTGATGAACTGAGATAGGGTTGATGCTACTTGTTCGAACAAGTGCATAACTACTGAACCAGAACTGTTAATTAGTAATTAACCGAAAATGAAGATATTGAAGTACATTATTTTGCTTGAAGACTTCATTACCATTAAGTCCGAATTGCGAGAACTAGCTTGCTAAAAGAATCAGTTTGTTCTTTCCAATTTGGATTGGAACATGAGTTTTATCAGTACTTCTAATATCAGTAAAATGATCTTAATTCCTAGGTCATGTTGGATTGAGACATTTTGATGTCTAAACATTAAAAAAACAAACTTGTTCATGTTGCAGGAAGATGAGAAGGTGAAGTTATCAGAGATAACAGGACTAGATCAAAAGCAAATCAACAACTGGTTCATCAACCAGCGGAAGAGGCATTGGAAACCATCTGAAGATATGAGATTTGCTCTCATGGAAGGTGTTAGTGTTAGCAGCAGCATGATTGGAGGTCCTTCCTACTTTGATACTGGGGGTAGAGTTAGTGGTGACTGACTATTTGATTTGTCAGAAGCTTTTGCTCTAAACCATCTTTTAATTTCTACTACTCACATTTATTAAAGCATAGTTACTTTTTTTTTTTTTTTTTTTTTTTTTTTTGACCAGGGAAGGGCATTGAACCATTCTGAAGATTCTTGAGTATTTTGCTCTCGAAGGTTGTTAGTTTAGAGCAGCATGATTGGATTGGCCTCCGGTTTCGTAGGTTTGATACTGGGGGTAGAAGATTAGTGGTGACTGACTATTTGGATTTGTCAGAAGCTTTTTGCTTCTAAGCATCTTTTTGAATGGTTTCTATACGTCATTTTATTAAGCATAGTTTACTTTTTTTTTTTTTATTTTTTTTTTTTTGAGCTTGAGTTAATGACTTACATACATGATACATGTTGACATATTTCAATTTTTTTTTTTTTTTTTTTTTTTTTTTGAGCTGATTATGAACTTACATACATGTAAAGTTGAACATTTCAAGTTAATTATATATAATCATTTGATATATAATCATGCATGTTCTAGAACTAAGAGTGTGTTTGCATAATTTCACTTGTTCAATTTGAAGATTTAGAAATTGATTTACAAAATTAACAATGATCAATTTAATAAAAAAAGAATATATATATAATATATATATAGTTGATTTTTAGTCTACTGCTTCGATCAATTTATCATGGAATAAAGTACTCTTAACGAATCATTGTTTTATTTGTGAGAATTGAAGAAAATTATTCATTTTAAATATTTATTTTTTAATAAATAATGAATACAAGACATATATATCGTATAAAGTTACAATACTAAAAATTATAATGTATATTAATATATAAATAATGATCATAAAAATTTATTCAACGAAGACTTGTTTCAAACGGGAAATTTTTTTTATTATTATTATCCAACAAGGGAAACGTTTCCCTGTCAAACGGAAACATTTCTATCGTGAATGAACTACAGAAAAGGAAAAATAGAAGAGGAGCATTTATATCCGATCAAATGTCTTTTATGGCTCCAAAATCTTCCTGTTAATTTGTAGATTAATTATTATAATAATAAATTAATCTGTAATTATAGCTATAAGCTAATACTCCTATGAGCGTGAGAAGATTATCACGAAATCTCTCGGCTCTCTAGGGATCCGACAGAAGCGAACTCTCTACCATCTAGCGACTCGCGTCTCGCAAGCCGTTTCTAAGCAAAAAACAAAGACGCCGCAAGGGGCGCGGGACCTATCCCGTTTTCATCCCCGCAACGATCAGAACCTGTTCGATGAATTTCCTCAATGGAGAGAATATCAAAAAGTCATGACGAGAGAAAAGTATTCTTTTTTTAATTATACGATATGATATTGATAGCTTTATTCTTTTATCTGAAAGTATTCATAATTTTTTTTTTCTGAAAACACAAAATTATTCATGATTATCACCTTATAAAATAATAATAAAAATACAAATACAAATATTTTTTTTGATAAATTTCTAAGTGATTTTACTATGAACATAAAATAATATTATGATACTACAAAACAATTATGTTTCTTAAAATAACTTACTTTTATTATTATATGATCATAGTAATATACTCAAAAATATACTATAAAATTATTTTTCTTGTAAAAAAAATAACATTATTTTTTTAAGTCTAATTATTAAATAATGTTTATTTTTAAAATGTTCACATAATGTTAGGCTTTGTTAAATCTCAAACAGAGAAAGTATTATATATTTTTTTTCAATCAATATTCAATTTTTTTATTATATAATACAAATTGAAATATTAAGAGTTACATTTTCACGTATTAAAATATTTTAGGTAATAATAATACAAATAAAATTTATGGTTTTCTTTCATTTATTTAGAAAGGAAACATCAATCAAACTTTTAAATTTAAAAAAAAAAAAAAAAAAAAAAGAAATGGAAACATTCAATCAAACTTTTAATTTTAACAAAAAAAAAAAAAAAAAAAAAAACCTAATTAAGTGACATAAATCAAAATATAGGAAAATAATAAATAATAATATACCCATGCATTATAATATGTCATTCATAAATCAGAATTTTTGATTGTTTTTTTTGTTAACGAAATGAAAGTTATATAGAATCAATAGAATACCCGTTGCAAGGTATACTTATATATTGTTTCTTTTATAAAGCATACGCAAGCTTAATGTGGAAGGCTGCTCATGCTACTCTTACATTTTCATTAGTCGAATCCAAACACTCTATTGGCATCCACGCTGGGCAACATTTTTATTAAAAAAAAAAAAAAAAAAAAAAACCTAATTAAGTGACATAATCAAAATATAGAAAATAATAATAATAATATACCCATGCATATATATGTCATCATAAATCAGAATTTTGATTGTTTTTTTGTTAACGAAATGAAGTTATATAGAAGTCAATAGAATACCCGTGCAAGGTATACTATATATTGTTTCTTGTTAAGCATACGCAAGCTAATGTGGAAGGCTGGCTCATGCTACTCTTACATTTCATATCCAATCCAACACTCTATTGGCATCCACGTGGCACATTGTTATTGACCTCCTCCATCAATATACTAATAAATTTTTAGTTATTAAATGATTATATTTGTCGCACATATCAAATAGAATACGCTGTAATTAATTTAATCAGATTATTTAGATCATAAGGTAAATATATCCATTATAATAATAATATAGAAGCATAAATTCTATACACAAAAGTTAAAATATTTTAGTGATATTGATTGTATTTGTCGCATATATCAAATAAATTCTATACACAAAAGTTAAATATTTTAGTGATATTGATTATATTTGTCGCATATATCAAATAGAACACGTCATAATTAATTTAATCAGATTATTTTAGGTCAGAACGTATATATATATTATAATCAATGACATAAAAGTATAATTTCTATGCACAAAAATATAATTTATGATGATGAGTTTTATAAAGACTGGACACGAAGAATTGAAATGTTATTATTAATTGAAATCATAATCATACAGTAATATTATAAATTTTTGAAAACAAAAATTGTAGAAATGGAGATTATTTTTCTAAGTAATCAAAATGGCAAAAGTAAAGAAATGTGTGGTTTCGAAGCACACAAGATGAAATAGGAATCTTTATTCATCAAAACTTCAATATGGAGCACTAAAACGACACAAACAGATAGAAGAGGAGATTACAATAGATAATACAGAGCTAATACAATAGATAACAAATATTAATCAAGAAAGATAGATAGAGAAAGATGTAAGAATTTCTTTTTTTTAAGAGAGTTTCTCCTCAATAGTCAATTCTTCAACCATATTTCCATGGTTAAGTGGATTAAAAGCTTCGATCTCAGAGCATTTCGTAGGCAATATTAAATTGGAAACAAGACCTTGTTGTTGAAGATCATGGAGAGGCTTTATTTGGTGGTCATTATAGCCATAATCAAGTTTACGAGCGATAATAACAGAATTTATAACTTCATCAGTTGGATGAAACACAGAAAGAACCTCGAAACCTTGAAGATCACAAGGATCAACAACAGGATAAAGAAAAGCCCTAGCTCCATTAGCGCTCCTTAGCAGTAACATAGCACCACGAGCCATATTTTTGGCCAAATGATCAAGAACTCTAACTTTCTCTTCTTTGTCCATACCAACTAAAGCAGCCAAGAAAACGACATCGAAAGATTTGAGTTCTTCAGTAGAAACATCCATTATATCAGTTGTGTGAAAAAACATTCTCTTAGACAAGTCAGGATGAGATGAGACCAATTGAACAGCTTTGGAATTGGCTGATGGGTCAATATCATAGTTATGGAAGGAGGTATTAGGAAAGTGATTGGAGGCTAAAACTATTGAAGTTAAAGGGAGAGGACCAGAACCCACAAAAGCTATTTGGCTAGGGACAGTAGAGTAATGTTGGTTAAGGATGGTGAATTCAAGGTTACTAAGTTTAAGGTAGTTTGAATAGTAAGGGAACATATTGAGATGGTCAAGTGGGTTTTCATAAGAAGCTAAGATAGCTGAGAAATGATTTTCCAAAAAACCTTCAGCTTGGCCACAGAGTCTAATGAGTTTAGACCTTATTTCTTGGATTTTGTTAGGAAGTTTTGTAACGTCAATAGAGATTGGTGGTATGCACGTGAGAACAAGCTGTGTGAACAGCATGTCGACATTTTTGGAAGGTTTCAGGCTCTCAAGGCTTGAGATTTCATAATACAAATTGCAGACTTTCTCTATCAACACCTCTTCTTGGCAACCCATGTCGACACTATGAGGGGTTTGTGTCTTTTTCCTTTTCTTTTTTAAGACTGCTCTTATAGAATGGAAAGAACCTTTCAAAACAAAAGAAAGAATTAGGTTATCTTCTTGCTTGAGAACTAGATAGGGAGGAGTCCTCCAATGAGGTCATTATTTATGGGCACTTGTGGGACCCATTCTAACACTAGAATTGGCCTTAATTATTAATCCCTGCACGATAGCAAAATAAAATAAATTATTTTTAATTAATAAAGATACGATTAGACACTTATAATTTTTCTGACTTTATAATTTTTTTTAATTTTAGTTGATCGCTAGTTAGAATTTAAATTTAAAACCTTCTAACTAAAATAAACAATTTTCCTGAAGGATTTCTTCAGCAATTTCTATTAGTAAGTAATAGAATTACATTCAAATTTAGAACCTGCTGTTTGAATTGTAATTAAGATTTTTGCCTAATATACATTTAGTAGCAGTGGCTTGTATTTGTTGCGTAGGGAGATAATCTGAGCAGAGTGAAGTAGAAGGTAGGGTTTTCATTGGACCACGGTAAAAGTGGAAGATTGTTTTTCTTGGGAGATGTGATCAAACCCTGTGGTTCCAATGCCGAGGCATGCATTTATGTTTCACATCACAATTACTTACAAATGTGTTCAAATTCAAATATATGTCTAATTAACGCATTAAAATCCTTATCACTCTGAAAACGTATCACGTAGTTCAGAGATAAAAAGCACTTAAAAGAGTTAAGGAATCTATGAATTTGTGAGTTCAAATCTCTTTTAATGCAAAATCTCCACGGATCAGCTTCCGTATTTTTTTAGAGTGAACAAAAAATATTCAGGGAGTACTTAATTGCGGGCTCTAAGTAAGAAAAAATGATCATATCTTTTCTTCTCTGTTTTTTTTATCTTTTTAGAACTTTTGATGTTTATATGGTAGATTAAAACAGTAACTTCACTAATTCATCAATTAATTTATTAATATATGCATAATCTTTAATATTAGTTTGATAATTTTGATTAGACAAAAAGTTGTCTCAATATGCTAAAATGATTACTATTGTATTTATACATTTTTAAAGGTAAGAATTAAGAATTCCAACCCATATTTATTTATAATGTAAATCATAAAAAGAGAATGATATCTTAGTTTAATAGTTAAAATTAAAGTTATGAGAATTATAAAAATTTCAAGTTTGAATTACACTTTTTTTTTTTTTGCTGTATAATTTATTATATTATTTCGATCATAAAAGTTAGAAAAAAAAAAAACAATAGAAAAATTAAAATACAAGAATGGGCTTTTAGGATTACCTTATTCCTCTTTTGAAAGAAAAATAACACTTTTAAAATAAAATATATTAAAATGAAAAATACAACAAAACAAATCTTGATGAATAAGTGAAGTTGACAATGATAATAATATAATAAGATTCTTTTTCCTAATGTTTTCACATTATTGATTCTTTCAATTTATGGTTTCACACTACTCTATATAGTTTGGATGATTACTTGTAAGAACAAACAAGTAAATGCATAGTTAGCTCATGAGCATCACTATAATATCCAAAAAAAAAATTATAATTAAACGATGATGAAGTAAATCTCATAATTGATAAATGATTAACGATCAAAACGGTAATAAAAATGAATCAATGGCCGCTTATATGTAAATTAGTGACTGATTTGGCGGCTGCTAATTCGCCTGTTTTTTGTAATCGATGTTAACAATCAACGCCTTTTAATTCGCATTATCTTTTTAATTTATTATGAAAATCAAGTGTCTTATCCTATTATACGAGAGACAAATAGTTGGCTCCACCCAAAGTAAAATTTCACCTTGGAATATAAAAATATGGTAACTTCCCTTGTCCAAATATCACTAGAATATTCTATTATAAAACAACACATCATATGTATTTAATTTGGGAAATTCCTTTTCTTGTGAGTTAATTAATTAATTATACATTAAAAACATATAAATCATTTTACCTAGCTAGTAATTATTGTAGAATTTATAATTTTAGTTGTTAAAAATATTATAATCATTTATGAATAAACTTATGAAATGACCAAAAAACATTATCTACCCTACATCTCAAATCAATACTATCTATCCTACATCTCAAATCAATGTTTTGAACCTTTCTTCCAAATAAACAAATGGAGGGGTCGAAATACACTTGTTTTATGTATTTTCTAGAATTATATATGATCATTAGATTGGCAAGTGGTATCCCAACATCTTTGAAAATAACATTTAATGGCTAAACGTAAGGCTGAACCAAACTTATTTTGTATGGCTAAATCCTGCTATTTTGATAGCTATTAGCTGTTTTAGTAGCATTTATTTATTAACTATTTTAGTAACTTTCACGACATGTTAAAAGTTAAATTTTTACCACAATACTATAAGTTAATTTAAACATTATGTTACTAAATAACTTTTTAAATATTATAATTAAAACACTAAAAACTATTTAAGTTTTTATAAAACACAAACTTAAACTGAAATATCTCCACTTTGGCCACCCCGATAAACAAGGGGTTGGGTGTTGAACTTTGATTTTTGGGACCCACCAACCTCAGAATTTCTTGATAGATGCATATAAAATGAGTTAAACCATGCAACAGAAAAAGATGTTTTGACATCATTTCTATCACTTTGGGCACTATATAAATGAATATATATATATATATTTATTTCCTTTTTTCAAAAGAAAAAATAAAAATGAAGTCTTGATTCTTGGACAATGCACACAGACAGTATCTGGCCTTACATAAATTGGATGGCCAATTTTTCGATGTCTATTATGTTGACATTTCATGGCATAGGAATTTTCTCTTTTTTCTTGTTCAAATATTTTAATTACTAAGATAAGATAGTGGTGATTCCTTCTTTACTTTCCTTTTCTCATATCTTTCTTCCTTTAGCCATCTCTTTTTGGGAGAATTATTAACTCATGGCTCTCAATTACAGATCCTACTTTTGACCTCCATTTTTAACTCTTCTCTCTCTTGCAATTATCAAAATCTCCTCTATCTCTTTCTATTTTATTTTATTCTTGTTTATAATCTGCCAATTCCTCCAAATTAAATTTTGATTTGCAATTGAGTCCAAAATGGGCAATTGATTGATTTGGAAAAATGTAGACATGATGGCAAAATTCAAGTGGGCATTAGCAACCAAGCTCGATATTTCGTTGGCAATTTGGCCACTTTCAGCAGGAGAGGACCTACGCGACTACTCGACGTTGAAATTGGAGCATCCTTTTCAAAAAGTGGCTTGACTACACTTTAGGGTTTGGTCTATGAGAAATAAAAAAACAAAAAAGCAATTGATTTCCATTCAATTTGTTTAGAATCTAACTAAAATATGTTTTATAATAAAAAGATAAAATATGTTATATTTTCAAAAAAAGGGTATTGGCTAATATAATAGCAGCCTTAGTCACCTGTACTATCTTTTAAGTAATCTACAATCATATTGTCGATATAGTGATATTTGATAAGTAAATTATTCTAAAAGAGCAAGTGATATAGTGGAGCAATGGCATGTTGGTTGGTTGTGAGTGAAGTCAAATTAGGTGTAGCCATTTGGCTAAAGGGTGTGTGCCAACCACACGACTCCATGTGCTACATTCGAGAAACCACTATTTCTTTTGGCTTCTTTTGATGATTAGACCTCTTTTACTGTACTCCAGTCCTTGCAAACACCATCATCAAGTTGAAGATTCGATTTTCTCTAGAAATTCAAAGAAACAATCTTAAAATATTTATTATTCGATATTAATGCCCCCAAGCAGAAGACTAATAGTCAATGGTGCAATCTGGATGGTCTTTTTTATGTAAAGAGTGAAAAGCCTCAAACCAGATCAGTTTTCATCAAGTTGGGCTGTAATTTTCAAATTTGAACCCAAAAGAGTAGACCTTCCTCCTCTCCGAGCCCAATTGCTAAACCTCTCAATAGCAAAAGGGCCCAAATGCTGACTGCCTTGATCAGACCAACTCCATCAGGAACTCTCTAATAACATAAAATAAATCTAAACATAAATTTATAATTAAACAATCCAACAATCTGTTGTTCCTGCACATTTCCTTCCTGAGTTGCTAATTATATGTTACATAAGTTACATTACATCTGCTTTGGGTAATATCATAACACTATAAAGACTACAAATTTTCACCTAAATTCAGAATTTTCATATGATTCAGAGTTTTCGTAAGTAGTTGATTCATAAATATTAGTGTCTTCAGGAACCTCGGAGCTTCTGTCTGCAGGAGATTCATACACATTGGAGTCGTCGGACACCTTGGAGCTTGTATATGCAGGTGTTTCGTAGACATTGAAGTCTTCAGAAACTTCAGAGTTTTCAAATTTCTCACGAACTTCGCTAGCTCCACCTTGGTAAATTTGAAGCAGGTATTCCACTCCATTAACCACGTCATACACCATTAGTCCTATCCTACCTCCAACCCAACTACCCAGATGACTTCCAACAAGATAGCCAAAGCGTCCAAGACTTGCCTCGCCGAGATACCCTCCAGCATAGGCACCAACTAATGTTCCGCTGCCCCTTAGGAATCCTTCTGTCATGGTACCACCATAATAAAGAGCTTCGAAAAAGTCCCAGCCTGAAGAAATAATGGGACCTATAATACGTTTTCCTTGACGCTTTGCCAATTTAGCAGCCTTTGCCCCTTCTTTCTGTGCTTGTTTTGCTGCATCAGTTGCAGATAGTCCCTGTCCCATTGCATCAATTAATGAACGCTCAATTGCAAGATTCCTAGCCCTCTCAACATGAGCCGTCCTCAAGTTGTAGAAATAAAGCTTCACACCTTCCTTCACTGTGCATGCCAGGGTTCCAGTGCTCATGTCAAAGCAGTTAAAGATGGTAAACTTTCCACTCTGGGATGAATAATCTTCCCCAACCAGTTGCCGACATTTATCAGCTATAAAAACCAATAGGTAGAGATATAAGGAATCAGCCATGCAAAACAAAATCAAGGCACAGCCTTTTCAGGCTCAGTTGCTCGGCAGATAAAGAAAAAAATTTATTTTAACTGGGGTTACAAAGATAGAAAGAACCATATGTGGATTGTGGAATGTACTTTTGCCACCAATGAGCTTGTAAGCATTCATTACTCATTCAAGAGTAAATCTATAGAGTGAGCATACCAAATAAACTGTCGTATCCTGATTTTCTACTAAAATTCACAGGTACAGAACAAGGTCCTCCAGGTGATGTCAAGAGTAGATGAGATTTTAGATCATCGTTTTCAAAATTCAGATCTAAGCATCGGAGTTTCTTGTAAGCAAACAAAACAAAGGCTCACAATATAACAACAGAAACGAGAACCTCAACTACAAAAAAAAATTGCTCTGTATTTTTGAACATTGAAAGTCAGTAAATTTAATAACTTTCTCTAATTCTACAAATTTAATTTCAGCTGCTGAGAAAGTGAGGGATAAAGGGTTAATCCCTGCAAAACTTAGATCCTTAGTTTGTAATCTACATCCATATTAGAAATAATTACTTCATACACAAGATCACAAATGATACCTACAAAAAAAGAATACCTAAGGCCCTTCGCATTGTTGATTGTTCTGCAAAACAAGTATCTAACTTGACTATTGATTCTTACAATCATCAACTACAAAATCGAAGTTAAACAAGGGAACTACTAGTAGTTCTTGCATTATACTCAACCAATCCAAAATGGCCTAAATATCAAATCTATCCAAATCCAAGCAAGAAGCTTTAGTTGAACAAAATAATTCAAAATTTTCATGCGCAAAGATCCGACAACTCCAGCAATTTCAAAGTTGTAGTTTTTAAGCTGATCTCAAAATTTCTAAATTAAGAGCTTCTAGCAAAGTGACTAAAAGTGGGAAAAAAATTTAAAAGAGCAATTACATGATGCACATACCTGTAATACCGAGACCAATGATTCCAACGATGAAGATGACAATTAGAACCCTCTTTTTTTGGAAATCGAAATCGAAATCGAAATCCATAGGGCTTTAGTATCTGAACTGAGAACGAATTCCAATGATTGTTTGCTGAAATTTTTGAGATTTTGTGGTGTTAATTGGTGGTTATAACATATAAACTGTCAGATTTAACAGTCATGTAATTTCAAAGCGGAAGAAATTTCTTTTCTTTGAACCGAGGGAATGACTCGGCGAGTCCACTGTTTAGACCGCAACCGCCAACAGACAGGGTTGACCCGCCTTGAACTGCTGTAATGCTTACTTTCATTTCTTTCCATAATTAAGAAAATATATAATTTAATTAATTATTTATTTTTTTACAATATGGTCTTATATTAATATTTAATGGAATTTGAAATAATTAATATTTCATTATGATTGTGATTTAAAAAGAAAAATTATAGAATGCATTAACAAATTCATTACTTTTCATTACTACCGTAGAGGATTGCATGAAAAAAAAAAATTCTTTGTTGATATTTCCAATTTTTTTAAACAAATGTGAACACAAAATTTAAAATTAAATTGACTTTAGAAAATAATATTGTACACACAATAATAATTCATTAATCACAGCAAAGTCAAATCTACATCCTAGTTACAATTAAAAGCAGAAAATTGAAGCATGAAACATCTGGAAATAAGAATTGAAGTCGGTAATAGCCTGGAAAATAACCTGTTAGCAATAAGAAAAATATTTTTTGAAGAACAGTCTATCAATGTCAAAATCAAGTAGCCATAATATAATAAAATAAGCTAATCCAAAGGTAATAAGTGCTGTAGGCGTCTGCAGGTATTTAAAGTCGATATGGCTAACCCAAAACCTGCAAGTTTCACCATTTTTTTTTTTTTTTTTTTTTTTTTTCACCAATTTTTTTTTTTTTTTTTTTATTTTTTGGCCAATACGCCAATTGACTATATACTGAAAACTTTCTTGTAATAATTCATCGGTGAATAATATCACAGATAATTTTGTTATTCAATCCTCAATCGGGGGGGGTCCCTCATATTCCAATTGTCATGAGCCCGAACCAGAATTTTTAGCCTCACTCTGGACCAGGGACGTTCTGGCGGAATCTTTGCTTGGATTTGAATTGGCAGATCACCAGTCTTTCTTGATACTCATAACCCATGTATCATATGTTGCATCCTGATCTTGTATAGCTGTATCGAATAAACAACATCTTTTTTTTTTTTTTTTTTTTTTTTTTTGCCAATACGCAAATTACTGAAAACTTCTTGTAATAATTCATGTGAATAATATCACAGATATTTTTGTTTTCAATCCTCAACTCGGTCATTTCCATTGTCAATCCCACCAATTTAGCTATTTCTTTGCTTGGATTTGAATTGCAGAATCACCAGTCTTTTCTTGATACTCATACCAGTATCATGTCCATCCTGATCTTGTATAGCTCAATAAACAATCTAAAAAATTGTTCTCTGCCTTCAGTAGAAACTGAAGACAAGATGGCTGCAGAGAAGAAATTGCAAGAGATGCCATATTACAGCAGCAGGATCCAAGAAGATTCACATGCATTAGTTACATCTAGACGAATGAAGCTGTCAGATAAAAGGCAAATGCAGGACCCCTTAATGCCAGCTTTCTGTATCAAACAATGAAGAAGATGGTCATTGTGACCGACGACTTTAGAAGTTTAAGAGCTGACTGAAAGATTATATATATGCCCTTCTATGTCTGGAACAAAGCCTTTCTCCATCATTTCCTCCCTAACAATCTCAAAGGTTGTTCGATTTGGGACCAAACCCTTCTCCAGCATCTCATTAAGAAGGTCATTTGCATATTCAAACTTACCTTTCTTACAGAACCCCTTTATCAGCACATTATATGTGACAATATTTGGTAATCTAACTCCTTTCTCCATTATTGTCTTCAAATTCAATGCTGCCCGAAGATTTCCTTCCTTACAATAGCCATCCATCAAAGTATTATACGTCACATGACTAGGGTTTAATCCTTTTCGGGACACCTCATCCAAGAGTCTCATTGCCTTTCTCGATTCCCCTTTATTGCATAATGAATCTATCAATATATTGTAGGTAACAAGATCAGCTTTTAAATCCTTACCAACCATTTCATCCACAAGATTCCTGGCTGCTTCTACATCTTCCTTTTTGCATAAACCAGCTATTAAGCAGTTATATGTACAAACATTTGGGGGAACCCCCCTGTCCAACATTACATCACGTAGCGCAAATGCATCCTCCATCCTCCCAGCCTTACAACAAGCATCAATTATTGTATTGTATGTCACAACGTTAGGAGCAATTCCTAGTTTTGGCATATCATTGAATGACTCAACCGCTTTCTTCACCATCTTATTCTTGCAAAAACCATTTATTAGTGAATTTTGAGTAATGGCATTTGGCTTCAAGCCGGAAGCAACCATCCGATCCCACAAGGCAATAGCCTCATCAATATTCCCATCAGTACATAACCCATTAATCAATGAATTGTATGTAACCACAGTTGGTTTTAACCCCTGCCTTTGCATTTCTGCAAATATCTTCATTGCAGCTGATACATTGCCATCCTTGCAAAATCCATTGATCAAAATATTATAAGTAACCTCATTCGGGCAAATCCCATTTGAAACCATCTCCTTCAAAACAGCATCGGATTTATACATCTTCCCAATCTTACCCATCTTGCAATACCCATCAATGAGAGTATTATAAGTAACTACATTTGCTGACACCCCCCACACTTTCATATCCTCGATAATATCAGTGGCTTTATTCAATTTCCCTGCTTTACACAACCCATTAATCACAATATTAAAACTAATCAAACTAGGATGAATCCTTCTTTTTATCATCTCGTTATACACAAACTCCATATCCCCAATTTCCCGGTCCTTAACCAAAGCACTCAACAGTGGATTACAGGAAATAACTGACAACTTAAACCCATAATCACCAGCTCTCTTAAATGTCTCAAATCCAAAATGGGTTTTCAAATTTTTCACATATGCCAACAACAACATATCAACAATTATTGAATTGGCGCAAAATGAGTCCCCACCCACTGAAATTGCATGAAAAATTGAAGAAACTGGATAATTCTCATTCTTAACAAAATTATCCAGGAAAGACCTAATATTTGAGTACTTTTTGGTATATGCAAGTGAGTGCAATATTCTAAAAGTGAGTTCTAAAGAGTGTGAAAGTTTAAGCTCCTTTTTGGACCAAGTTAAGTACCTAAGAGTTAGCTCTGGGTCAACTTCTGAACTGAGCAGTTGGTGGAGAAGTGTGATGGGGCTAGTGTTTTTCAGACGAGTTCTGAGCTCTGACCAGTGTTGCTTTGCTACAAGGTCAGCAATGGTGGGGATATTTGTACATGATGAACTGAATTGCTTAAGGGCTTGTTTGTTTCTTGGGAAAATGATCAGGCGCGCAAATTTGCCCTGGACGATATCGAGTTTAACGTACATACTATAGTTTCTCTCACAAATGGAAACAAAAGATTTTGAAGCAATCAGAGTAATGATAGTGGTGATCTAACCAATGAATCTATAGCAATGCAACTACATTAAACATAATACATGGTACACAAATTAAGCACTTGTTCATCTTCTTCTCACCCAAGCTTGGAAGAATCCCTATAATTCAACCTTCATTATCCTCCCTTTTCCTCTCCAAGATCTGGACAATGTATAATCTTTAGGCCTAAAAATCTTTAAACAGTTTGCTAACCATCCAAATCCAGCCTGTCACCTAAATGGGGAAAACAAATTAAAATAATCCACAGAGTGGGCAAACCAAATAAACTATCGTATCCTGATTTTCTACTAAAGTTCACAGGTATAGAACAAGATCTTTTAGTTATATACTCATCAAAACTCAAGCTAGATAATGTCCATAGTGGATGAGATTTTAGATTAGATATAATTGTTTTCAAAATTCACATCTAAGCATTGGAGTTTCTTGTGAGCAAACAAAACAAAGGTTCACAATATAACAACAGAAACAAGAGGTTCAACTATAAATAAATTTTCTTAGCATTTTTAAACATTGTAGTCAGTAAATTTGATGAACTGTTTCTAATTCAAGCAAGAAAATGAAAAGGGGAGGTTAATGGGTTAATCGCTGCAAAAATTAGATCCTTAGTTTGTAATAAGAAAATAATCCCCATAACATGCAGAAGATCACAAATCATACCTAAAAAAAAAAATTCCTACAGCCATTCAGATTTTTCCCAGAACATGTGTCTAACTTGATTATTGATTATTACAAACATCGACTACAAAATCGAAGTTAAATATGGGAAGTACTAGTAGTCATTACATGATACTCAGACAACCCAAAATTACATTAAGAATCAAAACTATCCAAATCCAAGAAAGAAGCTTTAGTTGACGAATAATTCAAATTTTTCATGCCCAAAGATCCGATAACTCCAGCAATTGGAAAATAACTACTAGGAACTTCAAAGGTGTAGTTTTTAATCTGATCTCAGAATTTCTAAATTAGTGGTTATAAGCAAGATGATTAAAAGCGGGAAAAAACCCCAAAACGAGTAAAATAAAAATGGATAGAGATACAGATGTGCATACCTATAATATCGAGGAGAGCGACCATTCCAGCGATGAAAATGACAATGAGAACACACATCCTCTGGAAGTCGAAATCCACATGGCTTCAGGTATCGGAATTGAGAACAAACAGTAAGTTTATTAAAATTGGGTAATGATTATTTGCTGAAATTTTTGGGATTTTAATTGTTAATCAGCGGCTATGAGATATAATTGCTGATTCTGTGCCGAAAGTTCTTCTCTTTGAAAGGGAATGACTCGGGGTCGGAGAGTCCACTGTTCAGACCGCCAAAGAGGCAGTGAACATAAGGATAAACCGCCTAAAGTTAATGCAATTTCGTGGGCCAAAATCACCCTTAATTTAAATCAGGCCGTTTTCCATATATTTATATAAATAGTTTTTAAAGTTACAATCTTTTTTAACTGGTAGTAAATAAAAGACCTTAAATCAGCTCGAGCTCGAAAGGGTTTATGAAGGGCTTAACCCTACAAGTACAAAACAAATCCCTTCTCCAACATTCTCCTTCAATGGCGCTTCTACACTAATCTTACCAAAACACTTCAGTTCCCAAATTCTCCCTTCAATTTCCCAAATTACCAACATACAATGTTGAAGCTCCTTTCTTCCTCTTCCGCGCGCCAAATCCACACTCACGTGGCCTCCCCCTGTCTCCGAGTCACCACCGAGTCATCGGCGAGTCCGTTGGTCAAAGCCCTGAGTTCCATCACCGGATTGACTCGGAGGAAATCCAGAAACTCTAGCTTTTATCAAAGGGCTTTTTTTTGCTCGGATTCTTCTAATGATGGCAGTGGCGAGGTGGTGGAGGTGGAGCTTAAGAGTGGAGAGTCTGAGGCCGAAAGTTTTGACGCCAGCAACGCAATTGTGCCAACGAGCCCTAGGCCTGAGGATTACCTAACGGTTGGTGCAATAACTTTTTTCTTTTTGTATTTTTGTAATTTTTTTTTTTTTTTTTTTTTGTCCGTTGGTCAAATGCCCTGAGTTCCATCGACCGCCGGAGTTGAGACTCGGAGCGAAAAATCCAGAACTTCTAGCTTTGTGATCAAAAGGGCTTTTTTTTGCTCGATTCTTCTAATGATAGGCAGTGGCGAGGTGGGTGGAGGTGCAGAGCTTAAAGAAGTGAGAGTCTGAGGCCGAAAGTTTTTCTGACGCGCAAGCAACAGCAATGTGTCGTCGCAACGAGCGCTAGGCCCCTGAGAATTACCTAACTGGTTGGTGCATAAACTTTTTTTCTTCTTGTATTTTTGTAATTTTTTTTTGTTTTTTGTTTTGAGTATTTTTTTGTTTATTGAGAAATCGAGCACACTGTATATGTAACGGGAGGGAGCGAGATTTTTTTTTTTTTTTTTTTTTGTATTTTTTGTTTATTGAGAAACTTGAGGATTAGGAAGGAGGAGCGAGATGGAGCATTCTGGGTTCGGTTTAGGTGTTTAGCTTTTTTTTTCAGTTACTGGTGCACTCTGTTGCTTAATGCAAGCCTAAGTTAATATAAAAGTTTTATCTTTTTGCAAATAATTCTTGAATTTTTTTTTGGAATACAAAGAGAGTAACCAGAAAAAGTTACTTGTATATTTAACTTTTCTCTGTTAATGACTGTCCTAGGAATTTGATTAAAATTTGCTTCTCAACCGCTGTCTGGTTCATAATCATGCATCAACTTGCCAAAGTCAATATCTTTTTGGCATCTCTGCAAATATTATCTAATTGTTTTGAGTTACTACGAGGATATCTTTGTCGTGATAGAATTAATTTAATTCATGTGAAATTGCTTCCCATTTGGATTATAGAACCTGTACTAGCATTCTTAAAGAAAGAAGCTTATCAATGCAAAGTATTGGTGTAAAATATTTTTTGACTGTCGCTGCCGCACATGTCTACATGGTCAAGTAGTTGTCCTTATATGTATTCTTTGGAAAAAAGAAAGGCACAGCATTCACATGTAGATACATCTTATGCCACAATCTTCTAATGCATTTAAAACTCTTGCAGATATTGCTGATCAAAAATTTTGTTAACCATATTTATTTAACTTTCTATTATTTCAAATTTCTACCAGATTTCTGCTGAGTGGCTCAAATGGTTATCTGAAAAATTTGAACTTCTTTCTGTTAGTTTCTTATAACTGAATTAATCTATCATGATTTGTGGGCAGGTGTTGGCATTACCCTTGCCTCATAGACCTCTGTTTCCAGGTTTCTACATGCCGATTTTTGTCAAGGTATAGCAGGTTCTATCTTATTTCATTGATTTTAAAGTTCGCTGGAGTTGGCATATGCTGTACCATAGGAGTTCAGGGTCTGATAAATTTGCTATTTTTTTTTTCTTTTTCTTCTTTTGGCTGTATTTTTAGCCATGCAACTTCTTATAAAATTATGGCAACATAGTAAAATTGTGAAGTAGGTTGATGAAACTGTTCAATGAACCTTTATCAGTTCCAATGTTAAATGAAAAAGGGCTCATTTATTTGCTTTTCACATTATATTTCAGCTGATATGATTCCATTACATGCTAAACTTTTAATGATGATTGGTCACTCAAACTTTAAGCCAGCATACAAGCAGGTGACTGTTGTATTCTTTATTGTTATTTTAATTGTAGGATCCTAAAGTGTTGGCAGCTTTACAAGAAAGCCGAAAAAGGCAAGCCCCATATGCTGGTGCCTTTCTTGTTAAAGATGAGCCAGGAACTGATCCCAGTGTGGCAACTGGTTCTGAATCAGAGAAAAACATTTATGATCTTAAGGGAAAGGATTTGTTTAATCGTCTTCATGAAGTTGGGACACTTGCCCAGGTGCTGATTTTTTTCCATAAGTTCTTAGTTGTGTTTTGTTCTTTTATACTTCTGCCTCAGGAGAAAGCTTCTTTATAAATAAAGAAATGACAAGAAAAAGCATGGAGATGTTAATGCCATTTATTGTATCGTTTGCTATGCCAGATTACAAGCATCCAAGGAGACCAGGTCATCCTTATTGGTCATAGACGTCTTCGAATAACAGAGATGGTAAGAATAATCATTTTTCTAAGAAAAATTATGATCACGTGATGTTTGTCTTTCTTAATCTTTTAGCTGCAAAGCTTTCTTTGTTCAAGTTTTGATGGCTTATGCACAGGTTAGTGAGCATCCTCTTACTGTCAAAGTTGATCATCTCAAGGTATGATATATTTATTATTTACTTCTAATTTTTATGGCTGATTCTCATGTAGAATTAAATGTTCTATACGTGGAAAAAATGACTTCTGTGCCTTCTCCACTTTGGGTTCTTTTTTCTCATTTTGCAGGAAAAACCATATAATAAGGATGACGACGTCATAAAGGCAACGTCATTTGAGGTTATTTCAACCCTGAGAGAAGTTCTAAAGATTAGTTCTCTTTGGAGAGATCATGTTCAAACATATACTCAGGTGTATTACCTTTCAAAACTTTTAAGAATTTTCTCTATTACGGTTTTCACTAGATCTTTTGAAAAGCTTATTGTTTGTTTAACTCTATTTCGTTTTCTTTTGTGTGATTTTTAAGTGGAGAGCTGCTTTCATTCTATTATCTTCCTCATTGGATTTATTGTAGTCATATTCAACAATCTTATTATGCAAGGGTCCCATGGCTGGTTCTCAAGTCCCCAATTGTCATTCTGTATTTCTGGTTTTTGTTCTGCTTCGTAGGATTCAAAACTATGGTTATCCAATTTTGTTCATATAGTTTAACTTAAATTTGAGTTATTGAGAAGGAATAAGCAGACAAAAAAAAAAAAAAAGAGATAGCATAAGTGTGTCATACCTTTATCCACATGCTTGGTTGATAATAATCTAATCATTTTGGTAGTTTATTATGTGTTTCAATGTTTAAGTGATACTAGTAACACAGCTAGTCCTGTAGCCAGTGCTAGAATTTCATCCATATGTTGATATATTTAATTACTGCAGATTGATTGATTAGTCAATAGGTCTATTGTTTTCTCATAGGAATTCCTTTTTTACTCGCAATGACTGCAGCATATAGGTGACTTCAATTTTCCAAGGTTGGCTGATTTTGGAGCTGCAATATCTGGTGCAAACAAATTGCAGTGCCAGGAAGTGCTTGAGGAGTTGGATGTAAGTGGCACACATGTCTTTGTGATGAACTCAAAGAGCTCAATTTTGATATACTTTGAAACATTTTGTCATTTTTTTTATGAATCCACTTAAAAACTTTTAGTTTGAGAATGCTATATTTCTGTCTCTGATTTTTTTCTAAATAATATATTTATACCTCAGGTGTATAAACGTTTGAAACTTACGCTGGAGTTGGTAAAGAAAGAAGTGGAAATCAGTAAGATTCAGGTATGCCATAGAATAAAATTCATGTTATGTGTCATCATCATCAGTGTTCTGATTCACACTAATTAACTTTCTGGGATCACATTAGGAATCAATTGCAAAAGCAATTGAAGAAAAAATAAGTGGTGAGCAGCGTCGTTATTTGTTGAATGAACAGCTTAAGGCCATAAAGAAGGTACTTGGTCTGCTTGTTTTCTTGTTTATATGCTCTTTTATTTGTCATTTGCATTCAACATAACTGCAATATACCTTGTCATCATGCAGGAACTGGGATTGGAAACAGATGACAAAACTGCACTCTCTGGTTAGTTTTGCTTTGAATTATCTTTTCTTGCAATTAGATTATTATGGGTGGGTTCTTTGTCATTTCAAAGTGGAATCGTGATATTCTATTACAGGCTAAAGCTTGAGGAAGCTAGCTTTGTAAAAGATGGTTATTGTTTGTACCTTAAAGATGGACAAAAACATTATTCCGCATGGTCATTTAATTTTGATATCAATTTGATTTTTTTTTTTTTTTTTTTTTTTTTTCCCAACATAACTGCAATATACTTGTCCATCATGCAGGAACTGGGATTGGAAAACAGATGACAAAAACTGCACTCTCTGGTTTAGTTTTTTGCTTTGAATTATCTTTTCTTGCAATTAGATTTTATTATGGGTGGGTTCTTTGTCATTTCAAAGTGGAATCGGTGATATTCTATACAAGGCTAAAGCTTGAGGAAGCTAAGCTTTGTAAAAGATTGGTTATTGTTTGTTTTACCCCTTAAAAAGATGGACAAAAAACTTAATTTCCCGCATAGGTCATTTAATTTTGATATCAATTTGATTTTTTTTTTTTTTTTTTTTTTTTGGCTGCCCTTTTTTTTTTTTTTTTTTTTTTTTGGCTGCAGCAAAGTTTAGAGAAAGGCTCGACCCAAACAAGGAGAAAATTCCAGCTCATGTTTTGCAAGTAATTGAAGAAGAGCTTACAAAACTGCAGCTATTAGAGGCCAGTTCCAGTGAATTTAATGTTACTCGTAATTATCTGGATTGGTTGACTGCATTGCCCTGGGGTAATTACAGGTTCGTTTCTCCTTTTGCTCGATATTCATAAATTTCTTCAGGGAAGTAATTCTGAGTTTTTGTAAGTTTGATGTTGCATAAGCTAGAGAATACCTATATTGGTGCTTTTATAGCATACAAGCTGGTTTAGGTGCTTATGTGCCTTACAAATTGCAAAGGGAACACTCTGTTCTTACAGAATTTTAATTTGGTTTCTATAACAATTTATTTGACAATAGAGTTTTACTGGTGTGTATATATACACACACCCACATTACATGTGTAAAATGGAAACTTCATTGAGTTTCTAACCACTATATTCTTAATTATAATGGCGATGTTTATTTTGTAGCTACTGACTCTGGACTGCTTTCAGTAATGTCCATTATATATTTGTATTGCATACTTTTCATCTATTATGCCTCATATTGAAGCAAATGAATTTTATATTCCTTTTTCTACACATCCCACTTCTTTGAGGAAGTGTGAGCCTTTGAGTGTGGTTTTGGAAATATTTTAAGAGTATAGCATTGTGATTGTCTTATTTGTTCCCATAATTTCAAATGCAGTGATGAGAATTTTGATGTCCTTCGGGCACAAAAAATTCTTGATGAAGACCATTATGGGTTAACCGATGTGAAGGAAAGGATACTGGAGTTCATAGCTGTTGGAAAACTCAGAGGAATATCACAAGGTTGGTTTGCATTCATTCCTTTCTTTTTTTTTTTTTTTTTTTTTTTTTTTTGTTTTTTTTTTTTTTTCGTGTGTGTGTACATCACCTCATTCTCAGTGTGTATGTACTTAAGGGCTTGAAAAAGATTTCCGTAATTTTTATTGTTTTCTTATGCCTATATACTTCTATGCTCCAATTCATCATATTCTAGTTCTCTTGATACATCTTCTACGTAGAGCATACAACAATTGTGCAATTTCTCTTTCACATGCTAATACATCTCAGGAAAAAATCATTACTGTACTCTACATCTGGACCCACACTGGAGTAGGGCAAACTAGCACTGGCCGTTCAACCTTGACGTCAAGCTTCTGAATCGTTTTTTTTTTTTTTTTTTTTTTTTTTGTGTGTGTGTGTGTGTATGTACTAAGGCTGAAGAAGAATTTCAGTAATTTTATTGTTTTCTTAATGCCTATATACTTCTATGCCATTCATCTCTGATACATCTTCTAGTTAGAGCATCAACAATGTGATTTCTCCTTTCCTGCTAATACATCTCAGGAAAAATCATCTGTCTCTCTGGCCCACCTGGAGTGGGCAAAACTAGCATTGGTCGTTCAATTGCACGTGCTTTGAATCGGAAGTTCTTTCGATTCTCTGTAGGAGGGTTATCTGATGTTGCTGAAATCAAGGTAGTTATAATCCTTTTTGTTAAAAAAATGGATGCATTCTTTGGCCATTTAATAGTATTATGATGCATACACATCTTGTCTGACGCAAGATAACATTCAGGGGCACCGTCGAACCTATATTGGTGCAATGCCAGGAAAGATGGTGCAATGTCTTAAAAGTGTAGGGACTGCTAATCCTCTTGTTCTAATCGATGAGATTGACAAGGTACATTCAAATTTAGTGTCATTTTTCCCTTCTCTCCTAGTAATGGTTTTCATATGGACTTTGGTGGTTCGGAATGATGATATTATATCATTTCTAATTTTCTAGCCAGTTCTTTTCATGATGATGAATTTTGAATGAATTTGATTTTAAAATCTGCTGCTTATGATGGCAGTTGGGAAGAGGACATGCAGGTGATCCAGCCAGTGCTCTGCTGGAGCTTCTTGATCCAGAGCAAAATGCTAATTTTCTGGACCACTACCTTGATGTTCCAATTGACCTTTCAAAGGTTAGTGAAAATATTGATTTGAGACAATGGCCTTTATGCTGCAGCATTCCTTATATTGGGTGTTTCTGTGTTTAGTACATTATGCACTGGTCCACATTATGCCATGCCCAAGCATTGGCATTTTTTGAATTTGAAGTGTCCTTGTTAATTTTATTGTAGATGAATGAAGAAGTCGTGGTATTTTGTGAGTTCAATTTATTTATCTGTTAATAGGAATTATATAGTCCAAAAATGTAGTTTGTATTGTATGTCCTTATATAAGCTTGTAACTTGGTAGTAATCCCTTGAGCACACCTTATTCCAGGTTCTGTTTGTGTGCACAGCAAATGTTGTGGACATGATACCTAACCCTCTCTTGGACAGAATGGAGGTAATTGCTATTGCTGGTTATATTACTGATGAGAAAATGCGCATTGCCAGAGATTATCTGGAGAAGTCTACACGTGAAGCATGCGGCATCAAGCCTGAACAGGTTTATATCTTCGTGTGTGTGTACTTTTGTTACCCTAGTGCAGAAAATATTTGTTAGCTCTATTTTACTGATAGAACTTATTCAACTAACTAATTTTCAGGTTGAAGTGACTGATGCTGCTCTTCTTGCCCTGATAGAGAATTATTGCAGAGAAGCTGGGGTTAGGAATCTTCAAAAGCAAATAGAAAAGATCTATCGCAAGGTTTGCATAATACTCAATAGAATTTGGTACTTTATAAAAAAAATGGAAAAAGAAATTCACAATCAGCCATTCAGCCAGTGGCTAAAGTAGTTCTGTGCTTGCTTACATCTCCCTGCCCTTGATTTTTTTAAAGGAAAAATTGAATGCGTCAAATCTTGCATATTTTGGGTTCAAATTATATTTCTTTCCTATTTGCTAGCTTAGAACTCATATCTACATACCCTATTTGCTAACTTGGTAGTTGTGCATATATTTTGCAACGTTCTTGAATAATGACATTTGTCTAGCCTTGCTGCTCAAAAGTTTGTGTTATGTGTCAGATTGCACTCAAACTTGTACGTCAAGGAGAATTAAGTGAATCTGCTGTTTCTGGAGAACTAGAAGAAGCAAAAGCAGAATGTGGTCAAATCTCGTCTAAATCAATAGAAAGTTGCAGTGATGGAAAAAACAAGGAAACTTCAGTTGAAGTTGATACTCTGGTGATAGATCAGCCATCTGACCAAATGCAGGGTTCTGAAGATCAACTTGCCAACCCAAAGGTAATACTACATTTACTATCAGTTACTATCAGCACTAAAGCGATTGCTAAAGTGGAAACATGTAAACACTGTAATAGAAGTATAGAATTTTGGGCTCTACTTTGGACATATTAAGATATTTTCTTTTACAATCTGTTTCAGAAAATAAAGAGAGGAAGGAAAATACAATAACAACTAAGCCTTAATCCCAACCTAGTTAGGGTTTGCCATATGAATTCCAGATTAGCGTTTTCACATGTTTTTGTTGATTTTAATGATGACAGGAAGCAACTGAAACTGAGAAAATTGAGGAAAGTGAAGTAACCAAGGCAGTTGAGAAGGTGTTGGTTGACACAGCTAACCTACCTGATTTTGTTGGCAAACCTGTTTTCCATGCCGAGCGCATCTATGGACGGACTCCAGTTGGAGTTGTGATGGGTCTTGCATGGACTGCAATGGGTGGTTCCACCTTGTATATAGAAACCACTCAGATTGAGGAAGGAGAGGGAAAAGGGTCTCTTCATGTTACTGGTCAACTTGGAGATGTTATGAAAGAAAGTGCCCAAATTGCCCACACAGTTGCACGATCAATATTGAATGAAAAAGAACCAGACAACTCCTTCTTTGCTAATTCCAAGCTTCATCTCCATGTTCCTGCAGGGGCCACCCCAAAGGATGGGCCCAGTGCTGGTTGCACCATGATCACTTCCTTGCTGTCCCTTGCCATGAAGAAGCCTGTCAGGAAAGATCTAGCAATGACTGGGGAAGTTACATTAACAGGGAAAATTCTTCCCATTGGTGGGGTATGTTTGACTAACTCCTCAATGTTCTCAATGCTGCTAGCTTTCTTTTTATCAAATCATAAAAGTCTTCTCTCAGTTGCATGAAATTTTAATACTCAATGCTACTTGATGTTGTTACCTATGCTTGCCTCATGTAAAATGGTCTTATCCTTACTTTTCTGTTTCTTTGTTGGGAATATTAACGGCATGACTTGTTAGCATACCCTGTAAAATCCTGTGGTCTATTGTATAAACTTCTTAGTTATTTCTTCAATCAATTATTATCGAAATGGCACGTCTCTACCATTTTAGCTGCTTTTTAGTTCACCCATTATACATATAATCTTATCATTTTATTTCTCATTAAATTATCAGGTTAAGGAGAAAACAATCGCTGCAAGGAGGAGCGAAGTGAAAACCATCATATTCCCATCAGCTAACAGAAGGGACTTTGATGAGCTTGCATTTAATGTAAAAGAAGGCCTTGATGTCCACTTTGTTGATGATTATAGCCAGATATTTGAACTGGCTTTTGGATATGACCAGAATGGTGAAAAATAAACCCTCTTAGGCAGTCAATTCTTGAAACAGTTTTATTTTTTACTTGGAATTAAACCTGCTTCTCTACCATGAGGATAATATTTTTCATGCAGATGGTCTCAGAAGAAGGAAGTAGAGCTGTGATTTTTTCATGATATGGGTGGAAAATTATTTGCCATTGTTTGTTACATGTTTTTGTCGATGTAAAACTGAAACCACCCATTTGTGATAACTGTAATTTATTTTTTGATTTTTCTTTAGGTAATAATGTTTTGATAGATACAAAGAGTACTTCGTCTTGCTGGCAGGCTCAGGTTGTATTTCAAAAACTGATGATGTAGCATTGAGGCACAAACTTCAGGAGTTGCAAGCAATTTTGCAACACTATAAAAGTAATTCTTTCAGGCCTAGTGGATCTGATGTGGGGAGTAATATTCTGTGCTGAATTGAGTTCATTGCTGTTTTTTAAATGTGTGCTTAAATTTTATTAGATTTGCAGTAAAGAAAGAAACTTTTTATGAACTAGTGTTTGATAAAAGCTAGAATATATAACATGCTGATAGGGATGAACAATCGGTTAAAATTATTAATCACTGTTTAATTAAAATAAAAATTGAAATATTTTTATTTATTATTATCTGTTTAATTAAATTTTAGAATTGATTAATTTAGTTAATTTAATTTTCAACCGAAAAATTTAACTTATCATCGAAAATCTATTTTTCTTTATCCAACATTTATTCACTGAATTAATCAAATTGGCCAGAATAAACCGAAGGATGAAAGCAAATTGACAGTAATTTTTGCAATAAAAAAACGTTTCGAGTATGAAAATCTAGAGTAAATGATATGGGTGTAGATTTTGGGCGCATGGCTACCATAAGGAGGAAAAGCTTAAGAGGGTCCACTGCAATCATTTTTGCAGAGAAAAAAGAACAAATTTGTGAAGGGGGATTTCCAATTTTGCGTTTGATATGTACAATGTCAAGCTCAAAATCCAAACCCAAATCCATTTTTTAAATCTTCGCAATAGCATGTGAGGCCCTAAAGCCATGAGTGCCACATGACAGCTACACTTTCTGGTTGAGGATCTGATTCTTTCGTCACAGGCTGACACTTAAGACTCCAAATGCCCTAAGAATTGTAGCTTTCATTGAACTGTTGGGAGTGGGTTGGTGCCATTTTGAAGAAATTCTCCTCTCTTTCAGCTTTCACTCTCAAAAAGTTTTCTTTTAAGTCCCTCCTCAAGTATTGCAATTCATAATGGGAGACCCACCATTTCTATTTATGATTTAATGGTTTCTTGACCTAACATATTGTTAGTTTAGCATTATTATTGCTAATTGCTGGATCAGAAATTAGAAAAATAGTAAATTCTTGAAATATTGTTCTTATAGTTCCAAAATTACTATTTATTTAGTCATAAATTGCCAATTTTCTTTAAAAAAAAAAAGAGTAAAGAACTAGTTTATTTTATGTAAAGGCAATGATATTCTCTTTCTCTAGCTATGTGGCAACAAGAACGTTGAGATGTGACAAACGGAGATTAAAATACCACATTCTAGCTTTTGCAATTGCAATTCCAAGTACATATATCCTTATAATGTTATGCAGCACATGAACAATGACTAACCCTGTTTTGCACCAACAATGACATTTGTGCTTAAAGCTTAAGGAATCTCAACTTTCATGCGTGTTTAAGAAAATACAGAACAGTATTGGTTCTTTGAACCCTCTTTCTAAATTGAAAATCTCTGCCTATTTATTACTTGTAATTATTACCACTAATCATTTGCATTAACACTTTTTTCTTCAACAAAAAGACTTCGTATCCATTTTTACAATCCACGGTGAATCCGACTAATACTCCTTGCCCTCTAATATGAAATAGATCAGGCTCTTGATAGTTGATAAAAACCTACCAAAAAAGAAATCATTATCATTAAGCGGATGATTAATGAGAAAGGAGATTTGGTAAGATTTCAAGCCTCCCTCACTAAAAACATAGATAAAGCCAAAATCTGAATTGTGTATACTTATAGTTAAGCATGAAGTTTAATAGGATCCAAAAAGATACAATGCATGCACCTTCAAGAGTAAGAATTTTAAAGACCCCACCAAGATTTCATAATTAGATCAATCTTAACATTTATTTAAATTAATTATTTATTAATAGTGGAAAAAACCCATGTGATTTATAATGCAAAAATAAAATTCCCAATATATCCAAAATTTGAGTGACCTCAACACTAAAAGGAATTGGATAAGGGTTGAGTGAGAAAGATTTGGAGGGACCATTGTTGGCTCATAATTCCACCAAGAAAATAAAGAGAAACTTTACAGGGAATTTCAAGTCATGACTAACTATTTCCTAAGTTGTAACTTGTAACCATCACTATCATTCATCAAACTATGATTAGGTCATAGGGGCAATTACAGTCAAACAATGGAGATAAATAGATTTGGTTGTATCATGTGAACATTATCTTTTATATATATATAGAAAGCCTCCCTCACTCAAAAACATAGATAAAAAGCCAAAAATCTGAATTGTGTAATACTACTTAGTTAAGCATTGAATGTTTAATTATTGGAATCACAGAAAAAGATATCAATGCCATGCCACCTTCAAGAGTAAATTTTTAAAGACCCCCACTCAATGCAGATATTCGATAACCCTTACGGTAATCTCTTTAATAATTTAAATTTTAAATTAAATTATTTATTATAGTGCGAAAAAACATCCATGTGATTTACTAATGCAAAAAATAAATCCTCAATATATCACAATTTGGCAGTGACCTACATCGACACTAATGAGAATGGATAAGGCGTTAGTAGTGTAAGAAAGATTTGGAGGACCTTTGTTGGACTCATAAAATTCCCACACCAAGAAAATAAAAGAGAAAACTTTACAAGGGAATTTCAAGTCATGAACTAACCTATTTCCTAAGATTGTAACTTGTAACCAATTCACTATCATCTCATACAAACTATGATGGTAGCATCATAGGGGCAATTACAGTCACAACAATGCCGGCAAGATATAATAGATTTTGGTATTGTATCACTAGTGAACATATATCTTTTATAATATACACAATATCTATATTAATAATAATTACCTACTATATATATATTTTCTTTTCTATTTATATTCCCCCCTTACACTTATTATCTTTTTGCTCGCACATCGTGGTATGCAGCTGATCTCACTATGAGTATGCAGTAACACTAATATCATCACATTAACTATATATACGATCACAGTTTCAAGAAAATTGGAGTTTAACCCATCTATTCTTCATTAATATAAACCTCTAATACTTCCATGCTTACAATATAATCTTATTAATATATAACAACCCGACTGCATAACTGGAATTAAATTTCGAACTCAACATTAATTATTGAATTTTCTTATCACACAAGAGGAGAAAAATAAAATTTTTTCAAGATTTTTGAAGGCTTATTCAGGAGATTAATTTCTAATGACCATAAGTGGGCAATAAATTTAAGGAAGAGAAAGAAAGAAATATATATTTAAAATGCTTTTATCAAATGTAAAAAGCACAAATTTCCACACAACAATTTAATATATAATTGTGAGAAGGGCTTTAATTTTTATCCAAATTTTCCTTTGCCTCAAGTAAAATCCAGGGTTATAGATCTTTTATCATATACACCATTTATTCACTAAACAAAAAAACAAAAAAATAAAAAAAAAACCAAAAAGGAAATACAACCAGATTTTAGTGTAGTTTTCATTTTAATCATACTATCAACATATAACCATTATGTTCTTTCTGGAACGATGCCATTCAAAACATGACCATACATGAAATTGATACATCATCATCAATGAGAACATAGACATAATTATTAGTTAATTTATTAAGGTGATCAAACTACTAAACTTAACTCTTATAATTATTATTTAACCAAAATATAACATATTTTTTGAAATATGTTTTTAAAAACATAGTCACACATAATTATTATTACATTAATTTTTATCACCCCTACACAAAGTGATTAATTATCTTTTTTTTTTTTTTTTTGGGTATTGGAGGAAAAGAAGGATTTGACCACAAATACATATTTTTTTTTTTTTTTTTTGGGTATTGGGGAAAGAAGGATTTGAACCCAAATCTATTGCTGGATCGCATATGCACTTACCAATGAGTTATGCCTTGGTGTGCCTAATTATCTTTGAATTCATATAACCTTCATTTGTAATTGGACGTGTGCAGTTAAGCCCCAACGTTAATCATGCAACGGTCGTGATTACAATTATTAATTATTCATCAAGAATTTTTTTTTTTTTTTTGAATTGTGGTTTTTAGTTAATAAGATTTTGTATAGTGTTCCTCTCTATAATGCATTTGTGAAAAAAAAAATCAATTTATATGTTTTTTTCATTTATTAGTACTTTAGTATATCTTATTTTCTTCACGACGTCGTAGTACTTTTACATAGTGACAAAGAGATGTGCATATATTTTTGAAATTAATGGAGCTTTTTTTTTTTTATTCATTAAGAAGTTTAATAAGCCAAAAAAATATTACAAGCTATATAAGGGTAATTTTCTTTTTATCTCGTCAAATTGATAAAAGTTCTTACATTTAAGATAACTCGAACTCGAGCCATCCTATAAATAAAAAAGTCAATCAAATCACATCTGAATGGCATTTTGAAGGTAATTTTTATGTCATATGGATTAAGCATTTGAATTTAATATTTATAAGATATGGATTATAAGTATTAAATTGAACCTATTCGATATTTTAATTAGAAAATTTGGCATTTGGACTTGCCAAAAAGAAAAGCAAAAGGAAACTTAAACGTCTCACGTGTGTTTGGTGTAGTACAATTTTTTTTTTAGGAAATTTGGTTTTTATTTTTATTTTTTAAGTACAAAATAAAAATTGATTATGAATTTCTTTTTATTTGACATCTCCAAATAAAAAAAATAAATTTTTACAATGAAAAAAAAAATCATAAAGACCATTGGATTGATATAACTGAAAAAAAATTCAAATATTTTAAATAAGAGGTTAAATGTTCAATCTTTGTGAACTAAAAAATTTTCGTTGAAGTACTTCGGATAAATTTCTGCTCGATGCTTTTTTTCCTTATAGGCCTAATATTGCAGCGCAAACAATACTAGACTTAACCTTATTCCTACGACATAAATAAAAAAAGAAAAATCATAAAAAAATAATTTTCTCGTTCAAGATATAAAATCTTTTTAGTAATGAAAAATGAAAATTATAAATTATAAAAATACACCAATTGTTCCAAATATATTTATCTAAGTAATATTATGGAAAACTCTAGTTAGTTAGACTAATTCAATTCGTAAATTAAAATTGATTGTAAGGACACGCCGATTCTCTTAAAACTCGTTTTAGTCAAAATTATTGAAATCGACTCACTCGATCAAATTTGACAAAAAAATCAATCTATTTAATCAAATTTGATTTATTTATTGCTAGAGAGAGATATAGACATACATATCAACTTCACAGTAATTAAAATTGATTGTAAGGACAACGCGATTCTCTTAAAAACTACGTTTAAGTCAAAATTATTGAATCGACTCAACTCCGTCAATTTGACAAAAAATCAATCTATTTAACTCGAAATTTAGATTTATTTTATTGCCTTAGCAGAGAGAATATAATCATAATATAATAATATATATACATATCATTATATAAGCTACATATTTGAGAAATTGGTTTTATCATAAATCTAATAGTAAATTAATCTCGATTTTTATTTGGTGGCATCAAAAACTATTATTAGCACTTGCACGCCGAAGGCTTCATTTACATTGTCTCGGATAATTTAGTTAGAAACCATCTGAACGGCGCGGACCCAAAATACAGGTTGAATTAAATCTGACGCGGCACGATACTCGTGATCAGTGATAATGCACGGCATAGAGGTATGCATTGTCGTGATTCGTCGACCGGTCCTCTTACAGTGCACAACACCACAAGGGCTGACTACCATTGGCAAGGTGTAAGGATGGCTAGCTTCGCAAAAGTCAAAGATATATTATATCATTTTGAGATGGTTTATCATAATTATTAGTAAATAATTATTTATTTGGTGGCATAATATATTGCATTGCACGCGAAGTTCATTTCATTGTCGGATAATTTTAGTTAGAAAAATCTGAACAGGCGGGACCCAAATACAGGTTGAATTAAATCTGACGCGGCAACTGGATCAGTGATAATGCGGAGGTATGCATTGTGATTCGTGACGGCTCTTAAATGCCACACCAAAGGGCTGCTATGCGTGTAAGGATGGCTGCTTGCAAATCAAAGATTGCCACGTGGATCGCAAACTCGTTCTACGTCATGCTCTTTTGCCACATTGTTCTGCATCATTAAACACGAGATCTCCTCTCTTTCCCGTTTTTAGGTCTCTAACTAATTTTTATTTTTCTGTTAGTTCCCTTTCTTAATCAAATTTCCATTTACTTAACTAATTTTCTATGTATTTTTATAATGGATTGATTTTCTTTTATTTATTATATAAAATAATTACTCATTATACCAATAATTTATTGATAATTACATGTTCAAGAAAGCTCTAACAACTCAAAACTTCCAATCCTTATATAAATTAATTAATTAACAAATAAAATATTTATATATGAAATGTTGACCTTTTATTCCAAATTTATTTTTTTAATAAGATGGTATTACCTATTAGGGACTCACGGTCTAATTTTTATATACTATTATTTATTTATTTCAAAATTCATTTATATTAGTTTCATAATAATTTAGATCACCTCAAAATTTAAATTTGATTAATAATGTAACGAGTAAATTATTCATGATTAATAAGCTGGAAGCACTTTACTTTTTAATGGGCAATTTAATGCAAAAAATATTTAAATTGTAAACTCCTGCCATGCTAATTTCTTTACTTCAAAGGACAAGCAGAGATTACTCAAATTTACTATGGATCATAAAAATAAACACGGGCCTGGTCGCCTCGTGGAAGTATAAAAAATATATATATATTTTATAAAATTTAACTTGTAAAATTTAAATTTACAATTTCATATATTCTTTTAAGTCTATACTCATCCGCAGTAATACTTGTTTTTCCCATCTATTAACAATTGTCACATTTGTGAAAGTAACGTGTCCATAATAAGTGTAATATTTATAAATTTAAGAAATAATAAATTTTCTTTTTCATTGTTACTGTTTGCAAGTGAACATTGACTGTTATAACGATATTTATTCAATATAATTTATTATAAATTGGACAAATTAAATGATTTTAAATGAAAAAAATATAAATTTGACACTTATTTATGGACGAAGGAAGTATAATATTAGATGTTAGCAACACATTTTATAAATGTGAGGCATTTCATTTAAGAATGGGATTGTGGTCAAAAGTCCAATACAACCCTCTACTGTTTTATATATTTGTAAAATGATGATATATATGAATTATGGAAGGGTAAATAAAAAAAAATCTTATAATTTGGTAAATTACCTAGTTGACAACGTTGTTACTACTCGAGCTTAATTTATTTTCTAAATTTGGAGGACATATTTAATTAATGTCTACTTAAACTACAATAAGCTATTACTTAATTAAATAGATAGTTCAGCTCATTGGCTGCTCAATACCTTTGGACTAAAGGAAATTCCCATCATTTGACCTAAAAACTCCTTACTTTTTCTTTTTTTCTTTTTCATACATACATGCATACATATATAAACAAGGGGAGAAAATGAGCTACATAAGCAAATTTTACTATAAAGTCAACAATTCAAAATTAAACACAAAACAAATTTTGTAAAAAGATGTGAAGTGGTCTAATTGATTTTCTAGTCGGTAGCGTTGTCTCATCTGTTAAACATTCTAATGAATTTTTTTTAAATCTTCTAAAAATACATTAAAAAAACACGGAAATACCTAACAATGGGTAACCTTTAGCAAGGGTGAAAATCTATTCTCTTATAGTAAAAATCTAACAAACCCTAAGAAGTTGGGTTGAACACAAACTAGTATTTAACTGCCAAAGGAACAGAAGACATGAAAAATACCAAGAAGATAAAACTAAATTATCCTTTTTTTCACTGTTTACTCTCATTTTCATTTTCTATAATTTTTTTATATATTATAAAATCATTTTTTTCTTAAAGAAGAAAAAAGGTTAAACACACGTGGGCAGAGGGTTCTGATGTCACCAAGAGTCCTTCGCGAACAACTATAAATCTATCATTGGCTTAATCATTAATTCCCTATTCATAAAAACTCTCTCTCTCAATTTTCTTCTAACCATTTTTTATTTCTCTGCTTGTGCTCTGCTTTCCGTTATCCTCTGTTTTCCCTGGTTTTCTCTTCCCTGTTTTTCGCATCCTATTCCAAAGGGTCAAGATATATTAGTGTTTGTTTCTGTTTTAAAGAGAGTTCAAGAGAAATCTTGGAGTGGGTTTTCTTAAAAAAGGTTATGGCTCGAGAACTAGCAGGGTCTAGTCGGGCCTTTTTGCGTAGTGATAAAAATGGTGGTTTTAGTGTAACAGGGGAATTTCAAAACCCATTACTTAGGTTTGTAAATCCGGAAAACGATCAGGATAAAAGTTCTGTTTTAGGGATTCAATGCACTGATGAAGCAGCAGATAAGAGAATTAAAGAAACACCAAAAAAGAACGAGGAACAGGTTTAATGATTTCTCTGTTTCTCAAATCTTGATTTGAAAAAATAATATTTATTTTCATTTTTTGTGATCGGAAGAGTTCTAGTGATTGCATGAATATGGTTTTCTATTTGTTGGTATACTTGCCAATCGGAAGTTTCTTTTTTTTTTTTTTTTTTTTTTTTTTTTTTTGTGATCGGGAGAGTTTCTAGTGATATTGCATGAATATGAGTTCATTCCTATTTGTTGGTAATTAGAACTTGCCATGCGGCAACGATTTCTTTTTTTATTTTTTTTTTTTTTTTTTTTTTCTTTGGCAATGTGCATGGATTAAGGGCCATGATAGCTAATTCTTAGCTCAAACTGGGACTTCTCTTGCATTTTATTTGCTTCTTGATCAAACTCTTTATGACATGCTTTTTTTTTTTTTTTTTTTTTTTTTTTTTTTCTTTGGCATGTGCATGGATTAAGGGCCATGATAGCTAATCTTAGCTCACTGGGCTTTCTTGATTTTATTGTTCTTGTCAATCTTTATGCACTTTCCTCGTTCAAGGATAAGTTTTTAAATATGGGTTTTATGTAATGTGATTAATTATTATTATATATGAGAAAATATTTTTATTTCTTTTAAGCGTTTAAAACAAACTACGTTCTTTTATTGTACTGTTTTATCAGTTGCTTTTCTTTTTTCATGGTGGGTGTATGTTTATCTAATTACAATGACTCCTTTCTATTCTTTTTCTTTGTTTTTGATATTGACTTGAGGCTGCCTTTTCCTTTTCTATCATAATATCATCTCTATAATTATTATTTGGACCTTAAACCAAAACATGATTTTTCTTTCTTTTAAATGGTTTTTGTTTTGCAGGCTGCGGTGGCTGGTACACTTTTGAATTTACGTCCATTTGGTTTAAAACTAAGTGTTACACCAAATCTTTTAGATTTAGCGGAGAAAAAACTAAACAACTGCAAATATGCAGTGAAGGCAAATCATCAACCTAAGGTTGATGATTTGGGGTCTTCAGAGAAGTTGAAGGCTGCTAACTTCTCAGCCAAAGTGCTCAAGATTGGCACTTGGAAGGTATACAGAAAAATATGAAGGCCGAGCCGTTCTTTTTTTCTTTTTTTTGTGAGTATTATTATCTGTTATTTAATAGGAAATTTTCTTTCTTATTAAAAAAATCTTTGAATAAATTTGTGCAGAGAGAAGCCAAAAATGAAAGTGATTTGGTAGCTAAATGTTACTATGCTAAAAGGAAGTTAGTATGGGAAGTCTTGGAAAGTGGCTTGAAAAACAAGATTGAAATCCAATGGAATGATATAACAGCAATGAGAGCTTTTATTCAAGAAAATCAGCCAGGAATTCTTGAACTTGAGGTTTTTTACTTTTCCTTTCCTTTTATTTGATATATATATATATATATATATGTAAGAATGATTTTTGGGAAGCATATTCCAACCTTATCACCTAACAGATTCAATTTTTCTTTACTGGATTTTGCCACTATAATAACACAACAAATATATATATATGTGGTGATTTTCTTCTTGCAGTTGAACCAGGCTCCTAGCTTCTTTGTGGAACAAGATCCACAGCCAAGAAAACACAGTAAGTGGCAACCAGCATCCGATTTCACTGGAGGCCAAGCTTCTACTTACAGGTTTATATTACGTTTTGTAATGCATGCTATTCTTGTACTATTTCCACTTACACATTCACATTAATAAGTTCAATCTTTTTGTAATATTCCACAGGAGGCATTACCTTCAGTTTCCTCCAGGATCATTTGACAAACACTATGAGAAGCTTTTACAATGTGATCAGAGATTATACCAGTTATGCCATAAACCATTTCCAAGCCTTCAATCTCCTTACTTCGAGCCAATTATTTGCAGATTTTCAGATTTTTCTTTTCATTACCATGGAGATCATAGGCCTGGTATCAATCTTGGATTGCCGTTTAATTTTTCTAGCATTCCCTCTCCTTTGGTAGCTACCCAAACATCTTTTCAAGAAACACATTCACCAATTTCAGGTACTACTTCATTTCTATTTTTTCCCTCAAGTGTATTTGTTTTTAACTTTTAATTTACACTTATTAACTCCTGTTGTTTCTGTTGTAACATAGTTATGGATTTTTCGCATTCAGATGAGCAAAATAGCAACAAAATAGTATTTGACGGTTCAAGAATGGAATTATGGGATGGTCAAAATGCAGCAGCAGCAGCAGCAGCAGAGACCTTATCATCTCCTACTATTCAATTCTCTCCTCCAGTGACGAATCCTGCAATTTCTTACCAAAACTATGGCAACCCATCAAATTATGGTCAAACTACTAATATGTTCACCAGGATTGAAGATTATTTATTCAGTGACAGACAAGTGGAAGGTTGTTATGATGAGCAATATCATATGGCTAGAGTCGAGTCGCTAAATGAATTGGTCAATCTCCCACAGCAGCTGCAACAAGAAGAGAATCTTGCAAGTGAAAATGGTTCACAACAAGCATTTTATGAACATGAAATGGGTATTAGTGAACAATTTCAAGTCTATGATCAGCAGCATCAGCATCATCAAATTTCTTGGAATGACCTGCCTTACACTAATGTTGTAAACGATCCAAGAATGGAAAATTTTGGTACTATCCAATACCAACAACCCTATCGATAGTTACAGGAACTATTTCAAAGATGACTGTATATGTTAGCATTAGCATCTTACATTTTCTCCTTTTCTTCCCTAAATTCAGCTCCTTTTTTTTTTTTTTTTTACCACAAACGCCTAGTCGATAGTTACAGGAACTATATTCAAAAGATGACTGTATATATGTTAAGCATTAGCATCTTACATTGATTCTACCTCTTTCTTCCTATTCAGCTCCTTTTTTTTTTTTTTTTCTTGCTAACCCTGGGTTAGTGAACTGAGAACGCGATGTAACCGAACAAAATTGCAAAATGCGCACCTTTTTTTTTTTTTTTTTGCTAACCCTGGTTAGTGAATGAGACGGTGTACCGACCAATTGCAAATGGCAATCAAAGAGTAGGAAATCTTTTAATATAGAGAAAAATTTTTGGTTTTGAAGATTTTTAGTTGCTTTTGATATGAAATGAAAATTAGACGTTAGGATTTGATACTGAGCTAAATACATTCAATGATATTCTTTCGTCTTTGTATTTCTAATCAGGTTTGGTGGATTCAAAAATATTATTTCTCCGGAAGAAAGCTAGCAGTTCTCATCCTTACCACTGTCTTAATGTATGGACCCATCCATTCGCCAAGAGCTTAATTTGTTAAATTTGTTTAATAATATAATGAATATCAGAAGACTTTGTCATCATTGTCATGTGTAATAACCACTAAACGCGTCATTGTAGCTGCCTTAAACAAATAATAATCATTAGATTGCACTCCATAGCATAAGCTTCTAGTAGCCGTCATTAGGATTGAGAGTAGCTTGTTTTCCACCTCAACCGTAGTCATTTTATCATTATTCTAAGCATAGTTGCCAACCCAGCTCACCAGCTCTAAGTTAAAAAAAAAAAAAACAATTTAAAGATAACGTTAATTATTTTTTAAAAAATCTTTTTTTAATTGGTTTGGTGTATAGAACCATCATAGAGACAAGAGATTATTATTAGTTTATAGATGAAAAAAAAAAGAAAATGAGGACAGCTGAAGAATCCATGGAGCTCGACCTATATCGTTAAACTTACTTGAGTAACTGAAAACACATGTATATTAAACATCTTTACATAAAAATTGAAGCTTTATTTAAGGTATATATACTTGAAAACCACGACATGTATTATTAAACCATCTTTAAAAAAAAATTGAAGCCCTTTATTTTAAACTATCGCTGACATATACTATATGTATATAAGTTATACAGTAAATATAGGTATAGATATACTATATGATTAAAATACAACAAAATAAAGTGCGAAAAAACACACAAAAAATATAAACTAAATCATCTTCTAGCGCAAAGAACGGTACCCTATTAAATCACAACAATTTGAATGCCTCCTAAAAATGTGACAGTTAACTTTAGGCTTTTTAGTCTCTTTTAGCAAGGGTAACAAATCTATGCAGAATAAACCTGAAAATCTAACTAATACCCGCTGGAGAGTTCGCGACGTTGAATATATATATATAAAACAAAAATAAAGTGAAAAAACACAAAAAAAATAAATAAATAATCTTCTAGAAGAAGTACATAAAACAACAATTGAATGCCTAAAAATGAGTAACTTTTAGGCTTTTAGGCTTTTAGCAAGGGTAAAAATCTATTGAGAATAAAAAATCTAACAAACCCTGAGAAGTTGGGTTGAACACAAACTATTATTGAACTGCCAAAGAAATAGACAACAAGATAAAATCATATTATCCTCTTTCCACTATTTACTCTCATTTTCATTTTCTATGACTTTCTTTTTTATGAAAATTTTGTTTGCCTACACCTCATGTATAGGCAGTCTCATATAACAATCTCAAAAAAATTTATATAGACTGGCTCCATGACTTTATTTATGAACCAAACCAATAAAATAACGATATTTCTAATTTTGACCATATACTTAAAAAAATAGATAAAATTGGAATAATTTAAAAAATTTCTTAATTTCGTTCGTTTGGTTCACAAAATTTCATTAGTTTAGTTCACAAGTGCAGTTATGTATTCTCGTGAAGTAAGTTTTTCAATAACACCAAACAAAAAAGGATTTTAAAAAAATTACTGTTTTGTACTTTTTAATAATATAAAATAATAATAAAAAAAAAAGTTAAAAAACACACTTGAGCAGAGGATTCTGATGTCATCAGAGTCCTTCGCTAACAACTAGAAAACCAATCATTGGCTCCATCATTAATTCTCTATTCATAAACATTTCTCTCTCTCTCTCTCTTTCATAAAACTTTTTACTGCTTTCTGTTATGCTCTCTTTCCCTGGTTTTAGCTACCTCAGTTTTTCGCATCCTATTCCAAAGGGTCAACATATATTCAGTGTTTGTTTCTATTTTAAAGAGAGTTTAAGAGAAATCTTGAACTGGGTTTGCTAAAAAAACCTATTATGGCTCGAGAACTAGCAGGGTCTAGTCGGACCTTTTTGTGTAGCGATAAGAATGGTGAGTTCAGTGTAACAGGGGAATTTCTAAACACATTATATGAGTTTGCAAATCGGGGAAACGATCAGGACAAAAGTTCTTTCTTTGGGATTCAATGCACTAATGAAGCTGCTGATAAGAGAATTAAAGAAACACCAAAACAGAACAACAAACAGGTTTAATGATTTCTCAAATCTTGATTTGAAAAAATAATATAAATTTTTATTTTTTGTGATCGATAGAGTTCTAGTGATTGCATGAATATGGTTTTGGGTTTTATGTAAATGTGATTATTATTATATAATAGATTTTTATTGTTTGCAAGTGTTTGAAACACACAACATTCATTTATTGTTTATCAGTTGCTCTCCTTTTACTAGAAATAATATAATTGGAAGCTTATTTTATTAAATAGGATTATTGTTTAACTATTTAGTAAATTTAAAAACATATTAAACATGCTAATTGACTAATTTCTAAAATTAGAAGATTTAAAAATTTAAGATTCGAGAAGTATTATATAACAAATGATTTGCGGATTACATGTTACGAGGGTAATCCATGTTTTAAGACATTAAACCAATACATGATTTTTTCTTTCTTTTAAATTGTTTTGATAATATTCTTATCATCACTTGTTTTGCAGGTTGAGATGGCTGATACACTTTTGAATTTACGTCCATTAGGTTTAAAGCTAAGCGTTACACCAAGTCTTTTAGATTTAGCGGAGAAAAAACTAAACCACTGTAAATATGCAGTGAAGGGTTATCATCAACCTAAGGTTGATGATTTGGGGTCTTCAGAGAAGTTGAAGGCTGGTAAGTTCAAAGCTAAATTGCTCAAAATTGGCAATTGGAAGGTATACAGAAAAATGTGAAGGCCAAGCCTTTCTTTCTTTCTTTTTTTTTTTTTTATTTCCGTTATCTGTTGTTATAGGAAATTTAAATTTTTGCAGATAGAATCTTATTATGAAGATCATTTGGTAGCTAAATGTTACTATGCTAGAAGGATGTTATTATGGGAAATCTTGGAAAGAGGCTTGAAAAACAAGATTGAAATTCACTGGAATGATATAATAGCAATGAGAGCTATCATTCAAGAAAATCAGCCAGGAATTCTTGAACTTGAGGTTCGTTACTTTTCCTGTTCTTTTATTTGACACACACACACACACACACACACATATATATATGTGTATATTTTATCTAAAAGAATGATTTTTTTGGGAAGCATATTCCAACCTTGTCACCAAACAGATTCAATTTTCCTTCACTGGATTTTCCCACCAAACATATGTGATGATTTTCTTTGTGCAGTTGAACCGGGTCCCTAAGCTCCATGTGGAAAAAGATCCACAGGCAAGAAAACACAGTGACTGGAAAAAAGCAGATGATTTCACTGGAGGCCAAGTTTCTACTTACAGGTTTATATGCATCCTATTCTTGTACTATTTCTACTAATATATTCATTCTAATAAGCTCAATCTCTTTGTAATATTCCACAGGAGGCATTACCTTCAGTTTCCTCCAGGATCATTTGACAAACACTATGAGAAGCTTTTAAAATGTGATCAGAGATTATACGAGTTATGCCATAAACCATTTCCAAGTCTTCAATCTCCTTATTTTGACCCAGTTATTAGCAGATTTTCGGATTTTTCTTTTGATTACCATGGAGATCATAGGCCTGATATCAATCTCAGATTGCCGTTTAATTTTTCTGTTATTCCTTCTCCTTTGGTAGCTACCCAAACATCCTTTCAAGCAACACCATCACCAATTTCAGGTACTAATTGATTGCTATTCTTTTTCCTCCAAATGAATTTAGCTTTTAACTTCTAATTTACACTTACTAACTCTTGTCGTTTCTGTTGTAACATAGTTATAGATTTTTCGCATTCAGATGAGCAAAATAGCAACAAAATAGTATTTGACGATCCAAGAATGACCTTATCATCTCCTACTATTCAATTCTCTCATCAAGTGATTAATCCTGCAATTTCTTACCAAAATTATGCCAACCCATCAAATTATGGTCAAAATAAAAATATGTTAACCAGCATTGGATATCAATTATTCAGTGACAGACAAGTAGAAGGTTTTTATGAGGAGCAATATCATATGGCTAGAGTCGAGTCGCTAAATGAATTGGTCAATCTCCCACAGCAGCTGCAAGAAGAAGAGAATGGTTCACAGCAGACATTTTATGAATATGAAATGGGTAGTAATGAACAAATTCAAGTCATATCAGCAGCAGCAAGTTTCTTGGAACAACCTGCCTTACACTAACGTTGTAAACGATCCAAGAATGGAAAATTTTGGCCGTATCAAATACCAACAATCTTATCGATAGTTAAAGGAACTATGCCAAATATTACTGTATATGTTAGCATTAGCATCATACATTTTCTGTTTTTCTTCCCTAAATTTAGCTGTTTTTTTTTTTTTTTTTTTAATGTCACATCCATTCCCAAGCAGCAGCGTAATACAGTCATTTGGGAACCAATCCTTGCCTATTATCCACTTAAACGTTGATTACATACGATTCCATGAATATGGGAAAATTGGCCCGTATCAACAATTGACCAACAGATCCTTACTCGATAGTTAAGGACACTATGCCAAATATGTACGGTCAGTTTATGTTAAAATACGGGTGCCATTGGAGATCCTACATTTCTTGTGTTTTCTTCTAGAATTTAGATGTTATTTGTTTTTTTTTTTTTTTTTTTATAACCCTAGTTAGTGAATGAGATCGTGTAGGCGCAAATTGCAAATGAAAATCAAGGAGTAGGAAATCTTTCAATAAAGAGTTTTAGGTTTGAAGATGTTTAATTGCTTTTTGATATGCAATGGAAATATAGATGTTAGGATTTGGTAGTGAAGCAAACATTTAATGATATTCATTTGTCTTTGTACTTATAATTCAGGTTTGGTGAATTCAAAAATATTATTTCTCAAGCAGAAACGGTTAGCAAGGGCTAAAAAACAGCTTTGCCTACTTTTGGTTCGTATTAAATCAAAATCACGAAATTATTAATTTTATGTACTTAAAAATTTAAAATAAAAAACTTAAATTATTATTTGAAAGTCTTATAAGTATAAATTTTTTTTATTCTAATAGAAAATTTAATAACTAACAATTTTCAAAATAAAAAAAAAATCTAATTTTTTCTACCATAAGAGTTTCGACTTCCATTTAATTTGATTTTTGCAATTTTTATCCAAAATCTTAAATCAATTTTTCGGCTTTTATATTTTATAAAATTTGTGTTTTTAAAATTTAAGAATTTTAATTATAAATAATAATTTTTGTATATTTAAATTTAATTAAAATTTTGAGATTATAAAATTAATATCCCATAATAATTACTCTGTATTTGATTTGAACTAAAGGTTTCATATTTATTATTGATTAAATTCATATAATAAATATAAAAAAGAATATTTTTTATTTTTTAAGATTAAATAATAATAATAATTTTTAATTTTTAAAAAATTTTAATTTAATAAATAATCAATTATTTTGTATATCTTAGAAATTTAATGAAAATTTTGGATCTACTAAAATTAAATCATCCCATCTATGATTAATATACTCTGTGATTATGGATTTGACTAAAGGTTTCAGATACTTTATTATTTGCATTAAAGTCATGTAAAACATAAGAATAAAAGAATAACTTTTTACTTTTTTCAAGATTTAAATCAATTATACCTAATTTAATTTTTCTTACAAAATGTCTTTAAGTATAGGAATACTTGAATAATTTATTTATAAATCTAAAATTTCAAATATCTAAAATATTTTGAAAATAAACTAAAACCAATGTAAATATATTCTGTTGTTTTTCATGATGTCACTTGTGTGATTAGTACATGATCATGCACAGTTACTAGTAAGACTCCAGAGTCTCATGTACATAACTTAAAGTGTCATAAATGAAGACACCAATCATTGAAAAGGGAAATATTCGCAAAAAGCGAGACTAAAATTGATATGTGAAACTAATATAAAAAAATTTAAATAATCTCGTCTTTTTCATTCTTTGGTGCTAGTGAGCACGCAACCATCCACCGCAGTACAAGGAGCGTGAAGTGCATACATAATAATAATCGGGAAAAAAAAACACATCTACACGCTCATCCCTAAAGAAAATTGAATAATTTTTTATATTAAATATTTAAATATTTAAAATAATTTTTGAAAATAATAAAAATTAAATATATTTTTTTTCATGTGTACTTGTGTGATAGTACTGACATGACATATAGTAAGACTCCAGATGTCAGTCATACTTAAGTGTCATATGAACACCAATTTAAAGAAATGCAAAAGGAGACTAAATTTGATATGAAAATAATAAAAAATTAAATAATTTTTTTCATTGCCTTTGTGTATAGAGCAACATCCACCCATACAAGGAGTGAAGGCAAATAATAAAAGGAAAAAAAAAAAAATCTAACTATCCCTAAGAAGTTGGGATGAATACAAACTACTATAGAACTGACAAAGAAACAGACCAACAAGATGAAATCAAATTATCCTTTTTTCCGCTATTTAATCTCATTCCCATTTTCTATAAATTTATATTTTGCTATAGATGATCCTGTATTTCAAGCCAATTATAAAAAAACAATTAAAGAAGTATTACTATTGGCTCCGTTATTACTTCTTTCTCTATCAATGTTTTTTAACTTTTTTTTTTTTTTTACTTCCCTGTTTGTGCTCTGCATTCTGTTATGCTCTGTTTCACTGGTTTTCGCATCCTATTCCAAAGGGTCAACAAATATTCAGAGTTTGTTTCTGTTTTAGAGAGGGTTTAAGGGAAATCTTGAAGTGGGTTTTGCTAAAAAACTATTATGGCTCGAGAACTAGCAGGGTCTAGTCGGACCTTTTTGTGTAGCGATAAAAATGGTGAGTTTTCAGAACCCATTATACGAGTTTGTAAATCAGGAAAACGATCAGGACAAAAGTTGTTTTTTTTTTTGGGGATTCGATGTATTTTATGAACATGAAATGCGTATTAATGAACAATTTCAAGTCTACCAGCAGCAACAGCATCATCAAGTTTCTTGGAACGACACTAATGTTGTAAACGATCCAAGGATGGAATATTTTGGCTCTATCCAGTACCAATAATCTTATCAATAGTTAAAGGAAATATGCCAGAGATGACTGCATATAATATTCAATAATATTCATTCTAACGCAACTCAGCAAGCCCCAAGGATTTTTTTTTTCTTGCATAACAAAAAGATTGTCAGTTTTGGTTTTCTCATTACCTCATTAGTGAATTATTTCGTTTAAATACTCAATTATGGGCAAGCCGAAGACCTTGATCACTCTCCAAGTAGAGATAAAAGACGGCATAGCAGTCTCGAGTTTCTACTGTCTGATAATTTTACCTATCAGAGTAGATTTAAGAGGAACAGAACAACTTCACAGCATCATAAATTGTGCTAAATAAAAGAAAATGATAGTGAATAATTCATAGCTCTCCTTCACCGCTAATAATCCCGCAAAGATAAGAGGCATTCGGAGAAAAAAAAAAACGAGAGAGAGAGAGAGAGAGAGGAGAGCTGAAGAACCATGGAGCTTAACCCACGTTAAACTTACTTGAACTCAACACATGTATAAACATCTATGCATATTCACTTTTACAATGAAACTTTATTTAAGATTTCCTAGGTCAGACTCCACAGCAGTGGATCAAACTCTATTACTACATCATATAGCTAAAGGACTTTACCTACAGATTATTCAAGCAATACAAAACTACAAAAAATAAATTAACGTATGAACATACATGTGAATGTGTAAACAGAAAGATCCAGCACTTAAAATAACTTCAAACATCAGTGACTACATTCAGTTGTAAGAACTCCTAACAATTCCTAGAAAGACAAGAAAATCTCATGACAAACAAAAATAGTGAAGGATCACCGGCTTCAAAGTTGCTTGTGCTACACATATATAGCTAGTTTAACTCACAGGCTCAACTCTAGGAAGTTGGTGGAGGGGATTTACAAGAGCTTTCTTGTTTAGGTAGAGGTTCAACGGGTTTTCCCACAACTTCATTTGCTATCTGGTTTGCAACTTCATTTCCTGCTCCTTCCGTTTTCATCTCGCTATAACTCCTTTTCTTTAAATTTGAGTTTGATTTCTCCTTCTGACTTTCACCTTCCTCTTCTTTTCCATCTCCTCCCTTGTTCTCAGTTTCTTTATTTGACTGGGCTTCAGCATTTTCCGGTGGAAACAATGGAGGTTCCTGGCCACTCAACCTACAAAACACTCTTTCAACTGTTTCACTTATTTCTTTCCCCAGTCCATTGCTGTCTAGGATCAACTCCCACACTGATCTAGAGGCCTTCTCAAGTACTGGAGTTCTGCAAGAAGACAACAACCAAATTGCAAAATGCTCCTGTAGATAAAAGCATAACACTGATGCTACCCGTCTGATATGCTTTTGGGAAAAGAATCCAATAATATCGGCATATGAAAAACCACACAGTTATTTCAAATTTGTAAAGGAGAAGAAGTTCTACGGGAATATTAAGGAAAACAACAAAGAATCCAGCTTAAGCATGTAAAACAGCAATAAAGGTCCGATAAACATAAATCCACATTTCCTAGTGTATTATATGCATATATGAGAGAGGAATGCCTACTTCAATGCTTTGTCCACCTGGGAGATATTTAGCCAAAGATTATGCTGATATTTATGGGAAGTCTAACTATTCTTGTTTGCGCTCATTTACATGTAAATTCTCATATAAACTACTGCATTTCATAATAAATATTGCATTACTTAGGAATCATTCGTCCACCATGTTGCAAACAAACTAATTGAACAACAACCATCTAATATATTAAAACCCTCTAGCAAATAAAACAAGAAGTTTCCACAAAATAGCAACACCTACTCAAGTTCCTGTCGAAGTGCATCAAATAACTCTCTTTTGGTCTGCTTCTCAGCTCCAGGTGTATTTAAGACCTTACTTTGTTCAGCCATTCTAATGGTGGTATTCTTGAGCTCTTCCTGCAACATAAACAAAATTAGCCATTATTTTCACATGCATCAGACTAAAGTTTTACCAAGTAAAAATGGACAGCTTTTCCCTAGAACAAAAAACACCCTCATAAAAATTGAGAAAGAAAACGAAAAACGAGCAATAGAGAGAGGGATACATTAGCTTTAAGCTGATTAATTATCTTCAATCTAAGAGCGTCAATAGTACCATCATTCATGAGTGATTCCAGAACGTCTTCTGGAGTTATGATTGAAGAAGATGACGATGATTCCATTGTAATCTCTTCTCTTGTTCGAATCGAAATTCAAAAATCAATTATCAAATTTTGTTACCTGCAAAAAGAAGCGATTTTTAACGCTCAAAATTAATCAAAAAAAGTTAGGTCTTTAATGGTAAAGGAAAAAGACACAGAACCTAAACAAAACAATCGCAGAATAGAAAGAAAGAAAGGAGGGAGTTAGTTACCGGTAATCACTTATGGTTGTCTCTGCGAATTGCGACCTCTTTGAATCACAAACGACACCTTTTTTGAAGAGCAATTTTCTAACACTATATGAAGACTTGACTCGGCATAACGACCAAGATAAACCGTAAACTCAAAATTCGTGCAGACGACAGGAAAAAATGCGACCTGTCGTTCATCGGCAGACAGTTGTCTTTCAAAACGAGTAGGATAAGAAAAGATCCTATTAAGTGGCTGTCGTTTCACAAAGACAACCAAAAAAAAGGTATCATTTAACATAGAACACTTCACTCCTTATATAATTAAAGCATCCTGCGCAAGCTTGAATTTAAATGTTGTGTTTTGATTTAGATGGATAAAAAAATTATATAAAACTCACGATTTTCAACCTAATCTTTTAATTTTGTTTTGTTGGTTTTACCTTTTTTTTTTTTTTTTTTTTTTTTTTTCAAGCACATACCAAAATAAAAGTGTTTCATTTTAAATCAACTCTAGAACACTTCCACCTCCTTATATATTTAAAGACATGTCCTGCGCAAGCTTCGAAATTTAAATGCTTGTGTTTTGCATTTACGATGGATAAAAAATTATCATCAAAAAACTCGCACGATTTTTCAACCCTAATCTTTTAATTTTGTTTACGTTGGTTTTAACTTTTTTTTTTTTTTTTTTTTCTTTTTTTTTTTAATCTTTCGGGCCGTTATCAATATAATTAGTCTCTTTGACACAGTGACTAAAAAAAAAAAAATTTACTCTACTTGAAATCAAAGACTCACTAAAAATTTAAAATTGTACACTGACAATCTTGTGAAACTGTATCGCGTAAATTTTATCATTCCATTTACATTAGTCATATATCGCACCAACGTTAGAGGCAGAGTGGTGCTATTAATATAGCAAGGCATATATTTAAGATTACCTCAGCCTTGCACTCTAGAAATTATGCCAATTAAAAATCGATGTAGATCAAACTTATTTTTGTTTTGCAACGTTCTTCCACTATATGGACAAAATTTCAATGTAGATACCTAAGTTTAGGGAGCTCTTCCAGCCTGTACCCGGATCTATTACATAAGATAAACTTTTCGTGAGTACGACTAGACATGCGTAAAAAATTATTTTTTTTTTTTTTTTTTTTTTTTTTTTTAATTTTCGTTTATCATATATTAGTCTTTGACAGAAAAAAAAAAAATTTACTGTAAATCAAGATCCTAAAAAATTTAAATTGTCTTGACAATCTTTTGAACTGTAGGTAAATTTTATCATTCATACATTATATATATCGACCAACATTAGAGGCAAGAGTTCATAATACAAGGAATTAGTTACCTCAGCTTGCATAGAATATGCCAATAAAATCGATGTAGAAAATTATTTTTTGTTTTGAACGTTCCTTCCACTAAATGGACAAAATTTCAATGTGATACCTAAGTTTAGGCGAGCTCTTCCAGCTGCCGATATACATACAGATAAGATTTTCTGAGTATATAGAATGCGTAAAAATATTTTGAAATCTAAGAGCTTATTGGTAGTCTTCATCTTTGTCAAGAGAAGCTGATAAGTAGCTCAAGATGAAGCCATCTATCTCTCCCTCAAGCACTGAGTCAGGGTCTGAGACCTCATAATTGGTTCGAAGGTCTTTAACCATGCGATAAGGCTGCATCAAAAACAAAATGTAATGGGAAGTTGTTTAGCTTAGATTGTTGATCGTACTTGAGGAAATCAATGGAATTGTAACAGCGCCATACATGTAGCACGTAAGTGCGAATTTGATTGCCCCAACTTATTTCTGTGAGTGATTGTGTATGCTGTGCATTCATTTGAGCCTGGCGAGCCATCTCAAGCTGATCCAACCGAGATTGGAGCACTGCCATTGCTGAAGCCTTATTCATATGCTGTGATCTGTTGTTATATGAAAATCATTTGGAATTTAAAAAAAAAAAAAATGAAATAAAAGGTTATGCCTCCCAAATTTATGTTTAGCAAAAAGGGAAAATTTCGTACCTTTCATTTTGACAAGTAGCAGTAACTCCCGTTGGGATATGAACTATTCTCACAGCACTTTCAGTTGTGTTAGCATGCTGGCCACCAGGTCCCCCAGCACGAAATCGCTCAATACGGAGATCAGACTCATTAATTTGTACACGAGTGGATCCATCACCCAGTATCGGAATTACTGCAACAGCAGCAAATGAAGTATGCCGGCGCTTTCCACTGTCAAAAGGCGAAATACGTACCAACCTGTGAACCCCAACTTCTGCTTTGGCATATCCAAACGCATAGTCACCGTCTACCTTGATCGTTGCACGCTGAAAAGAAAAACCAACTGCGTTAGAAACCTAATGATTGTTCTTACAAATCCGGAAAAAGGAAGCTTAAGGGCACACATGATAGAGCTAAATTTTTACAGCTTGGCATACGACAGTGTGGAACAATAAACAGTAGGTAGATTCCTTTGGTTAAAAAAAGAGCAACTAATACAGAACATTTATGTGATCATGTATTTCCATAACAGAGGAGAGTGGAAAAGACTGAACCTTGATTCCTGCAATCTCACCAGGCATTTCATCCACTACAGTTACTTTATAACCACACCGTTGAGCCCACAACTTATACATTTGTATGACCATTTTCGCCCAGTCCATGCTCTCAGTACCACCGGCTCCAGCTTGAACCTGTATATGTATAAAAAATATCGAGGTTCAATAAATTGATGAGATGTTACACAACCATCATATATGTTGACAAAGAATGAAGAGTTAGTTAGTGGCCAAACAATACAAATTCCTTGTAATTTTTGCTAGACATTGGAAAATAAGCAAAGATATCATAAAGCAGGAAAGTTTATGGTGAAGGCAACAGCAAAATGTAACATTAACCTCTATGTAACAAGAGCAAGAATCCTGCTCGCCAGCTAACAAAGCTTCAAGCTCTTTCTCTTTTGAATTTCTTCTCATCTGAAGTAAAGCTTTCAATGATTCCTGTAGTAAAACAGGAAATTTTAAACGAATAAATACAGGCAAAGAGGAATAGTGAAAAGGCATTTGGTAAATAGTTGCAAGTTCAGGGCAGGAAAAAAGTCGAGTAATTATAGGTTTTTTCCAATTTTTTAGTTCATTGTTACTTCGTTTTAACTCAAAGATTTGTTTGACTACTCCAAGGCAGTTCTCTAATGCAGAACTGCACATTATTTCAGATCAATAATACTTACTATTCCATTTCATACATCACAAAAATTGGCTTAGACTGAAGTGAATTTAAACACAGTTGCAACAATTAGAATATGCATGATCAAGTCAAAAGAAGTCAAAAAGCATAAATATGAAGCAGAACGAATACATGCCTAGAATAAGAAGTGAGAGCCCACCGATTCCAGTTCAGCATCATCCTCTTCACGAGCTAGTTTTATCATGTCAACATGCTCAAGCAATTCCCGTTCAAATGCAATGACCTCTTTCATTTTAGCCATCAAAGAACCATGTTCACGGCTTATCTTACCAGCATGTACAGGATCATCCCATAGGTCTTGCTCACTCAACTCTGCTGATAAATGATCCAACCTAACCATTAATTGCTTCCACTGCCACCATAGATAGCAAAATAACAATTCACATGAAAAAAAAAATTTTTAAAATGATAATAACAAACCACATACAACCAAAAAATTAAAAAAGGATCATACTCTATATACTCGTAACAGACAAATTTAAAACTTTATTCACTGGATGTTACAGTATTCTGTATAAAATAGCTAAATAATACCTCATATCTCATATTCTGTTCGAATATATAACGTTAACCAATGACTATACCTGCAAACGTTTCTTGATCACTTGAATGGATTGAGCAATAGCAGAAGCATGACTCTTCCAATCGCTTTCACTCTCGTCAAGAATTGTCCAATTATAAGCAACAATTCTATCAACAGTTAGCCCATCAGAGGTTGACTCGACTGCTGCCTGTGTACTAAAGAAGCAAGAAGGCCTTGAATGGACCGAATCCTTATTAGACTCATATGGAACTCTAACTCTTTGAAATATAAACGAAGCAAACCCAGAAATATTTCTTTGCAGAACCCCAATCCGGTAATGCTTTGACTCATTACAATGAGGCCCAGATGGTCTATCTATAGTTTTAAGCAAAAACGAAGATAACCCAGAAACCAGAGATTTGTAATTTTGATCCAAAGATGGAGAATTGTGAATATCTGCGGAGTGTAGAGACTTCACCTCTGGCCGAGACAGAGAAGAGAACAAGGACGGAACAAGTTGCGTTTTAGTAAAAAGGTTTCGGGAAAGGAGCAAGGATCTATTACATAATCTTTTGAGTATCAAAGATGGCATTTTTCTCCCCTATTCCTTTCTAATCTGATCAGTGTGATTTTTCAAAGGGGTTTTGAGCTTCTGGGTTCTAGCAGTGAACTAGGTTAAAGGGCTCATTCGAAGTGGAGGAATATTGTTGTATGCATAAAACGACATCGTCTTCTTGGTTTTTTACTAACTTTTAAGCCCAATAGGCGATAGTCATTAGGCACATGGAACAGAACGCACACAAATGTCCTTCATATCATCTCTCTGTCCACGTCTCTTCTTCGCCCCCAAACCCATCTTCATTCGGCATAAGACCATCTTTGCTCGCTCTTTTGGCTACTCATCCATGTCTGACCTAACTGTTTCCGTAAATCGGCCTACTTCTCAAAATGCCCCTTTAAACGTTGAAAATTATCCTACACCACTGTCCCCTCCTTTTCCTTCCATCTCAAAGGAGATAGAGCTAGCCAGGGCGATGTCTGCTTCTTCAAGATCGAACCTTTTTGCTTTGTCCAAAAATAATGTAATATATGAAGATCAGTGGCTGGTTGCTGTCAATAAACCTCAGGGAGTTTATTGCGAGGCTTTGCTAGAGTCGGTCCCTCTTGTTATTTGTGACTCGTCCACCTCAACTAATCTAACCGAAGGTAACGGCTTTCTGTTTTTGCATTTTCCTTTCCATTTTCTTTAGAAACAAATGGGATTGGATATAAAGATATTGTGAATAGAAGCTTGTTTGATACTTTGGTTAGGATTTTCCTGTAATGCAATATAGCTTTCAAAGGTTTAAGTTTTATTAATTAATTATCAGACTCAAAGATTTTATGATAAAAATGGAATTTGTCCAACTAATTCTGCCCTTCTTTCTGATAACTTAAAATGTATTTTGATTTTTATGACTAAGTTTAAAATATTAGCACAGTTGAATTGTTGTACTTTATTTTGAGCATGGGAAGTTGTATTCGTGATTCTCTTTTGCATGACTATGAAAGACAATGTTATGGCTCAGATTCAAATACATGTGTAAAGAGAGTGGTTTTATTTGACAATGTCATATGGTTGGAGCCAATCTGTAGCCAGGGTTATCAATTTGGTTCTAATTTAATTGTTATAATCTGATTATATAATAGAGAAACTCTGGATATTAAATCTTATTTGATGAGTTGGAAAAGTTAAGGTACTTTGCCTTTTTTTTTTTTTTAAAACAGTTAAGAATCTTGCTAATTGAATCATAGATCTGTCTCAAATGTTAAACTGAGTTTCAACATTTCAATTTCAGGGGCCAGTGATACCCTGCCAGAGCTCCATCTTGCTAATCGACTTGATCGTGATACAAGTGGGGTAACAGTTATAACCAAGTCACACAAAGTGGCTTCAAAGCTTGTAAAGGCATTTACAGGTCACAAGGTTAAGAAAACGTATATTGCTTTCTGCACTGGTTCAGCTCCGACATGGGAAAAGATCACAGTTAAATCTGGTCATGGTCGGTCAAAGTTTGGAGCCTGGCGTATATATGCTGTATCAGATGTAGGTCGGACACTACCTGGGGGGTCCATAATTAGGGACATGGAAACTTCGTTTGAAGTATTATCAGTAAATGGACAAAGGAGCTTCAAAGAGTTACCTGAATTTAAGAAAGGTGAAAATGTTATAGTTGTTGAAGAAAAAGCTGAGATAGATGCTGCTGCAAAGAAGGATGAGATTTTGGTGAGAGCATTTCCTCGGAGTGGAAGAACACATCAAATTCGATTGCATTGCCAGTATCTTGGAATTTCTATTAGAGGGGATGTGAAATATGAGGGTGTATATGAGTGGAAAGGTAGAAGATTTGATGCTCATGAACTACATGCAGAGAGCATGTCCTTTGAACATCCAGTTACTGGTCTGCCTGTCATGTTAAGGGCACCTCTTCCTTTATGGGCTACAGATGTATTGGAGCCATTGTAACTTTAAATTGTTATCCTCTATCATTCTGGAAGCTGTGGCATTGGAATGTCAGCGGGCGATGCAATTAGAGGATGTATTGCTATGTTTTAATACTTCGATGGACTAGCGAGGCATTTATGCACTGACAGGATATTGACTAGGCTTTTCTCCATTATATATAGAGACTGAAGACACTCAAATACCGATTCTTTGTTGGGGTTAACAGCAGCAAATTGCTTTAACGATGGAACTGTAATGTGCATGGCTGAACCGTATGGGGCTGGAAGGTGGTGAATTACCAATATCAGAAAGTCAGAATCTGATAGGATAGAGTGGAAATATGTTGTAATTAGCAGTAGGTTTGGCATTTGAGCTATATATGCCAGATATCCAAGCGTGTAAAGGGAAAGAATGCGGTGGCAGCTTTATCTTGATGGCATTTTTAAATCAATAACTGCAGTATTAGTTTATGTAAAATGAAAAGGTAAACAGGTGAATACTTTTTTGTGTAATTTTTAATATTTGCAAGTGAGAGGTGGTTTTGAGGATCAAGTCTTTACCTAATATATTTGGAGACAAGAAATCTCTATTTCTTTGATTACAAGAATTTGTATGCTACGATTTCGTGTAAAATTTCTTTGAGTTCCATCCTGTCCTTGAATAATGAATTTTAAAAAAATTATGACTTCAGATCGGTTTGGATGGTTTTGGTGAACCGTATTGAGAAGGATGACGTTCTTCCATAGAAATCTATAGTTCTGCTGCGGACATGTCAATGCCACTTTGAATTATAGAAAAGCCACCTTCTAGCCTTTTCTTTTATTTTTCAAAGAAAAAAACTGAGTCCGTTTCTTTTACATGCTGATGGGAGATCAGGCCAAAAGGCAAAAGACAAACTTTTTGTTCAATCTATAATAGACCAAAGACTTTCTATACAACAGCCTTAAACCACGCGAAACGATAAAAGAACATTATTGTATTAATAGTTCGACATGCATAATTACTAACTATTTAGAATAAGAATAACTCTATTAATAAAGCTTTACATGAAGAAGGAGAAATGACATATTTTTCAGAAGTAGAAAATATCATTGCATTATCTTAATTGCTAACAAGATCTAAAACTAAAAAATTATTACTTTGGGAGAAAAAGTGATGAACTGAATCATTTTGGATTTGGCCATTGAATTATTCTGATTTGAACTCCCTATTCAAACGGAGAGAAATTTTTTCCTGGTAACTTTAAAAATTATTGTAAAAATAGTATTATTCAGAGTAATCAGTATATCTTAGATCATTGCATTATCTTATCCCCAATAAATTTAAGACTGTCAAACCATTCTTCCATTTTTTGTTCGTTACAATAGGATCAAGCAATCAATCAAGGCAAAGAAATATCCCAATCCTTATCCGTTCTATCCTTATGCCCTGTGACCCACCATCTTTATCTACAAGGAGACAAAGCACAACTTATTATAGGGAAGCACATAGCATAGAGACAGTGACAGTGAAATAACTCATAACTGCTATTCAAACCCACTGGTTAAACGAAATCGAAAGGCCCAAAAAGATCTTTTGTCCCCAGCTATCAATCAAACCAACCAGTTCGCGAGTTCCCATAGCCATGCAAAGCTTTTAGAGGTTTCTGGATAATGCAACTTCTGAGTCTCTATTTTTTATAGGCCGTACTGATACTGAAAATCCATTTGTTGCTTTTAGCTATATTAGCTTCAGGACTGTTCAAGAAATCCAGTGTCTGCGTTTTTGTTTTTTTTTTAAGGAAATGGGAGTATTGAGTGAGGGTATTACGCAGATTTTGATACTTGTAGCTTCCTTGGTTGGTATTGGGTATGCTTTGCTTCAATGGTTTTTGGTGTCACAGGTGAAGGTTTCTGGTGACTCTCTTAATGGTTATAGTGAGAGGTTGATTGGAGAGGAAGAAGAAGGAATTGATAATCTCGATGCTTCTCTCAAGTGTGCTGAAATCCAGAATGCTATTTCTGTTGGTGAGTCTCTCTCTTTCTCTCTCTCCCTATCTCCATGTGTGTATATGAGTTTCTGAATGCCTCTTAGTTTGTTTGCAAAATGGATAATTTGGCTATGGCTCATTAAGCAACTGTTGTTTATTTACACAGCATTATGATTGCTTTTTAATTTTGGAGTATGAGTTCCAGTATGTCAGGCCAAAATATTAAAGATTATCAAAGGTGAAAAATAATGAAAAACATTTCTCCTGTCTGTTTTTTTCTGGGTTTATTCTTGCTGATGTAAGCTTCTCATTCTTGGCTTGGGTAGTATTTTTCCTTTTTGTGGTTTTAGATTAAATTTCCAATTCTTTTTCTTTGTATATTTATATACATATTTGTTTGTTTCCTCTCTAACAAATTCTTATGTCATAGTTTTTATATATTTCCCTTCTGTTTTACTGGCAATGAGTTAATATATCTTATTTATAGTCAACATTTATCTTTCATCTCAAATTTGTGATCCAAATTGTTAAAAACAGGCCTTTTCTTCGCATTAGGAAGCAGAAAAACAATTGAAATTATTTTATTTTAGTGGCACACTAAGAACCAGTTTCATCTTCACTTCCGTGGTTTTCTTCCTCTTGATCTAATTGAAATTATAATGCAAGATCATGGAACCACCTTACCCCTAACAAAATAATAGCAGAAAACATCGAAAAGTAATTCAAAATAAAATCTTTCTTTGAAGTTATGCAATTCTAACTTGCAGTTGAACTGAGAAAGAGTAGTTTGGCAGTTGTATTTGTCGATTATGATTCTTCCAAGACATTTCAGTCTCCTCTCTATGATACATTTCAGTCTCCTCTCTATGAAATGTAAAGATGATCATTTACCTTCCCTACAGTGCAGTTGTGTACATTATACACGTTCCCCTTGTTTCTGCTGTGTCAATTTAGGACCATAATACACATTATTAATCCGTTTCTGTTATTCTTATTTATACTCTTATGCATCATAATTGCCAAAAATGAAATTCAATTAGTGTAAAAAAGTTGAATTTCAATTTTTAATTTTTAATTTCATTTTCCCAGGGGCAACCTCATTCCTTTTCACTGAGTACAAGTACCTCAGTATCTTCGTGGGCGTTTTTGGTGCAATCATCTTTCTCTTCCTTGGTTCAGTTAAGGGCTTTAGTATCCAAAGTGAGCCTTGCACTTACAACAGGGGGAATCTTTGTAAACCAGCTTTGGCCAATGCCATGTTCAGCACAGTTGCTTTCTTGCTTGGTGCTCTCACTTCTGTTCTCTCAGGTTTTCTAGGCATGAAGATTGCAACTTATGCAAATGCCAGGACAACTCTACAAGCAAGGAAGGGTGTTGGAAAAGCCTTCATCACTGCTTTCCGGTCTGGGGCAGTGATGGGTTTCCTTCTTGCTGCCAATGGGCTTTTAGTGCTCTTTGTCTCCATCACCTTGTTCAAACTCTACTATGGAGATGATTGGGAGGGACTTTATGAGTCTATTACTGGTTATGGTCTTGGAGGCTCATCAATGGCACTCTTTGGAAGAGTTGGAGGAGGTATATACACAAAAGCAGCTGATGTTGGTGCTGACCTTGTTGGTAAAGTTGAGCGAAATATCCCAGAAGATGATCCTAGAAACCCAGCTGTAATTTGCTTGAATCCTTTTACTGTTTTTAACTGATATTGGTTGCCTAATTTTTGTGTTTGTTTAGATATCCTTTTCTGTGGCATGTGCATGTAGGCTAAATTTTAAAATCATACATTTTCTTCAAAACTGATGTGAGGATTTTAATTGAACAAAATTTACAGCAAGAGATTAGGAGATAATGCCTCCCTTCCTGCCCCTGCAAATATTTTGCATTTCTACAACTCATCAGTGATCCTATTCTCTGCTTTTTTATCTTAGCTTTTCCAAGTCCTGTAATGTTCACAATGTTATAGTTCTAAACTGCTAATGTTAGATGCTGCTTATTTCTATGCCATTAAAGATTTATAAGTTGCTTTAAATTTACTGTGCTTATGCAGGTTATTGCTGATAATGTGGGTGACAATGTAGGAGACATTGCTGGGATGGGTTCTGACCTTTTTGGGTCTTATGCTGAGTCATCTTGTGCAGCACTTTTTGTCGCATCAATTTCGTCGTTCGGAATCAGCCATGACTACGCAGCCATGTCTTATCCATTGATTATAAGTTCAATGGGAATCATTGTTTGCTTGATAACTACACTTTTTGCAACTGATTTGTTTGAGATTAAGGATGTAAGTGAAATTGAACCCTCATTGAAGAGACAGCTTCTCATCTCAACTGTTTTGATGACTGCTGGGATTGGTGTGGTCAGCTTCTTAGCTTTACCATCGGAGTTCACTCTCTTTGATTTTGGAACTAACAAGGTTGTAAAGAACTGGTATGATACCTTTCGCTATCCTGAATCTTTTTTACTTAGAAATTTTCCTACTTTTAGGTTTTCTTTGTGTTGATAAATTATATGTTACTGCAGGCACCTTTTCTTTTGTGTTGCAATTGGCTTGTGGGCTGGACTTGTTATTGGGTATACAACTGAGTACTATACTAGCAATGCTTACAGGTGAACTTTTCGTCATTAGTTCATTACCTAACAAGTATTCTTTTCAACACTATTTCATGGTGGTGCTGATAAATTATCCTTTTCAAAATTTGCAGTCCAGTGCAGGATGTAGCAGATTCTTGCAGGACTGGTGCTGCAACAAATGTGATTTTTGGGTTAGCTCTGGGATACAAATCCGTCATCATTCCCATATTTGCCATTGCAATTGCAATCTATGTTAGTTTTAGCATGGCTGCCATGTACGGTATTGCCATGGCTGCTTTGGGAATGCTCAGTACTATCGCGACTGGTCTTGCAATTGATGCTTATGGACCCATAAGTGACAATGCTGGTGGTATTGCTGAAATGGCTGGAATGAGCCACAAAATACGTGAAAGAACAGATGCTCTTGATGCTGCTGGAAACACCACTGCTGCAATCGGCAAGGTAGGATTTCCACTTACATTTATATCTCACTAAATTAATTGTGGAACTACTGATGTCAAAATTTTAGTTTCAAGCTCCCGCATGTAGTCATCACAATTGCAACATCACTTGTAGAAAAGCTGACATTATGTTCCTGATTCAGGGTTTTGCTATTGGATCAGCAGCTCTTGTTTCCCTCGCTTTGTTTGGTGCCTTCGTTAGCAGAGCAGGCATCAAAACTGTTGATGTCTTAACCCCCAAGGTCTTCATTGGGCTGATTGTTGGTGCCATGCTTCCATACTGGTTTTCTGCCATGACAATGAAGAGTGTGGGAAGTGCAGCTCTCAAAATGGTTGAAGAGGTTCGTCGGCAATTCAATACCATTCCAGGACTTATGGAAGGTAGAGCTAAACCAGACTATGCCAATTGTGTAAAAATTTCAACAGATGCCTCACTTAGGGAGATGATCCCACCTGGTGCTTTGGTTATGCTTACACCACTTGTAGCTGGAACCTTCTTCGGAGTCGAAACTCTTTCCGGTGTTCTTGCTGGTTCACTTGTTTCTGGTGTCCAGGTATATTATTGTTTACTTCCCCCCAACAGAAATCATGCTGGTTCACTACTAACTTGTTTGAATTCCATGCGAAATCTCTTAGTTCATGCCTGTGGTTGTTTCCTGTTTATTAGGTTGCCATATCAGCTTCTAACACTGGAGGGGCATGGGATAACGCCAAGAAATACATTGAGGTAATTTTCCAAGCTTTTTTTTTAATCTGCTAAAGAACAATAAGAAGCATATATCAATCTCTTTAGAGTTGCAATTTTTCACTACAATGTGGTATAGGCTGGTGCTTCTGAGCATGCTAAATCACTTGGTCCTAAAGGTTCTGATCCTCACAAAGCTGCTGTGATTGGCGACACGATCGGAGACCCACTAAAGGACACTTCTGGTCCGTCACTTAATATTTTGATCAAGCTCATGGCAGTTGAGTCCTTGGTGTTTGCTCCATTTTTTGCTGCTCATGGAGGTCTGTTATTCAAATTGCTCTAAATGGTATCCACCGAGTAAATCGGCCAAATTATGTCTACTAGTAAAGCACTATCCTGTAATTCCGAGCTCTTACTGTTACAGTTTCGACATGTAAATGATAAACGATCAGGCTTTGCTACTGCCAATTTTACCTTACCATGAATAAATTTGTAGTTTTCATGTGTATATTTCTTGTTTCCTACTTTCTTGAAGAATTATGATGAACCGTCCTTACCTTGCTCTCATTTCTTTATTCATCAAGAGGCTTAATGGGCCGGGATAATCATCTCTTTGATCCAATGTATTAGTGAAAATTCTTATTTTGAGAATATTTCAATTCAAGACCTCCCACCTGAGAATATCGATCGTACCATACTTAGTTGACAATGATAAAAAGAACTAATTTATATAATATTAATTTCATATTGTGTAATGAATGGAAAGATCCAAATTAAGAGGTTGCATTTTTTGGCTACTTAGCTCTCTCAAATAGAGTGCGGTAATTAAATTAAATACAAAGTAAAACGGTATGGTAATCAAATTAAATTAAGGTACAAGGTTAAAGAGTTAGTTAAAAATAAGAATAATGTTGGAGTTTTAAAAACTTATTAGGATAATACAGTTTCTTAAATGACCAATATTTTTAAAATAAATAGATAATCATAAATAGTTTGTAGTTTTTTTATAAATTACTAAATAATTAGTATTTGGTTGTTGATTATTAACTCATTGAGTGTCTTCCAATGTAAGCATTGAAATCAAAAAATAAAATAATAGCCGGCCCCTGCTATGTACAAAACAATGGCCTACATAAATCACCACTTTTTGTGGTTTTTAGTAGCCTTTTTTAAGCATTTACCTGTCCTATTACCAATAAAAGTCAGCTCATTTTGTGATGGTTTGCTTTTTATTTATTTTTTAGATATCTCAATATATATGTTTGTAAAGTTTTAAAATTTAAATATATTTTTTCACAATAATTTTTATGATTATTTATTAAATGAAAAATTTTTTATTAATATCTTAATTAATTAAGGGAAAAAAGATAAAATAATTTTTATTGATTAAATTTTTAATATGCGTATTTTGTCAAACCATCTGGGACGGAGGCATATAATGTGAATAAATTACTAATTTAATAATTTGACTTTTCTTTTAATTTAGCTATTTTTGGCTGGAGATTTTTTTTAAAAAAAGTTTTATACATCATAAATTTAATGATTTGATTTTTTTTAGGTATTAGTGGATCAACTCCTTTATGATACAAATCCAATTCTTTTTTGAAAACTGATACAAATCCAATTCTAATACGATAATTTTACCTCTTTAAGCCAAAAAAAAAAAAAAAAAAACGACGACCTCTTTTTTTAATTTAGCCTATTATTTTGGCTGCGAGAGATTTTTTTTAAAAAAGTTTTATGCATTCATAATTTAATGATTTGACTTTTTTTTAGCGCTATTAGTGGATCAACTCGCTTTATGATCACCAAATCCATTCTTTTTTGAAAGATCTGCTACTCACCAAATCCAATTCTAATACGATATTTTACTCTTTAAGCAAAAACAAAAAAAAAAAAAAGCAACCCTGCACGTGGGGGTCTGACGACAACAAATACCCTCAATAAGGCGGCCATTTGTCCCAGTTGCTAAACCCACCTTTTCTCAAAAAATTGAAAAAGCATCGAAGGAAAATCTAAATCCAGTTGCTAATTCTTACGTGTCAAATTCTTTCTTCTGCTCTCCCTACCGAATCGTCCGTAATTTTTCCAACTGTCATCTTTTGGCCATGTCAACAGAAACGTGACACCGCTCACGTTCTTTACCATGTCCTCAAGCTCTACTATTTCAGTCAAGTCATCCGTAACCTATCCAGCTAGGACATTTAATGCTAGTGAAATACTCGCATCCTCCTAACCCAACGTTAAACTGATACACCGAACACCTATAATTCCCCGTACTCCCCTCTCAGTCACTACAGCTTTCAATTCCTCATCTTTTATCTCCTTCTCTCTCCTCGGCCCATCCCCCGCCGCGAACCCTAAATTCTCCCTCGCTGATTATCTATCAAAAAAAAAAAAAAAAAAAAGCAACCTGCAGTGGGGTCTACACCAACCAAATACCACTCAATAAGCGCCATTTGTCAGTTGCTAACCCTTTTTTCAAAAATTGAAAAAGCATAGAAGGAAAATCTAAATCCAGTTGCTAATTCTTACGTGTCACATTTTTCATTTGCTCTCTACGAATCGTGTAATTTACCAATGTTTTTTTGCCATGTCAAAGAAATGACACCGTAGTCTTACATGTCAGTCTATTATTAGTCCAAGTCATCGTAACTATCCAGCTAGGACATTTACCTGTAGTGAAATACTCGATTAACCAACCGTTAACATCGATACAGAAAACCCCCTATAAATTCCCCCGTCACTCTCAGTCCATACAGCTCCAATTTCATTTTTATCTCCCTTTCTCTCTCGCCATGGCGAACCCTAAATCTCTCTCGCTGATTATCCTATCAGTTCTAGCGATTGCCTCTGCAGAAGTTTTCTTCGAGGAACGTTTCGATGGTATTTCTTATTTTTCTTCTCATTTTGTACATTTATTTTACGCATTTGTGAGTGGGTATATATACACACTTTTTGATCACTGTCAAATGCGTTCACTGTTCTCATTTGGTAATGTCGATTACGGTTTTTACTACTTGAATTTGATTAGATGCGTGGAGGATCAGTGTTTGGTGAGTTTAATGTGTGGATCAGTGGATCTAGTAGTTCTGTATCTGAGCTTTGTTTAATCGCAGAATTAAGGCTAGAAATATGGACATTCTCCTAGATCTGCTAATTATCTGATTATGTAGATTCCTCTTTGTATTCTGTTGATGTATTGTCTGGTTTTGCGTTTCGAAATGATATTTGACTGGATTCTGAGTTTTGGAACATGATTGATTTCTGTCGAATTTGCGATTTCTGATTGTTTCCTGGAAAAATTATGTGATTGCATGTGCGAGTATTCGACTGGTGAAACATTTGTTTAGATCTGCATCAATGAGCTTTGTATAGTCGATAACAGTTCCTGTATCTTATTTGATTATGATGATTGCATGTCAAAATTTTGTAAAAATGGATATCTGCACGTGGTTTCATTATCATGAATAAGATTGTACAGTGGTCAAAAGTTGACATCATTTGTCGATTCCCTGGCTTGCTCAAAAGGCAGGTTTACCACTTCTGGAACCAAAGGCAGCATTGATCGTAACTATTTAAAGCTGTGCCTATTACCATTTTGCTTTTCATTTGTAAATTTTATATACTCGGTACATTAAAAGAGTTGCTGCTAACATTTTAGCTGGTAATTCTGTGCCTGACTGTAACATTTTCTCATTTCCAATTTCCTTTTTGTCATGATGCACGAACTTAAAGATGGATGGGAAAAGAGGTGGGTTGTATCTGATTGGAAGAAAGATGAAAACACAGCTGGTCAGTGGAACTACACTTCTGGCAAGTGGTATGGAGACGCTAATGAGAAAGGTATTATTCTGGCCGATCCTAATTGAGTTACTAAATTAAGGAAATGCTATTCTGTAGTATTCAAAGGCTGTTATGAGTGGGTGGATGGATGATGGTTTTGACCTCTTGATACAGGAATCCAGACAAGTGAAGATTACAGGTTCTATGCTATTTCAGCTGAATTCCCTGAGGTCAATAACAAAGATAAGACACTAGTATTTCAATTTTCAGTCAAGCATGAACAGAAACTCGACTGTGGTGGTGGCTACATGAAGTTGCTCAGTGGCGAGGTTGACCAGAAGAAGTTCGGTGGTGATACCCCATACAGGTTAGCACCAGTTGCCTATATGATTTAAGCGTTCTGCAACTTGCTGTAACTTATTGTTTGACTTTGTCTGATAAATCTAATGGTGTACTGATTTGGTCTTTATGGTTGGCTGTAGTATTATGTTCGGACCAGATATCTGTGGCTACAGCACCAAGAAAGTTCATGCTATCCTTAATTACAATGGGTCAAACCACTTGATCAAGAAGGAAGTTCCATGTGAAACTGACCAACTTAGTCATGTTTACACATTCATCATCCGTCCAGATGCTACGTATAGCATCCTTGTTGATAACGTAGAGAAGCAGACTGGCAGTTTGTACTCTGACTGGGATCTTCTTCCGCCAAAGAAAATCAAGGATCCAGAGGCAAAAAAAGTAAATATTTAGCATCTTCATCATTATCACTTCTTGTTGGTATTTAGGTTTTTGTGGTAATTCATCTTTTATAACTTGATTGTAGCCTGAAGATTGGGATGACAAGGAGTTTATTCCTGACCCTGAGGATAAGAAACCTGAGGTAATTATGCGCCTCACTTTCTCGTGCTAAGGTTGTAATGTGTTATCTGAGGCCAACATTTGCTATAAATTTCTTTTAGGGCTACGATGACATACCAAAGGAGATTCCAGATCCTGATGCAAAGAAGGTACATATTGATGTTCCAATGTCATAATTATTCTTGAGGAAAAAAATTGCTTATAGAAGTTGTTAATTGTAGCCTGAGGATTGGGATGATGAGGAAGATGGTGAATGGACTCCTCCAACCATTGCTAATCCTGAGTACAAGGGTCCATGGAAGGCCAAGGTTTGTGAATTCATGATCATTTTGAACCCTGTGATGGCAATTGATTTGGAGCCATGGTTTTAATGAACCATAATCTGTGCAGAAAATAAAGAACCCCAACTACAAGGGCAAGTGGAAGGCACCAATGATTGACAACCCAGGTTTGTTCTGGTTCAGTTTGTTCGTTTTTGTCCTTGAGTTTTAGGAATATATTAACAATCAAACAAACGTTTTTCAGATTTCAAGGATGACCCACATCTATATGTCTACCCTAACTTGAAATATGTTGGTATTGAATTGTGGCAGGTAATTGTCTTATCATATTTACTCCATTAGATTGTATTCACAGCTTGGAATCTAACAAACCAAGATTATTTATGTGTCAGGTGAAATCTGGAACATTGTTTAAAAATGTCTTGCTTTGCGATGACCCTGAGTATGCAAAGAAGCTTGCTGAAGATACTTGGGGAAAGCAGAAGGATGTATGTTTCTTTTTTCTTGACTAAGTTCAATTTTCAGAAGAGATTTTCTACAAGATATTGACCGAGTATGTGTATTTTGCAGGCTGAGAAGGCAGCTTTTGAAGAGGCCGAGAAGAAGAGAGAAGAAGAGGTACCTTTTTTTTTCTGACGTGCTAGAAATTTCATTTCTTGGGTGGAAGTAGTCAGAGGGTTGTATAACTAAAAAACTCACTCCAAAGTTTTTGACTCTTTCAGGAAAAGGAAGACCCAGCTGATACTGATGTAGGCCTCCAAATTACTTGCTAAAGCCTTGTTTTTTTCTGTCTTTTCACATTTACTCGATCTGGCCATAACTGAATTTGTGGTCTTTTTCAGGCTGATGAAGATGAGGATGAGTCTGAAGATACCGAAGGAGAAGAAGACAGTGAAGTAAAAGAAGACGACAGTGCTGACACCAAGGATGACGTACATGTAGGTGTTCTTCCTTTATCAACATCATAATAGAAATAAACTTTCTACACTAGTGCGCTTATGGACTGTTTTTGTTTGTGTTTGCAGGATGAGCTCTAGAGAGGATGCACTTTTGCAAGCGAATCTGTCAGGAGGAGATGAGAGTGGACATCTTTTAGACCTCCTAAATATTTTTCTTTTTCCTTTTTTATTCTTAGCCTGTAGGATTTTTATGTTAGGCAAGAAAATAGAGTTGGAAGACTGCATGCAAAACTGCGTGGCTGATTGTTTTGAGACCCATTTAAGACCAATCCGAGCCTTAGAACGAAGAGGATATTTTTTATCTACACATTATTAAATAGTTTGGATTTTATATGGTTGCTTACATGTTCTCTCTCTCTCTCTCTCTAGATATATATATATTGTGGTTGACTTAATTAGAGGATGCAGTACCAGTGAAGCTACCTTTTCTAATATCATGAATAATATAACCCACCGTCTTCGTTTGCTCATTTGAATCTTGATCAAGATGATGACCTTTGGAATTGTTTGGAAATCTTTGAATTTAAGTCAGATTTACACGGCCATGAAGAAATTTGCAACCCTTTTTTTGCACCAGGAGGCTCTTTCCACACAAAGCAACCCTACTATTAATACTTTTATCAAGTTCCAATTCCATATCTATAATACCCAACTGTAGAATGAAAGAGCCAGATCAGAAACCGCAAAAGCAGCTAGCTTTTTTTTGGATCTGTACTGCAACTGATGCTACTATGGCAACCGAGTTAGAAAGAAGGTCAGTTAATTAAATTTATATTATTTTTGATATATTATTGGATCTCAACAAAGTTTTTGAATTTGTTTTTTACTTTTTTTTTTAGACTATATTAAGTCCATTTTCTCAAAGTTTAAAGTCCATTTTCTCAAAGTTTAGATCTCTAATGGGTTTATTAATACTTTCATCAGCAAAAAAAACCAGCAAAAGAGAGTGGTTAAACATGTTAGTTACAGAAGATGGCCTGTCATCTGATATGTAGGCTTGCCTAAATATGAGCAAAAACCCCAGTTTCAATTCCACGAAAAATTACATAGACTTTGTCTTTCTTCATTCTTTAGATGTGGGTTCATATTATAATTAAAGTTCTTCCTCCCTTCAACGGTGTTTGTTGAAGAAGATAGAGACTTTGTCGGGTGAAAATATTTTGGGGGTTAAGACTCTATTTTTTTAAATTATATCCTTAACATATAAAATAGCTGTCAGTAGATAAGACACGTTAATCCATCAAATGTGCTGTTTCCATTTTTTGATTAGAATATTTTTGACAATTATATCCTTAATTAATTTATATTATCCTTATCTTTATCTTTAATTAACTTATATTATCCTTAATTTATATTAACTAGTTTAAAGTCTTTTACTAAGGCACTGCAAGTCTACAATTATGTTTAAAAATTACATTATTTTACACAAAAATTTAAATAAAATAATTTAATAATGAATTAATAGATAAATATGTAAGGAAATTGTATTATCATTTTAGAAATGATAATAATTTTAATTTATATAATTGGACTATATACTATAAATTGACATTTTTTTTATAATGAACTCACTATTTTTACAATAGCTAATGTATAATATCTAACACCAGGTAAAACCATTTTAAGATCTACCACCATTTTACAACACCTTTCTCTTACTTATCTCTTCCATTTCCAATTAAAGATTTTTTTTTTTCAAGAAAATAATAAATATTTACAATCTTTCATAAGCAGAAAGAAAAATCTAATCTTTTTCCATGAACAGCATGAGTAACTGCTAGCACATGAAAGGAACTATTTCCTCTTTTTCATTATGATGTTTCTTTTGCACTTGCAGGAAAATTTAAGTTTAATTTCTCCCCTACTAACGGCAACAACAATATTAATGAATTTAAGACCCCTAATTTTGATTTTTCCCAACTTAAAAAATATAAGAACATTTGTTCTTTGTTATTATATTATAGTATTTTCTTCTTAAATATTAACAACTGATAATAAAAAAAATCGTGGAAATAAAAAAATGACTCTTATTAAATAAAATAATTAAATACTAATTAATCTTGATATTTTTTTTCTTTAAAATATTCTTCCCTATATATATATATATATATATTTATGAAAAATATTTTTGAATTAAAAAATCATCAGTAGCTTATACCGAATGGTGTCGTTTAGGATTTTAAAAGGATGAGGGAGGGACAGCCAATTGGTCTTTCTTCTTCTTCGTTTAAGATCCACCACCATTTTACAGCATCTTTCTCTTAATTATCTCTTCCATTTCAAATAAAAAAATGCAAATCGGTGAAATCCATCTTTTTCTTGGGCCCTTATAAGCCCAGCCCACATATAGCTAGCCCACTTATTTAACACTACTACTAATTAAGTTTCTTTCTGCTCAAAATAATCAAAACCCAAAAGAAAGCAACCCACTTATTTAACACCACTCATTCACACCTAGACAAAGGCCTACAGTATTCTTCACTTAATTTTACTTTATTTTTTAATCTGCAAAATTATTACTTTAACATTGGCAATTTGTTTATATAAGATCAAACTTCATGAAAATCACATTATTTAATTATTAACTTATTAAAAAGTTTGACGTTGTAACAAATAAAGTATAGAAAAAGAAAATAAATTGCTATTTTCTACTGACTTTGCTTTCAAGTTTACATATACAGCACTAGTAAATTATTAACGTACCCGTGAACAAACTAAATAAGTTGACTAAACAACCAATAATTGCACTCATGTCAATGGCCTATTAAAAATCTCGTGATTATTCAAAGCAATTGCAATATAGTAATTAATTGCCAACCATCACATCAATATACGAAGACGTAAAATATCCAATTTCATCATACTCCAATTTTAAATAATTGGTATTACGAATAATATTGAAATAATTAAAAATATATATAGAAATAAATTATTTTCTGGATATAAACCAATTAAAAGACATCAACCTTAACTTTGATTATCGCAACTATAAGTTATCATCTCTTTAAGCAATTTGATCGAGAAATCTTTAAGCGATTTGTGATTTGATCAATGGAGTGAAAACTTCAAATAGTATGTAAAAAAACTATAATGGTAGAACGAATCGTGTTGATAATGAGTTATAAAATAATATAAAAGTAGAGAGAGAAATAAAGGAAGGATAAAATGAATACGAAAGTGTATATATTATTAATGAAGCCACATGTATATAATTACATAAGTAGTCCTACACAAATCAAATAAAAAAAAAATAGAGTTCATAATAATTAAGAATACAGAGTTCTAGGATATTCACTTATTTCATATTTGCATCTTATGAATGGCAGATGGCAATGAATCTAGCTACATTATTTCGATTTTTTTGTTCTTTGAAAATATTTTAATTCATAAAATACTGGAGAAATTTTGTTCACTTTTAAAGACATATTCTTTGTTATTTTATTTTCTTTTTAAATATTAGTAATTAATAATATTTGGCCTTAATTAGATAGTAATTGTCAAAATTGTACACGACATAAACCCTACCCTAGTAAAATTGTAAGCTCACGTTAAAATTATATCCTTGCATCACGTAATGGATTTCATTCTTATTTGACAATCAATCAACATCCCTAGCTTCACATATCCCTTTAACGGTCTCCAACAAGGGATAAACACCACAAAAAAATAATAATAATAATAATAAAAGGAACAATTCTATTAATTCAATAAGCAAAATTTAAACACAAACTCTTAAGAGTAATGTAACATCAATCATGCACATTAGACAATTCTAAATCAAGAGTAGAAATTATCTCAACCAACTACCATAAATGCTTTGATTAATTGATTTCAATGATTGTTTTGGCTCTCTCTAGAACAGAAGATAAATGCTTATCCGTTTCTTGCACGACCAAAGCATTAGATTATGCCTTCATTGCCTGCCAAAAACATGTACTTATCTTTCCTTGTCAAGCTGGTGCATTCATAGTTCAAGGCTTTACCAATCTGTGCCTGTACATAATTGGCCACCTCAAACTTTGATTTCCCTACAAATTGACAGGTTAATAACTCAAGAATTTTAATGTTAGAAGTAATATATGGATTCATCAATAGCAATATTGGGTCTAAGCACTTTAAGCCACCGGCTGTGTTTGCATAGAACATACTAACTTCAAAATTAATTGCTGCTGTAACTATATAATTACTCGTCTCAGCAAACAAAGGACTAAATCTCAGTAAATAAGGTTCTCTACAAGTAGTTCCTTCTGGACAAATTAAAACATCACCTTTGCTGAGTAATTCTTTAATTAATTTGGAGTCGTTTTCTCTATTTCTGGTTAACCGGACCGTCTTGATCGGTGCAAGAAATTCAGACACCTTGCTTAAGCTGTATGTGACAGCAGTGAGAGGTTTCATTATAGCAATTGAAGCATAAATTGGATCAAATAGTGTATTATGGTTGCAAACATAGAGGATGCCTTTTGATTTTTCTTTGTTGTTGAGTTGAGAAATAAAAGATTTTGGTATAAAGAGGGTTCCTCCCATGCCAGTGAGATATAAGATGGGGATAGATAATTTGTAAGGTAATAATAGGCCAAGAAAAGCTCTAATAAGGCAGAGAATGAACCCAAATGGAATCCACATGAACATGGCTAAAGTGGCTAGTGGTGTTGGCCTAAAAGCCAATCTTCCATCATGGAAAATCAATGGTTTTGTGTACTTTTGCCTTGGTAGGATATGCCAAGTCCTCTTCTCTGCTTCACTTACAAGGTAAATTGCCTGATAGAAAAACAAATTAAATCATTGAAAATTATAGTTGTCAGAAGTTGTACTACACAATAAAATAAAATTTAATATAGTGACATTATATATTAAAAAATAAAAACAATAATTAAAAAAAAAAAAATTCACCCTTGATTGTGTTCTGACTGTTAAGGTCTAAATAACCAACCTGACAATGAGCGAAGAAGTGCTGATCAAGTGACTTATTTTGGCAAGCAAAACCAATAACATCACTTGCTATTTTTGGCTTCTCCAAAGTCTCCAAAAAAGCTTTACTTGCCTTCTTTGCTTCCATTAACCCAACAAAATATCCACAAACTACTTTCAATTCTCTTCCAAAAACCTCTTCAATTCCCAAATAATATCTCAAAAATCCATCAATCATTACTCTAGGCATATCACTAACTCCCATCTTTCTCCCACATGCCATCACCAAATCAAAACCCTCGTTACCAACATCCTCTAAGAAGAACTTCGGCAGGACAGTTCTTCCAATTCTAAAACTTTCCACTTTGATTCCAACAAAACTTACAAACACCATAATCTTTAATCCGATTTCGTCATTAACCAAACAAAGAAAAGGGTATAAAAGCAAAAGAATAAGAGCTCTCAAAGGACCACCTCCTTCAAAGGCTACAAGCATAAAGTAAGGAAACGTAGAAGATGATTTTAGTAGTGTTCCCTCCATATGAAACAACAAAGTTTTATTTAGAAGTAATTCTTCTCTTGAGGCAAGAAAAGGGTACTTCTCAATTTCTAAATGGGTTGCACAAGAATTGCTAGCCTTTCTTAGGAGATAAATCTTGTTGCATGCTTTAGTGATTAGGATTTTGAAAAAACAGAAAAGAGCTTTTGAGTTGAATAAATTGCTAGCCATATCTTGCCACCATTTTTCCCAAATTGGTGGGATTTATAAAGGCAAGTTAATAGTTACAAGAAAATAAGACAAGACATAGCAACATGAAAAATAACAGAAATGACACTAGCTTATGGTGCTTTCACTTAAAACAAAATCCATATATTGATTCCACATGTATGTAGCTACTTCTAAATTTTGTTTATTTCCATAACTTCATTTATTATAAAAATATGTATGATCAAAATGGTGATAATAAAGAGGGGAAGCCAATAATTTAAATTAAAGGGGATAAAGTTTTGAATATTTAAGTTGAGGGGAGTGGTTAAACGCCCACCACATCATTAAACGCCCACCATAATACTACCTTTCTTAAAATCTATACATACATGTACATAACATTAGAGGAGAAAGTGAATATTTCATAAGCAAACGTCCAATTTGTTCTCTTTTTCTTTCTTTTTTTTTTTTTTTTTAAAAAAAAAAAAAGAGACTTTCTTCGAGACATCAATTTTATGTCAAATTGCTTTCCGATTGAGATCATAATTTTTGAAAATCAAACAAAATAGTTATTAGGTTTCTCAAGACTGTATAATACTTGGTCAAAAATTCAATAGCTAAGGGGCAGATTAGTACTTCGCAAGGACAACTAGGAACAAGTTTGGATCACTAGTCCGTACTTTCTTTTTTTTTTTTTTTTTAAAAAAAAAAGAGACTTTCTTCGAGACATCAATTTTATGTCAAATTGCTTTCGATTGAGATCATAATTTTGAAATCAACAAATAGTTATTAGGTTTCTCAAGACTGTAACTACTTGGTCAAAATTCAATAGCTAAAGGGGCAGATTAGTACTTCCGAAGGAAACTAGGAACAAGTTTGGATCACTAGTCGTACTCTTGAACAGGTCAAGTTTGGCCAATTCACTTAACCACTCGCATTCACTTGGAGTGGTAATAACTGACTTACAGACTCCTTAAGTCTATGTTGAATTGTTCATTAATAAGCAGTAGGAAAGGTCATTTGGAAATTAGAATACAAGTCTACCAAACAAGTATGAATTCACCAAACCGCAAGCTTTGACTTACTGTACATGAAAGGAACTAATCCCTAATTAATTTAAGAGTTTAGCAACTGAAATTAGAAAACACTTTACTGTTTTTTTCATTAACATATTTATTTTGCATTTACAGCAAAACTTAGGCAATGTTGCCAGAAGCAAGCCCCGCCCACAACAAAATGCCAATGGCAGTACCAATGAATTTAAGACACATTATTTTGATTTTTCCTGAATTTAAAAATATGTTAATTCATCTAAATGGGAGAAATTTTGTTTATTTGTTTTCTTACATATTAATTAATAATATTTGGCCTTAATAAAAAAAGAATGGAATTATAGAAGGCAAAAACCCCACTCAAAGGCATGATACACATCATGGTGGGGGTAGCAATAGCATATGATGGGAATTATTCTCTCAGAAAAAGGATTATGCAACTTAAATGTTAAGTTTACCCTACAAATACATGTTTCTTTCAGATTTGATATGGTAGAGATAATGATTTGAAAAGGAAAAAAAGAAAAGAAAAGAAAAGAAAAAAAGTACTGTTAAACCAAAAATTGGATCAACATTCTTGTGATTTACTTTTAGCACAAAGTTTATTAAATCTAACTATACGAGTCCTAGGATATTTTATAGGAGTGGTCAATTCAAAGGAAAAGGTGAGGCAAAGGTTAAGAACAAACGCTAATAAATGTGTTAGTTTGATAAAGCTTACAGAAAATTAACAGAGAAAAGATCAGGGAAAACAATTAGCCTACTACTCATTCAGTTTCAGTATGCAGAACAAAGCTTCAAAGCAATCAAACTAAACCAGAAAACATTCAGTCAAAAAGAAATAAACACAAGGCATAAATTAAATCATCATGAATGCTTCCAATCCATTCCAGTAGAAACAAAAAAAAAAGACTCAAAAAAGGGAAGTTGTTGAATAGATTACCTAATACAAAATGACAGCCTTTTGTTGTCATCTCATGTCCAATGATTTGGCTATCAAAATCCCTAGCAACAACTAGAGAGAACCGAAGAGCTTCGAGAATTCGATCTAAGACCGCTTGTTTACAGCTCTTGCTGAATTTTACTTTTGGGCCTTTGACACTGGGCTTCTATAATAAATCAGCATTTTTCCCTTTTACAAAAATAAAGCCTTTTCTTGCCCTGCCCACTGTATCCAGTCTCTCCTCTTTGCATAAAAGGACTACAGAGCATAAACCATGCTTCTCCTCCTCCTCTCCCGCCAAAAGAACATAGCCGGGGAAGAAAACTGGCTCTACAGTGGTAGAAAAACCTAAAAGTTACAAGTACAGTGAAGTAAGGGCAAAAGGATGGGACAAAAGTGGCGAGCCCAAAAAAAATTTTCAATTCAATGATCGTGATGATAACATTAACAATACCACTGCCTATGTTCAGGTTTATTTATACTGTTTGGATATATGACTTCTTTATTTGTTGTTGATAATCAATCACTCAGTTGTATTTAAATGGTTACTGAGTTTGTTTGCATTGGCTGCTGTGATATTTTTACTATAGATTTTAGTAACTGGAAAGGATACGCATGATACGTTGCCTTCAGTTCTACTCTTCTTGACAAGCAAAGATTCATCTTCAATGCAGGAGAGGTAATCCTTGAATTTCAATTATAAAATTTTTTTATTTTGGGACTTGGTGTTAGCTATTCCATATCAGTATTCATGTTGTCTATAGGAAGCATGTGGAAATTCCGATTCTAAAATCCAGTGCAAGAATGAGAGCACAAAATTATTTGTGTCCCACGTTCTTCCCAGCTCCTGCATTTTGAACTCTTCAGCAACATAATGATAAAGCATCAGGCTCCATAGCTACAAGTGAGGTTTGTCATGCAATCTTAAAAGTGCGTTTTTGTATGAATAATGATTTTGCTGAAATTATTTGGTGGCAAATGAAAAGATTATGTTTGCTTTTGAGCCACACAACTCTGTGAAAGCATATCTGCTGAAAATCTCCTGAAGGTAGAAAAAATCTTCCTTTTATTTGTCTCACTTAGTATGATAATCTTTTACCATCTCTGTGTAATAAAATGATTCTTTTTTCTGAAAACTTTTTGTTTAATGTCTGAAATATCAGTTCTGTACCTACTTCTTAGGAACATTAATTTTTTAGGCCACAGAATTTGGCCATCTTGGTTTATGACATTTTTAATAGATCCCATATGTTGAATTATGAGATTTTCTTGTCTAATATGTTGAATAATTCACTTTGCGACCTCATACTCATCTTGGATTGGACAAATCCAACGTTCTAAGTGTGGCGGCTCCCTCAAAATTCATTGAAGAGTTACTCTTAGAGATTTCAGAGATTGTGGATGCTGCTCAACACATCAGCAAATTCTGGCACAGATCTGGAGAAATGAAAGAATGTGCAACTATTATGCAAGATAATACAATTAGATTTGGAAAGCAATTGTTGGATGGAAATTCTCCCTTGTTTTCTAGAAAATATGCGAAGTGATGATCTGAAAATTGTTCTGTTGGGCACTGGTTCTTCCCAGCATTCCAAATGTCGAAATGTTAGTTCCATCTATATTAATCTTTTCTCTAAAGGAAGTTTGCTCTTTGATTATGGGGAAGGAACTTTGGCGCGATTGAGAAGAAGTAAAACCATTACATAACGCATGCTACATGTATATAATAATTTCTATATTATATTTACAAAACGGCTAGTATACCTTGACAGATATGGCAAGGAGGATGCTAACAATGCTGTGAAAAATCTAAGATGCATTTGGATTTCTCATATCCATGCTGATCATCGCGCAGGTATAGCAAGAATACTTGCTTTACGGCGTGATTTATTGAAGGAAGAGGCCCATCAGGCGTTACTTGTCATAGGGCCAAGGCCACTTGAACATTTTCTAGATGCATATCAAATACTTAAATATTTAGATATGGAGTTTCTTGATTGCAGAAACACTACAGTTACTTCATGGAATGCTCTAGAAGGTGATATTGAATCAAATAGGGTCAGTTTGTTTCAAGACTCCAACAAATACCGAAGATATAGCAAAAGGAATATAGAGAGTACACAGTCGACGACTTCATTTGCCAGGGAAAGCTTTTTGCAGCCCTGTTCAAAGTGAATGAAACCTAGTATTCCAGTTGAGAGTGAAGTACCTCCATTACTAAAGAGATTGAAAGAAGTTATTCAGGAAGCAGGGCTTGAGAGACTGGTTAGTTTTCCTGTTGTGAATTGTTTGGATGCATATGGTGTTGTACTGCAGAGAGAATCAATGCCATCGGAGAGACAATACCAGGGTGGAAGGTTGTGTACTCTGGTGACACCAGACCATGCCCGGAATTTGCTAGAAGCTTCTCGTGGAGTGACGATTCTCATACACAAGGCAAGTATTCCTCAGTCCCATAATTTACAAACGTAAACATGAAAAATTTCAGGTCAATGTATCAGAATTATAATTGTAAGTTAATGATTTGCAGGCGAATTTTGAGAATTGCATGATGGGAGAGACTATAGCAAAAAACCACAGCACAACCAAGGAAGCCATAGAAGTGGGTGATTCTGCTGGTGCACATTACGTCATTCTAACCCACCTTAGTCATAGATACCCAAAAATTCCTGCATTGAATGAGATAGGCTTGAAGAAAACATGCATAGCTTTTGATCTCATGAGCATCAATATTACTGATTTGCCACTACTCCCTAGAATTCTTCTATATCTTGAATTGCTTTTTAGAAAGGACATGATAATTGAAAATTCAGATGATGTTATTGATGCAACTGCATAATGGAAAACATGTGTCTTACATCCTTCAAGAACACCACCAGAAAACCCATACAATACGATATGATATTAGTATTGTTACAAAATTTGACGTGGCCATCATCTATTGGTCAACGCAGTCTACATCTAAAATACAAAACTTAACAAACAAAGTAAAAATCGCAAGAATCAACAAGAAGTCTAGTGCTTATCTACCTCTGCCATCAAGTCCACTTCTCCTGTTACCAATCCCTCGTTATCTCCGCTCCAACTTTCCCTGCGATGTCAGATTCCGGTCACGACATCTTCTGCTACTAAGCCGCGCAGTATGCTTAGATTAGACGGTGCAGCCACAAAAGAGAAAGAAGAAGCAGAGCATCGATACTAGAGCCACAGACTCAAACGCAGTAATCAAGCTCCACATGACATCGTCGATTATTGAGAAATTCAGCTCCGGCCACCTTAAGAACCTCTGCGGGTCCCAATTTAGTACTCCTATCGGAGTCCACCTCGGCGATAAGTACGAGGACGACATTAATTGCGCCGGCCACCGGAAGATCGAAGACCGGAGGGAAGAGTAAGCTAAGTCTAGCCCCAGCCACCTGAATCCTGATGTGGACCACCTCCCCGCCATTCTCGCTCTCTGCTTAGAAAGTTAGAATCTCCTCTTGTCTCAATGATTCTAGTAAGTAGTAGTGAGAACGGGATTTTATACAAGAAAAAGGGCGATGATGATGGAAAGAGCAGCGATAGAGTGGACGCGTGTCTATTTGAGATTGTTGCTCATAGGGCCCAGTATTAATGGACGTTGACGATTTGTTGGCGTTGGATCATAATGTGGTGATATTGGACGGCTGTGATTGAAATCGCATACCTGTGATGTGTCCGTGGATAGGCTTTTGAATGACAAAAATTATGATTTGTTGATTTGAATTTTTGGATTGGGCCTTGGAGGGAAAATTATGAGATCTTAACAAAATTACAAAAAATTCAATTTTGTTGGAGTCTTGTCATTGCCAGTTATATATTTGTCGTGGCTATATTAGATATTTATTCACTTTTTCTTATTTTTTTCAGCGGTTGGTTATAGAAAGAGACAGGCTATTACTGAACATTCCAATTACAAATCTCTGTTTGTTTTTGCGGAAAATAAATTGTCTTCAATAAAATATTTTCTCGAGAAAAATAAGTGATGGCCGGGAATTTTTTTTTTTTTTAAATGAATTGGTCAAATTTTTTGACAAGTGATTTTTTTTTTCTGAATACGTTTAATTAGGAATTATAATCCTGACAAATCTCGTAACTGAGTTTCAAAGGGAGGGAGGGAACATAAGAACATGGCCTATTGTTCGTTTACGTCTGGTTACTAACAGCTGGCCAAACTTTTCAATTCTGCAATAGTTAGTTTTCCCACCAAAGTACTTTTGATGTTTTGAAAGATATAAGGTATTTTTACAGTGTGAACTAATAATATAATATAAATTATAAATTTATTCCGAAATTATTAGAAAATGATTTTATTGTGATGGAATGGAACTTCATGTGGAAGTGGTAATGAAAAATGGCGAGAAGCAGGTGATTTTGAGAGGAGGTGTTGCAACAAATACTGAATGAATGGGATTATATCAATCAATCATGCGTCTTTCGCTTAAAAGCAACAATAACATATTTGTGACAGAAGAAGAAGATGAAGAGCTCATTCAAAATAAATGCTATCATCCTATTTCTCGTATCTGGTTGGTGTAACAGTCAGTAACAAACAGGGACTTCTACTGTTTCAAAAGTAAACTTTTTCTTTTCTTTTCTTTACAGTCTTAAACCAACCAAAACGGTGTAGTTCAGGATTTTAGAGGGAGAAATTGAAGAAGGGCGGGAAGGATACTATATCTTGTTCGTCTCTGTTTCTTGATCGTTAGGTTAAGGATTTTCTCAATAGAAACTTTAATTTTAGGGCAGAATTGTTTGTTTTGGTGCAGATCAGATGAATGGTGCTGCTCCAAATCAGATGAATGGTGCTGCTCCAAATCAGATGAACGGTGCTGCAGCAAATCAGAGGAACGGTGCTGCTTCAAATCGGAGGAACGGTGGTGCTGCAAATCAGAAGAGAGGTGCTGTAATTGAGAGGAATGGTGCAAATAATCGCCCTATACCGGTTTATTACAAGCCGATAGAGGAAGTGGAAACGTATGAATTATGCACCTTGGACAGGCATGCATTTGAGAATTTTCGGGAATTGGATGCTGAAATTGATGAAATTATTGAATTTGTTTTTGATGACGAACCAATCCCGGTGGATGTGAAATTTGTAGGCCTCAGTGAAGAGCAGTTAAACCCTAATCAAATTCAGTGGGAGAGTTTTATTTACAGATTGAATTACATTCGTCTTGTTATTGTCGAACAATGAGAGCCATTAATGCTTTATGAAGTTAGCTGACAGTTGCTGCATTTTTCAAATTGAAATGCGTAGGTTGCTACTTACTATCATAAAGATGGAGAAGAAACTTAGGAGGTGGTGGCAAGGGTTAGACAGTAATTTCTATTTAAAGTATATATATAAAAAAACACAAAATATTGAATTTAAATGTTAAATTATTGAAATAGTTAACATTAAAAGTAATAGTGGTATCTTCTAAAGGATTGAACAATGCTTTCAAAATAAATTGGTAAAATATTTATCACAATTGTTTCATCCTGTTACGTCCCGACCCGGCAAAACGATCTTATGATGGCAGGCTAGTTAGGGTAGTGGAATGCGGGACACAGGAATGAATCGAATCATATATCGAAAATGGGGAAACTAATCATTAGAGGCGTCTTTTATTGAAATTTAAATGTTTAAATTTATTGAAATAGTTAACATTAAAAGGTAATAGTGGTATCTTCTAAAGGATTTGAACAATGCTTTCAAAATAAAATTGGTAAAATATTTTCAAGCAATTGTTTCATCTGTTACGGTCCCGACCCGGCAAAAGATCTTATGATGGCAGCTAAGTTAGGGTAAGTGGAATGCGGGACACAGGGAATGAATCGATCAATATATCGGAATGGGGATAACTAATCATTATGAGGCGTCTTGATGAAATGGCTTGGAGAAGTTGGAAGAACTCCCAGAGTTAAGCGTGCTCCGCTTAAATAGAAATCTCAGGATGTTGGGTGGGTTACCCTCCCTAGAAGTTTCTCATTTCACCTGCGGGACAAAACCGTGAAGTGTAGGGGCGTGCGGGGACTCACTGCAGTGTAAGGGCGTCCGTGGACTACAACCAAAGCGGACAATTCCCTCTGGTGATTAGAGTTCGGGGCGTGAATTCATAAATACTTTAGTGTAGGGCGTGCGGGGACTACACTGCAGTGTAGGGCGTCCGTGGACTACACCAAAGCGGACAATTCCTCTGGTGATTAGAGTCGGGGCGTGACATTCATAATACTTTAAAATATTTTGTTTTAAAAAAATTTGTCACATTAAAGGTTTTAAAAAGTAATAAATATTTTTTTATGTGTTTAACATTTATATATAATCAATAATTATTACTTTAATTTAATAATTTTATTAAAAAATTAGTATTAAATTAAGGATAATATAATCAATTTATTAGATAATTTATTGTAATTTTGAGAAATTGAATAATTTTTTTAAAAGATGGGAAATTCTAAATGTAATAATTATGAAACAGATGTAGTAATTAAAAAATTAAAAAAATAAAGAAAGTGAACGATGATTTTTGAAATCATAATTAATAATTTTACTTATCTATTTATTAATAATAGTTATGTGTATAATTATGATAATTGACATAATTAGTTTATTATTGAAATCAAGAAAGCTAATGATATGTACAAATCTAATTTAAATATTTTTTATGAGTATGGATTATTATATTAAGTTGGAGACAATAAAAGACACACTTTAATAAAAATAAAAAAATGAAATATCAAAACTATAATCGATGTATTAAAACAATAATTTAATTCTTATAACAGTTATATATATTTTTTCTTAACAAATTATTTAGTTATGAAATCTTTTATTTTATTATTTTATAAAATGTTTTTTTATATATTGTAAAACGCTGGACAAAACTAATATATATACAACTGTTTGGCCAAATCTTGAATTTGTAACCCCTTGTCATCATTTATTTACAATTAAAGCAAGTAATAAACTAAATTTTTTATTTCTTCAAACGAAAGGAAAAAAAATATATTTAATGAGTTTTATTTTTCGGAGGTGCCAAGAGGATCTCCCAAATGAAAGGCTAACTAAAACCGGTGAACTTAGATGCCAAGAAAAACAGAAGCCAAAAACCAACCAACACGGCAACACGCCACTTCCCAAACTCAAACTATTATCGTCAACACACAAAAACAGCAGCAACAACACACAATTTCAAAGTCCTGCGTGGGTCTGACATTTTCTCAAACACATACAGCGCATTATTCCTCGAAGAGAGAAATCTAGAAGAAAAGGGAATAAAAATGTCGCTGAGGCCAAGCACCAGAACCGAGGTGAGAAAGAAAGCGTACAAGACAGGTGTAGATGCGGACGAAGCGAGAAGGAGAAGAGAGGACAATCTCGTTGAGATCAGAAAGAATAAGAGAGAAGATAATCTTTTGAAGAAGCGAAGAGAGGGACTTTTGCTTCAGTCCCAGAATTTGGTCGATGCTTCTCAAAATGCAGCTGCCGTTGAAAAGCGGGTACATAGTTTTTTTTTTAAAAGTAATTTATTGGCGTTTTCTTTTTCTTCTTAATTTTCTGGATCTCGTTTGGGTTGGTCAAATTCTTTCCGACTATGCATGTAATTTGTTTGATTGCTGAGAAAATGTGGCGAGTGAAAGTAGGAATTCGCTTGAAATGCTTGAATCAGAACTGGATTTAAACTAATTGAAGTTAAATGTTTTATTTGGGATTTTCTATATCAATTTGTTTTTGCACATCTTATGAATTAGTGATGAAAGATCAAATAGAGAAGGGCTTTTTGATTAGTAATGGAGGTCCGTGTTTAAAAATTTTTTATGGTTATATATTTGGGTAATGATTTTTGATCGATCAGATTTGTTTAAGGAAGTAGAGTTTTGGTCATTACTTTAATTGACACTGGAGTATCTTTTGCCAAAAATATAGGAAATTAGTTGTTGTATATTTCTCTCACCCTCTCCACTTTTGGTTCTGTTCTTGGAACACCTATTATGGAGATTGGAGATATTGACTTTCTTGTCATGTATTATAATTTGTCCGATGCTATTCATGTGCTGAAAAATTATCCCTTTTGATTTTCATCTTATGGCTGCTGCAATTTTAGCATTTTCCTTTTGGTGCATTTTTGCAAGATAATGAAACATTTAACGTCTGGCTCCTACATGTGTTGCCTCGTATAGCAGTTGGAGAGCATTCCTGTTATGGTTCAAGGGGTGTGGTCTAATGATCCTGGTTTGCAATTGGATGCAACTACTCAGTTTAGAAAGTTATTATCAATTGGTATGTTACACAATTTTTACAGTTAAAAGGTATTCTTTACAAGTAAGAGTTGCCTATTTGATGTTGACATGTTTGATCTCTTTGCTGCATGATTGAGCAGAACGCAGTCCTCCAATTGATGAAGTAATTAAAGCAGGCGTCGTCCCGCGGTTTGTGGAGTTCCTTGGAAGACATGATCTGCCCCAATTACAAGTATGAACTGCTTTAACTAATTTTTTCATTCTTCTGGTAAATAACTTGCTTGAGGAATACAAATCTTGCTAGAATTAACTTTGCCTTTGTATGCAGTTTGAGGCTGCATGGGCTTTGACCAATGTTGCATCTGGGACATCAGAGCATACACGAGTTGTCATTGAGCACGGTGCAGTTCCCATGTTTGTACAGCTTCTTGGTTCTGCAAGTGATGATGTCAGAGAGCAGGTTGGCATTTGGCTGCTCATTTGTGAACTTTTTTAACTTACAGGCATTACTAACCCAGTATTTGGTTCTTAAGAATCAAGATAATCTTAAAAACAATAATATCTCATGTGGGTAGCTTGATATGGAAGCATAGGTCTCTTGCATCATCCTAGTGAAATGATTTATTCTCCTCTCTCCAGAATATTTTAAATTCTTAGTTAAATTATCTGTTGGTTTGTTTTCTTTTCTTTATTCTTTTTTTTTTTTTTTTTTTTTTTCCTCGTCTCACAGAATATTTTAAATTCTTAGTTAAATTATCTGTTGGTTTGTTTTCTTTTTTATTCTTTTTTTTTTTTTTTTTTTTTTTTTTCAAATATCTTTCAAATCTTTCGCTTTTTTTTTTTTTTTTTTTTTTCAAATATCTTTTCATCTTCGCCAATTTCAGTTTTCCATTCTTTGCATAGCCTCGTTCAAGCATATGCTGTTGAAATATCTGTGGCTACTAATATATTTTGACCCTAACCTTGTTGTATCTTGATCAGGCGGTGTGGGCTTTGGGCAATGTTGCAGGTGATTCTCCAAGTTGCAGGGATCTTGTTCTTGGTTATGGTGCTTTGATCCCATTACTGGCTCAGTTAAATGAAAAGTCAAAGCTATCAATGCTGCGGAATGCTACCTGGACTTTATCCAACTTCTGCCGTGGCAAGCCACCAACACCATTTGATCAGGTGAGAACTGGAAGATGATTTTAGATATTTGATAGCTTCATAAAATAACCTTCCAGATGTGATATGTTTAAATGCTAATTTTCATAATTAGCACTGTATATTTTGTTTGTGGTCATGATATTTTGATGCTGTTTATGTCAGGTGAAACCTGCATTGCCTATTCTCAGGCAACTAATCCACTTGAATGATGAAGAAGTTCTAACAGATGCTTGTTGGGCCCTCTCTTATCTTTCAGATGGTCCAAATGACAAAATACAGGCTGTGATTGAGGCTGATGTATGTCCACGATTAGTGGAACTTCTACTGTAAGTTTCATACACACCTCCATTGTGGATTTTAACTTTCACTTGTGTTTATTTGTTCCCTGTAGCTTTCCAGTTAGAGCATTGTACCATTTCTGATGGTATGATAACATTTTTTTCCTTCACCAACTGTTTGCACGTGCTACTCTGGTTTTACAGTTGTCCAAATATGTATACTAACTTAAATGTGTTTATTGCTGCCAGTCATCCATCACCTACAGTTTTGATACCCGCCCTCCGAACAGTTGGAAACATTGTTACGGGTGATGATGTTCAAACTCAGGTATTTCTCATACTTGTATGTGTGGTGTTTTGCGTGGTTTGATGAGGTTCCTCTCTTTATTGTGAGGTTGACACTCTTTTAAATGAGTTTGGGATAATGAATTAATAAATTATCTTATTTTTTGAATAAAAGTACTGGTGTGTGAAATTTATTTGAATGGCTAAACTAATACAAGTTGTTATTTAATATATTTCTATCGTTCATGTGCATGTGCATGTGTGTATATATTTCATGTAAAATTTTTCTGTTTGTTTCCATTCCACAACAGTTGAGTAACCCACTAGATATGTTTTTCCAGTTTGTAATTGACAATCAAGCCCTTCCATGTCTGTACCAACTCCTAATGCAAAATCACAAAAAAAGTATCAAGAAAGAAGCTTGCTGGACAATCTCAAATATTACAGCTGGAAATAGAACTCAGATACAGGTATGGGTTGTAAGCTCTAATTTTTGTGTTACATGAAAAACTTGAATAACTTGAAAATTCCGATTATATTTCTAGTATTGAAAAGTATATACTCTCGTAGCTTTAATTTGGAAAGTTTGTTTCAAATGGAACCTTTTTATTATAATATAATGGACTAAAAAGCCAAAAGCCCCTCATCCTAGTTTGTATGGTAATATAGATAATATTCTTACAGAGTTGGACCCCCTTCCTTTGCATTACTTGGAAGAGGTTGAACTTCACTTTTATTTTATTTATTTTTCTGAATATTTATACTCTCTCATTGCCTATAATTTTTTGTTTTTTCTGCCATCCAAGAGATATATCAATGGAGAAAAAATTGTTAATGGCCACAAACAGCAATTGTGACAAATTCTAATTTGCTGAAAATAATATTTTCCATGAGAAACCTTGACTTTCAGAAAGGCTGAGTCAGGGAAAATATCTAAGATTCCTATAAAAAATATTTTAGTTGATAATGGACCTATAGCTATGTGAAAGATGGCTTTTCTTTCTTGGAAGACACTTGATAATTTTTGTTATAACTTTGTGAAACAGGCTGTTATTGAGGCGAACATTATACTCTCTCTTGTACACCTTCTTCAGCATGCTGAGTTTGACATTAAGAAGGAGGCTGCGTGGGCTATCTCTAATGCGACCTCTGGAGGATCTCACGAACAAATTCAGTATATTTTCTTTCCCTTGTTACTGTTCGATTTCTCTTGCCCAGAGTGTGTTGCATCTTTGTCCAATTTCTAACCTCTTGGATTTTATACAACGCGGTAGGGAAACAGAACTAATGCACTTATACCATGTAGTTGGGGCGTTTGACTATTTGAAACTGATAGATTGTGTGGTGATGGGAATGGTTACTTGTAAATCAATTTGAAGTTGACAATTGAGGGTTGCAGTTCAGCTCAATGCATAGGATTGGCTGAAGCAAGCTACTACCTTATCCCCAGATTGATGCATGTAGACTAAACCTTACATTGGCACTTCTTAATTTTGTTGCAGATTTCTAGTGAACCAAGGTTGCATTAAACCACTCTGCGACCTTCTAATATGTCCAGACCCCAGGATTGTGACAGTTTGCCTGGAAGGGCTGGAAAACATTCTAAAGGTGGGTGAGGCTGATAAGGAAATGGGACTCAATGGAGGAATTAATCTGTATGCACAAATGATTGACGAATGCGATGGATTGGATAAAATTGAGAATCTGCAGACCCATGACAACCATGAAATTTACGAGAAGGCTGTGAAGATTTTGGAGAGGTACTGGGCTGAGGAAGAAGAGGAACAGACTGTCCAAGATGGTGGGGATGGAAATCAGCAGGGATTTCCTTTTGGATCAAACCAGCCTAATGCTCCTCCAGGTGGCTTCAAATTTGGTTGATGTCGAGGGCTGTAAGGTTTTTTTTTTTTTTTTTGGTTTATCAAGCCTTTTAGGTGAGGTGTTGTGTTTGGCTGGAATTTTTAAAAACATATTTTATTTGCTGCCAAGGGTCAGGGTTTTTAATCTGGCACACAGGCCTTTATTCTTTTGTGGAGTTTGTTAAAAAAACAAGTGTCAAAAGGCTTCAGCTTGCAGTTTTCAACTCGATTTGTATTCCGAAATTTAATAGGAAAATTGGTCCTTGTTATTGTCTTCAAGAGAAGTTAGTGATGTGAAAATTAGCATTTGCTCAAATTAGTACTGTGTATTCTCTCAGATAATGAGCCTTCTATACAGATATATTTGTGTTCTGATGTATCATCTGGGGCTCAAGCTTATAAGTATAGAAATGGAAATATTAATATGGGTTAATGCATTTTCGTATTTCCTTTCTCTCTGACCTTTTTTTATTTTTTTAGTTAAATCGGAAATGCACAACGAGCACTTTCCTGTTTCCTTGGGGGCTCTTAAAAACGTAAAAATGGCGATTTTTGATTCTGGGAGATGAACATTTGGTCACATTAAAGCACCATTTTCTTTGATATGGCTAAATAGAGTGAACCATGCTTGACTGAATGGGCCAAGTTACCCAGTCAGCAAGAGAAGGCCCAGCCCGATTGATGGACTAAACCGTTGTTTTTCTGTTTGGCGGAAACATTTTCGCCCCGGGGGGAATCTTTTCTTTAACCTTTTTCTATTTGCCCTTTCGACAGACAACGGACTTTGGTCTCGCTGTTTTATAACTTTCACTCGATAGCTCAAATCACTGCAATGGCAGACAACGAGAAACAAGATGGACATCAATACGGCGTGCTTCTCTATTACAAATTCACTCTAATTCCCGATCTCGATTCCCTCCTCACTTTTTACCAGTCCAACTGCAGCTCCCTCTCCCTTCTGGGCCGCGTCCGCCTCTCCTCTCACGGCGTCAATGTTACCGTATTTAATCTAAGCCTAAACTCGACCAACTTCCCTCTTTCTCAAACATCAATCTTGATATTCCGTTTCTTTTCTTTTTGGGTTTGTTGTAGGTTGGTGGCACGTTGTTATCGCTGGAGAAGCATATAGCGGCCGTAAAGTCGATTAGTTTCTTTGAAGGGACAGACTTTAAGCTCGCGTCTTCTCATTATCCTTTGAACGATAAGGTTGCTCGTGAGTGCGGTTTCACTTCTCTCTCCATTCGGATTGTCGAGGTCTACGGTCTACTTGTTTTACTTTTTAACTAATTTGTTCAGTTTGTACCAATTGATTGGATTTCTGATTCGACTATGTTGTGGCTTTTGCTTGTCATGCTAATAGTTTTATGTCTCTTTGTTTCCAGGAATTAGTTACTTTTAGCTCACATCCTTTGTTGAAACCACCAGATGTTATAAATGCTGGAAGGCATCTATCTGCGCTTGAGTTCCATTCTGTTCTTCAGAGTGCTCGTAAGAAGTTGTTTTTTTTCCCCCTCAAACCCTTTTTAGTTCTGTTCTTTTTAGAATGAACATGATTGTAAATTGTGTCGGTTGATCCTGTGTATGCTGTGCAGAGCAATGTATTGAGAAAGAGGGTTCTGCTGCCAATGGAGGACTTGTTCTGTTAGATGCAAGAAATTTATATGAGACAAGGATTGGGAAATTTGAAATGCCTACTGTGGAAACTCTAGATCCCGGAATCAGGCAGTATAGTGATCTGCCCTCCTGGATTGATGATAATTCTGAACAATTAAGAGGAAAACAGGTGCTCATGTGAGTTCTTACTTGAAAATTGATCATATTTAAGTGTTTTCCTGAAGCTTATGTAATTTCTTCCTTGAAATTTTAGATGTATGGTTCCATTTTGATCTTCATTTATTATGATGGGTGGTTTTGTAGGTATTGCACTGGAGGAATCAGATGTGAGATGGCATCCGCCTATATTAGGTCAAAAGGTGCAGGATTTGAAAATGTATTTCAGGTGAGCTTCTTAGATTAGGTGGAATTTAGTAACATCGTAGTTTGATAATGTGGCTTTGTGGATGTAAGATTAGTACTTGATGACTGGTAATTTGGGCTCTGTTGCAGTTATTTGGTGGAATACAACGTTATTTGGAACAATTGCCTGATGGTGGCTTTTTCAAAGGAAAGAATTTTGTGTTTGATCACCGGTATGATTTCTTGGCCTCTCTCTAATTTCTCTAATAGCTAATTAGGTCTCAGTCTTCTTTTTTTTTTGGCAGGGCAAAAAGAGAACCCATAAAGCTTTCATTGATGATATAAGAATTTTCTATGCCCTAATTTCTATCTTTTCATATTGTGATTATAGGATTTCTGTTGGAAGCTCGGATGTGAATATCTTGGGTACCTGCCTTCTTTGTGGCGTGTCCTTTGATGACTATTCTTCACGTTGTAGATGCTTTTATTGCAGAATGCTTGTTTTGGTCTGTGATAGTTGTCAGGTATGCATTGGCTATTAGTTAATTACTATCCTTTTACTTTTGGATGTTGAAAGTTGACTATCAGATGCAATGATAATATGGTAGCTTCATATATGTACAGTGAATTAATCTAACAATAATCAAGTTTCTGAACTTGCAACCCTCATCTTTGCCTAATCTCTAAATGATTTTCAACTTTTGGCTTCTGTATATGTGTTGGATTCCATATTTCTGGTTCTTGTTTCATAAATTTTATATTGTCAATGAACAGACAAAGAAAGCTGTCTATGCTTGTGAGCTATGTCAGAAACATGGTAAGATCGTCAGCTTAACTCCCTCAATTGAAAATGGCAAACTGCAAGAAACAATGCTAGAGAATGAACTCAAATGCATTTCCTCAAATACTGCACTCTTGCATCAACAGCATCAGGGACAGGGTAAGGTCTGTATTTAGGATAAGTTAACTTTCAGATTTACAAATATGTTAAAAAGTAATAATGCTAATTCTCCATGTTAATTGTAAACAACTGCATCATTTTTATCATTTATTTACATCTATTTTTCTGCCACAGGCTTCTTGCTTGTAATGCCATTAGTTTTCATTTAATGACACAGGAAATGGTCTCCCAAGAAAACTAAGAATCTTATGCTTGCACGGGTTCCGGCAGAATGCCTCTGGTTTTAAAGGGAGATCTGCGTCGTTGGCCAAGAAACTTAAAAATATTGCAGAGCTTGTTTTCATTGATGCACCCCATGAACTGTCTTTCATTTACCAACCTTGCGTCACAGAACCAGTTCATGATAATGCATCACAAGAAATTCTTCCTCCAAAAGGAAATTGCAAGAAGAAGTTTGCATGGTTGGTCTCACCTGATTTCAAAGGATGGAGTGAAGCTGACTGGACAGTGGCAGATGGTCCATTTGATCCTCTCCAGTACCAGCAACAAACTGAAGGTTTCAATATATCAATATCATATTTGAGGACTGTATTCACTCAGGAAGGGCCTTTTGATGGGATCCTAGGATTTTCACAGGGTGCAGCCATGGCTGCTTCAGTCTGTGCACTAGAACAGAGACTGAAGGGTGAAATAAATTTCAGATTTGTGATTTTATGCTCTGGATTTGCTCTAAAACTTTCAGAAGTCAAGCCTGGATCAATCAACTGCCCTTCACTTCATATATTTGGCAGTGCTTTGGGCAAGGACAGGCAGATTGCGAACCAAGCAAGCAGAGACCTGGCTTCCTTGTTTGATGAAGGTTCATCGGTTATTATCGAGCATGATTGTGGTCACATAGTTCCTACTCGTCCTCCTTATGTTGATCGGATAAGAGGCTTTCTTCAACGTTTTCTTTGATGCAATTGGAAATTTTGGTTTGATTGTAAACTGATAAATGTATTCTATCATGATGATTGGAACTGTAAACTGACTTGAGCCATAACCAAGAGACTTGGACTTGTTGGCTGAGCATGTGTTGTGCTAGGATGTAATAGAGGTGCTCATACATAATACGAGCAAACTTTTTCTTTTTTTTTTTTTTTTTTTTTAAACTGACTTGAGCCATTAACCAAGAGACTTTGGACTTGTTGGCTGAGCATGTGTTGTGCTAGATGTAATTAGAGGTGCTCATACATCAATACGAGAAACTTTTTCTTTTTTTTTTTTTTTTTTTTTTTAAATTTAGTTTTAATACTTCTTTACGTTTGGCTGAATGGTTTTTTTTTACACTCTTTTTTTTTTTTTTTTTTTTTTAAATTTTAGTTTTAATACGCTTCTACTTTGGCTGAATGGTTTTTTTTACACTCTGTTTAGTTGGAGGTGAACGAGAGGTACATAAGGGGAATGAGAGGTATTTAAGATATTTATTCTTATCAAGAAAGAGATGATAAATAAGGGTAAGTTTTATCTTTATTTACCTCTCAATTTTCAAATTTTGTTATATCGAATTTGGGTGGTAAGCAAGGAGAGAGAGAGGTAACTAAGTATTTTTGTACTACTTTTAATTTTTTATCCCTCTCTTCTCTTTCCAAACACGGAATATGCATTATCTCTTTTTACTTTTCCATTAATTCATTCCTTTTTAAGCATCAATATTATTTTATTATAGTTCTCCATACCCTTTCCACTCCTTACCCTCCCCTACCCTTCCCTTCCATTAATTATCCTTCTCTCACCCCATCCAAACAGAGTGTTAAAGAGCAAGACTTTTAGTGCAACTACCAAACGCGTGAAAGATTTCACGCTGTCGTTCGACGTCAGTTACAGCGGTTAACGAATATTATTGCTCAAACGAACCAATACAGTGTGACGTGTCATTGTAAAATTTATGTAGCTCTGCTACACGAGTGTCGTTTAATTTTGCAGGCGGACGTTCGCACATGCGGGTTACTGTTAGAGGAGAAAACGACGTTTCGTTCGTCAGTGTAACAAAATCAGGAGATTCTCTCAGAGAAAAATTCAGAATCTACAGAGACCTTAAACCCTAAGATGAGAATTTGAGAATTACCTAGAATTGAGAAGAAGAGAGTTGATACCAGGATTTTGCTTCACTTCAAACTGAATATAAAGTATAAAGCGTTCACTTTCCGGCTTCAGCAAATACAGAGAAAATATCAGAAATAGAGTTCGTGAGAAGCAGCAAAAATGCAGGTTCTTTTCCGCAAGTTGCTACATAGAACACAGTCGTTCAAACAAGTAATTTACTTTCTATCAAACAAGCTTCTAATCTCTCTTTCCCTCTCCCTCAGTCGTGATTTATCTTTTCTGGCGATTTTTGCGTTTCCGTGCCTCAAGTAAGGCATAAATTGTTATACTACTTGTGAATTTAACTTCTAATTATTCTTAAATATTGTTACTTTAATTTAAACTTCGTAGCTATTGATTTGCTAACATGTTTCATATTCTATTCTAGATGAAAAGTAATATATAGCTCATTGTTAGTTCCATTTATTATAGCTAGCTGGTGATGCAAATGACTATTTTTATTATTTGCAGTAATTCTTATTGGATCTAGCTTGAACTTTGCTTGTTGATTTTGTTTTCAGGGTACTGGTTGTTGTGGCTATTCTACAAGCAAGGTCGTTGACATTGGCCAGCCAACTTCAGCAACTCATCCTCAGGTGATGCCGCTTATTTCACATGTACACAAGGCATAGTGCCATTGTCATGGATGGGCATTGCAGAAACATGATCTAGTTGCATGCTATTATTTTTTATTTTTTATTTTTTTTGGGGTTTGGGTGCATCAGTTACCAAATCAAGTATTCAAACTTGCAATCACTTATTTTGGAAGAAAGAATGAGGAAGTGATGCAATTGCACATATACAATTACATTAACTAGAATTTATATGGACTTTTGAGTGTTAGTGCTTCCCACTATATATCACGCTTTATTTCCTTTGTGTTTGCTTAATGAAATTATTTTTGTTTGCCTTTGCAGTTGCTAGAAGAAGGGCAGATTACACCTGGTATTACTAGTGAGGAGTACATCTCAAGACGAAAAAGGTTGTTGGAGCTTCTTCCTGATAAGAGTTTGGCCATCATTGCAGCTGCCCCTATAAAGATGATGACGAGTGTTGTGCCTTATACTTATCGACCAGATGCTAATTACTTATATATCACTGGCTGCCAGCAACCTGGTGGTGTGGCAGTTTTGGGTCATGAGTGTGGTTTATGCATGTTCATGCCAGAGCCAACACAGCATGTATGCCCTTTCTTGTATGATAGAACTTTTTAGATTGCCTGTAAAGTTTAATGAAAATTCCTCAGAAATGGGTTCAATCGCTGTTAGTTTTTGCATATTAGATTCATTATTTAGAGTATTTAATTAAATCACCAAACACAGGCCAAATAGTTTCTTATTATGTTTTTGCTAGTTAGATAAAATCATAAAATTGTTTATAAGGTATTTGAAAAGATTGTTATGTCAAAATATGTGCATTATAAGCTGGGTGATGTCATTAAATACTGGGGTTGGCACGAGGGGAAAAGATAATCAGCTACTTGAATGGTTGCTAAATTTATTTTTCATCTTGTTTTCAGGACATCATATGGCAAGGGCCAAGTGCTGGAGTTGATGAAGCATTAGAAATATTCAAGGCTGAGAAAGCATATCCAATGAGAAAAATACATGATGTGAGTTTTGATGAATGTTGAATGCTAGATAAATGCATCAATTGATAAATGTTGAAAGCTAGACCAATGCATCAATATGACATTTATCTTAGATTGTGGTTGTTGCTTTTTGCTTATAGAAATGTTTTCTCCATCTATCATGTTAATTTGCACTCTGAAAGATATTCTTTTCTGAGTGGGGGACAAAGGATAAGCTGGGATATGTAGTCAGCTTGTTATCAGTTTGACGTTTGAGGATATCATGTCAATTGTATAAATGTAGCATTTAAACCAATATGTTTTAAAATGTCTTTCCATAACTGATATTAATTGACAGCCTTTATGCTGCCAAATATCTAGTTGATATGTCAACCATTTTCGTTTCTATTTTTTATACGTCCTTTCTTCATGGTCACTTTTTGACTAATACATGCAGGTTCTTCCAAATATGATAAGGAGATGCTCCAAGTTGTTTCACAACATGGAGACAGCCACACAAACATATACAGAATTGGAGGCCTTCCAAACGGCATCTGTCATCGGCAAAGTGGAAGACCTCTCCAGTTTCACCCATGAGTTGCGATGGATTAAATCATCTGCAGAGGTTAAATTGATGAGAGAGTCTGCATCAATTGCTTGTCAGGTACTTCCAATTTTACATTGTCTCCAGTTCAATTGAATTTCATAAATAAACTTCCACTGGATTGTTGACATTTTTTTATTCAATAGCCTATTAGACTCCTTTTAAGTTATAGTATTTTTATTTGTAATAACTAAAGAAATATGATGATGGATGAAAAGGAAATAAATGGACACAGAAGAATCGTAATGCTCTTGCACAGTAGTAATATTCACTCATGGAACTGAAACAGCTTTTGTGTCCTATATAAAATTGAGCCTTTCTCCTTTTTGTTGATGTCAATGGGATAATTGCCTTCATGATGCTACACTTGGTAACTCTTTTCGGTATTGGATAGGCTCTTTTGCAGACGATGTTACATTCTAAGACATTTCCCTATGAAGGTAAGCTAGAAGCAAAGGTTGAATATGAAAGCAAGATTAGAGGTGCCCAGAGAATGGCGTAAGCTTCTTCATTTCTTATGATCTGATCTGAAGTGAACCTTTACTATATGTTTCTATATTGTAAATATTGTTAAGAGATGTAGAGTGAAATAAGGACAATTTGTAATTGAATTCTGCCTTTTAAATGTAGTTCATATCTGTTTTGCAATTGTTTTTCTAATATGGTGACTGTTTCTCCAGATTCAATCCTGTGGTCGGTGGTGGGTCTAATGGTAGTATTGTGCATTATTCCCGAAATGATCAGAAGGCAAGCTTTTTCTCTCAAAAACTGATATTTAGCATCAATAACAAATCTAATTGATATTATGATCCATGTCGAAAATAATCCAATACTTCTATTTTGCAGATTAGAGATGGTGATCTTGTTTTGATGGATGTTGGATGTGAGTTGCATGGTTATGTCAGTGATCTTTCTCGTACCTGGCCACCCTGTGGCAGTTTTTCTTCAACACAGGTATGCTCTTGATATATTTGGGAAAAAGCTAAGGAGCATATATGCTATTAGTAAATTTGTTTCATTTAAATATCTTTTGTCAAATTATTTTAAAATATAATTTTATATCTCTTCATTTTAATTTATGCATTATTATTTATTCTATAATTCATTGATAAGCTGGAAATTTGTGTATAAGTTCAAAGGGAAGAATTTAGGGGTGTCCAATAAGTCCAAAAAACAAAAGTTTAAGATCAAAAGGTGTAACAGACTTCCTAAATAGTTGAGTAAATTTATGTATTCAGTCTACTATTAATTTATATTTGTGGCTGGAAAGTACACTTGATCTCAAACTTGTAACTTGTACTTTTATTTAAACTACAGTAAAAATTGATGCACATGGGTGCATACATATGGCTAAAAAGCAATAAAGATGGTAATGTCTTTAGGGGTTTGTTGGTGGTCCAAACACTTGTCCTTTGAAGGGATACTATTAAGCAGCACATTTGTATATTTGCTTGCAAGCATAATAATATTTGTCCTTTTTGTTTCCTTATGTCTAGGTGCATATTTTTGTTTTTGTGCTTGTGTTGTAGCTAAGTAGAGCCCAACATGATGACCCACCAGCCTCCAACCCTCTTTTTTTGCTGTACCTACTTGAAGTCTGCCTACAGCAGTTTTAAATTTCTAGCTGTTAATATTCTCGTTTTTTGTCATTAGCGCAACCATCTTAATATACAATATTTATGACCTAAATCTTTGTTTTCAGGAAGAGCTCTATGATCTTATACTTCAAACGAATAAATTATGCATTCACTTTTGCAGACCTGGTGCTAGCATTCGGCAAATACACAACTATTCAGTATGTATTCAGAATCGATGTATCCTTTTGATCAATGTATTTATAGAACCACCATGCCAGAAATATAATTTTTTTGTTTATGAATTCCATTGGGCTAAGTCTATGAAAGCAGTTGTAAGGTAAACTCCTTCCTAGTAGTAGTAAGTCCTTTGCAAGCTTTCATGTCCGATCTATTTTTAAGTCAGGACCACGTTTGCTGTTCCATTGTCCATGTTAGTTTTCTAGCATTGTTCCGGAACTAGTATGTTTATACGTATTCTGCTCACAACTTCATGGCCATTTGATCTATTGTGTTATTTTTTTTTTTTAATTTATTCAGAAGGTAAATCGGTTTCTGAATAGCTATCAACCTATGATCTTGATTTTTTTGGTAGAGGATTGAGCTGGCTTTTTTTTTTTTTTGGGCTAAGTCTAACATGAAAAGCAGTTGTAAGGTAAATCTCCTTCCTAGTAGTAGTAAGTTCTCCTGGATGTCAAGCTTTCATGTCCGATCGTGATTTTTAGTCAGTGACAACGTTGTGCTGTTGCCCCTTGTCCATTCGTTAGTTTTCTAGCCATTGTTCCGGAAACTAGTTATGTTTATAACGTATTTTTGTCTGCTCACAACTTCTCATGCCATTTCTGATCTATTGTGTTTTTTTTATTTTTTTTTTTTTAAAATAAAAAAAAAAGAAAAAAAAAAAAAAAAAAAAAAAAAAAAAAAATAAATTTAAATCTCCATGAAGGTAAAACACCTCTCGTGGCGGGTTTCGTGAATGAAGCCTTTATCAACCTATGAATCTTGGATGTTTTTTTGGTAGACGGATTGGAGGCTGGCTTTTTTTTTTGTTTTGGTTGGGGGGGGGGCGGGGGGGCGGTGTTTTTCAAGTGTCAAGAGAATACCCAAAAACCAAAATCAGAGTGCACTCATGAATTAAAGCGAGGTTGAGCCAATTCAGCTACGTCTTGTATTTTGAGAATTGGTAGGTTATTATGGTCAGCTAGGGGGGGGGGGGGGGTTTCAGTTCAAAGCATACCCAAAACCATCAGAGTGCACTCAGAATTAGCGAGGTTGACCATTAGCTACCCTTGTATTTGAGAATGTGTAGATTTGTCAGCTATAACTTTATCTTTTCCGCTTCTCTCCTAGTGTCTACTCTTTTTGTTTTGTATATTCGTTGGTAAACCTTATTTTCTGCTCAATCTGCTCATAGTACTTGCTTGAGTAAGCAATATTTAATTCTAATACTGCTGTATCACTATATACTGGATAGGTTGAAATGTTGCGTAAAGGACTTAAGGAGATTGGAATTTTGAGAGATAGTGGAAGCAATTCCTACCATCTACTAAACCCAACTTCTATAGGTTTTTTTTCTTTTTTTCAGCTTCTTCTTGCTTACACATCTTGTTGGCATTTTCCCATTTTTGCTATTTCTCAAGGTTATCGCTGATGCATGTGAACATTTTAGCTTGATAATGAAGCTCATATAAACCCTTCAAATTGGTTTTGACTTTGATTGCCTTTTTGTTCCTTTGTCTGTTGTATAGGTCACTATCTAGGAATGGATGTCCATGATAGTGCTACTGTCAGCTATGATCGTCCTCTGAAGCCAGGTGTTGTAAGTTCTCTCTTAGATTGAACAATGTTTTAGCCTTTTCAACTACCTTTGAGTTCATCTTTAATATCTATCAAAATTTTCCTTGCTTGATACCTTGGATATTATTTGTATATAAATGCATTAATGTTGACAGGGAGCATGAACTATCCTGCTGTAATTTGGTTTGAAGGTTCATTTTAGTTGCATTTTTGCTCCAATTGCTTGAGTAATACATATTTTCATATGTCATGCATATTTAGGTAGAGGAGAACCTCAAATAAGAGAATTTGGTACACTGGCACTTGGTTTTCCCATGTCCTGTTGTACTTTTCGGGGAAAAAGAATGAAATCAAGCATTCATATTACTCAGGAAGAATTGTTTAGTTATATATGGTAAAATTTGTAATTATAAAAATATTATTCTGGGATTTCTAGAATTAACAAATTTTGCTGATGTAGGTTCTATGTGGATAGGATATATTAAAATCATAAGCTATTATTTTACAATGAAACTACTAAGGATATTTGAGGAGTTTTATTAAATACAAGGCCTTTGTGTTTCTGGGAAAAAAAAATGTTAAATTGAAGCTTTTATGTAGGTTATGTAGTTTAATGTACATTTTCTGTCCATGAGCAGGTGATAACAATTGAGCCAGGTGTATATATTCCATCTATGTTTGATGGTCCAGAAAGGTACATATCCTTTCTCATGACAAAGTATTGCTTTAAGTTGAATACAATAGCCACTTGGACACCTTCAGCCATTTGTAAGCTAGTTGCTTTCTACTACTTTTAAGCTTCAAGCAAACTTCCTACGAGAAATTGGTTCCATAGAAGTTATCAAAACTGAAGAAAGTTAACAATACCAAAACACATAAAACTCTGTATTGGCAAGTGAAATGCTGAACCTGATTTTAATTGATTAATAACTTTACAGTAGAAAAAATGAAGCTTGGACTGATTCATTGCAACTCTATAAATTACAAAGTAAAGACATCCATAAGGGAAATCCTGTGCCAAGGACAAACAGGATAAGCCTGTTACGCTAACTTTTCACTTTTCAACTCAGCACGTGGTTAAGATACATGTTGCTTTTTGGCAGAATATTGGTGATTTTATACCATTGTTGAATTTTCCAAAAATTACTCTTTAATATCTGTTGCCCTTTTTATGAATGTGCAAGCTGATAAGATTCCTAGTTGGGTGATATCCCTAGAGCCTTTTTTGATTCTTTACTCCTTTTGTAAATCGGATTTAGATTTAAGGACACCAGTTATATCTCTCTATATGATCATTGAATGTTTATTATTCTCGTGATATTCAGTCATAATTCAGGGATACTTATTTCAGGTTCCGAGGCATTGGAATAAGGATCGAGGATGAGGTCCTAATTACAGAAACGGGTTATGAGGTAGAAACCAAAATCTGTTTTTAGTGATTACTGCATTCTGACTCCTAGAAGGGATGTGATTCTTCTAATTTACTTTTTCTTAGTATAGTCATGCTTCAACTTGAAGTAGCACATATAACACATATAATGGTTATTGATAAGTTATAAGCATTGACTATCTTCCATCTCTTTGTTCTTCCCTAGTATTAGATGTTTTTCTTCAGAAAATGAATGTCATTTTGGTAGAACTTAAACTGTATGATATGAAAAACTAAAATAAGAGACCATCTTTTTCATGTATTAATGTTCTTTACATATTTGGTACAATAACATCATGAGCAATGGTATTGTAGCAGTAAATACTTAACAATCCTTCTTGTATGAAACTAGGTACTAACTGGCTCGATGCCTAAAGAAGTAAAGCACATCGAGTCCTTGCTAAACAATTACAGTCATGGGAGTGGAATGGAGAGCCCGAGTATTGTGCATGTTGCTTCCAGTTGACTATCCCCTTAAAATGTCGAAAGAGGCTGAACAGTGGCTTATTGGCTATGGATTTCACTACGGAGGTACTCTCCTTCAAGCACATTATTTTACACTGGAAGCATAGAGCTAAGCTTCGGATTATCTAAATTCACATTAGAAATGTGCCATCTGCCATCTTCGCGTTTTTGTTCTTTCATTCTTTTCATAACATAATGCACGATAAATAACTGCAATATTATTCTTGGGTTTGGGGCATTTGCCCCTTCTTAGGCCTGAGCTGAGCTGGGTCATAATTTTGATATTTGATGCGTATTGTAATATATTAACATAGCTAAAATTGCAGTATGAAGCTTTTTTCTTCTGCACTGATGGTACATTTCCTCGCAGAGTGACTGTTTACTCTTAGCTTGTATTATGATGTTTTAATTTCCCACCCACCCATCTGGAATTCTGTGGAGAAGGTAACAAGTGATCAAATCTTTCAAAATTTTCATTGCAACACGTTTCTGTCAAGATTTGTTGAATTGGATGCGATGACACTCAAGTAAAGGGTGAGCTAAACCAAACTAGTTCTAAATACTTTGAGAAGCTTCTACTTATGTTGCACTCTCTCCGTTTTCGAATACTTTGTCTCATTTGAGAAAATACGATATTTTCATATACTTGTCATATATATGGATTTAACAAATAACAAGTTATTTTTTCCATTTTTACTCTTTGCATACGACCAGTTGTGATTGAATGATTTCACTCAAATAATATATTAAGAGTAGTATAGTCAATTCATTCAATAATTTATGGTAATTTAGACAAATTGAATGATTTTCTTAAGAGACGTGAAATATGAAATGCGACGAGTATTTGAGAATGAAAAAGTGTAATCGAGAATAATACTTTGAATTGTTGGACATTTACATTTTTCACTATAGTTGGAGTTTAATGGTTTTAGTTAGGATTTAATCTTAATTGGTTAGGTTGGAGAATCCCAGTTGAAAGTTGAAACCAAGTGGCAATGAGCCTTTATCAATACAAGAACAATATGTCAGTGCCAGGACCTGTGAAAGTAGTTGGTAGAATTATGTCATTGTTGCTTTGCTTGTGCTTTTTCATTAACCAATTGAAAGCCCGCCCAATGGGTAGATGATTTTATTGTACTACTTTATAATAATAATACAAACATAAATATTAATATATTAATTTCTCATAAATATACTAATTAATATTGTTATTGAATCATGTGGATAGCAATTTGATATGAAACTATTATTTTGGGAATAAAAATACTTTTTATTTTTTGGTTTTGATGAATTAATTAGAATATGCACCTCTAAAATTTTGTGACTACAATTAATTGGAGTTTTCGACAATGACGTACATCCATCATAGGACATTATTAATTATTTTAGTTTTCCAAGCTTACATATAATTAAGAAGTATGCAAAATTCCAATTCCTCTAAAAAAAAAAAGATACAACTATCAGTTAGTCCAGTGGGATGGGATGCTGGATCCCTCAATAATATCTAGTATTTTGAACCCTGATGTTATGAATAGAGAAAATTGAGTTGAGAGGATTGTCTCATATGATGGTTTAGCAAAAAAAATAAAAAGATATATGCATAATTTTACTATTCGTAATAATTTACACTACTCTTAGAATTATAAGCAAGCCAAATTCAAAAATAAGGTATCTTAGGATTCCATTGACTTATACATATGAAAGCTATATGCTTACACGCAAAATATGATCACTATTGGTCAAATTTATTTTCTGCTTGCGCAAGATGGTTTATAATTTAATTAACTGCAAAATTCATTAAAAAAAGACAACATAACAGATATAGGACCATTGCATTTAAAACCTTTGCTCTTGCCATGAAAGCTGAAATCCATAAACATTAAATCAGAATCTAATCGAAATTACATATTTAAAAGAAAAACTTTTAAATGAGTATAATATTATTTTTTAGTTAAATAAAAAAAAATCATTACTCATTCTGTCCACTTTATAACAATATTTAATCTTTTTATAAAAATTAAAAAAATAATTAAAATATATAGATTAAGTAGAAGATTTTTAACTTTCATATTTATTATCAATGGGTTAAAAAAATCTTTGATAAATTATAAGTATTCTAGTAGGAAATTTTACTATTTTCTTTTTACCAAAAGAATTTGGTAGATTCAAAGCATTACTTTGACGAGACACATTTACTTGAGCAATTGATTAATATAAAATTCAACCATCTCAGTTTCTTTTTTAGGTGAGATTTGCAATTCCCACATTACAGTAGGAGTCTCTGCCATTCCCTTGGTTCATCATGTACGTCAACCTCCCCATAAATTGGTTGCCTCTCTCAACTGCACTGCACGTTCTTCTTTCTCATTGGCCACCGCTTCCAACCTCCCTGTTTCCCTTTAATTTTGCCATAAATATTCAACTGTCCCATATTAATACATGTTTTTCTACTGTCCTTCTACCCTTCTTGTTCACCTAAATTACACTTTGTTTTGATTTTTTTTTTTTTTTTCCGAAAAGTTTGCAACTTTTTCAAATCAACCCATGTGATATTTTGGCAATTTGGTGATTTGACAAGGGCAAAACAGGGGTTGACATTCTATATAAATGCTACACCTTTCCTTTCACGACACCATCCTACATTTCTACTCACAAGTAAGCAAGAAAAGAAAACCAAGTTTCAAGAAAATGTCTCTTGTTACAGAAGAGATCAAGGCCAAAGCTGAGGTCTACCATGGAGATGAAATCTGCCAAGACAAGACAAAGCTTCTGCTCGCAGAAGTTGGTCTTCCTAATGGACTTTTGCCCTTACATGACATTTTAGAATGTGGGATTGTAAGAGAGACAGGTTTTGTGTGGCTGAAGCAGAAGAAGAGCATAACCCACAAATTTGAGAAAATCGGTAGGCTCACAACTTATGCACCTGAGGTCACAGCAGTGGTGGAGAAAGGGAAGATTAAAAAATTAACAGGGGTTAAGACCAAAGAGCTCTTGCTTTGGGTCACACTTAGTGACATTTATTTGGATGATCCACCTACCGGGAAAATCACTTTCCAAACTCCTGCAGGGCTCTATAGGACTTTTCCAGTTTCAGCTTTTGAGGTTGAAGAACCAAAGAAAGATGTTAAGGAAGAAGTGAAGGAAGTCAAGGCAGCTGTTGAAGTGAAGGATGTGTGAGTGAGTTCTTATTCAGTTGTTATCAAGTTTCATTTTCTTGCTATCTCCATGATATTTAATGTATTAAGCTGGCGTTTACTGGTAATAAAATGACTTCTAATTTTATAAAAATAGTTTCTTGTTTAATGACTTTATACACAAGATAGCTAATCTGGGAAATCTAAATAGTGGAGAGAAAGTATTTATCATTCATTCATCAATTTAAATGAAATTGATTTCCTTCTGGCTTTTACAGAGTGTGGTAAAAACATTTAGGACTCAGAAACTAACAAGTGTTTTTGACCCACAACCTTCTATAATAGGTAAGATGCAATGAATTTATTAAGTTGAAGAAGGTGGTTGGAAATTTAATGGAGATGATGATGCTTCTTTGTCACTAACCAAGTTTGCTTAGCAATCAAAGCATACTTATCCTGTGTTGAGGACACGCAAGTTCAAAATGGAAATGAAAGCAAGGAACATTTACTCTTTTTTTGAAGGTAAACAAAACTAATTTAAAGCAATAACAATAATTCTAATTTTTGACAGGCCATAACCTGCTACTAGTACATATAATATGATTAGAAGAATTTTAGTTCATTTACAAAAATTTGGTAAAATTATAATCGTATCCCATGTTTTGTCAAAATTAATTTTTACCTTTTTCTTTTATTTTTAAATACACTGGGACACCACAACTACCTATCTAGAAAGAAAGAACCTACTCTTATCTTTATGTTTTCTGTTCATCAAAGACTAGACCATCTCCTTCCGTCCATTTTTTATCCTATCAAACATTAAATTACGGTCCATTTTTTGCCTTATCAAACATTAAATTACAATGAAATGACATTAATGACTTTACCTAAAAAGCAAATTTAAGAGAGGATGAGGAAGAAGAAAATGGTGTTTTGATGAAAATTTTCTCTTTAAACCTTCAGATTTTTGATTGACTTGTATTTTAAAATCACAAATATTAAAGTGTTAACAGACTCAAAACCTATCAATCGCAAGAACTACTACAAGTTCAAGACTTCCCAAAGCTAATACATGTCACAAGCAACACAACAAGAACGAATGAGCATACACAGATAATTCTTTCCCATGGCAAAAGATTTCATGTTCACTTCAACGAGATTGTACAATGAAGCAGTTCAATGCTGCATTACAGAAAGCTCCATGCCTAAAGCAAACTAGACATGTCTATTGCTAGATTAGCAGAGTAACAAGGATGTGCAACTTCTCAGGTAAAGGAGATAGGAAAATTTGGCTTCCACTTCTACCATAGAATACAGTATGAAGCCAGATAAAAACATTATAACAGTAGCAAAACCCAATTGCAGTTCCTCCAGCAGTCACTTCCTCACACCCTGGGAAAAAAACTCACATTATAAGCACATATCAAATACTAGTATAATTTTGTTTGTACTATGCCTATATCAAAAACAAACTTTAGAAAGAATTGTTGGTTTACATCATGAAATTACATGATTGATTAGTCCATCACTAAAAATGCATGAACAAGGTCATTCTCATATGTAGGTCTACGACTCCTGACCATGTGCATAACCTAACCAATCAACCAACTGCCCCTTAATTCATAGATGAACCATGTTATTCTCATAAATATGGCTGTCGATCAAGCAGTACACTTTATTATCTACCCTATATGACGTAGCATATTTTCATGTTCCTCTCACTCACAGTCACACAACACATGCACAGAGATGCATGTATTTTGAATGCGTCACTTCCCACTTTCCACTTCCCAACAGATTTGCACTTTGAATTGTTGCAAAACCTAAAAGTTGAATAAAATTCAGACTTCCCAGGAATTGACTTAACTCCAGTATTTGTTATTTTCAGCAAAACAATCAAAATGACTTGGCTCCAAAATGTCTATGCTCAAATTTGGGGAAACATACAGATAACACAGGACTAAAAAAAAAAATCATAATCATCATCAAAAATTTTTCAAGTATCCATGTCATACCGATGAAGGCATGATCCACTGGCCACCAATCCAATCCTGATGTAACCTTAAGTCAGAGTGTCGAAACACCATTTCCTCCCCACTGTCCCTAAAGTAGACGACATACTTCATGTCAGCATGAACCTTGGCAATGACACCCACCCACCAACCATCATTGTATGAAGCATCAACTTCATCTAGTAATTTAAAGCGATCAATAAGTATGGTTTCTGGTGGATAGGGCCTTATGTGCGAAGCATCAATCTCCTCTTGCAGAAAATCGCTATCATCTTCTTTTCTCAAGCTCTGGTACTCAATAAGATACTTATTATTCCCCACCGTTTCAACAATAGTTGCAGCATACCAAGCACCTTCAAAACCTTCTTCATCACTGCTAACCTCAACTAACATTCCCTTGTTGAACTTCTCCTCTAACACTACTTCAATAGGCCTCACATCAGTTGCAATCAGCGATTTCTGCAATCCAAGATTCAACAAGCTGACAACGTAAATTGTGCATCATAACCAAAAAAAAAAAAAAAAAAAAAAAAAAAAAAAAAAAAAAAACAAAAGATATGGAATAGGAGAGAATTGAAAACCATGTAGATATCTTCTTCCAAAATCTTTCTATTCTATTTTGGCATCTCAGTAAATAATCACACAAAATATAATGAAGTGATCAGTTATTGCATATGGCAAAGGAAATTGAGTCAAGCACTGGATAATCACGTTAACACAATGCATCACAAGTTATTTTCCAATTTAAAAAAACAAGGAATGATGAAACGATAATCATCATCAAATGCAGATAAGAAGATATTGATGCAAAACAATGCAGAATCATAGATCCCAAAATATCCCTTTTCATTATACTAGCATATAATTTTACTATTTGCTTGTTCCACTTGAAATGCAAATTTGAGCTTCCTATCCTCTATGATTAGTTGATGTACTTGATTAAAAATAGTAGAAGTTTATCAGAAATGGTTACCGAGAATCTCCACCGAAAATTTTTCCCAATACATCATTGAAGAGTTCTCTAGAATTACTTCAAGATGTTTACAATTACTTAAACAATAATATCCCTCCCAACATTTTCTTTTTCTTTGTCAGCGTTCAACCCCTTTAAAAGAATATATGCTTAATGATCCAATAGTAGAAACAGAAAGTTAACAAATTAATCAACGAGCTATTACTGAGACTGACCGCATTTTCATTCGCCACCTGTTTCTCCTCTAACAGTTCCTCCTCCTTTTCGTTCTCCTCTTGGACCTCTTTCAATGGTGGTTCCCATTCCCCATCAACCCACTCTCTATGCAACCTCAAATCCTCCTCTTCAAACACAATCTGCTCCCTCGTACCCCTAAAAAACACCGCAAACCTACCATCTTCTCTCTCGCTGGTTATGGAACCTTCCCACCACCCGTCATTATGGTACGCGTCCACCTTCTCGCCGAACTTAAACTTCCTCTTTTTTTCTCTAGGCGCTGCAGGCCTCAACTGCACACAATCAAGAGTCTCCCTCAAAGGTTTCTTGCCGGATTCATCACTGAAGAGTTTCTCGTACTGGACTAAGTATTTGTTACCGTTCTTAGAGGAAGCACGGCGGACGACTGTGCCCTCGTACCAGGAGCCACGGAAGCCGTCGTCGTCGGAGCTGATCTCGACGCGGGAGCCGGCCTTCAAGTGGGGTTCTTGTGGGGTTTTAGGAGTGGAGTTGTTGGCTTTGGAGGCCATCGCTAGGGTTCGGGTTTATGAGAGGAAAAGTCTAGACGGAACTTTGATGAGAGAGAGAGGGAGAGAGAGAGAGAGAGAGAGAGAGAGAGTGCGTGTGTTTGGGGGTGTTTGGTGTGGGGGGTGTTTTCAGTTGCAGGAATTTTGAATAGGAAGGACGAAAGAGACAAGTTGCCACAAGTAGAGGGAGGATGACGACAAATTGGCGGGAAAAAGACGGTACTTTTTTTTTTCCACCCAGTGGGCCCCACATTATAAACTATAGCCATGACCAAGGGCCGGCCATGGCAATTGTCGTCTGGAACAGGTTTTACTTCTTCTTCATTAAGGGGGGGGGTGTTTTCAGTTGCAGGGGAAATTATTGAATAGGAAGACGAAAGAGACAGTGCCACAGTAGAGGGAGGAGAACGACAATTGGCGGAAAAAGAGGTTACTATTTTTTTTTTTTTCCACCCAGTGGGCCCACATTATAAACTATAGCCCATGAGCCACAGCCGGCCCATTTTGCAATGTCGTCTGACAGGTTTTACTTCTTCTTCATTAATTCGAGTTCGAGACGCAGCAGTTCAGTCTCTGGTTATCAACTGTTTATTCTATCGATGAATTTAGCAACCTCCGGTTTCAGACCCACCTTGAAACCAACTTTAACTATTCCAATATTGGAGACCTTGTTGCACCAATGTCAAATCCCCAAGCACTTCAATCAAATTCTTTCTCAAATGATTATCACTGGATTCCTGAAAGACACGTTTGCTGCAAGTAGACTTCTCAAGTTCTCTACCGATTCACCCTTCATTGACTTCAACCGTTCTCGTCAAATCTTCACTCGCATTGAAAGCCCAAATGGGTTCATTTATAATACCATGATGAGAGCTTGTCTTCAAAGAAATTCCCCACATTATTGTCTGTGTATATATAAATTGATGTTGCAAGAGTTTGTTGAATCTGATAATTACACGTATCCGATTTTAGTTCAGTCTTGCTCTGTTAGACAAGCGGAGTTTGAAGGGAAATTGATTCACTGTCATGTTTTGAAAATGGGTTTTAATTCTGATGTGTATGTAAAGAATACTTTGATAAATATGTACGCAGTTTGCGAGAACTTGAGTGATGCACGTGAAGTATTTGACGAAAGTCCTATTTTGGACTTGGTTTCTTGGAACTCGATCTTGGCAGGGTATGTTTCGATAGGAGATGTGGAGGAGGCTAAGTGTATATACTATAGGATGCCGGAAAGGAATGTCATTGCTTCAAATTCAATGATTGTGTTGTTTGGTAAGAAAGGTAACGTTGCAGATGCTTATAGGCTGTTCAGCGAAATGCCTAAAAGAGATTTGGTATCATGGAGCGCATTGATTTCTTGCTATGAGCAGAATGAAATGCATGAGGATGCTTTAATCATGTTTAAGCAAATGAAAGCTGATGGAATCTTGTTGGATGAAGTTGTAGTGGTTAGCGTTCTTTCAGCATGTGCTCGCTTGCTGGTGGTTAGGACAGGGAAATTGATCCACAGTTTGGCCGTTAAAATTGGAATTGAATGTTATGTTAATCTTCAAAATGCTTTGATTCACATGTATTCAACTTGCAGAGAAGTAGAGGCTGCACAAAAGTTATTCGACAGGGGTTGCTGCTTGGACCAGATTTCTTGGAATTCTATGATCTCTGGGTACTTAAAATGTGGGGAAGTTGAAAAGGCAAAAGCTTTATTTGACTCCATGCCTGAGAAGGATATTGTCTCATGGACTGCAATGATATCAGGTTATGCTCAACATGGCAGATTTGCGGAGAGTTTGATGTTGTTCCAAGAAATGCAGCTTGATGGAATCAAGCCTGATGAAACAACTTTGGTAAGTCTAATCTCAGCTTGCACTCATTTGGCTGCCCTTGATCAAGGTAAATGGATCCATGCTTATGTAAGGAAGAATGATCTGAAAATTAATGTCATGCTTGGCACAACTCTTATAGACATGTACATGAAATTTGGTTGTGTTGAAAATGCTTTGGAGGTTTTCGATGGGATGGAGGAAAAAGGGATTTCCACTTGGAATGCTGTCATTCTTGGTCTGGCAATGAATGGTTTAGTTGACAAGTCACTTGATACATATTCAGAAATGAAAGAATGTGGTGTGGTGCCTAATGAGATAACCTTCATGGCAGTTCTTGGAGCATGTAGACACATGGGCTTAGTGGATGAAGGGCACCGCCATTTTAATTCCATGATTCAAGAGCATGGGATTGAACCCAATGTTAAACATTATGGATGCATGGTTGATCTTCTAGGCCGTGCAGGTCTACTAAAAGAAGCAGAGGAACTCATTGAGAATATGCCAATGGCACCAGATGTTTCTACTTGGGGAGCCTTGCTTGGGGCTTGTAAGAAATATGGTGATAATGAAATGGGGGAAAGAATCGGAAGGAAGCTCATAGAACTTCAGCCTGCCCATGAAGGATTCCATGTATTACTATCTAATATATATGCTTCAAAAGGTAACTGGGATAGTGTTCTTGAGATTAGGGGGATGATGACACAACATGGGGTGGTGAAGACCCCTGGGTGCAGCATGATTGAAGCAAATGGAACAGTTCATGAATTTCTCGCAGGAGATAAGACACACCCTCAGATTAAAGATATTGAAAATATGCTAGATCAAATGGCCAAGAAATTAAAGATGGAAGGTTATGCACCAGCAACACATGTGGTTTCCCTTGACATCGATGAGGAAGAGAAGGAAACTACTTTGTTTAGACATAGCGAGAAGCTCGCAATTGCCTTTGGGCTTATAACCATTAAACCACCAACGCCAATAAGGATAATTAAGAATTTACGAATATGCAATGATTGTCACATAGCAGCAAAGCTAATTTCTAGAGCTTTTGACCGTGAAATCGTGGTGAGGGATCGCCATCGCTTCCACCATTTCAAGCAGGGTTCTTGCTCATGTATGGATTATTGGTAATAGAATAGCAGAGAAGACAGAAGCAAGTGGAAATGCAGCTGTTTTTCTGTATGCTGCCTGCCTAGAAAAGTGAGCAATGCACCTTTGAGAACTGGGAAAGAAAAAGTTTTTCTATTAATTTCAAGGAGGCAACCTGAGGATAAGACCTAACCAATGGTGGTGACACTCTACAGATGGCAATGATTGATAGATAAACTCTAGTGGCCATCATGCTATGACTCGTACATATTTATATGCTTTTACAGTGTACTAAATCAGATTGCCATATTCCCTTTACAATGAAAAACAGGTCTATCCTTGTGGCTCTGGCTGCTAGAAAATTTGCGGATATACAGCCACACAGAAGGAAGCTGTTGTACATGTCAGACTACAAAGTGAGATTTTATAGAGATCTGTATTACTTGACATTTTATAGAGATCTGTATTACTTAAGCTCTTGATGCTTTTTTCATTTGTGGACACATGAAAACAAAATGTATCATCAATCCAAATTCGTGTATTCCTAGAAAAGAATGTGTTATTCACAAACAATGCCAGTTGCTTAAGTTGCCTTGTCTTCTTCTTCTTCTTCCTAGATTAACAAGATGAGCTTGTCAATTGTCTGCAAAAAATTTACCATTCTTCAAATATCAAATTTTCCTTTTCTTCTATTTAGCAATTAAATGCAAACAACAGGCAGTTGATTCTCTGGGAGACCTCATATTCATTTTGTCCACTTTTCTGAAACTTCAGTTCAATTACCATCTTCTAGGTCAAGTAAATCTATATCATGTGCATAACCTGCTTCATTCATATGCCTAATAAGAAATTCCAAAACTTCATATACCAACTTTGTATGAGAACCCACTTCGTCTTCAACAACAAAACTATAAACCTCATTTCTTACCTCAATCCAACTCCTTCCAGCCTCTTTTTTGCTTCCCATACCCTTCAACAACTTCCTCATTCTTGCACATTCTGCCCATTTGCCTTCAACTGCATGTAAATTTGACAACGCCACGTAAGTCCCAACTAATTTTGGCCTCAAATTCAATACTTTCTGAGCTGCTAACTTGGCCAAATTTGGAAGGCTATGGGCTTTACAAGCACTGAGAAGTGTGCACCAAACAGATTCATCAGGTATGAATGGCATACTCTGTATCAGGCGATATGCCTCCTCAACTCTCCCAGCTCTGCCTAGCAAATCCACAGCACACCCATATATCTCATTATCTGGTTTGATTTTATAATCGTCCACCATTGAATTGAAGTACCTCAAACCTTGGTCTACTAGTCCAGCATGACTACAAGCACTTAAAACTGCCATAAACACTATCTGATCAGGTTCAATACCCATCTCGACCATCTCATCAAACAACTTAACAGCTTCTCTTCCATATCCATGAGAACCATATCCAATCATCATAGAAGTCCAGGAAACTAAACTTTTTTGTGATAATTCACTGAAAGTTTTATGTGAATCTGTTATGCTACCACACTTGGCATACATATCGATCAACGCATTAGCCAATGCTAAGTTCCTGTCAAGTCCTCTACGAATAATGCCTCCATGAACCTGTTGTCCACAACTCAAAACTGCTAGATTAGCACAAGCCGCTATTACACTAGTTAAAGTGAAGCAATTTGGAGTAAAACCATTTGACTCCATTTGTGAAAATATAAAAAGGGACTTAATAGAATCTGATTTTTCATATCCTGATATTAAAGTGTTCCATGTAATCAGATCCTTTTGAGTCATCTCATGGAAATACTGATTTGCCTCGGATAAACAACCACACCTACAATACATGTCAAGTATAGAATTCATAACAGGAAGACTGCATTCACAACCATGTTTAATAGCTGCTGCATGCATTTGTTTGCCATAATGCTGAGAGCCAACCGATGCGCAAGCTCTAATAGCAATCGAGAAGCTATATGGATTACATTCTTTTTCCTCCTGTTTTGAAAATGTAATAAAAGTTGTTAGTTAAGAGATTGATAATAAACAGTTCTTGAAAATTGAAATCCTTTTCTATCTCTTGAACCAGCAAAAAGGGGAGCAAAACCATTAAAAGCCATGAATTCAATAGTTCTTTATGCACCTACCAGTAACATTTGACGGAAGATTTGGAGCCCACAATGGCCATCACCTCTATGAGTGTAACAAGCAATCATGGTAGTCCATGTCACAGGATTCTTCTCTTCAATAGCATGAAAGACCATCCAAGCGTCCCTCATGCTAACGCAGCAAGTAGCATACATATCCATTAGTGCATTATCCACATAAATAGAACCTTGTTGGCCATGCTTAATAGCAAACCCATGCACCAAAGCTCCACAGGAAAGATTCTCCATGCCTTTACAAGCCTTTAACACACTTGATATTGTAAATGCATTTGGGTTCAATGCATTCTTTACCATATTGCAGAACATACTCCACGCATAGACGTGCTCATCGCAGGACGCGTACCCAGCAATCATGGCCGTCCATGCAACCACATCTCTCTCAGACATTTCATCGAACAAGTTACGTGCTTCTCTAACTAACCCCTTCTCAAAGTAGGATTTGATAAGGTCAGTGGCCAAAAAGGAAGGAGCTTTTGGTATGTAGGGTGTTTTTGATTTAATGGGAGTGTTTTCAGCCCATGATAGATGGTGTTTTATCATAGGCGGAAACGGATGGTAACCTGTGGTGGTTAATAGTCTCCTTGAGCTCATGTTTAATGTACAAGGTCATGCTACTCTAATTAGTGTTTCCATACTTTGGTCGAGATTTACCGCTTGAAAATTTCGCAGTAGAAGATATGGAGATGGAGCGATTTTCATATAAATACACATTGTAAATTCTGCAATCGGTTTGCTTGAAGACCCTGAATAAACCCACTCTGCAGAAGGTAAGTTGGATCAATTTTAAATTGTTGGAGAAGAGGCAAATGGACAGGCCATTAACTTTTTATTATTATTATTATTTATTTTTTCTTAAGACTAGACAGGCCACTATGTTAATTTCAAAAAAATTAGGACGGAAAACTTTCTCTATGTTTGACAGGGGAAAATATTCCTCCTGCCTCCCTGTCCAAAACGATAACTGAACCTTAGATGTATCAATATATAAAGAATTTGGCAATGTACATACAATGATGATGGAGAAACCATAACTCTACTTGTAAAGTTCCCCAAAAACTAGTCCTTCAAAATTCCAGGACCGATTAACTTAGCTAATTAAATTGAGTAAAACAAAAACTTTTTACAGATGTAACCATTTGTTAGTATACGTTACAGTTCTAGAGGCTGATAAGTCCTATCCTCTCCCAGACTTGGAGCTGTGTATCACAAACAAACTCTTGATTCTGACAGAATGGCTATCGCCCTACACAAGAATTTGCGACTTAGCAGCTCCTCGAGAGCATTTCTTGCGACCAGTCTTGCTCAGTGCACAAACACAGATTTCAAGAAGTTCATAGTCCTCCTCCCATAATAACAATGATGCTTTCTCTGGATTCTCTAAGAGAACTTTGGAGGTCAAGAACCCAGCAATAGTCCATGTTTGATGAAGTCGGGATTGCTTTCCAATAAACTTTCCTGTACGTGTGTCATAATACTCAGGCCAACGGTCAACTGAGAGCCTTTCTTCAGCCAAAGCAACTGCCTTCTGCGCTAGTTCAAATCTACCCATCTTGATGCATGCCAATGTGAACTGAAACCATTTCATATAATGAAAATTTAGATAACAGCAGAAAATTAAAGAGTCATGGGCAGAAGAACATGACACATGTAAGGCGTAAACTATCATAAAGAGGAAAATCTTTAAACCATCTTCACAAATGTTAGTTCTACTCTAAATCCCTAATGTAAATTAGTTGTGCATTTATAATAATGCAGTAGAAGGTTAAGACAGCATTTTCCAAGTGGGCAATGGGTAATGGGTGAGAGTTGGAACGTTTACAGATTATATGATCTTTATGTTACAAAAAACTTTGGGAGAGAAGTGAATGTTTTAGTTACCTGCCAAAGAAGAGTTGGCCAGGATCCACCATTATGATATGACCATGGGCTGCAAAAGTCCAACAAACAGAGGAACGTCAGAACTGATGAAACTGTAAACCAAACTGCACAGAATAAAGCATAAAAACTCACGTGTTCTTTGGATCACTACCAGTGATTATACGCCAATCTTCATGTTCCAGAGCAGGATAACATATTTTCATAGGCATGCGTCCAACAAGATCATCCCATTTGGCTTCAATCAAGTTTAGAATAGCTTTATTCTGTTTTGGGGTGCCCAAAGATGAAATAACAGACCAAAGATTTCCAAGAGTGAAAAACCTAAAATCCATATGAGCTGGCTGTAGATTCCCTATAAGATATCCACCTTCCTCTGGTATCCAATCCATAAGCCAAGAAGGAATTTGTTCAGGATAGATATTGAACTTGTTGGTAGCATCCATGGAATACTCTTCAGTTTTATACCGGTAAATCTCATTGATCTTTTTGATATCCACCCAATAATATTCTCTAATATGGAATGACAGTGCACTGAGCCTGTTGTTGATAGCCCTCACCAAATTCCGGGATCCATCATTTACCGTCAGCATCTCACGAGAGCACCGCAAGGCAGAGTAAAATAAGGCCTGCAGGAACAGATTTGTGACCAAGCAGAGTAAAGTGAGTGAATGATGCGACCAAGCACATACTTAAACTAAAATTTGAAAATCAGAATAAGGGCGACTAGGAAAGATCATAAACCAGACTCCACATCATAGAGAGAATATTCATAAATTTAAAAAAAAAAAAAAAAAGGAAAAAAAAAGGATCTCAAGGGGGTGACCATGAATACCCATCCGTCGATCTATCATGCAAGATCCATCAGTGACTAAAAGAGAAGGAAACATATCAAATCCATCAGTCAAGCACAAGTTCAATATCAGTTTTATGCCCGTCTGAACATCCACCCTCTCTTGCAATGAGTAGTCACCAGTTATTTTCCCATATGCCCTCAATAAGATAATCCACCACAACCCTGCCATCAAAAGAGATTAAGCATGCAAATTCGGATGCAATGAAATAACAATAATTTTGGAAGAACAATAGCTATCTTTCTTGGCAGGAGTCTTAGAGCTGCAATAAACAAACCAGAATCCACAGGTGCAACACGACCAATAGCTGATTCACCAAAATCTGGATCCAGAACTTCTTCAAATTTATTGTCATCAAGAGGCACGGTCCTAACTTTAAAACTAGCAGGCATCAAGCCCTGACCAGGACTATAGCAATCAACTGTTTTCTCCCAACTCTAAGATAGAAGCAACAACACATTTTTCAGTTGCAGAATACCATGATTATATATAGGAAGTATCAAGCCCATGACTATGAATACAAATATCACGCTCTACAACATGGATATCATCAACAGCCGCATGACATAACTGATATTCAACTATAAACGTTTATATCACCGTGGCTCCTCTTATGAGAAATTAGAGCCCCCCACAACAATGATCGCATTTAACCAAATCAATTGATGTGAATCACCAATTTGGTATTGATGGATATCACTTGAATACTAGTTTACATAAAAAAATTTAAAGAACTTGCTACAACTAACCTTATTCTGCAAGAAGGAATACTTGCATGTTTTCTTATTATGTATGAGAATGTAAAATCAAAAGCTGTCTTCATTATTAACTAGAGAGTCACATAGAAATCAGGATGATAGCTCAATAATATCCAGAGTAGAACACATATACATACAAAAACAGATAAACAAAATAGAAAACAAAGGACAGAATAAAAAAATTAGAGGAATGTGAAATATCACCTGCAATTGCAAGGTGTGAAGCAGGAAATTCCTCACAATCTCTCCTTCTCCTCTAAGCAAGAATGCAAGAGCTGAAGGCACAAAATCACGTATGAAAACCTGATCATAATTCAATGGCTGCTTATCCCCTGGATCATTGGCAGCCACCGTCCCTACAGGACTCCCACAATACGTAACAACCGCATCATTTAACAACTTCCATGCCTCTTTTTCAATATCTGACTCCTCCCTCCTAGGACTAACAATCTCAACTCCTTTAACATCCTCCAATACATTTACATCATCATCAGGAACAACAATTCCTATCCTAGACGCTTCCTCTCCTACAACATTCTCGTCTATATCAATCTTCTCAACTACCACAGGCTTAACACCAATCCCACTTTGCACATAAATTCTTTCAAAATTCTTATCATTCACTCTAGTCTCGACAGAAGTTGAATATTTTTTCACTTCTGATGCAACACTTGTAATAACAGAAATGCCTCTATTGGTTCTTCTTCTTGCACAAGGACCACATGCGGATCCTGATATAAGCCTGGACTGGGTAAAATTGTTATCGGGTATACAAAAATATCTCTGGGTATTATTGGTTATGCTTCGAAATCCTAAAATTCGAGAAGGGTACGTGGAAAATCGTTTATTATGGTCTAAATTCAAATGATTCCTTGATAAATTGGCGGTTAAAGTATGTTGGTATTTCACATACCTGAAAATACCCGGGCTTTTTCGGGTCAAAAGGAATCTACAAGACGGTTTCATGGTGGAATTGGTAAGGAAACCGAGTGTAGTCATATGATCAAGAAGAAAAGAGCAAAAATTTGCAAAAAAACAAATGGATATAAAGAAAAAGTTCTGAAATTTCTCTATGTACAAATCGAATGAATTGAGGGATTCTTATGAACAAATATTGGATCTTTGGAATAACGAGAACTTACATAGAAAAATAAGAGAAGAGAGGAGATTGACGATCTGCAACAAGGGGAATTTGAGCGAAAATGGTGTCTGAAAATGAAAATAAATAAGGATTCAAATTGAAAAGGAGATGTGCCCTTTTATATAGAGGCGGTGAGAAAGGCAAAGGGGCAAGACCATTTTCTTTCTTGGGCAGTTGGCCATAAGATAATTGTTAATGACAGTTTATTTTAAGATTTATGTAATGACAGTAATGCCCCTAAAAACCAATTTTTATTTTTTCTTTTTTTCCCCATTGGTTAGAAAATTTTGAAGGTAAACAAAATCCAAGCTTGGGACAAAAGTTAGTTTTTTCCTAACCTAACTAAATTTGTATTGGATCACCATATTCATTCTAAATTAATTTTTTATTTATAAAAATATATTTCTCAAATCTTAAATTAACATTTCATTGTTTCAAATACTTTTTTAAATGTTCTTTAAATAGTTTTCTTTTTTTATAGAACTTCTAAAATGACTTCATTAATTATCATTTTTTCTCTCTAATGCTATGTTTGGTGAGCCGTAATAAAATATATTAAAAGTACTTTTAGTATGAAATTTACACCAAGAGCATTTAGTTACGTTACATTGTGTTTCAATTACATTTCTATTACTTTCATTGTAACTTTTCAAATATAACATTAAATTTCAGATAATTTTATAAAGTGATATGTAAACGTGTTAATATTTAAATCAATATCAATGTCAAAAAGATTTGTTACAAATAAAATAAAATAAAATCACTCGATATTATATTTAGTTTTAGCTATTTTTTTATAATTAGATTTTTTTTTTTTGCTAAATATTTAATACAGGTGACTCAAATATTAAAAGGATGAGAAATTTTATATAAATTTAGTTCTGTGTGAAATTATAATTCTATTTTTTTTATAAGATTATAACTATATTAATCAATAATGATTTTTATTATATCGGTTAATAAATATCATAAATTATTAAATAAAGGAAAAATTATTATTTAGTCCCTCCTTTTTTACATAATTATCCAACTAATCCCAAGTTTTGCGCAAATATCTAACTAGTCCCTCAGGTTTAACTCCGTCTAATTAAAAGGTCCTTCCGTCCGGTTCCTCCCTTTTTAACTAATATTATCCAACTAATCCCAAGTTATTCGCGCTAAATATTCTTAACATAGTCCCTCAGTTTAAGCTGCCACGTCATATTAAAGGTCCTTCCGTCCGACTAAAGTTAGTTTTTTCTTCCGTTAATTATAGACGTAAAGAGACTAATACACCCCTCCTTAAGCACTGAACGTGGACCATAACGGGAGAAATTTAGTATCTTAGTCCTGCAGGTTTTAGGCAAATAATTAGCTAACTAACTGCCCAAGTTTGCGGCAACATATCTAACTATAGAGCCGATCAGGTATTACTCCGTCTTAATTGAATAGTCCTTCACCGCGTCTGAAAAGTTAGTATTTTTACCCGGGTTATTGACACGAGGCTAACAAGACTAAAAACTATCTCCTAAGCTGACCGTGAACCAGTATGAAAAGTGACTACATGATACTACCTTAAGTTGTTTCAGGGGAAGCGCTTATATGTTCTATTAATGCATATGATGATATTAGGGACCCTAGTTTATATTTGCAACAGATACACCTCTTGGCATTGGAATATTAATATGTCATAATTCAAAGTTATGAATAATTTAGCTAATATAGGTGGCTATAATTTACTTTTTTATCTATAATAACTTATTTTTATGACCGTATTGTTTTCTCCAGCAAATATATTTTTTTTTTAAGATATTAAATGAGTCAATTTATTTTTTTTTCAATTTTAATGCCTTATTTATATATAAATTCTAATAAATTATTCATTTATAATTTTTCTAATATCATATAACCATCTCCTTCACTTATTACTTAAGGTTACGTAATAAAATTAATTAATATTTTGTTATAATTTATAAGAATAAATTTACTTACTTAATTACCATAAAAATATTAAAAGTATTTATGAATAGATGGAATACTTTGTTTTTTTTTTTAGATTTTATCAATGATAATAGAAATGTTTCTTGATAAAATTTGCATATTAAATATGAATAAAATAGAAAATATGTTTATTACTTTTTTTTCTAAAAAAGAAACTATGATGATAATTTGGGGTAAAAAGAAAAATGAAGTAATTACTTTTTTGAAGATGTATTTACTTTCATGATTCACTCAAATTTAATAATATTTAATTAGAACATCAAATTAATTTTTTTATCCTTTTTTTAATACTGTCTTTGTTTTATAATACTTGTCAGATTTGAGAAAATAGTTTGTTCTAAAATATTTGTCTAATTTAGTCTAAAATACTTGTTATATTTACGGTTTTAAGGAGTAATAAATATTTTTTTCATATTTACCCTTTGTGTATGATTAATAATTATTATTTCAATTTAATGATTTTCTTAGAGATTAATATTAAATTAAGAGTAATATTGTCAAAATTTATTCAATAATTTATTATAATAAATTAATTAAGAGTAATATTGTCAAAATTTATTCAATAATTTATTATAATTTATACAAATTTAATAATTTTTTTAAAAGACATGAAATTCTAAATGTGGGGAATATTATAGAATGAAGATAGTAATATTTTAGAGACATAATTATATTTAATGGTTTTCAATTTGCAAATATTCATAATCTAAAACTAAACCGTACATTTAAGAGAGAAAAATTATTATATCTCCATCGACTTTATATGAAGCTCTTCAATTTTCATTTTTAAATTTAGCGAAGCTAATTTTCCTACTCGTGTAATTAAGCTTAGTCTATACAATTCTACATGTGCATAAAATTATAGGGAAAGGAGAAAATTATTATTTCGTTTTAGTTATACAATTCACCTCCCTTATCGATTCATGCACTGGTCCATACGTCAGCTAGGGAGGGTGTTTTAGTCTGTTAAGTCTCAATTAACGGAAAAAAACTAACTTTTGATCGGAACTGGTGAAGAACCGTTCAATTAGACGGATTAAACCTGCTAGGGGACTAGTTAGACTATTGTGCAAAACTTGGGATTAGTTAGATTATTATCGTAACAACCTGAGGGATAGATGTAAAATTTTCTATGGTCCACAGTTCAGCAAGGGTATGGAGTTGTTTTTAGTCTTTTTAAGTCTATATTAACAGGAAACAAAACTCACTCTTTTTCGAAGCGGAAGGACTCTTTTATGATTTAGATGTGAGTGTAAACCACTGATGGATTAGTTACGATATTTGGCGTAAAAAATTTGAGATATAATTAACGGAAAAAAACCAACTTTTCGAACGGAAGGACCTTTTAATTAGACGGAGTTAAACCTGAGGGATTAGTTAGATATTTGCGTAAAATTTGAGATTAGTTGGATAATTATATAAAAATGGAGGGACTACATAATAATTTTCCCTTAAATAAATAATATGTGATAGTTATTATTTAATTATTCTATATCAATCATTTTACTTTAAATGTTTTTCTTTTTCCAGAAGAGGATAGATAAGTACAGGTGACGTGTCAGGGAATTGGTATCCACTACTTTTAGTCTATGAATCCACCACCTAGGAACATAGCCTAAGTTTCAGCCATTAAATTTCAGCGACGTGGCAGAATTGATGAATTGCACTTTTTAGTCAGCCTTTTGGCTCACGTCTAGATGACGACACATCGTTTTTCCCAAAAAAAAAAAAAAGGTTACCAAAAAATTTAAAGCCAATGGTACCTTTTTAAGTTTATCCAGGTCCAAGCCATTTTTGAAAATGGCGTAAGCAGCTCAACCTTGGCCAAGTATGCAAAATAAGCACATGAGCTTTTGGTGGAATGAAGATGCTCCTTCACCAATAGTCAATAGACGAGGTTAATTATTACATTCTTAACTTGTAATTAAAAATAATCTCTTAGGGCGTTGATCTAGATTCTAAGACACTAAATAGACGATTTCTTTCATCTGTTTTTTTTATGTTGGTTATCGTTTTAGAGCGAGTAAATATTCACATTTTAATTTGAGACAATAGACGGAATTTATTTCCTATATTGAAAATAGGGTTCATGCCCAAATCTCATATCCTAATTTGGTTTTTGTGATATGGCTTTTGCAAAATCATAATATTAGAACCTAAAAAGTCATGCCAAAGGATTGGTTTGAATGAAAAAAATATAAATTCTTTTAAATAAAAAGTCGAGTATTTAATTTTTATAAATAAAGAAAATTTCCATTAAAAGCGTTTGCTCGACAAAACCTAGCTAGGAAGATAAGGCAAAAAAAATTAAAGGATCATCCCACATTACTAGTATAACATATATGCATAGAGTATTATAATCCCAAGCTGGATCATCATTTTAGCCCATGAAAATGTTTATACATTAATATTGGGCCTAATAGTAATATCCAGAAAAGCCCAATCAACCCAACTCTAACAAGGCCCATCTGGTCCTCTCTTCTATAATCTTTTATTCTATCTTCTTCCCGATTCTCATTTTGGCTTATTTTCTTTATGCTCTCTGAAATGGCTAAACTTCTAGACTCACTTCCTCTTCCGGTTCAACTCACCTCTCCAACTCGTCCTTCCGTTCTCCCGAGTTGGCTCAGCTGCTCAGTTCCCTTCTCCACCGATTACACTCGCTGCTTCTCCACGTCTCATAAAAACCAACCGGTAATTCCTCCATTATCTAGTAAATGTACCTGATTAAACAATTTCTATGGCTTCTCACTAAAAAATTTTTGATCCTACATAATCAGACTAAAGCTTTTGCAGTTGCAAGTAGAAGAACAACAATGGGTTTGATATTTTCCAGTTATATAATTACAGAAATTGGTTTAGGTTTCCAAGATCCCGCATTGGCTCAATCCTCAGTTGGGTTTAGAGAATATATAGACACATTTGATGGGTATTCTTTCAAATACCCACAAAATTGGATTCAGGTTAGAGGTGCAGGAGCAGATATATTTTTTAGGGATCCATTTGTTCTAGATGAAAATCTATCAGTGGAGATGTCATCTCCTTCATCTTCGAAGTATAAAAGTGTTGAGGACTTGGGTCCTCCTCAAGAAGCTGGAAAGAAAGTGCTTAAACAGTATTTGACAGAGTTCATGTCTACTAGACTTGGTGTAAGGCGGGAATCAAACATACTCTCCACTTCTTCTAAAGTAGCTGATGATGGCAAGCTCTATTATCAAGTTGAGGTAAGCTTTTTATTGTAATTGCCTATAATATAAAAGTATCATGAAATGAATGGATTCAAATCATAGAAATGGTATTCCTTTTTTGTCAGGTGAATATAAAGTCTTATGCAAATAATAATGAGATGGCCGTTATGCCACAAGATAGAGTTGTTCGTTTGGAATGGAATAGAAGGTACCTATCAGTTCTTGGAGTTGAAAATAATAGGCTTTATGAACTGAGATTACAAACACCAGAGAATGTGTTTGTGGAAGAGGAAAATGACCTTCGTCAAGTTATGGATTCATTCAGAGTCAACAAAGTAGCTGGTTGATTTGTTGAGGTCTAATAGATTCATTTCACATTTTGTAATTTAGGATTCTGTATTTTTATGATTTCCCATTCCTTTTTTTTTTTTTTTTTTTTTATGGATCTTCAGATTCACAAAGTGCTGGTTGATTTGTTGAGTCTATAGTAGCTTTCATTTCCGCGAATTTTGATATAATTTCGGATTCTGGTATTTTTAATGTATTTCCCATATCCCTTTTTTTTTTTTTTTTTTTTGTGTCGACTTATTGTTTTTTTTTTTTTTTTTTTTGGCTTTGCAATTCTATCAAACATTTGATCGTTTTGACTATATCCATTATGTTTTATTTTGCAATTCCAATTATCTTTCAAAAAAATGTAAACAAAGTCCAGAATGGAAATCTGAAAATATGCATTGATGAAACTTTTGCAGCACTCAACCAACATCTATGTTCTGAGAAAAAAAACAAGACAATTTGGAAATTTATATTGATACAAAAATTGGACTATGATCTAACCTCATAGCGTCCAGCTCTGGTCTGAGCTCGAAAACCTTTATAAAAACGATTAGGTACAACCTTCAGATCCAGTTTATCTATTTGCAGGCCAGAGAGAGCAACACCCTGAATCCTAAAACCAACTTGAAATATTGGGAATACATGAAGACGCTCTAATCCTGCCTCAAGCGCTAAAGTTCCAAACAATGATGGGGTCCTATCTTTTGGTATTCGATCAATCGACCAAGAGCACATCTGCAAGGACATGTTAGCAAAAACTATAATCAAACTCTTGCAGGAAAAAAAAAAAAAAGAAAAACATCATATTTATATATTAAGGGTCATATATATATATATATATATATAGGGATCATCCTTGATATCAGGATTTTAATTAGCTGCTAACTATGAAGATATGCTTGATGAGTACCTTGTTAGATAGGATATTCACTACTCCGTGATTTGAAGTCAGATCAGCAGATACTACGCAAGGAGGCAGTTGAAATTGCACAGTTATTGAGTCGATCATCTTTCCAGGGTCATTTTTTATTCCAACCATAAGATTGATGCGGCCTGTCCCAGCGTCAGATGTAACTTGTGGCTTCACATATATTGGTATGCTTTTCAATTTTTTAACCCTGTATTATAAGCCAAATGATCTAGATAAATATATAGCACATGCTGGACTAGAAAGCAGAGGCACTGAAAGTACTCTTAAGCTTTCTACAATCGCAATAACACAATTATCACAACAGAAATTACAACCTTTAGCAGCAACCTAAACTAGTGCAAAATCAACAAACCTGTAATTCATGAGCTTAAACAGTCCATCAGGAGGCACAAATGACAGAATCTGATGTGACTCCCAAGGTCGAAACCGAATGCAGGGATGGAATCTCACATCATCCAGTATAGATGGGTTTGTAAATGAAAGAGTCAGATCAGGAACACCTGTGATATGGGAGTTCACTTGAACTTCACCACATATTTCACATTTCACCAAGATCCCATCCCTGAACAATGCATGCAGAACATAAGGTTGCTTAGCCTTTCAAAGACAAAAACATGCAGCATAAAAATATAAAATGTAGAGCTCCAAATACTATAGACAATTTTCTGCTCAATGAAAATCACTATATAAATCCACATTTGGAACTCCTGTGTCAACTGCAATCGCCAATGCCACACGTTAACATAATTAACGAGTACTAAGGAATAAAAAGGATGCTGGCTCTAGGTTTGAGGAACATATATTTCATTCATTTTTCAGGTTTAGCAGTATCAATCACAAATAAGATACATTGTCATTTTTCTATCTGCTAACTCCCTACCGCAATGGAAACTGTATGTGGTAGAATCTTTCATGTGACATGCGATTTAGAGTTCATCCATGATATCAAATCTCTGGTATCTGCTAGCATTCCCTACTTTTTCCTATCCCACTAGACTTCCAGCATTCTGTTTGAAGATTGGCAGGTGTTTGATTAGGTTTGATCATTCATGCTTTTAGGATTCATTTCTGGATATCTTTAATGAAACATTATTCCATAATTCCATTTGAATTCTCAGTCTTGGCTTGTGTGTCCTAGCCCCATTCTAGCTGTCCTTCATCTCTATCAAAACTCAGAGGGGTCAGGTCAACCATCCACTAGACAAATTGTTCTTTGAATAGTTTCCATGATTTGAAAGTGAGAATGTAGAAGTGCAATCACAAAGAGTTTCCAAGGTTACTATCGCAAATAATGCCCCCCCCCAAGGTTAACTATCGCAAATAATGCCCCCACCTCCCCCCCCCCCCCCCCCCCCCCCCCATCAGGAGTATCAGAAAACATTCTTTGTATTGGTAACTATCTCTAATGTCACATCGCACCAATTCGAAGATTTCAAATAATCAAATTGAAGTATAATGATGCTGATGGAGAAATAAAAATAACCAATTGAAGTATGAAGTGACTTTGAGAATATAGATTTAGACCTGTTTATAATTGCATCCATTTCTTCAATAAGATCAACATAAACTTCATTGTTTGCATATTTTGTGTCGGTTGTTCTCCATGGAACACAAGATGCTGTCGCACCTGGAAGAGTGTCACTCACATTTGAGCTGTTACCAGTCACAACACTCAGCATTTTGCTAACGATATTTGGTGGAGCTATCATCTCTCTCAGGATGTTAGGTTCTGTGGTCAGAGGGAAGCCATTGTCTATCATCTCATCCAAGAGCTGTAAATTTCAATTAAAAATGCCAGTTGAAGTTGGGAAAGACAGAAATCTGAGCTTAACCTTCATATAATCTCTATATCAGATGTATGAACAAAAACTAAAGATGCAATTTTATCCACAGCCTCAAATATGGTATTACCATCTTATGAAGAATTATGATTCTCCGGTAACTCTCAGCATGAACCTAGAATAAGCAAAGAAAATACTTAAGTAGGAAAGTACCTCGTACACAATTACAAAGTTATCCTTTATCAAATCTTCATTCAACCCTTCAAGGTAACCTGAGAGGACATCGGCCACTCTGCATAGGAACTAAAAATCAAGTCAAGTCAATAATTTCAGGCTTTTCAACGTACAAATATATAACACACTGAAAATGACAAGAACATAAACGCAAGAATAAACTACCTCAATGGCCATCAAAGGTGGCATTTCAACTTGGGTACAAGCTAAAAAAGTGATTCCCTCTCGAATAATTTGGAACAGATAATGCGTAGGTGAAGCAATAACCGGTTGTTGCTATTGATAGAAAAATCAAACCGAATGTAAAATCCAACAGATTAAAAAAAAAAAAAAAAAAAAAAAAAAAACAACAGATTAAAAAAAAAAAAAAAAAAAAAAAAAACAAGAGCAATTGAGTTGCTAAAAAAAAAAAAAAAAAAAAAAAAAACAAGAGCAACTTGAGTTGCTTATAGAAAACTAAAATATCAAGCAAAAGTTTAAACAGAAGTGAAATTATAATGAGACCCAGAAGCTGACAAAGTGAAGATAAAAACATAATCCAAAAGGTATAGTTACCTTAAAGGAATCACCTTGAGAAATCACTTGATTCCAAAACCAATCACAAATCGATCTATCCACGCGATGCCCAGTTAGCTGCTTCTCGAGCATTACCTCCCTGTCAGAATTTCGCAAATACCCAGTTATTTCAGTTTAACCAGATCAGACGGAAATATAGTCTTTGCCTCAGAAGAGTTTTTAATTTTTCTTTCATTTCAAATTGATAGGGAAGAAGAGGAAACTTACCCAGAATCTGAGAGGAGAAATATACACTGCAGCATCTCGCTTTAACTCTCTCGAGCTCTGCGTGTGGGATGGAGAAGAGAAGCAGACTGTACAAGATGAAAGCTCTTTGTTGTTGAAACTTGAAAATGAAAATGGTTATATTTTTAGGAAATTAAAAAAGCTACGTTAAAGAACAGCGAAACGACAGCGTAACAGTAAGTTAGGCTAATTCTCTTAAAAAAAAAAAAAAACAAACTTCTGAGAGGATTTGGTTGCCGAAATTCAATATTGTTACCAAAATTAATTTTCTACAAAAAGTAAATTTTTAGAAAAATAATTTCAAAAATATTTATTATTATATAAAATAAAAAATATTATAATATAATCAATTAAAATGAAATTTATAATATTATTCAAAAACTATTTAACAAATATAGCTTAGATAAACATATATAATCTTCTAAATTTACAGTTTTGACATTATTTTATTTTTTAAATATATATATTTTTTTATATAAATAGCTGATCCATTTAAGCCTAGATGGTACAAATGAATTTCAATATAAATTTTATCTTAAATTTTAATTTTTCATAGTATTTCATAAGAATTTAATGTTGATAGCATATAATACAATTAAACTAAAATTTATTATTTATAATTATAAATGAATATTTTATACTTCAAATTCTGCTGTGTCAGTTAAAGAATTATTCACCATTAATATATCCAATGAAAAATAAAGAGAAAAATAAATAAATAAATAAGGTTTCATTTTAAAAAAATTATTCTAATACAGTTTCCCATTCTTGAATCTTGATTCTTGCATATACCAAGAACTGCTCCCAGAACCCTACATTCTTGTAAGGAGCTTTCAGAAAAAGGAAACACTTAAAGATGTTGTGCAGAGAGAGATACTAACATTGAAGTTGAGGTATATGATAATGAAAAGGGAAAATTATTCTTCTGCTATTAACTTTTTCTCATAAACAATTACAAGCAATTAAATGTCTCCAAGATCATACAAAAGCATCTATTGTGTATCCAATTCCTACAGAAGTTTAAAGAATCAACCGGCTCGACGCTGTAAATTTGTACAGTGCTGCCTCCAATCTATCAATGTTACCTACAAAAACTGCACATCTTGCACCCTTATGCCCTTCTTCTCTAATGGTTTCACACAACACTGAATGCTGACTGAAGAGTGGATGAGACTTGAGATGCAATAGTCTGGGATGCAAACTGTTGAATCTGCTTCTTGGCATCTACATGGAAAGTTTTCTACATTGTTAATACCAACTTTAAAGAAAAAAAAAAAAAAAAAAAAAAAAAAAGAAAAAAAAAAAAAAAAAAAAAAAAAAAGGAACATGGGAATGGAATTAGAAGAATCTCAACTGCAGATCAACAAACAAAAAAAAAAAAAAAAAAAAAAAAAAAAAAGGAACATGGAATGGAATTAGAAGAATCTCAAGCTGCAGAATCAACAACAATAATAACTCCACATTACCATGCCAAGAAGTCAGGAACAAGCACAGACTATTATCGCAATGATTGATTTGAAGGACATTGCTTATCCAATCGTTTCATGGCATTTCACAATAGTTTCTCACCCTTTCAAATTGGTTTTACCTTCTGTCTAGTCTAATTATTTGGGCAACATGCAATTGTCTGGCAGAACTTTGCAAATAATAAAATTTACTGATATCATAGAAACTTAGAAGAAAAAGCCGCCTGAGCATAAGTGTGATCCTTGTAAGAACAATTAAACTGGTCAATGTGAGATAACATGGAAGGTGAGGCAGCATCAAATGGCCTAAGGAGTATTTTTCGCTTTGCTTAGTGCCTAAGCTTAATATTCAACCACATAACCAACAAAGTCCTGACTAAAAAGTCAATGGCACATATCCTACTTCATCCATACCCAAGCAATCCTAAAGGCCATACCCAAACAAATAATCAAAATTAACTGCTTTCTCACCTTTGCGGCATTTAGTAAAGCCAATGATGTTTGCAACACTGAGAGTCAAACAAACTCCAATAATGAGGCAGTAATCCGCTTGAAACCTTATGAGGGAGAAAATTCCAAGTATAAACCATGCAACAGCCTGTAAGGTTAATAGACAACAACATCAAATATAGAAACTAATGGACATAAAAGCTCACTTACCAAAATTCCAGACACTAAAGAGTATACAAAACCACAATTAAGTAGGAGTAAGGACTACCAATGTACGATTACATCCATAACTTCACATTCACCATATGTTTCCATTTACATTTCTCTATTTCCTCAAGATTATTTTACATCCAACTTTTCTAAAAGTATTATATGCCAGCAGTATGATTAAGTCATTAACATGCTATGATGAAATTCCACTCCCTTACCGTTAGGTAAAGAGTCCACCAGAATAACCATGAATCTTTCTTGTTCAGTCGAGACAATGACTAGTGCAAAAACACAACCAAAACAAGTGAGAGATAATACAAGTCCAAGAGCAAAATCCAAAAGAATACAAACTTCAAACCAATCCTTGTCAGATGAAGGGAGGACAAATTTGTGGTGTTAAACTAACCTCTTGATCAAGGGATTCAAATTTCCAAACGCTCTCACCCAGATCATTTATTTCATTCCACCACCTAAGACCAACTAAGATACGACCACTCACATTCTTGACTACCCAAAAATCAAGAGCAGAAAGGAGAACAGTCACCACAAAAATGATAACAAAATTATCAATAAACAGGGCAGAGAGTATGTAAAATGCCAAAGATGAAGCCTGCCAAAACAAGAACCCCAGAATCAATCCTAAATTATGCTTGCAAAGGTAAATTTATGAAGACAATAGGGTATGCATTACCTTGAATAGAACATGAAAGAAGCATGTCCTTGGATTGGCATAATTCTCTCCAGGATACTGTCAGAAATTATTAAATTGTGAGTATTAGCTGACCAAAATATGGCTCCTCAAAAAATCAAGCACGAATGATTAGATTTAATTTGATCACCACCAGGCCAATAAAGACAAAAACTTTAACATATTATCCATGCTTTGGAAATCTCCAACCAATTCTTGATAATGGGAACTTTCTTCTCTCTTTCCTTATTTTTTTTCTCGAATTTCCAGTGAATCAAACAGAAAAGATTTCAAATTCTTCGAACAAGAAACAGTTCCAATAAAAATGACGTTATGCACTCTTATATAGATTTAACGTTGTTGAACAAAATCTAATATGTCCAAATAAATATACCAAATGGCATAGCAATTGAAATTCAATACACAGATGAATTCGCCGAGTCCTCTCACCTGGTTGAGATCCATTTTAGCCTTGTAAGAAGATTTTAATAATCTATCAAAGCTTTAAGGCTCTTTTTCTGTGATATATGTGGATGAGCTAACTAATTCCTTCTGTTTTTCTCCTTATTCCCGCAATTCTGTTGCTATTGGCGGACAGAAAGAAGCAGAGACGTTTTCTCCTTTATATTCTTCGTATATCCTATGTTGTGACTTTTCATATTTATGAAAAAGCCCCTTTGTTTTATGAAATAACAATTGTTTGCACTAGTTTGGAGAGTTCTTTAGTTTTAGCTATAAATGGGCCATTGGTTCAATGAGAAATGGGCCTCGGCCATTTTGAAATTGGGTTAAGCTTGTCTAAGATTGGGCCATCTTCATTGCAACTCTACAATGTAGTTTGGGAGCTTCCACAAATTGCAGTGGCTCTCATTCTCACGTAGCCCACACGAAGAAGAGGTCATAATGTAGTTGATGAATGAGAGGCTGTGGATGTAACCAAAGTGAGGTGGGGAGTGGGGTCATTGTCTTATCCATAATTGTTGGAAATTGAGAGGGAGCCAAGAAAAAGGAGAGATGGGCAGAGCCATAATCTTTCAAATTTCTGTTTTAACAAACCGCAAAAGCAAAGAGGATAGCAAAAAAGCATCCTCATGGCTAGGTTGGTGGCAGTCCAGCAACAGACTCAGCCTTCTTTCTCTCTCCTTCCTTCTTCTTTTTCTGACTTCAACGGCACCAGACTTCACAGTCAAATCCAGGTTTGTCTTTCTATTTTGCTTAAATTACCATTCTTTACTGGGAACCTGAGTTGGTGACTATAAAAGAAATCATCTTGTCTCAACTGTGGTTGTTGGGTTCGTCTCTCTCTGTTATCCACTACTAGAAATGCCATCCTCTGTTGTTGGAAATTTTAGTTTGTTAATAACAAACAATTAATCTTTTCTCAATGAGGGTTAATGGGTCTGCCTCCTTTGTCATCCGCCTACAGGAAGTGTTAGTTAAATTGATTAATTCCCTTTGCAGTGTAAAAGAAAGGTATGGCAGACAAAAGGAGCATTGCAGGTTACGGCATCAACTTCCAAGAATATTCTTATAATGGGAGGCACACGTTTCATTGGTGTGTTTTTGTCTAGACTTCTTGTCAAAGAGGGTCATCAGGTATTAGTATCCATCTCTTCTTTAGTTTTGAGTTCTTCATGTTCTGCATTTTGTTTTCATTTTTCTTTCTTCACCTATGAGGAACTTTATTATATAATTGGTCAATTGTGATATGTGCATTGCAGGTTACTTTGTTTACAAGAGGAAAGGCACCAATTACCCAACAATTGCCAGGTGAATCGGACCAAGAATATGCTGATTTTTCTTCCAAGGTATTCAAAGTGGCATGAAAGTCATTGCCCTGGATATTTATGGCAGTTTTTTAACGAGGAAAACAAATTCTACTAATACTAGTGGATTAATTTTGCAATTGAACATGATTTACTAGATCTTGCATTTGAAAGGAGACAGGAAGGACTTTGAATTTGTGAAATCCAGTCTCTCAGCTAAAGGCTTTGATGTTGTATATGATATCAATGGTGCATCTTCATATTCCTGTGCTCTTTCTTTACTTTACTTCATTTAAATTCAGTACAATTGTTTGTTGTTTGTTCCTAATACTGGTTTCCTCCTTGTGACATATAATCAGGACGCGAGGCAGTTGAAGTTGAGCCTATATTGGATGCTTTACCCAAGCTTGAACAGTAAGCTCTGAACAGTTTATTGATGACGTTTCATACATTTCTCATAGCTAGGTGCAATCATTTTACAATGAGCTCTTGTTAATCCTTTGATCTTATGTCAGAGCTCCTAAGCTTCGGTATCAGTTTGATTCTTATTGCAGTCCTTTCCAATTCCTCATAGTTAGAAAATATTCCATGCTTCTCATAAAATTTGTGATAGCCAATTAGATAGCTGATCCTGACTGGAAAATTGGAAGATTGGTTCAGAGATTATAATGTTGCATCTACACAGCATTTTGCTTGCTATGCAGAAAATGAAAAATGAAATTCTTATGCATTTATAATTTTATAAACTATGTTTTTGCCCTTTTCTATTCAAAAAATAATGCATATGAAATTGGAGAAACTATAATAACGTACTACTAAGTTCAGAAATGTGGAGATGCAAGCGATTTCCATTCAAGATTGTATAAATGGTTAAGCAGATACTACCTTTTGAAGATCTTATAGGCTAGAAGCATAAAACATTGACTTGGAATGTGGATAGAAGTAATTGGAAAGTTTCAAACTAAAATTATGGGTGAAACAAAGACAGTGTTTTAGACTGAACTGCTCAGACAAAATAGTGCTTTGTGGGACTAATCTATTGATATTCCAAAATAGGAAGAAAAATCCTAAGATGTAAGTTCTCTTCACATTTTACATTGAGACATAGTAAAGCATAAACGCTCTTGACTTTAATTACCGCCAAAAATCTAAAGATCTCCAAATTTTCAGGTTCATATACTGCTCTTCAGCTGGAGTTTACCTCAAATCTGATCTTTTACCACACGCTGAGGTAGGTTTCATATCATTTGTAACTGGAAATGGATTTTCATGCGATATGACAATGAATAAAGAAGATGAGGTTGTGGATATCTTAAAATCAGCAACCCTTTTTTTTTTTTTTTGGCCTTTTTGCTTTCGTAGGAGCAATCTTACCAAATGAAACCTAAACAGAGACATTGTCTATAGAATTGAATTGTATCCTCGATTTTGTTAAACAGCGCTACGAGTGCCATTATCAGTTAACATTATAATATCTCCTTGTTTAATAACAAGCTTCAAATAGATGAGAATATTCAATGGCTTATCAGATGTTTTAGTTGTGTAGACAATTTAAATTTTGTGTGACATGAATACCTTCTTTTTTAAAAAAAATTAAAAAAAAAAAAAAAGAAAGAAAATCTGCTGTTTTGTCTCCTGTAACTAGTTGTTGTCTGGTTATAGACGGATGCTGTTGATCCGAAGAGCAGGCACAAGGGAAAGCTCGAGACCGAGAGTCTACTAGAATCAAAGGGTGTCAACTGGACTTCCATTAGGCCAGTATACATATATGGGCCCTTAAACTACAACCCTGTTGAAGAGTGGTTCTTTCACCGGTTGAAAGCAGGTCGTCCAATTCCAATTCCCAACTCAGGAGTGCAAATAACTCAACTTGGTCATGTAAAGGTGAGCCAATTTTCAATCCCATCAGTCATTTGCACTGAAAGCAACTATAGGAGGAGTTACATTCAAATGTCTGCATAATTAGAATCGAGATCCTTCTAGGAGTTACCAAATGTAAATTGGGAACTCGTTTGCTTCAACCAATTTTTAGTACTAACTTTTAGGATTAGGCATAACTTGGTTTGACAAGAATAATGTCTGATTTTCCATTTAACGAAGCAATTCCGTTTGGTTTTAATTTTAGTGGAGAAGCTCTTAGTTGAAGTTTTCCCTTATCTCCTTTTTATCTTTTTCCATTTTTCTTCCCAGTTAATTTACATGACATCTTCCAATTTGCTTCAGACACTAATAATTAGCTGAAAAGCATATGCTGTGTTCTACTATAATTTGTGATGTCTGATATGTAGTTCAATCATTTCTTGTTTATAATACTATAATGAGCTTCTGAAGCAATATGGTTTCACCGTTTCAGGATTTGGCAAAAGCTTTTATCCAGGTTCTTGGTAATGAAAAAGCAAGCAAGCAAGTATTCAACATATCAGGCGAAAAGTATGTCACTTTTGATGGATTAGCAAGGGCATGTGCAAAGGTAATTGTTGATAAAATGTCACTGAATACATGTCAAAAATGAACCAATGAATTTTTTTTTTTTTTTCTAATCTACTCTCCTTTTTCCTCTCAGGCTGGTGGTTTTCCAGAGCCTGAGCTCGTTCATTACAACCCCAAGGAATTTGACTTTGGGAAAAAGAAAGCATTTCCATTCCGTGATCAGGTGAATGCTAACAGAAATATTCTCTATCAAAATTCTGATAATGACCACAGATTTGCTTTTAATATTTTGCCAGACTAATCAAATATTTTCTTTACTAATGGAATCATCCTTCTTTTGGAATGAGATACAGCATTTCTTTGCATCCATTGAAAAGGCAAAACATGTGCTTGGATGGAAGCCTGAATTTGACCTGGTAGAAGGCCTTGCAGATTCTTACAACCTAGACTTTGGTAGAGGAACATTCAGAAAAGAGGCTGATTTCTCCACTGATGACTTGATCCTTGGCAAGAGTCTTGTTCTACAGGCTTAGATTTTTTCACTCTTTTTTTTTTTTTTTTTTTAAGAGGAACATTCAGAAAAGAGGCCTGATTTCTCCACTGATGACTTGATCATTTGGCAAGAGTCCTTGTTTCTACAGGCCTTTGATTTTTCAACTTTTTTTTTTTTTTTTTCTTTACCTCTTTTCATATCTTTTTTTTTTCTAATTTTTCCATTCTACTGAAGTGTAGTAAATTTTTATCAAATTTCAGAAGAATATTTTCTCTTCCGTGAAAATGTTTGAAATCCTGAATGTTATCTACAGAATTTATCCATAAAAACAATATGCATCAAACTGATCACTGAAGTTGGATTTGCCATGAGCAGTGGTGAATAGACCATATTGTTCTATGGAATATTCAATGTGTGATATTCCAACTATATATATATATATATATATATATATATATATAATATATACTATCATAAATTGCAACTAGGGAAAAGACTTGCCTTGCATAAACGGCATGAAATATAAATTTTGACCAATTCCTTTGACCACTAAGGTGTGATTAAGAATCCTACAATCAATCAAAGACCATTCTCTGTCCCCCAAAATCCTGAGCATGTGTGCATGACAGTAGCAGGTGCAATTTAAAATAATCTTTCAACGGTGAACTTATGGTTACAGATCAAACAGGTAGATTATTATGAATAATTTAATTCTTTTTTCTTTTCAACCGTCACTTTTTCTTATTTCATACACGCGTTTTCACACTTGTATCCGGATGATATATACTCCAGTGGTAAACATGATATATAATCAAGTGGTAAGTACACGTAAGATCTGACAATACGCATAAGTTTGAATCCTTTTTCTCAATAATTTAAAAAAATTCTCTTCAAATAAAAAGCGAAAAACAGAAAAAAAAAAAAAATTTCTTATAAACGAACACACAAAAAAAAGAAAGGAAACTAATTTATTTTCCTAATTATTTTAGTTCTTTTCTAATCCAAACATAAATGAATTCAATTTATTGATTCATATAACATTAAATTCACAAGTATTTCTATTATATACCATTAATATATCATATCTTATGATTTTATGTATTTGCATCCTCTGCATATTTTCCTCATAAACATAGAGGAAAAAGGGGTAAAAAAACAACTTGTTTTTAAACGGAATTTATATAAATATATAGATTTTCAATTAATTCAGTAGTGGGAACTCATTTATCCTGTAGTAATTTTCCTTAAATTGAAATTAATTCAATAATATTTAATGCTTTAATTAAAAAAAAAAAAAAAAGAGAGTTTACGTGTGGGGCCTTTATTGAATAAAATAGTAGTGATTATAACGACTCTTCCTTGTTTGAATGACTAATCCGAGTGTTAATCCCGGCAATAAAGTGATTAATTAGTGGTTTGGAAGCCCAAATTAATGAAACACTAATGACGTTAGGCCTTGTAATAATCCCAACAAATCTCCATAATCTTTGGATCAACTTGCGTATCATATTTATTAATTCTCCATTCCACGCAAAAAAAAAAAAAAAAACAAAAAAAAAAAAAAAAAAACACATTTTTCAATATTAATAAAATTTTTAAAAGCTTGTGTTCGATATTTTTTTTAAAAAATATTAAAGTAGAAATCTGTTTAAATATTTTTTTTTTCCTAAAATATAAGTGATTTTTGGACTATTAAGTCAGTCTTATATTCTAGTCCTTAGAATAATATATCCTCACAACTAAACCTTACTCAAATTGGACTATTCTTAGTGTAGAAGATATGTGAATGGTAATCTTAATCAAACCGAAAAATTACATGAAGTCCAAAACATTATCCAAACTCAATGTCGGTCCATTGCTAATTCTCAACTACCATACCTCATAACCGCTACTAAATTAATGGGGGTCCCATTTTCGACCAACTAACTAAACTATAAAAGTGGAAAAAAAGAGCAGTCTACCGTTGCTTCTTTGAGCCTAAACCTCCTGCCACGTGACGGATCACCGTCCCAGTAATTAGATACTGACACTTGCCAAAACAGTAGCCCTTGCGAACGACACGCATTAGATATTTGTGGGCCCGACTCATAGGGTCCCTAAATTTGGAGCAAAAGGGTCCTCCACGTATGACACCCATAACGTACGTGGCAATTTCCTTTCTGGTGGACCCTACGTCATTTTTAGTTAGTTAATCTCGTACGTGTACTCTTCTTACTAAAGTCTGACAGGCTCCTAGGAAATGCCATGTGGCTATATTTGCCTGCATGGCTTCAATCCGTGTGACTTTCGTGTTTAGTTTCTAGAAGTTGCAGTGCTACTATACTGCTGTAGGGCCCTTTTTGGCGGTAGTAAATACAAATTTTATATTTTTATCCCCACTGTTTACTTTTCCATTTTTTAATATAATAGGTTGTCCTATTCGAACATTAACCTCAAAAATGTAGATAATAACAATAATACCCTTAAACCTAACCGTAAATGAATGAGAGTCAAGGGGTATTTGATTTGTGGGACCAAAAGGATCTTGTAGTATATTCCATGGATAATATATCATCGGCGATTTCTTGCACCGTCCAATTCCAGGATTGTCTCTTAACCGTCTATTATGGATTTGATCCATGCAGAGATTTCTTTCCAAGCCCAGATGAAATATTAAATTTTTAATAATTTTCTTTTATTTTTTCGTATCTTTTGGACCCACCACGATTAAATTATTCCACTCCATGAACGCTATAAATAACCCCAACCCATCAACCCAACTGATCACCAAAATCTCAACCAATCTTTCATATTTTCTCTTGAGCTCTAGTTTTCTTTCAAAACAAACAGACTTCAGATTTTCAATTCTTCTCTCTTTTCTTTATATTCAAAACTTCAAATTCTTCTTTCCAAACTCGGTTTCTGAAATGGCTCCTGATCCGACCACTGCCGCCAGTACTAATAGTCGGCTAGTAAAGCAAGCAAGCATATCTAGCTGTGCATATGTGACGTTCTTGGCTGGAAATGGAGATTATATCAAAGGTGTCGTGGGCTTAGCCAAGGGACTAAGAAAGGTGAAAAGCAAATACCCATTAGTGGTGGCTATCTTGCCTGATGTTCCAGAAGATCATCGGAAAATTCTGGTCTCTCAAGGCTGCATAGTCAAAGAGATTGAGCCTGTCTATCCACCTGAGAACCAGACTCAGTTTGCTATGGCCTATTACGTTATCAACTACTCCAAGCTTCGTATATGGGAGGTATGTGTCTGTTAAAATGTTTTTTTTCCTCTATATTTTGTGTTTGTTATCCTTTGATTTAATTCTTATTTTTACTTTCGCTGTGTTGTTGCAGTTTGTGGAGTACAGTAAGATGATATATTTGGATGGTGATATCCAAGTGTTTGAGAATATAGACCATCTTTTTGACTTGCAAGATGGGTACTTTTACGCTGTGATGGATTGTTACTGTGAAAAAACCTGGAGCCACTCTGTACAACACAAAATTGGTTATTGCCAACAATGCCCTGACAGAGTCAAGTGGCCAGCTGAATTGGGTCCTGCACCTCCTCTGTATTTTAATGCTGGAATGTTTGTTTATGAGCCCAGTTTATCCACTTACGATGATCTGTTGAAAACTCTCAAAGTCACCCCTCCAACTCCATTTGCTGAACAGGTAATAATTAAATATCAAAACTTTCCATCGATGTTTTGTTCCTTTTAAACTTATTTTATACTAAAACTTGTATTTTTGTTTAGGATTTCTTGAACATGTTCTTCAAGGACATTTACAAACCCATTCCTCCAATCTATAATCTTGTTTTGGCTTTAATTTGGCGCCATCCAGAGAATATTGAAGTTAACAAGGCCAAGGTTGTTCACTATTGTGCTGCTGTAAGTATCTTTAAAGAAAAAAAAAATTAATGTATTAATTTAATTTCTGAAGATAATTTTAGTGTATGGTTCTAACAATGATGACTGTTTGTATATATAGGGGTCTAAGCCATGGAGGTATACTGGAAAGGAAGAGAATATGGACAGAGAAGACATAAAGATGTTGGTGCAGAAATGGTGGGATATATACAATGATGAGTCTTTGGATTACAGGAATACTGTGGCGGCTGCTGGAGGAGATGAAGGTGGCATGCAGCCATTCTTGGCGGCGCTATCGGAAGCTGGGGTGGTTCATTATGTTAACGCCCCATCCGCTGCTTAGATGTGGTTGTGGATTATACTATCAAGTTCCTTATTATTAGTACATATATAAGGAAATACAATCAAGGGTTTTCTTTTAATTTTTGTTGACGCAGAACATTTTATTTTCTGCTTTGACCCCATGTATTAAATTGGGGTATTTCTTTATTATTATTATTATTATTATTGTGTGAGGACATTTTATCCCTCCCCCTTTTTTTTTTTTTGGAATTAATATGTTAATTAAACAGTGTGTTTTCATCTTAATTTCCCGTCTGTTTTCCCTTTTTAATTATTTTTCATCAAGTTTATATCAAAAAGTAAAATTAAAATAGTAAATGCTAATTTTCTTGTATTTGGTAATTTTAAAGAACTTAATGTGTCAAAATAGTTTCAGTCTTGTAAGATGTAGCTGTTTATAATAAAAATGTCAAAAAATTGTTATAAAGAAGGTCGGTCTACAAGATAGCTTCTTTTTTAAAAAGAAAAAAAAAAAAGAAAAAGAAAAAACACTAGGCGAGTTTGTTTTGGTTTTTCCGAAACGACCTCAAGTTCCACTGGTCGTTTCTCTTGCGACCACGATTAAGCTTCATTGTTTGCCTCACAGCCCGCAATAACTTTTCACCCATCGTTATCGTTTAGTTGTAGACGACATCATCAGTTTGCCGCTCTTAGGTAAAGCCTCGACTTTTTCCATAAAGCTCGTTACAGCATTCCACACAGAGTGCACTGTTATAGAAATCACTATTTACTTCTCTTCCTTACAAACGAATTTTAATCACACAAATCACGGAAACAAAGGAAAACACAAAGCCTACCACTAGACTTTCAGAAAGTACTGAAGACACATACAAAACCATATAGAAAATTATCCAACCCAAAACTTGACTTTTGGGATTGGGCCTGACAAAGAATCCTTAGACCGAGTTAGACCAATTCAACCTTATCAGTGATTAACTAAACATAGTTTTGTCAAAATCCTTCCTTAATCCAGAATAACCAATACAAATTATAAAGCTACACAATTTCACACTACAAATGAAAAACAAAAAAGCCAGATGCCGAAGCAAGACAATAGATCTTCTATATGAGATGTCATACGTACAAAACTCTGCTTGGAAATGGGATTAGGATTTTTCCCTGCGTAGCTGTGTTTAGGTTTACCCCTAAAAGTTTCCATAGTAGACCATTTAACAATGAATGCTCATCAAAACAGGAATTTCCAAAAATTTCACATTGGAGGTCTATGGAGGCACATGTACGAACGGTGAATCATCAATTATTTAAAATCTACAGGAATAATTTTGCCAATTTCTATTACAGTATTGATATCTAAGAAATACATTATCTCAACAATTACATGATAAGAGATCCAGAAGACACCAAAATAAACAAATTTGCAGCAGAGTGCAGCTCACATTGTTGAAAACTGACCCATATCCTATGCCTGCACCAATAAGAACAAGAAAATAAAATAAGGTTTAAACAAGAAACTCCCAGGAACCAAATTATTCCAATTAAACAAGATCCTACCTTGTTAGCAATGTTATTGGAGAGCCAGTCAAGTCCTTCATAAAGCCCTTCACCTGAAGTGGCACATGTGCTCTGGATATACCTGTAATAAACAACAATAAAATCAGTGTGCCCGGACAGATAGAGATTGGTCCAAGAGAACAACCAGTTAAAAGTTTTTTTTTTTTAAAAAAAAAAAAAGAGTTTCTTGTCAAAATATACCAATGGCGTTGGCGAAGAGAGTGGAGGCCAAGCTTATCAGTAATCTCAGCAGCATTCATAGCATTTGGAAGATCTTGCTTGTTAGCAAATACAAGCAGCACAGCATCTCTCAACTCATCCTACACATAGAATAGGAAAGCATTTCATGCTCATTACTTGGCACAGCAAACCTATTAATAAATTTGCTTGCAAAACTAGCATTGGACATAGGAAAACATTCAATGCAGAACATCAAGCAAAACCATTCCAATGAAACTAAAAAGACAATGATGAATTTCATTTATTCTACAAAATCTAGTGCGTACCTCATTCAACATGCGATGCAGCTCATCTCGAGCCTCAACAATACGGTCACGGTCATTGCTATCAACCACAAATATCAGCCCTTGAGTGTTTTGGAAGTAATGTCTCCATAATGGTCGAATCTGTACATAAAAAATAATAAGAATGTCCATTACCTGGTGCTTCAAACAGTTGCATGCATGTAAACAGCCAATATAGAATATCCAAGAAATTTCCTATCCGGCAGCAAAAGGTGACCACACTATTCTTAGGCATCAGCACACAGTACAGACACAAGAAAAACAGAAAATACAGAGATAATAGTGTATATGTGAATATAGCAGCGTGAATAAGCTAATTTCTAAGCTCAGAAGTACACACTACAAGACAAAAGTGGATTAACATAAGAAAAAACACATATACAGTTCAGCTTAGTATCATCCACAAGCACTTATATCTCCACCAATTAAAACCATGCAATATCATAAGAGACTGAATTGTCTGCAATAAACTGGATAGCCTTTCCTCATTAAGGCCAAGGAAAAAACTTGAAAGACGTTACAGCAAAAGTCAATCTAGCTTATGAATTTGTTGTGTGCTGATAAAAATATTTAATCAGCACAAGACCGTCCATAAGCACATACAAAACTAATAAGTGGAACTACAGATAATGAATTGTCTGCCATAGACTAGATAGCCTTTCCTCATTAAGGCCGAGGAAAAACTTGAAAGACATGATAGCACAAGTCAATATAGCTTATGAAATTGTTGTGTGCTGATGAAAATATTTAAACAGCACAAGACCGTCCATAAGCACATATACTACCAACAAGTGGAACTATAGATAATGCAGTTTTGTTTATAAAGCATAGAATTTCTGCCACGCAACTCACAGCTTTTCCTCAATCAGAGAAAGGAAGCCTAAAATATTAAGTGGCTAAAGCAGATATAGCTTATGATTTTGTTATGTGCTAATGGAGCATATCTAACTAGCACAAGACCGTCCATAAGCACAACTTAGCATGTTACATTATATAGTGGAGCTAAAAATTGCTGTGTCAAGTTTGATTCATGATCAAACAAGGCCATCAGATACTCCGCAGGAAATAGTTACGATATAACCAAGCCATGCACACATACCTTGTCCTGACCACCAACGTCCCAGACAGTGAAGCTTATGTTCTTGTACTCCACAGTCTCAACATTAAATCCTGGGGAAGGCAGAAATGAATAATTCAATCAACTAAAACAACAAAATCACAATAGATCTGCTGCTACTTTGCTGTAACATGGCTGTTAAAAAGGTGGAGGAAACATACCAATTGTGGGGATGGTCGTGACAATTTCTCCAAGCTTGAGCTTGTACAAGATTGTTGTCTTACCAGCTGCGTCAAGACCCACCATAAGGATTCGCATCTCCTTCTTGGCAAACAGCCGACTGAAGAGCTTGGTGAAAGAAAGCCCCATCTTATTATCTCAGCTGAATTCAAAACGCTATGTCAGAAATCTTAAGTACGTAACCAACCGAAACTAGAAAATGAAATAAAAGAAAATAGAGAACCAAAATTAGAAAATAAAATACAAGAAGATAGAAATATATGTATATCTTTCAAACTCAGTTTTGCATGCACAAACAGTCAGAACTCAAAAGATGCGAGTGAGATCTGTGGAACGCACACCTAGGATACATGCTCAATACTAAAGCCAGAGATGGTTCCTAATATTTCTCACAAATTAAATTTTGGTAATAGAAAGCAATCGAAAAGGAGTGTAAATGGCACGAATCCATTGTATTTCCTTCTACTGCATTAGAAGGCAATATCAATCTGTCCTTAACATTCCATTCCTTATTCTCATTTCATTTCTTTTCAATAAGACCAACATTTAGCTGATTCAGATAATTCCTTTTAACCAATGACGATATCCATATATCTACATATGCATAATACATCAGATCTATGGCCGAAATGATAAAATCAATATAAATCAAGAGCTAAAGCTATGAAAATGAACCGATAAAAGCATTAAAATAGAAAGTGAGGAATCAGATCCAGATCTAAACTAGGATCAACCATAACACACCAACAAATCCAGCAAAAAAGCATTAAGTGAAATAACGTTATAAACTTGCAGAGAAATAGAGAGAACGAAAGAGAGGGTAAAAACTTACAGAGACGTCGAGGAGCAAGATCGAGAGAGAAGAGAGCGAAAAGGAGATAGAGAACGAGGACGGTAAATGAATGGAAGGCCATATAGTCGATATTTAAATGAGTAAATGAGATAACGGCCGTTTCGACGACGTTAATGATTCAAACGATTTTCTCCTCGTTAATCGTTAGTTAGGGCAAGTGAGAGCGGATTTGGTGCGGCTGGGCATGACAATTTATTATAGACCATACAACTGGAAGAATCATCATCCCTATACTCTTTTAATTATTTATTTCCACTTATGTTTTTAATCAATTTTTTGTTCTAATTTTTTTCCCACTAATCAGGATAAAGCAATGTGCGTTTTTACACTTTTAATTTTTGTTTTTTTCTCCTATTGTTGGTGCCAATTTCCTGGAGAATATGTGAAGAAGAATAAGCATATTATTATTTTTATAAATAAAGAATATAGGCATTGGTTCTGTCTCTGCATTTCTTTGTCTAGATTCCAAATTAATGAAGTTTTGTTACCACCTATAAGATGGGTTATGCTGCTACTGATCTCGAAACGAAATTAATTTCATATCAGAGGAGAAAGGTATAGATTTACTCTAAAAAAATAAAAATATTTAGAGATCGGTGAGTTCGATTACTCATCGATGGAGTATTATCATCCTTCCTGCTCTAATTCAAGATGTTATAGCTTTTGATTTTATTCCAAAAAGAGAAAATAGCTTCATTTCATTGCTCTTAAAATAAGACAATTGAAGAAAAGGTAATCAAAAAGTCACTCTCTTCTAAAACTACAACCCCCCACACACTTCAAAGGGTAATCATCTAATTACATAATTAAGAACTAAAACTCAAATTAAGGAGATTAAAACAGATGATTTGATAACTTGCTTCACTTTTTCTCTCCTTTAGCTTCAAGACCATAAGTGCCATTAGATTTTGCAGGCAGCTGCAACTCAAGGTCATTGATTTGCTTTCTTGCTTCTATTTCTTCAATAACTTTCAATTTCATTTCCTTGTCTTTCCCCCACAGAACTGCGTAGAGACCGGCCACAATCAACGCAGAACCTACAACACTGAACACAAAACATATAATCATTAACAATGGAATGTTTCAGTTTCAATTGAACATGGTCATGTTCATATAAATTTTAGCATATACATACGTTCCGACATATAATTTCTCACGAAGCAATGCCCAACTTAGAACAGCAACAATAACCAGCAACAAGGGGCTGAACACTGAGACATAAAGTGCTCCTTTCTTTTGGATACTCCATGAAGTGAGGGAAAATGCTAGAGCAGAACACACAATTGCCTGCATTTATTTTAAATAAATAAAGTTCTAAACTTTTATCGAACTTATTAAACAAACTAAAATACACCAGCAATAGGTAAGTCTTTTCCATAAAGAGAAAACATACTGCATAAAGAGCTGCAACAAGGCGACCCGGATCGCGCAATGACCAATCTGCTGCTTCATGATTGGCACCAAAGCCAATCAGAACACACTGAATGCTGCCCATGAAACACAGTAGAAATGTGCTTGTGTAAGGAGCGGGAAATTTTTCACTTACTTTGGCCTGCAATAGTTTGTTCAAAATCAAAATTCTATACAAATAGTTCAATCAAGCATTTGATTTATTTTCTTTTGATTAAAATTACCTGAATTGTAAACCATATTGCCCAACAAACAGCACTAGCCAATATAAATAAAGGGCCTAAAATGAAGTTTGATTTTGAACCATCATTAGAATTTTGACTACCGATATCATCTGCATATTTCCAATGAATGCTGGACTCTCCTACATTGATTCTACTTCCATGGTAAAATGACAACAACATGGCTCCTCCTACGCATATTGCTGTACCCAACAACTTAGCTTGCCCTGATAATTTCTTTATTCCAACAGATTCTTGTCTGTTAATCAAAAATAAAACACAAAATTAGAGCAACTTGAAATATAAAATGTTTAAACAAAGAAACAGAAAAACGAAAGGAATCTAATTCTCAACCTGAGAAGAACTGCAAGAATAAAAGTGACAGCAGGGAGTATATTAGTTAGTGCACATCCAATTGTTGGGGTAGAATTTTGAAGCCCAATAAAGTAAAAGACCTGGTTTCCAGTTGCCCTGAACGGTTTAACATAATATATATGATTAGTCGTTTGTGCAGGAAATTTAAATTTTTTTACTGTAACAAGACAAAGAAAATCAAGAATCAGAACTTATTGTTTATTGCAAAATTGAAACAGAGAGCGTATGTGATGTGTTTACCCAGTAAGTGAACATATGAAAATCTGGAACAGCAGCTCCTTTGTAATCTTGGGTCTTGTTTTCCTGCACCACAGCAACCAAATAACAAATTATCAAAAAAATTTGCCAAGGTTTTCTATTTTGTGTATGTGTGGTGGTAATTACATAGAATTTTCAGATTTTTTTTTTCTATCAGAAAACAGGGTAAAGGTCCCATCAGAAAAGTATGATTAATTTCAGGAGAATATACAGAGTCATTTAAAAAATAAATGAAAAAAAAAATTTAAAGAAAAAGCTTTGACGTGAAATGAAAAAAAAAAAAAAAAAAAGAAAAAAAGAGAAAAGAAGAAGAAGAAGAAGCTTTTTGAATTTTGACCGCCTGGACTAGCTAGAGTGTATAGCTCAGCAGGCACCAATTTCAGAGCACTAGAGCAGCTGACATGCAGAAAACAATTGACAACCGGCAGCCATGCATGGCTTTGGGGAACGGTTTCACAAATGCTAACAGTCTCATTTCCATTTCCAAACATAACTTTTTTCAGCAAGCAACCAGCACACAGCTTTGAGTCTTTAATTGCAAAGGTCTGAAAGAAGTGCATTAAACTAATTTTGTCACTTTTCCTTTTGGGTCATAGGTATTACTTAATTCAGAATTACAGGATCTATATAATTTTTTCCCTCTGTAACACCAAATAAATTAAAGATAAACAGCTTTCTTCTTGACAAATCGCATTGCAGTTACTAAGGAAGAAGGAAACAAAAAAAGTAGATATCCTGCTTTATTTGGATAGATTGTGCACTTGTTATCTTGAAGTTATAATGAAAAAGAAAGGAACAGAGGTTAAAATTTTGTATCGCTAGTTATTTCAGAAATGGATTCAAGAAATCAGAATTTTTTTTTTTTTTTGTTCCTGTAGCATCCTAGAACCACCTCCATAAAAAGGTTCTTCGCAAAAGAAAAAAAAGAATACCAAGTTCTTGAACAGTATGAATATACTAAGTGGTTGCTTGCACCCTAGCTACTTATCTTCAAATTAATTCCAAATTTTCATAAAGCAAGCCACAAATAGCACATGCAAAACCACTTCCATCTAAACAGAAAGAATCAAAATTTTGACGTCATCTATTACTTTTTTTGAAGTGGGATTTTCAGGGACACAGTTTCTTTCAAGAGAATGGTAAAATTTCAAGAACTCACCATTCGAAGAAATAAGCAAAAGGGACCATGGCAATGGTGGCAAAAATTTGCCTATAAGCGACAAGAACAAGTGGTTTCATGCCGGAGTCCATTGCAAGCTTTGAAATAATATTCATCCCTGCAAAGCCAAATTGTACAAGAACCATAGCCAAGAATGGTAAAAGATCACCAACCACATCCATTGTTCTCTCTTTCTTTTATTTAAGAAACTAAAGTGCTAGTATGGCACTAAGAGAGAAAGATATGAGTCGGTCTCTTGGAGAGAAATCAAGAAATGGCAATCACATATATATAGAAGAAGGGAAGCAAAAAAGTTCTTCTTTTCTTTTTTATTTTTGTATTTTTTTTATAACAGAAAGGGAAGTAAGAAAAACGGTTCAAGAATTCTCTTGTAACACATATACGTTTGCATGGACCGAGTGGTTGCCATTTTAGCAGTATATATATAAAGTTACTTTGAGGTTTGTCTCGTCCTGTCTGTAACTTGCCAGCTCTTAACAACGTTTCACTAGCCTCCAGTAACCACATTGCATTTTGACATGTCACAAATTCAAGATTTGGGACCCATTTTTCAGAGGTGGATCCGAGATCCGGGCCCATGTTTCTGAAGTTAGTGCTGTAGTTTTCAAGCAATAATGCAATATCCGATGGCGTTTGCGGTCTTTTACAGATTATGAAATCTACGCAAAATTATTTCATATGTGGACGTCTTTAAGTTCTTTAAGTAATGAAATGCTTTGGATTAGTTTCCATGTAAAGAAGCTTTCAATTATTGCTTCATCCTGTTAGCTATTTCCACTTCATCGTCCATTTAAGTAGTGTTCAACTTGTACAGTGCAAGTTCAAAAGTTTACCATTATAAGGTACTCATTAATGGTGGCTCAGGCGATAAGGCATGCGAGGCGAACCATCTCTGCCAAGTCAGGAGTTGGTTCTTAGGTCGGCATCTTGAGCTAAAAAACGGAGAAAAAAAAGATTGTGCACCCAATTCATCAAATTAAAAAATGCCATAAAAACTGAAAAAGAAGAAGCAATTTAGAATTTGATAATGGGTTATGGTTTATTTTTTGCTCATTGAAGTGGAAATACGTAAGCACATTCTTGTTAATTAGCTAGTATTAGTAAGATAGACGTAGTTGGCAAGGCTATCGTGCTTGTTAGCAAGCATACGGCCTTTCCTTTCTTCCTCTTTTTAAGCCTTTATTTGAGTGGGAATGCCTTTTTTCCCGTAGAAACCCTTGCTATAAGGCAGAGTGCTAGCCACATGGATGGTTATGAAAACCCATGAAGTTGTATTTTAGCCCTCTCGGCTCTGTTCGGCAACAATATTTTAAGTAGTTTTTAACATTTTAATTTTTTTTTATAGTATTCGATAACATATGATTTGAACTAGTTTTAGAGTTTAAAATAATCTTTTACAAAATGTTAATTCCTATAACGTTTAGCTTATCATTTATAAAAAGCTATTCAAATAACTAATTCTAAATTTTCATGTATAGAACACCTTAATATATACGTTAAGCTACCTTAAAATATAGAATGTGGGAAATTTAAAGATTAAAAAAATTATTGCATGACTAGGTTTTGTGGCATTAAAGCAAAATCGAAGTGGAAGATAAACATTTTAAAAATAGAATGTTAGTTTTTATTTTGATAAGTATCAAGAAGTGGGTATTTTGAAAAATTCTTAATTTAGATTTGTGACTAAAAAAGTTATTAGCCACTCCAAAGAGCATCCTTCCCAATACGCTTATAAGATTATATTCATTATTAGGGTAGTTGTATGTTAAAATTAAGGCAATTATTGATTCCATCAACCGTTCACTTCAGATATCTCAAACTTGAAATAAAATTATTTAAAATCAATACTTATCTATTTCTTTTACGTCAATTTCAATTGGAAATGGACTCATAATGGCAAATTACGTAAAATATTTAAGTATTCTGTAATGGAAGAAATAATAAGTCATTATTTAAATAGTCTTCTCAAAAATTTCTTATTCATTATCTAATATCTTTTAATAGAAAGAGACATTTCAATGATTCAAAAAAAGAAAGAATTATTTTCTTGTGGAACTCATTTAATAGAAAAAAAAAAGGGAAATAATGAGGTACGTATCATATCATTCAAAAACCTTCAAATAATTAAACTAATTATTATCACTTTTTACTTAAAAAATAAAAATAAAAAAGAATTCCTTTAAAGAGTTAATACTGTACAAATAGCTAGATAACAAAAATGAACTGTATCTCTAAATAAAATTGCGGGTAAAAATATGAAATCATCACAGTTAAATTTTTTTTTAACAAATTACTACTTTGATTTGAATGTCAAGTTCTTGGTGTTTTTTCTTTTCTTTTTTTTTTTTTTTTTTTTAAATGTTTGTGATCATTTTTTTTTTTTTTTTTTTTTTTTTTTTTATAAATGTTTGTGGGTTAAATTCTAGAAAAGGCCTTTTGAGTATTCGAAAATCACAAGGTAATGAATGGTTATTCGGGTCGGGCTATTGGGCAGAGTCCACAAGTTGATGGCCGTGAAAACTGTCTAGTCGAACGTCCACTAGACTCCACCGAAATCATGGATATACGTAAATTACTAAAAAATAAAAAGTGAAAATGACATGCACGTGACGACATAAAAGGTGTCTAAAACCAATTATTTTGTTTCCTTTTCGTAGTTGTTAATAAAAAATTAAGCTGCTAATACGTTACTACAAAGCAATGATTATAACATCACTCTTTCCCATTACTACATATATATATATATATATATATATGCTGCAATGAAATTAAAAATAAGAAAAATAATTATTTAATCATTGAAGTTTGCCATATTGTTTAACAATATTAATTAATAGTCATGAGATTTACTTCATTCTGTCTAAAAATATAATATTTTCTCTATTTTTTTATGAAAAGACCAATATACCCATGATTATCCTTCTTCCTTTCCATGTATCTGTCATTAGAACTGATTCAATAACTTTTAATATAAAAAAAAAAAAATTCCATGAGATGGAAAACAAATTTCAGGCTCATGCCTAATTGTGAAGAACATTCCACAAACTTTCAAGTCCAAAATTTCTTTAGTCACCATATTTTCAACTTGAGACCACTCAAGAATCTTTCTCCATTTGTCCAAATAGTGTAGATCTAGGTACCGATGCGAAGAGATTGAGCATGGCAGCTGTCCATGAGCTTGCCGCCTTGAATCTTCTCAGGAAAATCGGGAAAGTTCTCAACCTCGGAGGTGGTGAAGAGCTGGCCACCAGATTCAATGTCGTTGGGCATCCAGCCTTCGAAAAGTATGGGCTTGAGTTTTGCCTTAGCAGCATAGACGCGGCAATGCGAGCGGCAGGACCGTCAGTAGTCAAAGGATGTCTGGAATCTTCTCCTTGTTGATTGTGATCTTCAGTTTAATGCATACCTATTGTTTTTGTAATTAATTTAATTTCTTTTGTTCTGGTGTGTTTTTCATCATGCACTTTGTTTTGTGTTTTTTATTTTTTGGTATTAAAAGATATTAAATATGTTTTGATGGCATGCAAAAGGGAAGGAGGAAAAAGATAAATGTGGTCGGGTATTTTAGACTTTTCATGTAAAATTAACGGAAAAAATATCACTTTTAAGAGTGAGTAATCAAAGAATGCAAACTTGACGATTACTAATTAATATTACCAAATAGCATAGATGAGATGACTAATTTAATAAAACATCACGGATTAAATAATTATTTTCTGTTAATAAAGATAAATTGAAAGTCGGCTATTCTCTACTTGCATTATAAGTGTCTTTTAGAATTATTATGAAATGATTGAATAAACAATTAAATAATCTCAATTTGTTTAAAAGTAATTATAATAAACTAAATCATCTTTTGACTAATTCTTTAAATAATTGTACTTATTAGGTGGATGAAAAAGTTAGGCAAAGTTGGAAAAAAAAAAAATGTTTCTTTATTTTTTTAAAATGAGAAATGCTAAGAGGGAGACAAAAAAAATAAAACTCTTAAGAAGACACTTACAATGGAATATGGAGGTAGGATGGAAGCTAGACAATAATTTTAGGATACTCATCTCGCTTTAATTTGAAGATACGAGTATTTATAAAATGAATTTTAAATGAATATGGACAATAAAATTACTATCCCGTAATGGAAATAAATAAAATCTCAGTATATATTTCAGCACACTTGTTATATTAAACGATTGGACATAGTTTATTTGCACATGTTCTAGTCATTATTAATAAAAAATATATGTATTTTAATAAGTTTAGATTTAAATTGTTTAAATTTTACAAACAATCTACTCGTTGAATGGATATTTTAAACGGATTTAGACGAATAAAAATAATAAAATTCCAAATAAATATTAGAATAAGAAGTTTAAAGTTTCACAAGTATTGGCTCTGCTTCCAAACCTAAATCGATAACATATTTAGTTTTTTGGAACTAAATTATAAAGATTTAATTAATATATCTACAAAATAAAATAGATGAAATTACAATTATAATCAAAATTAGGTACTCTGTCCTAAAAACAAAGACCAAATTAGTTGGTGTATCTTTATATCTGACGCGTACCACCATTAAAGAAATGGGTCAAATTCCCAAAAAGCATTCAAAAAAGGGCAAAAAGATAAAACACTTAAGTTTTTTTTTTTTTTTTTTTCCCAACAATAATGAAGATAAAGGCTTCTTTTTACATTTAAAAGTTATTTTGAATATTGCACTAAAAAAAAGCATTTGCTATCATCATTAAAAAAAAAAAAAAAAAACCAAGATTGCTTAAAAAAAAAAAAAAAAAACCTGTGCTTTATTATTTTTTGTTTTTGATTGAGTTTTGGATCAAGCTCTCAATCAATTGCAATTGGTGTTTCCTTTGACTCCTCCATAATGTCTTTTCATTTTTTTTTTAAATTATTGATAGGACTTTAATTATAGTACTTTCAATTAATTGGGACGGTCGATTCATTAAAATTGACGGTTTTTATTTCGAAACCTCATTATTATAATTAAAATCATTATTTTATTTGTTGATTTATTAAATTAAAATTTGATATGACTCCACAGGTCACTTTTTATTTATTTATTATTATTATTAGAAACAGAAATTATAGTTCAATTCGAAATTAAAATTATCAATTGTAGTTCGAACCAAACTCGTGACAGGCACGTGACCCTTTATTATTATTATTATTATTATGTGTGTGTGTTGCTTTCCCAAAAAAAAAAAAAAAAAGTGTGGTTGCTTTCCCAAAAAAAAAAAAAAAAAAAAAAAAAAAGTGTGTGTATGTTTGTTGAACAGGACCATAATTTCTAATTGGGCTGGCCCCGGCCTTGATGGGGGACGACAAACCGTCAACGGTGTTGTACTTTGGATATAGGCCTTTGACTCCAGGCAAGTCGAAATGGATCCAAATACCTACTTAAGCCCATTCATTTTAATTGGTTGGGATAGGCAGCCATACAAGGCCCGTTTAAGTATTGACCAGCTGAACGGTTTTGGTCCACCTCTCTAGCAACAAATATAAATAAGAGAAAAAATTAGTTATTTTTATTTGAGAAGATAAGGAAGAAAAACTATTTTTCTTTTAAGTTTTTATCCCTAAATCAGAAAAAAAATAATAATAAGGCATCTTTTGTTTCAAAAAAATAAATTTAAAAAAATTTAAAAAATTCTATAAAGTGGAGGGTTTTAAACAAAAATGATTTTTTAAAAGAAGAAATTAGTTCGATTATCACCGTTATTATTGATTATATTGTTGTCAACTATCATTATATTATTGTCGACCACTACCAATAATTCATTGACAATTGCGATAAAATTTAAATTCAATTTATTGTATTTAAGCGAAATTAATATTACTAAGATGATTGAAGTTTTGAGAAATTTTAGTATTTCACTCTCGGTTTAAAACTTTTTTTTTTCTTAAAAAAAAAAATTGTACTGTTAAAGACGAGTGACCCCTTCAGGAATTCTCCTATTGCATCTCTCATTTTGAACTCTTGAAAAAAAAAAAAAAAAATGGAAAAAAAAAAAAAAAAACTTCTAATTATTATTTCTATTTAAATTAAATATTTTGAATTGAAAAAAAAAAAAAAAAAACTTCTATTTATTTCTATTTTAAATTAATATTTGAAAAATTTTCTTTCAATTTCTCAGATTTTGATCCAACCTATTATTGTCTGGGCAGTGGCCAACACTAGTAAATAGCTGGTCTTGCACTTGCACACGTCACATGGTATTGTCTAAAACCTTTCAGGCACAAAACCTAATCTCCTGCTGAGATCTACACGCAAACTCATACTGTCCCACTCTCACAATCTCTCCCCTTTCCTTTTCTTTTCGTAAAAAAACACGAAAGCTAAAAGCAAAAATACAAAATCTCCACTCTCCACGTAGCTTATTTGGCCAACAACGCGCACTACACAACAGTAAAACGCACTTCCTTTACTTCACTTTACCAATGGCTTCTCCATTTCCATTCTCTCAACCTCTCCTTCTTCTTCTGCTTATTGTTATTACTTCATTTTCTTTCACTTTGGTGGCTTCTCAATGCAAGAACTCGCCTGTCATCTTCAACTTTGGGGATTCAAATTCCGACACCGGTGGACTAACCGCCGGTCTTGGCTTTCCTGTAAATCTTCCAAATGGTCGCTTATTCTTCCACCGGTCAACCGGTAGATTGTCTGATGGACGTCTTTTGATCGACTTCCTCTGTAAGTGCCACATTCGCATTTTCTTTTTCTCTGTCACTGATTCTGAAAGTCTTGATTGGTTTGAATTTAATGGTAGCCGTACTCCAAATAAATTTAATTTGTGGAAAGCTAAGACTTGTACTTTATCTTCTTCATTACTGCAGTTCAAATTTCAAAAATGCTGACCATTCTGACGGGTTAGCGTTTACAAAATTTTTTAAATCTGTGCAGGTCAGAGTTTGAATGCTAGTTTTCTAAACCCATATCTGGACTCATTGGCGGGCTCAAGGTTCAGTAATGGTGTAAACTTTGCCGTTGTGGGATCTTCAACTCTTCCAAAGTTTGTTCCTTTTTCATTGAACATTCAAATTATGCAGTTCCTTCATTTCAAAGCTCGAGCCCTTGAACTTGTCAATGCTGGTAATGACTCATTTTTCATTATCTTTTTCTTTTGGCATGTCTATGTTTAGCCGTTGCATTAGAATCCATCCTGTGACCCAATATCTGCTTTATAGTTAGCTAGTGAGAGTATCAAACATGATAGACATTGTTATGCAGAAACTTAAGAAAATGCTATTTACTTGGTTTTTAGGTTCACAAAATTTGATCAGCGATGATGGGTTTCAGAATGCACTTTACATGATTGACATTGGTCAAAATGACATTGCTGATTCATTTTCTAAAAATCTATCCTATGTTCAAGTGGTCAAAAGGATTCCATCCTTTATTCAAGAAATAGAGAATGCCATGAAGGTAACTTAAGTAATCCCTGTGGTATTATTGTCAAATGTTATCCAAATTGCTGCTTGTGCTATCAAGATTCTGCACTAAAAGGAATTTTCCTTTTCATATCAATTAGACTTTATATGATCATGGAGGAAGGAAATTCTGGATACATAACACCGGGCCATTAGGTTGCCTCCCTCAAAAACTTGCATTAACTAAGACAAAGGATTTGGATTCACACGGATGTATTTCAAGTTATAACAGTGCTGCAAGATTGTTCAATGAAGGATTGCGTCGTGCATGCCAAAGAATGAGGTCTCAATTGACAGGTGCAACTATAGTCTATGTAGATATATATTCCATCAAGTATGACCTCATTGCTAACTCCTCCAAATATGGTAAGCTAACTAATGTTCTTTTTCCTTTTTCGTTTTTTTGCTTGCAAGTACTTTTTGATTGTGAAGATGGAAGATAATACAATAGACGCTTAACTTCAGTGAAACCATTAGGCATCGATTAGTTATTTCGATGTTTTGCATTCTTGATTGTGTTTGATAACGAGTACATGACATCGAACACGATTCCAATGCATTCTAATATGAAATCTCACATGACTTTCTCAAGCTTGGCTTTTTTAACAAATGAGTATGAAATCTTGTTCTGGTTTGCTTGCAGCCCTGTTCTTGGTTTTAAAAATTTGTAGAAGGAGATGAAGTGTATGCAAATTGCTATCATATGAACCATATTTCAAGATAATCTTTGCAAGAACTGCGACTTTCGAGTAACTGCATTGGTTTAATTTTGCAATTTGATAATTGCAGGTTTTTCAAATCCACTAATGGCATGTTGTGGCTATGGAGGTCCTCCATACAATTACAATATAGGGGTAACTTGTGGTCAACCTGGCTATCATGTTTGTGATGGAAAATCCCCATCTGTAAGCTGGGATGGGATCCATTACACTGAAGCTGCTAATGCTATTCTGGCTACCAAAGTTCTTTCCACAGCTTATTCTTCACCGCGTTTGTCGTTTGATTTCTTTTGTCGCAATTGATTTTCATTTGTTGTTCTAGTTCAATTGAAAGAAAATCTTTTGAACTTGATAGTTTAAATTCTGAGTTCCAACTTATTTGAAACCAATTAAATATTAGTATCAGCCAATCAGACGTGGTCTGCTCTTGAGTTCGAGTCCCATATTGTGTTGTATAGCTAGTAGTGTTATTTTGGCATATTAAAATCTTTCAATAAATTAAAAAAAATTATGTATTAAATATAATAAGGTAATATCAATCAAATATATTAGTTGATAAATTTATAATAAATACATACACAAACAAGCATGCATGTAAATGTGTTTCAATATAATTTGTTGTCGTATAATAAGATCATATAATTTGATTATTTGGATTTTTTTCAAATTGATAAATTACAAAGTTTGATGAATAATTTTTTTTTTACAAATTTTTTTCGTAAAAAATAATATGTATTTAATTATAAGTTATAACTAAAGAATAAATATTCATATTTAAATTAATTATTTCATTGCAGAAAAATTTAAGAAAAAATGTTGTAATAAAAAAATGACCGAATAAAATATCATTTAGCTCTTATTTAAATGAAATAAAATAATAAATTGGAGAAGGAAGATTTGAAAAATGTGATCCCAGCTAAAATCAAAGAATATCAATTTTCCTTCCATTGAAGGAAAACTTTCCCTTGATCGGAGAACGACCCTCTACCTTTTCCTATCCTCCTCGCCTTCTGTATTTCTCAACAATATTTCAGAACTACTATCAAAAAAAAAAAAAAAAAAAAAAAAAAAAAAAAAAAAAAAGAAATAAAAGTAAATGAGAGTGACATAAATTGGAGAACGGAACGATTAAAAAATGTGATCCCAGCTAAAATCAAAAGAATATCAAGTTTTCCTTCCATTGAAGGAAAAACTTTCCCTTGATCGGAGAAACGACCCTCTACCTTTTCCTATCCTCCTCGCCTTCTGTATTTTCAAACAATATTTCAGAACTACTACAAAAAAAATAAAAAATAAAAAAAAAAAAAAAAAAAAAACAAAAGAAGAAAGTCTAGCTTTAAGCCTGATACGTAGCCTCTTTCCACGCAATTTTTCTTGAGCTGGGTCCTTAAAAAGCAATCTGAGAAATTAATAAATTCAAAAAGTCAAAATTTCAAGTGTTCTCTTTGGGAGTACTCTAATCTCGTCCTGTCCTGTAAAAAAAAAAAAAAAAAAAAAAAAAAAAAAAAAAAAAAAAAAGAAGAAAGTCTAGCTTAAGCTGATACGTAGCCTCTTTCCCGCGGTTTTTCTTTTAATTGCTGGTCCATTAAAAGCAACTGAGAAATTAATAATCAAAAAGTCAAATTTCAGTGTTCTCTTTTGGTGAGTACTCTAATCTCTCCTGTCCTGTTCTTCATCATCCATGCGGTTTCTGATTGTTCCTCGTAGAACCTACTGCGCAAGTTTATTTGCAGTATCCTCCAATTCCCAGATTTCACATTTCGCCCGTATTGGCCAAATTGGCAGAGCTCGAAGAATATTTGATGAATTGCCAAACAAAAGCATTATTTCCTGGAATGCAATTGTTGCTGGCTACTTCCAAAACAAGCAGCCTTGTGAGGCCCAGAGTTTGTTTGATAAAATGCCTGAAAGAAACACGGTTTCTTGGAATGGATTGATTTCTGGGTATATTAAGAATGGAATGATTAATGAGGCGAGGAAAGTGTTTGATAGTATGCCAGAGAGAAATGTAATTTCGTGGACTGCCATGGTCAGGGGTTACGTGCAAGAGGGAATGATAAACGAAGCAGAATCACTCTTTTGGGCAATGCCTGAGAAGAATGTGATTTCTTGGACAGTGATGTTAGGTGGTTTGGTTGAAGATGGACGTGTCAGTGAAGCCCGAAGCCTTTTTGATATGATGCCGGAGAAAGATGTTGTTGCTAGGACTAATATGATTGGAGGGTTGTGCACGGATGGAAGATTAAGTGAAGCAAGAGAAATTTTTGACGAGATGCCAAAAAGGAATGTCGTTGCTTGGACTACTATGATTAGTGGGTATGCAACGAATAACAGGGTGGATGTAGCTAGGAAGTTGTTTGAAGTAATGCCGGATAAGAATGAGGTGACATGGACAGCAATGTTGATGGGATATACTCGGAGTGGGAGGATTGAGGAAGCTGCTGAACTTTTTGAGGCAATGCCTGTGAAGCCGATTGCTGCATGTAATGAGATGATTATGGGATTTGGACGGAATGGGGAGGTAGGAAGAGCAAGATGGGTATTTGATCAAATGAGGGAGAAGGATGATGGGACATGGAATGCCATGATCAAGGTTTATGAGAGAAAAGGATTTGAATTGGAAGCCCTTGACTTGTTTCGTTTGATGCAAAGAGTAGGAGTGAGGCCAACTTTCCCATCTATGATAAGCATTCTTTCTGTCTGTGGTAGCTTGGCAAGTCTTGACCATGGTAGACAGATTCATGCACAGTTGTTAAGATCCCAGTTTGATTCTGATGTGTATGTTTCCTCTGTTTTGATAACGATGTACATTAAATGTGGTGATCTTGTGAAGGCAAAAATGTTGTTTGATAGGTTTACTATGAAGGATACAGTTATGTGGAATTCGATTATTACAGGCTATGCACAGCATGGTTTTGGAAATGAAAGTTTACAAGTTTTTAATGAGATGATCTCTTCAGGCATTGCACCTGATGAGATTACCTTTATTGGAGTTCTGACAGCATGTAGTTACAGTGGGAAAGTTACAGAAGGTGTTGAAATTTTTGAGTCAATGAAATCTAGATATCTAGTGGATCCAAGAACTGAGCATTATGCTTGCACGGTGGATCTACTTGGTCGAGCAGGAAGGCTAAATGAGGCAATGAGTTTAATTGAAAGGATGCCTATGGAACCAGATGCTATTGTGTGGGGGGCTTTATTAGGAGGATGCAGAACCCACATGAAGTTAGATTTGGCTGAAGTTGCTGCAAAGAAGCTTCTGGAGCTTGAGCCAGAAAATGCAGGGCCTCACATCTTGCTATCAAATATCTATGCATCCCAAGGAAGATGGGGGAACGTTGCCGCAACGAGGAAATCCATGAGAGCAAAGAATTTAAGCAAATCACCTGGTTGTAGCTGGATTGAAGTAGAAAAGAAAGTGCATATGTTTACTGGGGGAGATAGCACAAGCCATCCTGAGCATGCAATGATATTGAAAATGTTAGAGAAATTAGGTACATTATTAAGAGAAATTGGATATTGTCCTGATGGTAGCTTTGTGCTACATGATGTGGATGAGGAAGAGAAGGTTCATAGCTTACGTTATCACAGTGAGAAATTAGCCGTTGCATATGGCCTTTTGAAGCTGCCTGAAGGGATGCCTATTCGGGTCATGAAAAACCTTCGCGTTTGTGGGGATTGTCATTCCGCAATTAAGTTGATAGCTAAAGTGACGAGAAGGGAGATTATTTTGAGAGATGCTAATAGATTCCATCATTTTAAGGATGGCTTGTGTTCATGCAGGGATTACTGGTGACTGGCAATCACAGGGATTTTGGGCAAAATGTTAACGAGGCAGCAGAATCCTGAATAGCTAGCAGCATTCAATCAGAATCTGGAAAAGCAATCCTCATGTTCATACTTCATACATGCCTTTACTGCTGGAAAGAGGGAAAGTTGTCTAAGCTCAAGCAGAAGCAAAACAGTTAGTCTTTTTATCAGATTTCTCGTATGATGATTCATCCAATGTCAGGAAGCTGAGACTATGAGTTGAAGAGTTAATAGAACTTGATAAATCCGAAGTTTATAGTCTGTTTTCCCATATGTATTGAAGAATCCAAAAGAAACAGAAATTCATTAGATGTAAAATAACCTCTTACCTTGAAAAGGAAATTAAATCACAATCACATGGAAATTGATTTGATCCACGTTCTCGTTAACTTCAGTGACAATAATATTACCACTCTTCGTTCATATTATCAAATACCCCAACTATAATTGATATTTTGGATAATTCTCCATAAACAAAGAGGAAAATCAAATCTTTCACAAATTTTATAAGACTCATAACAGAAAATCACAACAGATATCTATCTCAAAAATTTCATGTTAAAAAACAGAGCACAGACACAAAAAACACAAGTTTATAAAGCAAGATTGAGATCTAATGCTTCTTTCTTCTCCTTCTCGTCTTCTCCTTCTTCTTTATTTGAAGAACTTGATGGATTTATGCCAGCAAAATCTTCCATTTGAAATGGAGTCCATTCAGGTAATAAATTTACCTTCTTTACCATCCTGGTTTTCTTGCGAGCTTCTAATTCGCGCAAGCTATTTGTTGAACAATGACGAGAATCTCTTAGCCTTCTAATTATGGAAAAGAATTTCTCAACTTTCTCATCATCATCATAAACCTCCTGTTCTTGTCCATGCTGTTCTGCTGCAGGAATGCTCTGTTTCTTTTTCCTCTGTTCTTCCATGGTTAGTGTAGGTTTAACCTAATCTTGTGTGACTGTTTGATGTTTCTGAAGATTGATTTTAAGTTTCGTACTTATAAAAATTGACTCAATTATAGTAGTGGGGACCTACTTAGGGTTTGAGGCCTTTTGAAGCTGTTCCAACGAGGGTGATTGAAGTGAACCAATATCCTTGCTTTTCTTTTTTCTTTTTCATTTTTTGAAAAAGTAGGCAAGAAAAATTGGTGGATGTAGGCATGGCGATTTTCCGGTTTTCTGAACCGGAATTGCCGGTTCGGAACTAAAATTGTGAGAAACTGAAATCGATTTGAATCAGAACTGGAATCGGAGGTATGCAGTTTGATTCCGGATCCAATTTTTGAGGAACTGTGAACCAGCGGTTCCAAGAACCTGTCAGAATTGATTCAACTTGTTAGAACTAGCAGTTGCGATTGTTTGAACCGGCAGTTCCACCAGGATTTTAATAATTTTTTTTTATTTTTTCAAATATTTTTGTGAAATTTCAAAATTTATCCTCTTAACAACTATGTATAACGGCTAATTTTAAAGATATTTTGTGAAAAATTAATTTTTTAATTTACTATAAGCACGCCATTTCATTTAAAAAAAATAAATTAAGTTCAAACTCTTTTTCTAAAAAAAAAAAAGTTTACAGCTTTTTTTTTTTAATAAATAAATTATGTTAAGCCTTTTTAATTTTTTCTTTTAAGTTTTTTCTAAAGTTATTTCATAAATATTTACATTTTAAATTTTCCACAAAAAAAAAAAAGTTTCCTAACTTCTGATTTTATAACACCGAAAAACACTCGAGAACTGACTGGAAGTTCTCGACTGGAACCGTTGATTTACATAATTTACGGTCGTTTGCATTTCCCATTCAAGGCTGTCCCCACACCCAGAACATCATTTTCTTTTTCTTCTGCCGTATCTTTTCTTCTTTGATTGATATTAAAGCTGATAATCATTATTCCTTAACCCTTTCCCTCTGCATTCTTTTCAAGGACAAAAAAGGAGAAGTGGATATTGTTTCTCTAGACTAATCCTACAGTTAAAATATTTTACTTACAGTTAATGGAACATCATACACAAACTTCCAGAATTAAATGATATTCAGAAATATTATCAATTGAAATTACTCCCACTATGAAATAAGCATGCTAATTGTTAGCTATCATTCAATTACTAATTCAATATCATCTTTCAATTTTGATCACTCTAATCTTGATATTTTGTGAATAATTGAAGTTCAAACTAATCAATCATGAGCAGACCTAAGAGGGCCATGGCCTCCAAAAGATACAGAAAATTATATTTAATATCCCTCAAAGTTTAAAAAATTTCATTTGACACCCAAATAATTTTTCCTAGCTCTGTCCCTGCTGATTAAGACAAGCATCTAGCTTCACTACCGACCAGCAAGGCTGGCCAGGCTAAAATTAAAAGAAAAAAAAAAAAGGTGTTTTGTGCAAGAAGATAATATTTTGGGGTAGACTTGTGCAGTGGATCAAGATGAAGCCAAGAACCTTATGTTCACATGTACTTATGCATGATCCAAATACTTATTTATTTATTTATTTTTTGGTTTTGATTTTGATGAACTCATGACTTGTTCCTTCTAAGAAGATTTCTCTCTGTTTTACCACTTCTTCTACATGTGTTGTCTTCAAAGTCCCTTTTGAATTGCACAATGTCAATTTAGTCTAGACAATTAAGGCCAGAAGGTAGTTGAAGACTCTTTGTTGGTTGTTTAGCATATATCAGAAGATTAATCCAACTAATGGAAATAAAAGCAGTAAGTTTTTTCAACATGCAAAAGAAAGTGACCCTGTAGTTATCTCTAAAGCAATGAAATTACAGTTGGTAGTTGACTTACACATCCCTACAAGTTACAAAGAGAGATTTAGGTCTAGTTTTTCTTCTTCTTCTACTTCTTTCTTCTGATGTCCTTTTTCTCCTTCTTCTACCTTTGAGGGTCCTGCTTTATTATCCTTAAAGTCTTTTATAAAATCTTCTGGTTGAAATGATGGATGCCAAGCTGGTGCTGCTGGCTCAGCTTTCTTGTCCTCTTTCTCTCTGGATCCATTAGAGCCTCTTCTCATTTGATCAGCTATCTCTTTTGAGCTTCTAATTAAAGCAAAGAACTTCTCCATCTTTTCTTCATCATCTTCTAATCCTTTTCCTTTCTCTGGTTCTTCAATATTCTCCATCCTCCTCTTCCTTGTTTCATTCTCCATGGTGAGAGCTGCTTTTCCTCAAACCAAGAACGAAGAAAGACAGAAATATATATATATATATAAGAGAACAGAGGAAGAAGAAATAGAGTATGGAGTCTTATCTTATTGGTTGATGTTGGAGGAATATTGATAATCCATGCACATGGTTACATTACACATGCATGTATTAAAAAGTTGGGGAGGTTGGAATGCTTAGCTTAGCAACTCTCTCACCAGCTGCAGACTTTACTAATGGACTCTATATAGAGAATGGGGTCATCTCGGGGTGGTTGTATCACAAATTAAATATCAGTCATTGACATATAGATGAATTTACTAAAATATCCATAACAATAAATAAATAATAACATCTTATAGATTCTATATCTATTTTTATTAAATTTTTTACATAAATAATAAATAAACGTTGCAATTAAATATAGAAAATCAACCTGTAAATGAAAAAATTAGTCACCAATTAATTTTCTACAAATTTACTATAAACAACATGTTATGTCTCCCACTTATCTCTAGACAATAATTTATTTTTGCACAATATTGTCACATCCTCCCTAATTAATTTGCTCCTTAATATGGATGGATTTGATAAAAAGATTGATTGTTTAATAATTTGATCCTGAAATCATATATTTATTTTTGATGAATGAGATTATAATATTAGAAGTTGAATAAATCATTTTTTAATTATCAGTAAAGAGATAATACAAGTCAATTTTCACTACGAATTTAACTCTTATCGATAAAAAAATAGTAAACTAACTTATTAGTCATGACAGTGGGAAGCATTTTTCTTTAATCTTGTTTTCTCATTTTATATTCTAAAATACTAATCAGATTGCATATGATTCGCCGTGGTTCTAATTTTATTAAATTTACATAATTTCGCTAAAAAAAAATATAATTTAGTGGGGTTAGTAGAAACGGAATAGTGGTATTTTGGGGAATTTGAGATTGGGTGGTGAGTTGGCAGAATAATTGCTAATATCACACATATATTTGTCCTTTAACCTAACGAATGGTATGATATAAACGAGGTGACGCAATACACATGACATTACATTTTGTGGCGGTTTGCCGAGGAGTGCCCCTCCCTTAAAATTCTTTACGTCTTTTCAGGACCCACCTCGGTAGACTGTAGTCACCCTCATGCACCTGGCAGCTCAACCCTATGATGTTTTGAAAACATTTTTCTATATAAAATATTTTAACTGCTTTTTCTATGTATCCTTCTCATGTTTCTTTGTTTCCGTTTCGGTGCAACATAGTCTGAACCCTTCATCTACCCTTTGTTTTATTTGTCAATGGTTATGGCCAATGAAGTCTTCGTGCAAATGGTCCCTCAGCCAATGTGATACTCTGGAACTTAACAAGTTTCAACTTTCAGGTTTAGGGATTGTCCTTGTAAATGTTTAACAGGTTTCTTCTTATGAGAATAAGTGATTTTCATAGAGGGGCAAGGTAAATTATCAAGTAGCTTGCCCGATATGGCTACATTAATTGTCTGCTTTGCAGAAAGAAAAGACCCATCTGCGGAACAAAACAAACAACATTAATTACTGATTGAATAGTAGATAGATGACTCATGGTCGATGGAGTCTGAAACTTACCAAAAATGAAAATGTGTCTTAATTGTATTTGGTAGAAAGTACAGTTCAGAGTGGGCTCTGATGGTAAATAAAGTGGTTCTTTTTCGTGTCTCCCAACTACATTTCACTTTTTCAGCTAGCTCTGCGATGGGAATTGATTGACAAAGAAGAATCTTTTAATATGTAATGTGAATAAACAAATAATTGCCATACATAAAACAGCCATGTTTAAGAAATTAGTAAAAGACTAGAACCAGAAGTCTCTGCTAGTTTAAGGATTTGCATACTCCTCGGAAAGTGACTTTGGTGGAGTGGCAAAAACCTTTACCTCCTGGTCATACGGAAAAAAAAAAAAAAACATTCATTTATTAGGAGAGAAGGCAAGTGTTGTTGAATGTTGACCACTGTATCAGGCAGCAGAATCTTTGGTGAAAAAGCTTTGTCAGTCAGTCATCTGCCCACCGGACTCCATGTTTGGCCCAAAGATAGTATGCTCCAATTGGACCTCTACCCCCTAACTCATACAGCTCTGGTGCAATATTATTCTTGTCTATCTCATGGAGAATAGGAGTTAAAATATTCCATGCAGCTGCAAGCTCATCGCTTCTCATAAAGAGATGGTTGTCTCCGTCCATCACGTCAAGGAGAAGATGCTCATAAGAATCAGGCACTTCTACATTATACCTGTGGTATTTGCATGGAGAGTTAAAAGAAACATAAGAAAGTAAGAATACAAGTATGAAAAAGGTAGTTTCTATACTTGTCCTTGTAGAGCAAATTAAGTTCGGAAGCATCCAACTGCAAGCCCAGTCCTGGAATCTTATTGTTAATTCTGACTAAAATGGCTTCATCAGGTACATCGCGTAAAATCAGCTCATTCGTGGCCATATCAATGCTGTGCCCAATGCGTTCACGATAAAGATTTCCGGGGACATTATGGAACTGGATTCGTATCTCCACTCTGCAATGTATAACTCATGTTGGCAAGCAAATTTCTTTTGGTAAAATAACCAACAATGTACAGACAATAATCTACTTAGTACTTTCTCCCTCAAGATGGTAACTATCACATAAATGCAAAGCAACAGAATAATCATCCTTTCATACACCAATTCATATCATGCAAACCCTTCCTTGCATTTAATTTAGCTACCATTTGAATTCATTATTTTAGAATTAATTATAGAGTTTCTTACTTTTTAAGTACAAATATCAAAAAAATTTTGATAATATTTTAGTGTTTGGCTTCCAAATGTTCATAGTAAAATTTATGTTCGCGGGAAGAAAGCATAAGGAAACAGGTAATCTTATTGCATATTCATTCTTTACCATAGCATTATGATTATAACCCTGAAATTGTCTTGCAAGCATATCTCAAAAGAATTTTCCCAAGACAAGCATAATAACATCTGAAAATTATTTGTCAATCAAAGTCACGATTCATGAAGCAGAATATATTTGTGCCATCAAGCTAAGGATGGAAAGAAGTACGACTCTATTAGCTATATCATCAAACAATGGCAATTCCACAATTAGTCTTTCACCTGTGTTTGATGAGTCCCATGCCGGTTTTGATCAGGAAAGGCACGCCATCCCAGCGTGCATTATCAATATACAACGCAGCAGCAAAAAATGTTGGAGTCAAACTGTTCATATTTACATCAACTTTGTCTCTGGAAATAGCTTTATATTGCCCAAGGATGACATCACTAGGATCCAATCTGCGGATTGATCTTAAAACCTTGACCTGAAAAGAAACTTATTAAAATGACAGTTCAAATTTGCTAAACAGGAAGGCATTTTGCATAAAGATCAGATGCCTTTTCATTTCGAATATCTTCGCCATCTAAGCTTATGGGTGGCTCCATGGCAAGCAATGCCACTGTCTGGAATATATGACTATGCACTATATCCCGAATGATCCCATAACCGTTAAAATACCTGATATAATGAAAGCCAGATATCATATTTGAAATCCTCAGTCCACAAAATTCACTTAATTTGTTTGAAAAATGTATGAAATAGAACAATAAACTATACCAACCTTCCAGTCTGCACACTGAGATCTTCTGATAAAATAATCTGCAAAATTCACCATAATGTAGTGATTGCTTATTCTAGAAGGCGTACTTGAGTTTAATAAAACAAATATATAATCAAACAGTTGAGCTCAAGAAGAGAACACTCACCTGTATATTCCGTATATAAGTTCGGCTCCACAACGGCTCAAAGACTAGATTAGAAAACCGTAATACTGTGAGGTTCTCAATGAGGTTTCTTCCTAAAAGATGATCTATCCTGAAATGGGATAAATTCAAATCATGTATCATCAACTAGTATACTAACTGAATGCCTATTAGAAAAGACTGAGATGACACATTGAAAAAAAAGAGGGATGACTGATATGTATTGACACCTGTATAATTGCTTCTCATGAAATTTAGAAAGAAGAGCCTTAGTCAATCGATGAGAAGATGGACCATCAAATCCAAAAGGTTTCTCAATTATTATACGATTCCAGCCCCTGTGGGTTTGGGTGTTCTCAGCGAGCGATGAAGCAACATCAAGAAGCACTTCTTGTGGCACAGAAAGGTAGAATATTCTGTTTACTTCATGTCCCGCCTGCATTTGGCAAGTCATTTCAGAATCAGTTATCAAAAGAAATTCAGCTGAAGAATTGTATTATCAAAACCAGACTACCAACCTAAATAAAAAAGAAATTCAGATGAAGTATCAAAACCAGACTACCAACCTAAATAAAAAAGAAATTCAGATGAAGAATTGTATTATCAAAACCAGACTACCAACCTAAATAAAAAAGAAATTCAGATGAAGAATTGTATTATCAAAACCAGACTACCAACCTAAATAAAAAAGAAATTCAGATGAAGAATTGTATTATCAAAACCAGACTACCAACCTAAATAAATTCCTAAATTGTCAAGTGTGAGATTGCTTCAGGTATACCTCAATCTGCTCCATTCTGGCATTTAGCTTTGACATCCCTTCTCTATTGTCATAACCTCCATTAAGGTAGTAGGTCCTACTAAGAAACATCTCCATTTTGTCTCCACAGTTCTGTCTGAAACATGTTGATACCTTTATTATTGAGAGATGCTATATCAGAGAATCTAGGAAGTTTAAATAACTATGTATTTAAGCACAGACACAACTGTAATCAATTTGATTTACTAAGAACTTTCTAAAATTCAATTTTATGTGCTTTTGGATAATGGATTCAACAACTTAATACTCTCATTATAAAGCAGTTAAGATTGCAGGTCACCCACTGTAAGCATACTAATGCTCTCTCTTAAAGGTAAAGACCATAAACCATTATTGAGATACTGTATCACTATCACCATTAAGTTGGAGATATTTTCAGAGATTATAATCATGACATTCAATTGAATTACAATAAGAAGATAAAAAAGAAACTTCCAAGGCAACAAGATAACCATACTGATGATCAATGCGGCAAGTCAAAGTTGAAGCTATAATGGATCTCAGATCTTCATCTGTCAAATTCTTCCTTGAATAACCAAAGATAGCCACATCCTGCAAGCATGGAAAAATAAGACCAAAAAAAGGATAAATTTTTACCTCATCCTAAGAAAATATTACAGCCAATAAAAGAAACGCAAACTAAATAATGAATGATATTAGAGTAGCAAACTAACCTCGGGTAGAAAGCCACTGTAATACAGAGCAAATAATGCTGGAAAAATTTTCCCCCTAGCCAGCTCACCTGTAGCTCCTATGACAGCAATAGAGAGAGAAGTTGCTCTACCACCTTCAATTGGAAAACTCAAGGAATGTGCATGTGCCTGTGTCGAAGATGGAGACTCCACAGAAGCAGCTGCACTCATGCAACCATCAGGATGAAAATCAGACAAATAACCTTCAGGTTTTGGAGTTGTTTTTATGGTTCCATTGATGGAATCTACATTCAAAGCACGTATAATCTCTCTATAAATTGAACTTAAGCTCTACGCATCATTCACTTTTTAAAGCTGAAAATTTAACAAAAACATTAATTTAACTAAAATGGATTAATAAAACACATAAACACGCAAACTATAATTACATATTTAGCAATGCATCATTACTAACCACTTGGCACATTTATCTTATGGACTTCTTCAGAAATTTGTCCTGCATGTGTTGAAGTTGTTTCCAAATGATTACTTAAGTGATTCTTATCTTGATTTTTTATAGTCTTGAGTTCCTTTACATGTCTCCATTCTCTATTGCGCTGTCTAAGGCTAAGGCTCTCAAGTATTCGTAGCTTTAAGCCATGGAACCTTCGGCAGAAACTGCCAGCTCCTCCATAGAGCAGAAGGCGGCTACCTTCCACTGAACAAATATCCTCTGGCAAAACCTGCAAAAACCACCATAAGTCCATACAGCAACTTGATATTACCTCAAAAGGAAGGATTATGATGAACCCTTCAAAAAGAGGATTTCAAATATGCGTCAAACAAACGAACAACATGTTCAGAATTCCCTTGTAATCCAAAAGGAGAAAATTTAAGAAAAGATCACTTCTTGGTTGATGTCCCTTAGAGATAGAAACAGGTCCTTAGCTAGTACCTACAGCTAATCATTGTATTAAACAAAGTCTTAGATAGAATTGCAGAAGTTCTAGTTAATTTCACCCAATTATGACTCAACTTAAAACAGAACATAAAACAAAACCCATGTGATCAAAAGTTTAAGGCAAGTAAATTTGAAGTGCAAAATTTCAAACTCGCATTAGAAAAACTACAGGCCTTTTTTGATTGATTGTCACTGGACTACACAAGTATAGTAAAAAGGTCATAGCTTTACTTTTTATTTGGGTATTAGTCTCTCACCGGAAAGCTACGAGCAGAGACTTTGAGATCACCAGTGCAAAGAGGGATCTGTCTGGCAACCGAAGAAGCCGAGAAAAGCACCGATAAATGTGGAAAAGATGTCGACATCGCTATCAGCTATTAAACTGTTCTTGAGATTTTAGCAAAAGGTCTTCAAGCTTCCAAGCAACCAGCCATATGATAAAACATTTTTGACGATTGATCTGTTATGGTTATTCTGAGTAGCAGCAGAGATTGGCGGTGCAGATGGAAGCAAATTCCGGTGGTTGCTTGCTGCGGTAGCGATTTGGCTCCCTTTTTTATTTTCAACAGCAGATGATGGTTTTGGAGTAACTTACAGTCAGTAAAATCAACGGCGTCTAAAGATTGACTTGTTGGACGACAGACAAAACATCACTTCGACGTTCGTAAGGTTATCTTGTCTTTTCCTTTCTTTCCTTTTTTTCTTTTTCTTGTTGGCGGGCTTTTGGCGCTGCATTAGTGTTAGCTTTGAAGCTTGCTCTAAACTTGTTGGCCTCTTTTTTTTACATTGCATTACAGAATAAGCACTCTGCAAATCTATACTAATGATAATATGTTTTTGGAGTACATGATTTTCTTTTTCTAAATTAGGAGATATCCCTCAAAGGCCCTAACTTTTTGGTCACTCAAAAATTTCTTTTGTATTATCAAAATATGAATAATTAATTTTTCGTGATCTTTATCACGCTATTCAAGAAGCTTCATGGAGGAAATCACAAATAATCCATAAGGCCGAAGCCCATGATCCATGTTCGAACCAGGCTATGATCCTAGATAAGGAATCATAAAAGAAAACCAAGACGTGCATATTATATATATATATATATATTATTGGCTACTCCGTTACTCTATTGTTATTGGTGGATTAATAATCTGAATTAAGAATTTGATACTGACAGCTGCCTTAATCTAATTATAAACCTTTCTTTTCAATTGAATAATGGAACATGCTTATCACTTCACATGTTCATTTATTTTTATTTAGAATATATTTATTTCTTTTTCTATAAGCACCAATCAAACCTTTATAGTATCTTTACGCATTAATTATATTAGTTATTTTGAAATATTAAGTAACAGAAAATTCATTTGATTCTATGGAAATTTTTACTTGGAAAATATAAAAAACACCAATTGTGCCTATTTCTTGATCATCTTGAAAGACTTGTATTATTTTATCCAAGTTATTTGCAAATTATTTAAGTTTAATTGATTGGTAATGCACTGATAATTGAGGTTGTAATCACAAGCTTATCCTCCCCTAACCAACAGATTGATACAGACACTACGCATATATTAAAATATGGAAATAATGTACCAGTTTAGGTACAGAGAAGAAAGGATTACAATTGGATTTATTTATTTTTTTGTTCTTTGAAAGTGACCCATACAGAGCAAGGCCACATTTTCTAAAATAATATTCGTAATGTTCAAATTTATGATTATTTATTAAGATATAAATATATAGGAAAATCATCAACTAAATTTATTATCTATTCTTTTTATCTAGTTATATTAACAAGACACTTAGATCAAATTAATCTATCATTAGAAGTAATATACCCTATATAGATAACTGCATTTAATTATGATGTTAGCTCATTATTTTTTCAGAAAAAGTATTTAAAACATGATAGAGTAACAGTACAAAGTTTCATTTTGATTCTATGAAATTATTTGTTAATACTTTAGAAGCCCGAATAAATAAATAAAAAAGCACTCAATATGTGCTACCTTTTTTCCATTGATCATCTCTGTGGAAGAACTTAGTAAGTTATTATTATCAAGTTATTTGGCCAGAAATTATTTAAAGTTATATTTGTAATTAGGTTAAATGCACTGATGAATTGGAGTGCAGTATGTAATCGACAAGCTTATATCATCCTTTCCTAACCAACAGATTGAATACAGACCAATATCTACCGCATTATTATTTAAAAACTATGGAAAATAAATTATCAATGCTACCAGTTTAATTGGTTACAGAGTAAAGAAGGATTATCAATTGGATTGTGATTTCAATTTTTTTTTGTTCTCTTGTGAAAGTGACCCATACAGTAGCAAGGCCACAATTTTCTAATAATAATTATTAATATACTATATTATATATATTACTATATATATATTATATATAATTTTTTTTTTTTTTTGTGTCTTCGATTATTACCCATCTCTGTATTCTTTCTCCTAATCTGATTGGAATCTTTACTAGTTCTTAAAGATTTAAATCCACTTTCTATAGATAAAGACCTGGTGGTTGAGTCATTTTTTTTCTCTCTTCTTTCTTTTTTCTTTTTTTTTTTTTTTTATTTTTCCCTTTTTTCTTTTTTTTTTTTTTTTTTAATTTTTCCCCTTTTTAGAAGATTACAGGTGAGAAATTTTCAAAAGCTCTTATCTTTTCTTTCTGAATTTAAAAACGCATGCTTAAATTTCCTATCTTTTGTTGATTTTAAGGCAGATTGATCAGCTGGGTATTTGATCAGTGATATTCTATTTTGGTTTTTAGCTTTAATTTTGGGGTCAGGTGGATTAATACCGATTCATTTCTTTTTGGGGTTGTTTTGTTTGTTTCTGTTATGTCGTGTGGCGTTTTATGGTGTAATAATCTATTATAGCCCCGTGTTTCTTTGATTTTGGATTGGATTAAGGGATTTGTATAATCTTTACATGGTTTTACTGTTTTAGGAAAAGGGTTATTATCAGAAGATTTTCAATTTTCCTATATAGCTTTGTTTCCTACAGAGACGTTGTCAGTTTATTGTGTTCTATCTTCAATTTGAGGCTATTGTTTCTATCACTTGGTAATTGCCTGTTAATTTTCTTGAATTACATTTTCTAATCTCTGTGCAAAGTTTCTCTACGTTAAAAATGTTTATGTCATGTGTAATAGAATTTTCCTGGGTTCAGTCTTTTGTATTTTTTTAATCTAACTGGTTGTTTAGTTAGAGCTTAATCACTATCAAACAGTAAATGGTTTATTCAAGAAGGAAAGAACATGGCAATTCGTTTAAGAATAACGAATAACATTAACTGGAGTTCTTATATGAACTTAATTTTATCTTTTGTTCATGCAGGTCCTTGGATTTTGGTTTCAGATTTTATGCTGTAGTAAAATTTAAGTTTAAACAGTCAAGTAATAATGGGGTCAGAAGGGCCTCCGGCCGTAACAATACATGTGACAGGATTTAAGAAATTTCATGGAGTTTCAGAGAATCCAACTGAGACCATTGTCAGTAATCTTAGTGAGTACATGAAGAAGAAGGGTTTACCAAAAGGTGTGATACTGGGGAGTTGTAGCGTTCTTGAAACTGCAGGACAAGGAGCAATTATTCCCCTTTACCAGACGTTGCAAACTGCCATAAACACTAAAGATACTGAATCTGCAAGTTCTGGGAGAATTATTTGGGTTAGTTGATCATGTGTCTCATAATTACTTAGTCCCATTCGCCTTTTGTGATGATTCTTTCTGAATTACTTAGCTTTGATTATTGATTGATTACATTTTGCCATATTTCCCTTTAGCTACATTTTGGGGTTAATAGTGGGGCAACAAGATTTGCCATCGAGCATCAAGCTGTCAACGAAGCTACTTTTCGGTGTCCTGATGAGATGGGATGGAAACCACAGGTTAGACATATCTCTGAGGTCTTTTTTTTATTACTATGATGTCCTAAGTTTATTTTCTCCATTTTCCTAATGAGGATTCCATTTCATTGGATTTATATCATTTTATGCAGAAAGTACCTATTATTCCGTCAGATGGTGGAATTTCACGAGTACGAGAGGTAAATGGATTTTATGATATCCTTTATTGCTGGAAAGTAGATCATATGTTTCGGATAAACAGAAATCAATCAATTATGATCATGATTTCCTATGGACTTTTTGTTATGACATAGGAAGGTTTTTTCCATTTCTTAGGCTTTATCTATATATTTGAGGCTACTTCCTTTTCCAGTGTTTCCTTTCTTATCTATGGAACCGAAGTTACTAATAATGCACGGCAACTTCTCCTGTCACTATTTTACAATTAATTGGTAACATACTGAGTAGAATGAGGGTACCGAGTGAGTATTCGACAGTACGAGGGAATCTACCTGCAATATTAACTTGGAATGATGTATTGTTTTCAGCTCAAAAGCTAAAAACTAGATACCATGCAGTTCAATAAAACGCACCCTCGCTTTGCTGTCAATGAGTTGTTTCATTTATAGTGCACTTTGTTTCGTTAATGGTTGTTTTTATGTTTTGTGTCTCCGTAGTAGGTTCGAGGAGTTACCATCACAATTTTAACCTTCTTAACATGCAAATGGAAGGAAATGAATTGAAAACTTTCATGTCATACCGATTTGGACTGAATGGCTGATGTGATATAAATACATCCCAAGATTGCCTCTATTTGTTGCCTCTCTGCATCAAACATTGCAATTGGATTAGTTGGAAGAGCTAGTAACTACTGAAATCAGTATCTGTTTTATTATATGATCCTCTACTGTGGCATCTCTTCTTCCTCTTTATTCTGACCTTAAGTTAACTTAGAACTGAAGTCACAAGCTTTATGTGCCTTGAAATGTAAACGAGATTCTTTTTGCATGCATCGTTCAGAGTGGTTTAAAATATTACTTTCAGCATCAACTTTTTCTGCACTATCATTTAGAGATTCTCAAAATTTTAAAGTTCCATGAAAAGACATCTGTCTATTTTGAGAAAATTTAGAAAATAAAATATATATCACCAGTATTGTTAGTTAAATTAGAAGTAGCCTCAACTGGATCGTGCTGTTGCACGGCAATGGTTACTCTTTATCGGGGTACAAATTTCGTATGTGACTCTATCCTCACCTCTGTTTAATTATGTTACAAGTATTTAATATTTTCACTGCATACAGACAACTCTTCCCGTTGAGGAGATTACTAAGGCTTTGGCAAAGAAAGGTTATGAAGTTATGGCCTCCGACGATGCTGGCCGGTTTGTCTGCAATTATGTGTATTACCACTCCCTTCGCTTTGCAGAGCAAAATGGAATCAAGTCCCTCTTCGTGCATGTTCCTCTCTTCTTAACCATTGATGAAGAAACCCAAATGCAATTTGCAGCTTCCTTGTTGGAGGTACTTGCTTCTTTATATTAGTGATCTATCGGCATCCATTTACATGTTTATGTCTAGGATCTTATAAGCTTGTATTGCGATTGACCATGCTTGTGAAAGTGGATGGATGCCTGTACTGAATTGCTTAATAACAGATGAGTGTATTTGAATGAAAGAAAAATGTGCTTGTGGTGGATATTGCAACTTCTGGAGTCTGGACTTCTCTTGCCATTATCAAAAGATTTTGGCCACTCATTAAAAGGTTTCTTGAAATCTTGTGTTAATAATGAATAAGATATCAGTTTCTTTAGAGCATATGTATTTATTGCTTCTTTCTATGCGTTCCTCAGTTTGCAAAATTTTGAATGTCTTTTATTGCTAGATTTCGATATGCAATTCGACTGAATATTGCATGCATTATGGATTTCCTTGGGTATTATTTTCGTTTTTGGTACGTTATAAATTCTTAAGAGGAAAAGAAGGTATAAAATTCATTTCAGTGAATATTTATACCATGTCCTCTGTCGAAATAGAAATGAAAATACGATAAAAACTACTGTATAACTAGTCGTTTCAGTAAGAACCTAAACAAGAATTATTGGCAGAGAGCTACTCCGGGACAAGCTTATGCACTAAGCCACTAACCCTGCCATCGGCTACTTATGACCCCTACATGGTTTAGGTTTTCTTTGTTCTCTATACATTGTTTTTGGTTCTCTTCTCAAAGACAACATCTAGTCACCCACTTGAAGCTTGTCCCTCGTACTTTTGAGTGTTTTAAGTTCCATGCCTTATCACCAAAGTCATTTTCACATTGTCAAAGCTTCCTCAACTTTCACATTCTATCTTAATAAACCACTACTCATACCCCTTTGCGAGGGAAATGCCATTGGGTGTCTATGAATCGGAGACTTGTATATATTTATGTGTTTATGTCGAAGCCTTTACAGAGGGTTAAGTATGCCTTTTATGGTCCCATTATAGCCCATAAAGGTGCATTCCCTCTCTGCAAAAGCAAGAGCAAGGCTACGTACATCAACTCTCTTCAAAGCCCACAAATACGAGATGTTTCTTATCACCGGGGTAGGTGGCTGGGAGCGGAGGTTAACTGTTTATCGTATTGCATGCGTAATTTAGTGAGTAAAATTTGAAACTTCATTCCTTTGCTTTATTCTCCTTTTCAATGGTGGTTTTCATCAAGGTTATATGGAGTTTTTGAAATTAATAGTTGTTTAAGATCCTAGCAACTATTTGATTTTACCGAACGAGTTGAAGTAACCATCATTGAAGGTCAAAAAGCTTCATTTAACCTTCTATTAAGAATAATCTGACAGTTCAAATTTGAAATTCTGAACTTCTCATATTGAAACTTTTTATAATGATGCATAATCTAATTTACATATCGGTTTAACCCAAATTACTCAACACTGATCAATAATGTCCTGAGTTAGAAACTGCGGGATGCCTTCCTGCAAACAAGAAACTGGTGGGATAGTAAGTGTCTGTACAGCCCCAAAAGCATTCCAGCAAAAAGGGTTAGCCATAAATTCTCCTTTAGCAGGAAGCAACTCTATGTCAGACAATATAAGATCAGAGCAAGGAACTGAATCACTGCAAGCCAAATGAAAAGCTGGACTTCTAACATCATATGTACCCTTAATGTTTGAGTACAAAATATCAGAAATGTAAACTGCACTTGTTTGATTAGTACAGTTCTTGGTTTGGCAGTAGTATTGATCTATAATAATAGGATTCCGGACCGTGTCCATATGAATATTGTTGAATGTGACTTTAGATACAGAACCATAACCTCCTTGCCATGTTTTGATCCTAACACCATTATCAGAATGCTTAATAACTGAATCTGTCACTGTTATGTTCGAAACACAAGCTCGCGAGTTGCGAATCCCGAGACTGCCAATGCTGTCACAAAATCAACTTAAAAGGCTTGAAATCTGCATTTTTCTTTTGCAAAAGTTACATATATTGGAGAAAAAGAGAGAGAGATGCTAACAAAGAATTGAGCATTAAAAGTTCTGGTCCACCATAGGTGCAGCTAACAAGTTGAAATTTTGAAGAATAGGGTTTTTTCTAGCTAGAACTGCCAAACTTTTGTGCAGAACTTTTTTATAGGGAAGTTAGTATGAACAACTGAAATTACCTTATTCCATGACTTGGACCACATGTTATGTTCTTTATATCAACATTATGGCAACCAGCTCCAATTGAGATGCAATCGTCTCCTGAGAACATAAAATTGAAATTTAGAGAAGAAATATAAGGTGAACTTTTGTTCTGTTTATGAGGATAAGCCATTAGAATTACCGTTGGATACTACTGAGTTATATATATGAACATTGTTAGTGTTCTCTATGTGAATTCCATCTGTGTTAGGACTTAAAGCTGGTGCTTTAATGTTAAGCATTTCTACATGAATGTTCTGGCAGTTATCGAACCGGAAATGGAACTGTGGACTGTTCTTCATTTTAAGTCCTTGCACTGTCAAATTTGAGCTCATGAAAAATCTTATGGCCTGCATTATAAAGTGAAATATGAAAATTTTACTAGAAAGACATAAACTTTTGAAACAAAAGAAACAATATTAATGTTATACTTACAACTGGGCTATCACAAGGACCAGGATGTGCATTACTCCCCTGTTTTATAGCATAATATGTTAGTTTAGCATCAGTGTAAAATGGCGTTTTTCCTCAAATACTTTCAATTTTTATATCAGTGTAGATTTTATATTTCCAAATGCAGAATTATTGTCTAAAATGGCTTACTTTGTTATGAGGCTTGCAAGGAAGCTTCCACCATTTCTCTCCTTTCCCATCTATGACACCTCCTCCTTGCATTAACATTTCATTGATTTTGTAGAAGATCAACCAATTTCTTTTACTTGCATTTTTTGGCCATGATTCAGGGCCATCAGGTGGGATTATAGTTCCATCAATCTTGTCATTATTGCAGCAAAATAGCAAAATTTAGTTTCAATGTCATTGGAATCATTTCCAACAGGGTCGGAACAAAATTAACTAAAAAAAGAAAAAAGATACTCGGAGTTCAGTTATAGTCTTTTTTACCTGAAACACAAGGCCCCCTTTACAAGGTCCAGCAAAGATAGTAGGAAATATCAAGAAACTATAACCAGCAGGAGCAAGAAGAACCGAAAACGCTGTCTGGCTGCAGGCAGCATCCCAAGCCATCTTAAAGGCTTGTGTATCATCTGATTCACCATTGCCGACAGCACCAAATGATACTACATTGAAAATTTTTCTAGTAAAACTAGGAGCAGGTGCAGGTGCAGGTGCAGGACTAGGGACACTCGAAATGTATGGACTCGCAGGCAGAGGAGCAAAAGCAGGGGCAGCAGAAGGTGGTAGCCAAATTTTAGAGACTGTATGCAAATTTTCTTGTCTTGTAAATGCATAAAATCTTCCCTCAATGGAACTGAGGAATAAAGATGTTAAAAGGAAAATTAGAGGTAATGTCATGGTTAACATCAGCTTTCAAGTTGATGGGGTAATGTAAAAATGAAGGTAAAATACTAAGGTATTTATAGAGGAAAAAAGGTTTCAACTATGACACTATGTACTATGGGCGGAAATTCGAATCGGATTTTTTGTCAAATCATATGCGTACTTACTACTAGACTAAGCTAACATAGAGTAGTCAACTTTGATATCTATAGGTTTTGGCATATTTTGTAGGTTTTCATATTCAAGATTAGTAGTGGTTATAGAGATAAAGAGAAGCAAGGCACCCACGTTCAAGGAAGTTTGAAAAATCAGTATATAAGACTTTGAGGGTATGTGACCGCTAGAAGCACTAAAACAAGTTGCAAGCAAGCAACAGGGAGGGTCTCAAGTTGGAGAGAAGGAAATATGAAAAATACTACAATATCATTTACATGTTGAAGTTACTTTTTATACTAACAGTTACTAGTGGAAGCTGCTTTTGAGAGCATATATTTTAATAAAGGCATCAAACCGACCGGTTCCATTTGGAGAGTGGAGAACGAGCATGTTCATGAATAAAAGGAGTTTTAATTTATTTTTGAGTGAGGTAAGGGAATAAGAGGATGTTAGTGGGTAGTGAGTTCAACTAATAAAGACGCTTAATTTGAATTTTTCTTATTTTATTTTAGTTTTTTTTTTTTTTTGGTTTCTTGTAGCGTATGTATTAAAACAATTCGTTTAAAACCAACAAGGTGTTAAATAGGCAACCTCAATTTCCATAGGTGTAAGAGCACATATTCGATTATTGGGAAAAACATTACAGAAAATCTAGTAATAATGACCTCATTGCAATAAAATCAATGATAAATTCAATGTCATAATTGAAATTAACCCAAATAAAAGAGAAGGTCAAAATAATTCCAATGCCTATCTATCTATAATATAAATAAATCTTGAGATTTAATTCAAGAATGTCACATTGATATTGATTTTTCATAATTGGTTTTCTTTTTGCATTGAGGCATGGATATTCCACTAGATACAGCTTCTTGTATGCATTCAATTTTTTCTTTTTCTCTTTATTAGTATTATTATTATTATAGCTGAGTTAATAGAAAGTAATCATTAAACTTTGCAGAAACTCAAGTGACTGTCCAATGGCTTTTATTTGAGTTGGTGTTATCATTTTTTTAGCTTCTTTTGTTCACACCTCCATTCACGGCATGTCCACTTTGCTTTGCCTTTTGTGTTGACGAAGTGAGTTGATTTTTAACATTTCTACCCAATTAAGGTTTCAGAATTTGTACAAACCATATAAAAATTATATGTGTGTGTGCATAAAAATAGAGGGTATTATCTGCATATTGAAAAGTGGAGGTGGAGTGGTCTGGCCATGAAAGATGGATAATGTTCTGGCCAAAATGTGTTGGGCGGCTAAACATGATTAGACATTAATTAATTATTGGGCTCCTAACAAAGCATCAAGTGAAATTTACTTCCATTAACTTAAGTGAAACACTCTAGAAGGTTGTCATCCTTTTGAGCTTAGAATAATAATAATAATTATAATAATAATAATAATAATAATATATTTTCAGCTTTAAATTGTAATTTACTTTTGATATTAAAACAAACAAATATATTTTTCAAATATATTATGTTTGATAGCCTCTAAAATGAGAAAGACTATTTATAAAGGAAAGTTAGTTGTGTTTAGGGTTTTATCTCTTAAAAAACCCCATTGGGTTTTATCTCTTAAAAAACCCCATTCTTTTGAGAAATAAGGTTGTATATATATACTTCTTTCTTAGGTCCTAACTCAATATTCTTTTAGGAAAATATATATGTTTCTATTTAGGAGTCCATGCCAAATATCAATTTAGTCTATATAATTATTGGAGATTTATATAAAAATGACAATTTGATCCCTGATAAATATTTGTATTCTATCAATATTATTATTTGATTTAAATTTACAAAACATATAGAAACAAAGTATATTCATGACTTCCATTAAAATTGCCTTTAACCTTATAGTATTCAGCAACAACTTTTCATGTAACTTTTTGTTAACTATAGTGTTTAATAACATAGCATTTATATTAGTGTTTAAAGGTTGAGAGAGCCAATTATGAAATATTACTATCTTTAAAAGCAAATAGCTAATTTTGCCGGAAACACTCTTCTTTTAACTAAAGTCAAGGGTTGATTTTATTACACGCAAGAAAAGGAAATACAGTAACTATGCAAATCTAGAATTATACTTATGCTTGTATATAGATTTCACAAAAGACAAAATCACCCAACTGATTTTTATCAGGATTATGCAGCTAATTAGATTCCTTAAGAAAAATAGAGAGAGAGAGAGAGAGGTCCTTTTCAATCCCAAAATCTAAAATCCTAGATAAGGTAGATGTTATCTAACCTGATTTGGCTAATATATTAATTAGTTTGAGCTATGCATATCCAAAGTTCTAAACCTAAAAACTTCAAATTAATTTTAGAAGAAAGTGTTTCTTTGGTGCATGCAATAATTTTTTACTATCATAATTTTCCCATTTCCATTAATAAAGATGAATGTAACTTTTGCACCAGTAAAAGCATTGCCGCTTTGAATAGTTTGACTAAGGCACAGAAATAGCAAAACATATAAAATTACAAGTCAGAGAAAATAAATTTAGGGGAAAAAAACATTTTATTTAGTCAATTTTTTCATAAAATAGCTGACCAGACCATAGTTTCATAAAACTCAGTTTACCATTCACACTATATATGTCCTTCATACATAATTACATGTCAAAATTTTTTGTTAAAGATCCATAAATGGCAAATATTTCTTCAAATTCTTCTCCAAACTTCATGTGGTTAGTTAAAGAAGATATTGAAGTTGAACTAATAAGTGAATCTTCATCAAGAAAATCTTCTTCAATTTGTAGTGAAGATGCTAATTCTGTGATAAGTGATGGTGTTGTAACATTGTCTCAAGGCAACATAGCACCCACAAGTAGTACTAGATCTACTAATAAAACGCCTATATTCTCAGGCGGGTGTCGCTGGAAATTTGACATAAGATAGAGAATGCATCGCCAGAGACGGCTAGGAATGTTGCACTAAGAATGTATGCGAGTATGAAGAGGCATGGATTGAAAGAAGAGGCTGCGGAGGCTTTTGGTAGAGAAGATATAAATAAAGAAGAGGCAGAAAAGATGAACGAGGAGCTTCTAGACATGGATTATTTGCTAAAAGACGGTTTTGTTAATTATGTATGTGACATGGCAAAAATTACACCACCTATTCCGCAACAGGTAAGTAATTACTTAATAGAGATTATTCCTTTAATTTTATGGTAGGTAAAAGATTACCTCTAGTAACTTTGACTGTTATATTCATAGCTTACTATCTTGTGTGTAATCTTTTTCTTTAATTTAGGGGGTAACTATTACAAATGAAAAACCTAATTGTGATGATGGTGATGAACCTTGCAAGGCTAGGTAGATTAGAGTGTCTCAAGGGAAATATTGAGTGAAGATGCAACCATAAGTTGAAAAAAAGAAGCTATCAAAGTCATGGGGGGAAAACCTAAAATTCTTAATCTAAATTCTTTTTCAATGTCAAATTCATCTAACCAAGCTGTACAAAAACTTCACAATTCATGAACAGTTGCTTCTTTTGATTTCCAATCTCATGGAAAAACTTTTCACTCTGCTTAAGCTATTCCACTGTCAGGTTAGTTTAATGATAAGGGACCGGATGAACCTATTTTGTTTCATTTTCGATAGAACCGATACAACTTTGATTTCCGATATTATCTGATTAGAAAAGATGCACATCCAAGCACAAGTGGAACCAAACACAACTAACTACTATGTGTTAGTATTATATGAACAAAACAGGTAACTGATGACACCATAGTGACAAACAAAATTGCATTGCCATTTGACAACACAGACAAAAGAGAAAATATAAGTTAGTTTGTATATGATGACCCACGTATTAAAACAATAAGTTAATTGTGAGAAAACAAAGTGATTAGTTATTAGTATAAAAGATAATAAAAATGTGATATAACGGACCTAACCCCAATCCACGAAGGGAAGAGGCAGATACCCGCCCTCTGGAGGAGGCTTTAGTGATGGAGGCAGATTGCCCCATGGCATTCCCATGCTATCTCTCAACATTTCACCTGCGAATCAAGGTGAGAACAAAACCAAGTGGCAAAATTAATAAGAGATAAAATGAAGATGAAAACATTAAATAAATATAATGAAAACTATCTTCTAACATGAATATGTTACCCAGGTTCATAGCATTCATAGGACAACATCTACTACCATACAAAAATGCATGTCTACGCCATACTAATGGCATTCAAAACAGATAAACCTTGAACATGGAAGGGGAAAAAAAAGATGCAATAGCAGAAATCATCAATTAACATTCCCCCAAACTCGGCAATAAGCCATGTTGAGTTTACCTGGCAAAGAGCTTCCTCCAACTAATTGACTTCCCGGAATAAACGGTGACTGAACATTATCCATAAGGCCAGCAGCTGAACAGCAAAATCCATTAGATAAAAATAGTAACCCCATAACCCCCAAAAATTTCCACCTAAAAGTTAAAAGTTCAAACTATCCTAGGCTACATGAGATAAAAATAGTAACCCCATAACCCCCAAAAAATTTCCACCAAAAAGTTAAAGTTCAAACTATCATAGGCTACATGACACATTAATGATTCAGGAATCAGACAAAAACAATTTACCTTGAGAAGTACCAACATTATTTTGCAAGTTGTTGCTGTTGTTTGGATGCAGGTACTTGCAAGAATCCCCATAAGGACAAAATCCCTTCAAAGCACAACAAAGAAATGCACAAACCGATAACAGATAAAAGAAACCAAAAATCCATCATAGCAGAACGCAGAAAAAATAATCGAACCGATAAAATTATTTCAAAAAAGAAAAAATACCGTTTTGACGAATCGATTGCAGATCCCCTTGGCACCATCAGCATAAGTTTGACTGGGGTCTGCAGCTCAATATCAATCAAAGAAAAACGTTAATTAGCACATTGCTATCAATAGCGGACACAGATATAGAAGGATGGATATACAAGTACCTCCGGATCTAAGAGAGGCGTACCAAAGGGATTTGGCGCGGACGTGCGAGGCGCTCTGAAGATGGCGTTTACGGGCAATTGCAGTATCTTGAAATTCCTTTTCGCAGTAATCACAGTAATATTTTCCCAACGGCATTTTCCGCTTCTCTCTCTCTCTCTGCACTGCAAAGGAAAAGAGCGGTACTCGACTACTTGATTCCGCGGCTCGCCCTGTTTTTTCTTTCCCACCCTTTCGTTTTGAGGGACAAAAATGTAATTCGTGAATTAGAAGTAAAAGTCCAAAATGTTATTAGAAAAAATACTAATGCTAATAATAATTTTCCTAAAATTGAGCTTGTTAGAACTTAAAAATTTACCATCTTTTCTTATTATCTGTCTCTCACGAATATTAACCAGCAAAAATTTTGAATAGATTTAAGGAGCAAATATAGCATCATTAGTTTTAAAAATTACAAGAAATTAGCAAAGTTAAAATTCTTGTTCAGCCAAGGCTAAAATTGATGGCATGTCCATTTTCAATCACTCACAGACGCCAAGGTATAGGGACACTGACTTACTGAGGATCAGCCTTCAATTAAAATAACAGCTGAACCCCCAACATTATAATAATAATAATAATAATTAATAATCACAATGAGCAATTAAACATAAAATACATGTCTTCTAGAAATAGGATATTTGATCTTCGTCTGCTATAATGTTACAACATGTTGTGATACAGGAATAGAGTAATCAGACCACCCATGGAGGCTTGGACAAACATCAAAAACCATGTCTCTAAATCTGCTTTTACATAATAACAAGGTGATACAACAAAATCACGGAAACAGAAAGCGAACCACATAGCATAGATAGAGGGGACAAACACCATAGCTTCCATGTCAAGGCATTGCAGACAAACATTTGCCCTACATTTCATTTTGAATCATAAGCCAAGAAAAGGACATTGCTTTCTAGCATGCTCTGGTATCAATTTAGCCAAAGTCTCAGCTGCTACGCCCTTCAATTCTACATGAACAGTAGGCGCAATGTCATTAACAAGCGGTTTGAAGACAGTATTAACCTTGATACAAAGAGACTAGTTTGTTAAAAACATCCTACCATGAGATTTAAAGTTGAACAATGGTGGAAGGAAACGTCCATTTGGCAGGCGTGTGTTTGGGTCACGCAACTCATCAAAAAAGGGATGAGTCAAGGCATCCAGCTGACATAAAGAAAAACCAACACACATTCATGAATATATCCTTAGAAGTTGTATACTGAAAACACAGATCTAGAAGAAAAGAAATTACTCACAGCAGAGCATCTTAGGTTAGGAGAGTATTGCAGTAGTCTTGAAACGAGATCAACAGCTTCTGGAGGCATACGCTTGTGGAATATCTAGAAATAACAAGACAAACAGAATTTAAGAAATAATATAATTGTTTTAACACAAAGCACAAACCATCTACCTTCAAATACCTTGTGCCATGGGTGAGCTTTAATCTGAGGAAATTTGTACTCTGTATAGTTTGGGTTCATGCATTTAATTTCCTCCCTTGTTGGAGTCCCCAAAACCTGCAAAAAAATTCATGTTAGAAGAAGAAGAAACCAATAAAAAAATTTTAACTCCAAAATTAATAAAAAAAAAAAAAATTAACTCCCAAAATCAATGTACATGTTACCCAAGTCTAGAAGAGAGATACCTTGATGATCTCAACAAGCTGGTCAACTCCACTTTCCCCAGGAAATAAAGGCTGAAAGAATAGATACATTTTGTAACCTTTAGTGAGATTAGATAGCTAGCCAGCAATGCAATAAAATCTTGTATACAAACAATTTCCCACCTGTCCAAGCAGTAGTTCAGCAAGAACGCAGCCAGCAGACCAGATGTCAATAGCTGTTGTGTATTCAGTTGCCCCGAATATTAGCTCCGGTGCTCTATAATATCTAGAGCAGATATAAGATATATTTGGCTCTCCTTTTACCTGTCAAAAGAAATTATCAAACATCTCAATCTAAGTTGGCAAAATGAATAACACCCAACAGTAGGAAATAACAAAGAAAAAACAAGCATACCAAGACTTTTGCACTCCCAAAATCACAGAGTTTAACCTGGTGAGTATGTGGATTTACCTACACCAAGAAAAAAAAAAATTAGCGAACTCGAAAAAGTTATTGAATGACAGCAAATAGAAAAGCATGTGGGCAAAACGCATTGTCCATCCAAGTCCAAGTACATTATAGTCATTATTTATTAAGATTATTGAAAAGGAGATTTGTAACTGAAGCATAAGAAATAGGTTTTAGTTCATGGTGAAAAGTAGCAGAGGATTCAGTATGATTATACATACATAGTCGCCCAAAGTTAATAAATCACTAAGTAAGCATACCAAAAGATTTTGAGGTTTGATGTCCCGATGACACACTCCAATTGCACGATGGATATATGACAATGCCCTGAAGATCTGCAAAGCATCAAGAATTTGTCAATATCTAGCTAATGTCAATTATTCTGAACAATTCTTTCAAGACAGTACCATTTCCAGCACCAAGAGAAAATTAGCTTCAATCAATCCAGAGGCAAAGATGAAAATAAAGACAAACTAATAGACTAAAAGTTTCAACATTAAGACTTGAGACATAAAAAAATATTTGAAACTTTTTCATTTTCTATTAAAAAACCATAGTGATAATAAATTCAAGTGCCCAGCTCCACACCTGGTATGCATAAAGTTTGACATATATCAGTGGCATCCTTTGATTCAACTTGTTGTAGTGTTTAATCACCCGGTGCACAGTCTCAGGAACATACTCAAGAACCAAATTAAGATAAAGCTCATCTTTTTCAGTTGTTGAAAAGAAGCAGTGCTTTAAAGAGACAACATTTGGGTGGTCAAGAAGCCGCATGGTTTGCAGCTCACGGTTCTTATACCTCTTATCTTGAAGAACTTTCTTTATAGCAACAGTTTCACCAGTCTCCAAGCATTTTGCCTAAATTGAAAATCCCAAACAGATGAGTAAAATCCTCAAAAACACTGCAAATTGTAAACTCCATCATTCAACCAAGAACCATAACTTCATACCTGGAAAACAACTCCAAATGACCCATGCCCAACAACACGCTCAGCCATGTAGCTAATTGTCTGAAATTGAAGATGGACAAAATTGCTTTAGAATAAATAAGCCGTATGAAAAAAAATAAAGGGCAAAAATAATAGAGACCTCATTCAGGAAGCATTCTGATCCAATCGTGCTTGGGAAAAAAAAAAAGGGGAGATTTAATGACTCTCAATATGCCAAAAGATTTAAAGTGAAACGAAACAACTATACCTGCTTTGGCTGGCCATTCCTACCACCGATTGTTGTAACTATTATATGACCTGTCTCTGTACCATTGCCATCAACCACTGTTGCTTCCATTTCCTACCAAAATAATGTAACCTATTAGCCGGTTGCCCATAGCCAACAACTAGTAGAGAACAAGAAATGGAAGCTAAAGTAATAGAGAGATTCGCATGAAGCCATACTTTGTCATCCCTAATTTTCATTTCATTCATCTCCTCAGGTAATTTATCCACACCAGCATTATGACCACTAGCTTCTCTTAAACCAGTAGGTGCTACACCCACAGAAGCCATCTGTAGGACAAAGAAAACTGTCCTGATCTTTTTACTCTTGCACCACTTTAGAACTAAACATCTACCTGTAAGAATCAAAAAAAATTAGCAAACTCGCATGACATTTTTAAATTACATAACACGCACTATATTTCTGAGCTCACTCTATACATAAATGAAATCATCCAAAGGCAATTAGATCCAGATCACTACTATATATATCTAGCACATGTTCATAAATTTGCAATCTCTTCAGAATCGATAATTGAATGTAAAGCCAAAAACTACATGCTGTGGTCAGAAAACCGGAGTTCCTATCTCAGGGTCAAAACCATGAATCATTTACTGCCTTCTTCCAGTAAACATACTCACATTTGAGAATATCCTATTGTAATATTCTGATTTAGCAAATAAAAATTTTTGGGTGGCTTTTGGCCTAAATCAAGAGATAAATAACAAATGCATTTTCATTCTCTAAAAGCCAACATTAATTTAAAATCCATTACAACCTTTTTCCATACAAGAAAAATTATGGTGCGCTGTTAGTGTCAAATTCATTCATATAAATGGCTTAACCACAAAACCCAAAAATATATAAATACTAACGAACGTGATATTCAAACGAAAGGCAAGAACACAAACAACACTACGCAATAAAGCCACAAAGCCACACAGTACCTAACGAAAAGGTTAAAACAAGAATAATAAAAAAAGAACAAGAAAACCAATAAAATCAGAAATCTAAGCACAAGAAAAAATAAACAATCGAAACCAAAAATCCACGGATCACATAGGATCAACGAACTCGCAAAATCAAAACACAATGGCGGTAGTCAACGGGGAAAAGGCGTCCGGACTCCGGAGTGCCAAGACAACGGAAAAAAAAAAAAAAAAAAAAAAAAATATAATGGTGCGCTTGATATAGATATGTCACAATATCAATATCATATATATCAATGGCTTAACCACAATGAAACCCAAAACCATATTATAAATACACAATCAGAACGTAGGATATGTCCAACGAAAAGCGCAGAAACCAAACAACTACACGCAATATAAGCCCACTAAAGCCCACAGTAACCTTAATCAAAAGGTTAATACAGAATAATAAAATAAAGACACGAAATACCATAATAAAGACTCAGTAAATCTCAAGCACAGAGCACAAATGGAGAACAATGAAACCAAAGAGAATCCATCGTGATCACATCATGGACATCGACTTCTGTCAAAATCACACAGTAAATGGCGGTAGTCAACGGGGAAATAGGCGTCCGAGGACTACCGGAAGTGCCAACACAACGAGGAAAAAAAAAAAAAAAAAAAAAAAAAGCGAAGTTCTATATCTGTGCCCAAATCAAAAATCTACAACAGATTACTGCAACAGAAACAAAACCGATCCGAGAACACCCAGAACGAGTTGGGCAATATACATCACGAAAAACCCACAATTTATTTGAGAAAAATACCTAAAATTTATTTGGGATAATAAACATCGAAAATTCAGTCTATATATAACACTTCACTGCGGAGTGCTTTGATACTCATTTTCGATCCACTCTGAGAGGAAGATCAGAGAAACTAAAAAGCATAACCGATCGAACCAGGAAAAATGTCTAGGCAGGAAGAAGAAAGCTAGACGAAACAAGTATAGCCGTTTCGCAGGAAGAAGAGGTCAGAAAAATAGAGAGAGAGAGAGTGGTGGTGATAGATTTCCATTTTTGTAGTTAATTAGCGTATGAAGAAGCTTTCGGCTTCTCTTTGGTTTTCTTGTCTCCTGTGTGCTTCTTCTCTTTATCCTATTTAATTTTTTTTTATTTTTGTTAGTTACACTGATTTACTTTACCAGTTCTTTGTGTGGGTGCTAGCTATATATTGCGCATGGTGACGTCAAAGAATAGTATTAAAAATAAAAGGGGGGGGGTTAAAGGGTCAATTGTTTTTTAATGGGATTTTTTTTTTTAGATAAATACGGAAGATAGAAAAATTAGTAATGAGAAACTATATAATTTTTTTTGAGATAAGCCAAACTTAACTATGGAGTATTTAGCCCTCATGTATGATATTCAAGGAGTAGGTATTCATGATGAGATTGTGAGAGTAAAAAATTGTTCCAATGTGAGAGGATAAGAGTTGATGTATAAAGATTAATAGCACAGCTAATCATTCATTCGTTATGGATAGTATTACCTAACGTATTTTTTACTTTGAATTGCCTGTAATATGACAATTACATATTCAGGTAAAGAACCATAAAAAAATATAATTATTCTATTTTAAAAAAAAAAAAAAAAAAAAAAAAAGCGAAGTCACTTGCCCAAATCAAAACTACAACAAGATCCAACCAGATACAAACCGATCCAAACCCAGAAATGCAATAACCAAAAAGCCCACAATTTATTTGAGAAAAATACCTAAAAATGAAAAAACTCGAATTTCAGTCAAAACAGAGAGTCAGAGGATAAAAAGCATACCGATCGAACCAGAAAATTCTGGGCAGGAAGAAGAAGCTAACGAAACGATGCCGTTCGCAGGAAGAAGAGGATCAGAAAATAGAGAGAGAGAGTGGTGGTGATAGATCCATTTTTGTAGGTTATTATGCGTATGAAGAGCTTTCGGCTTTCTCTTTTGTTTTTTTGTTGTATGTTCTTTCCTTCTTTTCCTTTTTTTTTTATTTTTTTATTCTATTATTTATTTCTTTGTGTGGTGTGCTATCTATAATGCGCTGGTGACAGTCAAAGAAGAGTATTAAAATAAAGGTAAGTAATTTTTTTTAACAGAGGAAGATAGAAAATTAGGTAATGAGAAATTATTTTTTAATAGCCAATTAACTATTTAGCCCTTAAATTTCCAAGGAGGTTCATGATTAAGGGTAAAAATTTCCGGATAAGAGTTGTTAAAATTAATAGCACAGCTAATCTTCATTGTTTGGTAAAATTACGTATTCTTTTTCTGAACTTGGTAAAATTACATATTCAGTGAAAAAAAATATATTATTTTTTAGTTAATAAATAATTTTCAACTATTCAGTCGACTTATATATAATACGTTGTATTTACTATCCAAATTAATGTTTACTCCATTGTGTAACAGTAAAAATAATATTTTTTTTGATGAAATAACTTAATAATTTAAGTGACTAAACTTTAAGAACGAATTAATGTGAAATGGTAAGGATGCGATTGTAATTTTGAATCAAAAATTTATTAAATAATTAATTTTTATTTTTAATTAAAAAATAAAAAGTCGTCACTAGTAGTTGAGTGTTTCTTCTTTGACCGTCCAATCTTTACTTTAAACTATTTTTCATTTGATGTTAAATAGTAGTAAATTTGCTGAATAATAGTAAATTTGGTCCGAATCGGATTTAGTCAATCTATCGTAATAAGATTCAGATATCAGTGGTTTGAAAAAAAAATAGTAAAAAAATAATTTTGGAAAATAGAAACCGTATAAAAAAAAAGCATCCATCCATCCAAAAATATGTGCAAGGACAAAAAAGATAACAAAATTACATTTACATAATCACTTATTTTACATTATTCTAAAAAAAACCCATTTCATTTTCTTTCAAAAATACTTATTTTATTTCATTATATTTGTTCAAAATAATCATCTTTAAATAGATTCAAGGGTTTAAATAAGAGGTAAATGTGATGTTCAACTTTTGTAAAAAAAATTATTTTGGTGTCTGAATCTTCCTTTTACAACCAAAAGTAAATAATATTTAATTAATCGAATGTTTTATATATATATATATATATATGAATTAATAAATGTTATGATTGTTCAATCTTTAAAGGTAAAACATTATTTAAATATACATCAAGTCATGTTATATTGTCCGACGTGTAAAAACATACAATTAATAAAAAAATATGTCATATTGTCAATCTAAATTATTACAGAATCGATTCGTAGAGTCAGTATCTTGAAAAGAATTTTTAAACATAATCGATTTTCAGTCTCGAGTTTGAGAGGGATTGAATCGTCAAAATATGTAACCATTAAAATGTATGGTTTGGCAGTTGATGGCCCGAAAGGATTAGTGTATTCCTATTGATCATGAGAAATTCAACCAACTTAAGACTAATTACATGATCACATAAGTGATCTATAGCCAGTTTAAAATATGTGCAAGGACAATTTAATATCTCTTCAAGTTAACAAAAATATTAGGCAATACATGAATATTTTTAAAAAAATGGAAAACTAATGTGGAAGAGAAGCTTGATTAGAAAGAATTAAATTTATAATAATGGGAAGCTTATGCAACGACAAGACATGTGGTCGCTTAGGTATCCTTTCACTAGGATGATAAATCATAAATGATAAGAAACGACCTGTTGTAATGGGCTTCCTAGGATATTGAAGTACAAATATTCTGAAGCAGATGAGTCACGAAGGCTGACTTTACTTGGACTTCACAGCTTCTTCACAGCTTTGAAAATATATATAAATTAAAATAACATCATGAAAATATCCAAATTCTTTGATATTTATTTGGGTTCTAAAGGAAGCAAATGTTGCAATTTTCTTTTGTTGTTTTAGCAGAATTCCGAAGAAGAAACGACAGCGTCGTTTTATACTAAACTCATATAGACAAGCATCGGAGCACGTGTGTTACACGGTCACTGTTAAATAAAACAATCGCAGTAACAGATATTTTACTATTAAAGTAGGAATCCAATTTTCTTTCTGCCTTTCTGGTCGTAACAATAGACGAACCGTACGAGAAGGGACTGGAGGGAACGGGCTAGACCTCTCACATATAAATAGTCATTTCTACATTATTGGTTTCTTTTTCCTTTTTGGCTTTTTTGCTGTTGGCCTCTGCTTCTCGTCATCTCCAACCTTTTTCACATTCAAACTGCAACCCAGATTTCCTTTCCCCCATCTTCTGATGACTGATTCTCTTTCACCTGATCATAGTCGATGCTTCAATTCCACACATTTAGACTTCAGTTTTCCATTTTGAATCAAAATTCCAATGATCGCATGGCTATAATCGGTAATCTGTGAATTTCCATTTATTTTCTATCTGGGTTTTGTTCGTTACCTTGTTATTATAAGGATTCAAGCACCAAATGTAACTTCAAGCCCTGATATTTGTGGTCTTTGCAGCTGAGTCGAAGATCGAGAATTTTTAACTGCAGAAGCTGAAATAATCGATTTGCGATTCGTTAATAGTTTTTATTAGATTTCTGATTCTTCGATGGGGAAGTGATGTTTTGCTAAAACAGGTAATTAATCTCACCTATTCGTCTTCTTCTTCATCCTTTTTTTTTTTCTAATCCAAAATCACTTATTTGATCGATGTTCATCTGTGGGAGTTGACAAGGAGTTATTTTCTGTATTTCATCTTTGGGTGCAGAGGTGTTGTGCTTGTGCTACAGGGGAGTGGGCATTTATTCAATGCCTTGTTTTGGTGTATGAGGAAATGAATGTTTAAGTAAAAATTAACTATTAACTAAAATAATATAAGAGTGACTTCTTATCTGCAAACTTGGAAGTGTCACTTTAAATTTTGAACTTAATTTCCACCACGAAAAATGTTTTTTTTTTTTATTTGAACTAACCAATCACTTTTCTTGTATTTTTATACCCCTCTCTCTCTCTCTGCATTATTAGGTTAAAGATCTTCACGGATTTCTAGTTACATTGTATTTAGTCCTGTATCAAAGTTTGCAATTTTATTTCATTTTACGTTTGAAACTCTATTTAGCTCAACCTATTGTTTTATGGAGGAAGATTTGAACTGATAGTTGTCCGGATATATCAGAATATATGCAGGTTAGCCTACTTTTCTAGCTGAGTTGGTTAGAAATTAAAATCTGTAATTGAGCTACATTCAATGGCTGACCGTAATGCTAATGTCCGACCCCCAAATGGCAAGCCTTCAGGAGCCACCAATCCTTATTCTATAGATTTGAATAACTTCAGTAAGCGGTTGAAAATGTTATATTCACACTGGAATGAACACAACAGTGACCTATGGGGTGCTTCTGATGCTCTTGCTGTAGCAACACCTCCACCTTCTGAGGATCTGAGATACCTGAAATCATCAGCACTGAATATCTGGTTGGTTGGTTATGAGTTCCCAGAGACTATCATGGTCTTCATGAAGAAGCAGGTTCATTTCTTATGTAGTCAAAAAAAGGCTTCTTTGCTTGATGTTGTAAAGAAGTCCGCAAAGGAGTCTGTAGGTGTTGAAGTTGTGATGCATGTGAAGGCCAAAAATGATGATGGAAGTGGCTTGATGGATAACATTTTTCGTGCTGTTCATGCCCAGTCAAACTCTACTAATCATGATATTCCTGTCATTGGATACATAGCAAGGGAAAGTCCTGAGGGAAAGCTTTTGGAGATATGGGATGGAAAATTAAAGAATGCAAATTGTGAGTTAAGTGATGTAACAAATGCATTCTCAGACTTGTTTGCTGTCAAAGACAACAATGAGCTTACAAATGTGAGGAAAGCAGCATTCTTGATTTCATCAGTGATGAAGCAATTTGTGGTACCAAAGCTTGAAAAGGTCATTGATGAAGAGAAGAAAGTCTCCCATTCGTCATTGATGGATGACACAGAAAAGGCAATTCTAGAACCTGCTAGAATTAAAGTGAAGCTGAAGGCAGAGAATATTGACATATGTTACCCTCCAATTTTTCAGAGTGGAGGAGAGTTTGATCTCAAACCAAGTGCTGCAAGCAATGATGAGAATCTTTACTATGACTCCACTAGTGTGATCATATGTGCCATAGGATCCCGATACAACAGCTACTGTACAAATGTTGCTAGAACCTTTCTGATTGATGCCAATTCCACGCAGAGCAAGGCATATGAAGTCCTTCTTAAAGCCCATGAAGCGGCAATTAATGCATTGAGATCTGGGAATAAAGTCAGTGCTGTTTACCAAGCAGCACTCTCTGTAGTTGAGAAGGATGCGCCAGAATTAACTCCAAACTTGACCAAAACTGCAGGAACTGGAATTGGCCTTGAGTTTCGTGAGTCAGGCCTCAGTCTTAACTCTAAGAATGATCGAATTTTGAAGCCTGGAATGGTTTTCAATGTGGTACTTGGCTTTCAGAATTTGCAGACAGAGACTAAAAATCCAAAGACCCAGAAATTCTCAGTGTTACTTGCTGACACAGTGATTGTTGGTGAAAAGTCCCCAGATGTAGTAACTTCAAAGAGTTCCAAGGCGGTCAAGGATGTGGCTTACTCATTCAATGAGGATGATGAAGAAGAAGAAGATAGGCCAAAAACCAGATCTGAAGATAAAGCGGGTGAAACCACATTGTCTAAGGCAACACTCAGGTCAGACCACCAGGAAATATCAAAGGAAGAATTGCGGAGGCAGCACCAGGCTGAACTTGCCCGCCAGAAGAATGAAGAGACTGCCAGGAGGCTTGCTGGTGGGGGTTCTGGTGCATCAGACAGTCGAGGTTCTGCGAAGATGATTGGTGATTTAATTGCTTATAAGAATGTTAACGACTTGCCCCTTCCAAGAGACTTGATGATTCAGATTGACCAGAAGAATGAGGCTGTCCTTTTGCCAATTCATGGAAGCATGGTGCCTTTCCATGTTGCTACTGTCAAGAGTGTGTCGAGCCAGCAGGATAGTAATCGAACATGCTACATAAGGATAATATTTAACGTCCCTGGTACTCCTTTCAGTCCTCATGATGCAAATACTCTTAAGTTTCAAGGATCAATATATTTGAAGGAAGTTTCATTTCGCTCCAAGGATTCTAGACATATCAGTGAAGTGGTGCAACAGATTAAAACCCTGCGTCGGCAGGTCAATTCCAGAGAGTCTGAGAGGGCTGAAAGGGCAACCTTAGTTACTCAGGAAAAACTGCAACTTGCATCTGCCAAATTCAAGCCGATCAAATTGCTGGATCTATGGATTCGCCCACCTTTTGGTGGTCGTGGAAGAAAGCTGACTGGTTCACTCGAAGCTCATGCAAATGGGTTCCGCTACTCAACTTCAAGGCCAGATGAACGTGTTGATGTCATGTTTGGTAACATCAAACATGCATTCTTCCAACCAGCAGACAAGGAAATGATCACTCTTCTGCATTTTCATTTGCACAATCACATAATGGTTGGGAACAGAAAGACCAAGGATGTTCAGTTTTATATTGAGGTAATGGATGTGGTCCAGACAGTTGGAGGTGGAAAGAGATCTGCCTATGACCCAGATGAGATAGAGGAAGAACAACGAGAGAGGGATCGAAAGAATAAAATAAACATGGACTTCCAGAATTTCGTAAACCGAGTGAATGATGTTTGGGGCCAACCCCAATTCAAAGCATTTGACCTTGAGTTTGATCAACCTCTGAGAGAGCTTGGGTTCCATGGCGTGCCTCACAAAGCCTCAGCTTTCATTGTCCCTACATCAACCTGCCTGGTTGAACTGGTAGAAACGCCTTTTGTTGTTATCACTCTGAGTGAGATTGAGATAGTTAATCTGGAGAGAGTTGGTCTTGGGCAGAAGAATTTTGATATGACTATTGTATTTAAAGACTTCAAGAGGGATGTCCTTCGGATAGACTCTATTCCATCCACATCACTTGATAACATCAAGGAATGGCTAAACACAACTGACCTCAAGTACTACGAGAGTAGATTAAATCTGAACTGGCGGCCTATATTGAAAACTATCACTGATGATCCAGAAAAATTCATAGAGGATGGTGGTTGGGAATTTTTAAACATGGAAGCTAGCGAATCAGATTCAGACAACTCAGCAGAATCAGACCAAGGATATGAGCCTTCAGATGTGCAATCTGACTCAGTATCTGAAGATGAGGATGATGATAGTGAGTCACTGGTGGAATCTGAAGATGATGAGGATGAGGACTCTGAGGAAGACTCAGATGAGGATGACGGAAAGACATGGGATGAGCTGGAGAGGGAAGCAAGCTATGCAGACAGGGAGAAAGGGGATGACTCGGACAGCGAGGAGGAGAGAAAAAGAAGGAAAATGAAGGCTTTCGGTAAGGCTCGAGCACCACCACCTCGAGCACCTGATAGAAGGAATGCTGGCAGTAGCCTTCCCAAAAGGCCTAAGTTAAGGTGAAAGTAGATATCCATGTTGTTTTATTGCTTTATTAAAGGTAAACCAGCAGAGTAATGCATCAGCAGATCATAGTTGTCTAGTCTAGCCTTCTTCTGAGAAAGCATATGTTGAAAAGGTCTCTTATATTGCTATTCTCTTTGCATTTTGAACAATCTTGTTAAATTACGATTCCGTGCTTGTAAGATAGTGGTTTAAATTTAGACCAAGAGTTTTAGCTGTGCTGTTGCTTGTAAAATACTGGAAATCAAAAATTCACATAAAGTTCTGCATTTCTTTCTATCTGAATATTAAATTTTGCATATTTTCCTTCTTTGCCTGTGATTTACTCTAATTATGTGAATTTATATTTTATAATCTTAGAGGAAAATTACTATATGCGTGCATAGAATTTGATGCAGGAAGCTTTAGCTTTTGTGTTTCTGAGTGGGGAACTCAGTGAAGGGCACTGGATGGAGCAATCTGATTTTGCATGCTGAATCATGCTAGTCACAGACATTCCCTACCTTCCCCATCATTCCCCATCCTCGTGCTGACCCTGCAGTGCACGTGCTTAGCTGATTTGTGTAGTCACCTAACCTCAAATTTAGTTCCCTTGTAATCAGTTTCAATATTAATAATGTTCTTATAAATAACAATGTTTAATTTGCTTATTAACAAAATTACTTCTTTGATGAATTTAAAGAAATTAAAAAAATTAAAAAAAATGAATAGATAAAAATAAAATATATGAACTACATGGTATGAAATTAAATTTGATTGAAAATATAAATAATAAATATTATTTTTGCGAATATAACTACTCTATTTTACTTAAACTATTAAATTAACTAAATAAAAAAAAAAGTATAAGCTCTGTGAAACTATTAACTATTAAGTGTATTTTCTTAAATCCATTAATTTTTTGTCATCGTGCAAATAAAAGTACACATGGTACTCAAAAATAAATTTTTTTCTTTATTATATTATTACATGCAAACTAAGAGTAAAAAGGAAAACACATATCATCGTGAAGTGAAAAAGATGAAAAGTAGAATCGAATTGAACAAATGATAAATATAATAAATTTATTGTTGAGATTATTAATTATTGAAAATTACCCGAAAAATTTTATTAATGCAATAAAATTATTTTTTAGAAAAAAAAAGATGAATAAATATTATTTTAGAATGAGAATTCTATAAATTATGAGAGAATTAAATTAGACAATTGATAAATTTTTTTTATAAAACAATATCAATAGCAACCAAAGTCTTCTCATAATGCTAACTTAGCAAATTAATTATCAGTTCAGCTACTTAATCCTTAATTGCAAGACATTTAAAAATCATGAAGCTACTCACATAATCGATTCACTAGTAATTTAATTTTCTAACTTACCGAGCTAACCATCACACAGGCGCGCGCACGCACACATATATATAAAGCATGCAGAATTTTCCTTGGTATTACAGGTAGGATTCCAAATTAATAATATGTTTATGAATTAATTGTTTATTTTTATATTTATTTGAAAATAAATTAATTTATAATTGAATTAAGCTGTCTTAAATGTAATTGATTAATATAACGCTAGAGAATTAATAGTGTGTTAAGTAACAATTTATATAACTTTTAACGATACAAATAAATTACATAATTTATAAATTTTAATGATATAAGCAGTTATTGTTTTATCTTAAAAATAAAAAATTATTGTATTAAATTAAATTATGTTAAATATAAAATCAATGAAAGCTACTCATAAATCGATTCACTAGTTAAATTTTTAAATTTTCTAACTTAACGACTAACCATCAACACAGGCCGCGCGCACGCACACATATATATAAAGCATGCAGAATTTTCCCTTGGTATACAGGTAGGATTCCAAATTAATAATATGTTTATGAATTAATTGTTTTATTTTTTAATTTAGTTTGAAAATAAATTTAATTTAAGTAATCTGAATTAAGCTGTTCTTAAAATGTAATTGATTAATATAACGCTAGAAGAAATTAAATAGTGTGTTAATAACAAATTTATATAACTTTAACGATACAAATAAATTACATAAATTTATAAATTTAATGATATAACAGTTTATTGTTTTTATCTTAAAAATAAAAATTATTGTATTAAACTTAAATTATGTTAAATATAAATTGATTAATTATAGTAATAATATGTTAAATATAATTGATTAATTATAGTATTAATAATATGATAGTTGAAGATTTATACCACTCTTAATTATTTAAAATAAATTATTTATTCATGAAATTTAATGAAATAACGAATTAATTAATTTTTATATTAATTTTAAAATAAATCAAACTAATGAATTTTTACCGCTGTTTATTTTACTTTTTTTAATTTATATCTATAAATTTCAATATTTTTAATTCATATTCCTGAACACAAGTTTTTGTATTAATTTTTACTTTAATAATAAAAATCACGCCATATTTTTTTTTTTACTATTGAAATATTTTTATAATATTTTTTAATAGCATAAAAAAAGATTCCGTTCAAAAATTTATAAATTATATATATATTCTCTCAATTTTACTTTATTTTATTTTTTTTAACCGCGCAGGTATATTGCCAGTTAATAGATAGACCAAACAACCACACTAAACTTTTATGATTGGAAGGGGGTAGCTGGGGAATTCATGTAATTAAATTGGCAAACGACATTATCTCAAACTTACCAGTTCGGTTTTAGAAATTGGCTCCAACGTCTACCTTGCCCCAGTCGCCCACCAACCATACCCATCCCCTTGTTGTTGTACGTTTGGTGAGTCTTAAAAATCGTCTATTTGAAGCAAAACTTCCATCTTTCCTTTCTTTTTTCAATAAATTTTAGGCATATAGTGAGTATAAATCTCTGTTTCAACATAGTCATTTGAAAAACAGAGTATCTCTAGTTATACTATTGTTGGTTGTCCTTTTACAGATCTTGAATTGAACAAATGGCTCGAAAGAAGATTAGAGAGTACGACTCCAAAAGACTTCTCAAGGAGCACTTGAAGCGCCTTGGTGGCATCGATCTCCAGATCTGCTCTGCTCAGGTTTCTAGTTTTACTTACTACATTCACTGATTAGTTTGATCAGTTCGTGTTTTCTCGATTTCATTGATTAGATGAATTAGAAGTCCTACTATGGTGGAACTTCCAATCTTTAAGTGTTATTGGAATCGAATTTAGTGGAATTTTGGTCAAATTTTAAGGGGTTTCATTTTAATTTGTTGATAATGTTGTGTAGGTGACACAGTCAACTGACTTTACAGAGCTGACAAATCAGGAACCATGGCTTTCTTCTTCAAGATTAGTGGTGAAGCCAGATATGCTATTTGGGAAACGTGGGAAGAGTGGTTTGGTAGCTTTGAATTTAGATCTAGCTCAAGTTGCTGAATTTGTAAAAGGAAGGCTTGGCGTTGAGGTGATTACTTAATCCAGCTAAGCGGAAAGTTTTCATCTTCTTTTTATTTTTAATGATTTAGATCATTAAATGTGAATTGAATTTCTTTAGGTTGAAATGAGTGGCTGTAAGGCACCAATAACTACGTTCATTGTTGAACCATTTGTTCCACATAATCAAGAATTTTACCTCTCAATAGTTTCTGAAAGACTTGGATCCACCATTAGCTTTTCAGAATGTGGAGGTATTGAAATTGAAGAAAACTGGGATAAGGTATATCCAAAACTGATGCTTGATTCTTTTTTATGTCATTGCATGTGGAATTTATATCAGAAGATGCTTACATGGTTTGATTTTTATTCATTCAGGTTAAGACTATATTTCTTCCTACTGAAAAACTTATGACCTTCGAGGCATGTGCTCCATTGATTGCTACACTTCCTTTGGAGGTTAGTGCTAGTTTTCTATTATGGGGCACGCTTAATTTTGCTAGATCTTAGTGATTTTCTGATATTTTCAAGAATTTTATGTTTGAATTCTGTTTTTATTTGGCATTGTTAATTGCCTCTCTGTTGCATTATTGATTTTGAGGCATTAACCATATGCTAATCCCGGTGTTCAATATTCTACATTTTTGGTAGATTCGAGGTAAAATTGGTGACTTCATTATGGGCGTCTTTGCTGTCTTCCAAGGTATGTGCGGTTTCAAGGTTTCATAGAGCATTCTCCTTGCCACATTCATTCATAGGAAATTACTAACTTGTGCATATGATTAAGGTTGCCTTTTATCTGAACATATTATGTGAGGCAAGGATCACAGCTTGTAGTTCAATTTAATTTCAGCATGACCTATGATGTGTTGAAAATGATCTAATATTCATTCTCTCTCTCTTTTTTCTTTTTTAGAGATGAAGAGGCCCCCCTTTTATGTAAAATTTTGTTTATTGCTTACTTTTTAGGTGATTTCTTCTTAATGTTAGCAGTTTCACTTCTAACTTTATTTTTAATTCTTCACAGATCTGGACTTCAGTTTTCTAGAGATGAACCCATTTACCCTTGTGAATGGAGAGCCATATCCACTGGATATGAGAGGAGAGCTGGATGACACTGCTGCCTTCAAGAACTTCCAGAAGTATATATTTGTTGAAAATTGTTCTTTACAAAGAAAAAACAAAAGGAGTATCAGTTGATTGACAAATTGTCCAGCGAAAATATGTTACATTATGTGATTTTGTCTTTTTCAAATGTTTCTGTGCATCAGGTGGGGTAATATAGAGTTTCCTCTTCCTTTTGGAAGAGTCCTGAGCCCTACTGAAAGCTTCATTCACACACTGGATGAGAAGGTAATACCATAAATGTCCTGAGTATGAAGCTGGTATCAACTTTGTGAACCATAAATCACATAGAGTAATGATATTATTTGTTCACAGACAAGTGCATCTTTGAAATTCACTGTTCTGAACCCAAAAGGACGTATCTGGACAATGGTAGCTGGAGGTGGTGCCAGTGTTATATATGCTGATACTGTAAGTACTTCATGCCACTTGGCTTCATTCCAGCAGTCATTGGGGTTTATACTCGATCTTTTTATGGCATTTGCTTTTCTATTTAACTAGGTTGGAGATTTGGGTTATGCATCAGAGCTTGGCAACTATGCGGAGTATAGTGGAGCTCCTAATGAGGAGGAAGTCTTGCAATATGCAAGAGTTGTGATTGATGTAAGAGGCAATGAACTTTTACATTTCTTTGCTTCTTTTGTTCGAGATAATCCCATATATTGAGGAAACAAATTCCTTAAATTGTTGCAGTGTGCCACCGCTGATCCTGATGGTCGTAAGAGAGCTCTTCTTATTGGAGGTGGCATTGCTAACTTCACAGATGTTGCAGCTACTTTCAATGGTATTATACGAGCCCTCAGAGAAAAGGTATATCCTGTTTGAAATTTGTCTCAAACTGTAACTCAATTGTTATATTTACCTTTCCTAATACATTTGGCTACTATTTTCTTCTCCTAATAGGAATCCAAGTTAAAAGCAGCAAGAATGCATATCTATGTTCGAAGAGGAGGTCCCAACTATCAAACTGGTTTGGCAAAGATGCGCAGTCTGGGAGAAGAGCTGGGAGTACCTCTTGAGGTATGAAATGACAACATACTCTTTTAATTAGGCTCGGGGATTGCATGAAACTTGTTGGAACACAGTTATTGGTCATGTCCACATTGTTCAGTAAATTTGGGATCTTTGCTGATTTTGAAATACTGAAATCATAGCTTTTTCTGAAGGTGGAGTGATTTGAGAGGTCAAGTTGGGTTCTACTTTTGCGCTATTCGTTTTTAACTCTAAATTCCAATCCATCTTTAAAGACCATAAAAGGAAAATCCAATTGTTATCCTTTTGCTTAACGAACAAAAGAATCTCTTTTCCGTTTGCTATACTGAAATCATTTATATTTACATTTTTGTTGCTTAATTGAGCGCTTCATTTTCTTTTCAGGTTTATGGGCCTGAAGCCACAATGACAGGCATTTGCAAACAGGCAATTGATTGCATCATGTCTACAGCATAGTTTCACAACCGATTATGTCCATTATCATGCGTATTGGGAAATAACATGGGGCAATGTGTTTGAGAAGACAATTTTTGTGCCGAGACAATAATTTTGTTTAGAAGGCATCAACTATATCTTTATTTGTTTCTTAATTTAAAAGCTGGATCAAATTGTTATAGACATTGTTATTAATTTCCCTTTGTTAATGAAACAAATGTTGTGCATTGGCAATTTGTGACTTTGTGAACCTATTGAAACTTTTCTTGTGTGCCTGCATATGCATCAAGGTGAGAAGTGCTAATATTTTTGAAAGATGGATCTCTGTTTCTTTGCTAATTGCTACAGAAACATATCACTGTATAAATGGCATTTGTGCAGAGTTCAAAAGAAAACCTTTCTTGTGTAGCTTGGGGTGCTTTGTGCTCTTAATCTCCTTTGTATGAAAGGATGTTCATAGGACCGGACAAGGCATGATACATATTTACTCGATGAGAAAAAAATGAAAAAAAAAAAATTCTGAAATTAAGTTTTATGTACCTGATTAAATAATTTGGAGATCTAAACATAATTAGTGATTTTACAAAAGATAAAAATATGATTACATAATTTGGAGATGGAAAAAATAATTATTGAATGAAGGAAGATAAAAGAAAATGTTTAAAGAAATAATTAGTGAATTAAAGACAAAAAAAGTTTACTAATTTGGAGATAGAAAAAGTAATCATTAGACAAAAAAATATATACAGTATACAGAAATGGTCCCGGCGGGGCTCGAACCCGCGACCTTCGGCTCATAAGACCAACGCTCTAACCAACTGAGCTACGGGACCTTGTTGTTAATTATTGAACTTTACTCTTAAATAAATGATTCAATTATGATAGTGTTACTTACAACAACAAAATCCAAAAAAAGCCCTCGCCGAGGATTATACCCGAGTCACCCGCGTGACAGGCGGGAACACTCACCACTATACTACAACGATTCAGTTGTTGGTAACACTTCAAATTTCCCAAATTAACGCAGCTCTATAACAAGTTTCGGAAGACAAAGGCCAGGCTAATCTGGTCGGCCAACCTGATTAGCAACAGAAGAATTTACTGGGCATACAATTGTAAGTCGTTGAAAAGACGATGGAATTGTACCTTATCGACCAGATTTTAGTAGCTACCACAAAACTTGCACTTTCCAATTTCCGTGATCCTAATTGCTACCTGTGAGTCAGAAAAGACACATCTCATCATCCGCTAATTATACCCAGAAGTTGTTGCTGTTGTTGTTGATGATGATGATGATGATGATGATTATGGTAATTGACACAGGAAATTGAGGAAGACGTAAGTTGTACTCTCTGTAAAATTAGGTCGAACTGAGGAAGAGGAAGAGATAGAGAAAAGGAAAGCATTTTCTGAATTTCACTTTTGGAATTGGCGCAACCTTTCGATTTCTGTGCTTTCTTTTCTTATTTTTTACCCGCTCAGAATTAACAGTGGGGTTGTTATGAGAACTACTCATTGCTTACCTCAAGACAGATGACCGACCATCTACTTTGTGACACGTCCGAACTGCTTTCTTTTCTTTTCCTTTTCATTCTTTTTAATCTAAAATTAAAATTCTTTTTAAAGGAATTAATGTATCAGGCAGTAGGTAGAAATTGTAAGAGACAGGTCAAGAAAATGGAAGTATATTTACTGCAGAAGCCAAAAGGCAGTCAATGTCCATTACACATTGTTTGCTACTGACACAAATACAGAACCTGTTACCTCTAATAAATTTTCCAACAGAATTGGTTACCTGCATTGTGTGGGGGATGGCTTGGCTTCTTTATATCTTCATACATTGCAAGTAAAAAACAGAGTGTGCAAGAAAGTAAAGATGGAGAGAGCTGCTAAGTTGGCGGCGGTGATCCTCACCATGTTTCTGGTTTTACCTGCCATGGAAGTTGAAGGAGCAAGAAGACTCAAGGAGAAAGTTGACTACCCACAGAACTACTTTGGAAGCTTTGGAGGGACTGGTTCAGTAATCCCAACCCCTTTTGGTCCAACTATTGCATTAGGACCATCTGGGTTTTGTTCCTTTCCTGGGGTTGGTTGTGTCAGGGTCCGACCCACTCTTCCTGGTGGTGCTGTTGGCTCGCCACCATGAATGTTGTAGGTTCTTTAGTGTTTGTGTATGTGGGGTGGCAGTTTTTATATTTCCCTTCAGTTTGGTGTACTATTTTACAGTTTCTGGGTTTTGGGTTTCAAGGGGTTTGTGATCTGTAGTGTGGTCAATTATCTAATCGAATAGTATCAAGAATTCTTATAATGCATTCTTGCTCTCTTTCTGTTTCTTTAACTTTCAACTTTGTGCGTTACTGTTTTTAATCTGTTTGGTTTCTTCAACAAATATTTTTTTTCTTCAAAGAATGGAATATAACATAAAGTTTTTATTTGTATTCTTTAACTTTCTAATCATTATTAATAAATTGCATTTTTTATGGATTAAGAGGTGGAAAATACCTAAATGTGGTACGATAGACTACACAGTATGCACAATACTCTTCTTAACTTGCCAAAACTCTCAAAATCAACCTATTAGCATTATTAATAAATATTTAATTTTCTATTTAGCTCATAATAAAATTTTATTTACATTTATATATATTAAATCATTAATTATCATTAAAAAAAAATTACTTTATCATTTCAATTTCAATGAAAGTCATTGATATGATAAATCTCTGTGATATTACCGCTTAAACTTCCTTTTAATTTCATATTTCCTTTGCTTGCTTCGGAAACACAAAAGTCGTAATTAAGAAAGAAGAAGAATATTTAAGGTTACTGACAGTGAAGCACCTTCTCTACCATCCTACTCATTGTCATTGGCACCTATTTCACTCCGTTTACCCAATGTTCTGTTTGGTTACCGAGAAAAACGACGCTTTGAAAACAGAAAACGTATTGGTGAGGTAAAATAAAAATCCATTATTTCCTCTGTTTTCTTTTGATTACTTTATTCCTGAAAAACAAAGAAAACACTGTAGCAAAAGTATAACAAAATCGAATTTTCAATTCTCTTGCAAACCCTAATTCACATGTTAATTCCATTTTTCCCCCTTTATAGATCTGTTCTTGTTCGGTGTTTACATCGTTCTTGCATACATTATAATTAAGTGGCTCTTCAGGTAACTGTTCTTTTTTCTTTTTTCTCTACCGATCAGTTTCTATGAGAATCTGGATATTGGATTTCTGGGTTTTACCTATACTGAAGCATTAGTCAACTGTTTCATGATCAAGCAAATTTTATAATTAAGCATCGATCAACTGTTAAGTTCTTAGCAGTAAATTTTTCTTGAGACGAGATGGTTTATGTGCTGCATTTTTAGGTTTAATTTGAAACTGTTACGGTTCTGTTTATACGATGAAGTTAAAAAGACCATCTAATTCTACCAATTTTATTCGTTAGTGAAGCCACTAATCTTTCAATCTTTGTGCCTCTAAAAGAGCAGGACAGTGGCAATGGATGATAGTTGTGCTGTATGTGCTGAGACACTTGAGTGGGTTGCATATGGACCGTGTGCCCATCGGGAGGTCTGCTCTACCTGCATTATTCGTCTCCGTTTTATCTGCAATGATCAATGTTGCTGCATTTGCAAATCTGAATCTTCTGTCATCTTTGTCACCAAGGTTAGGCATTTTGATTTCAATCTCAGATATAATTCACATTTGGCCTGCATGATTTTTCATGTTTATATATGATTCCTATATGTCTTGTGTTAGATACTCAAGTTAATTTCAGGGATATGATTCAGTGCTTTATGTCTCTTATTTTGGAATGAAGATAATGTGATCTTCATTTTGGCCCCTTTTAGGCTATGGGAGATTATACGAGGATGATAAATGACTTCTCTGCTCTCCCAGCCAATCCAATTGAAGGACAAGTTGGGCAGTATTGGTTTCATGAAGGCACACAAGCATATTTTGATGATTTGGACCACTACAATATGATAAAGGCTATGTGCAGACTATCATGCATTGTTTGTGATAAAAGGAATGAACAATCGAATGGAGGATCTAAAAGGATAGGGGATTTTAATAACATTGAGCAGCTGAAGATTCATTTGTCCCATGAGCATAGACTGTTTATGTGCAGTCTGTGTTTGGAAGGCAGGAAGGTAAGCTGCATGTGCATGGAAGTTAGTATGATAGTACTGGTAACTAAGTGATTTCCTTTAGAATTCTTTTTCTTACAGAAGCATGGAGTCGAATAGCAATATAACATTCAGAAACAACTTTTTTAGTGCTTCCCTTTTAGTAAATAAGCGGCTAAATTTATGATAAGGAAAATAATAAAACAGAATTTGATTCCAAACTCAAAGTTGCCTCATCTCATACTAAATCAAAATCTTAGAATTCTATACTTACATTTGTTTCAGCTTCATGTTCCTGTTTCACTTTCTTTCAATCCTAGAAGCATTAAAATTAATAATTGCATTCTCTAACTTCAACTGGATTTTGAACCAGATATTTATAAGTGAGCAAAAGTTGTATGATAGAGCACAATTAAGTCAACATGTGAAGACTGGTGACTCGGTGGTTGATGGCAGTGAAAGTGAAAGAGGTGGATTCATGGGCCATCCCACGTGTAAATTCTGCCACAACCCGTTCTATGGGGATAATGAGCTTTATTCACATATGTCTACTGAACATTTTACTTGCCATATATGCCAAAGGTGCTCCCTTGCCTTTTAAGAAATTTAATTTTTCATTTTGCTGTTTTGAATCATCAAATGCATGCTTTCAGTTGACTTGCTCAATGCAGGCAGCATCCAGGACAATATGAATATTATAATGATTACAATGACTTGGAGGTTAGTTATGCTTAGGTTTTGCAGTGTTTAAATTATGTGATTGTCACTGTACTTCCATGAAATATTATTCTTGTTTAATTGACATAAGCTTGTTGCTCAGAACCATTTTCGTCAAGGACATTTCTTGTGTGAAGATGAAGCCTGCCTTGCAAAAAAGTTCATAGTTTTTGCATCTGAACCAGAAATGAAGGTGTTTTTTAGCATACTTTGTATACATACATTTTTTCTTTTACTGAGCATATTTTGAATTTTGGAGTGCGCAATATAACGTTGGTTCTTTTATATACCTCTGTTATCCATAGAGGCATGGTGCCATGGAACATGGGGGGCGTATGTCTCGGTCCAAGCGTAATGCTGCACTACAGGTAGGTATAGACTTTTTAACAATGGTGGATTTATAGTCTGGTTCTTCTTATGTTATGGTCTCCCCTTTATACGAGCTCTTTATGAAATTTTCGAAATTAAAATATTTCTTCCTTTGTTACCATGGATATACTCTTCCTGAATCCAGATACTGACAAGCCCTTCTTTTTTTTATATGATCAGATTCCAATGAGCTTCCGATATCAATGGCGTGCTGAACAAGATAGACGTCATAGAGATAGCCGAAATCATTCAAGCTCATCATCAATGACTATGCAAGTTGGTCTCGAGACAGCTAATGCTGTAAGGTTTGATGAATCTTCCTTGAATACTCAAGCAATTTCGAATCACAGAGGAACATGTGATATTGACTCGATGTTTAAGACACTAGCTACTACAGATTCTGAGGCACCTTCAAGAAGTTGTCAGGCATTAAGTCAAAACTCTACAGGCACCCTGCTGGAGGAATCATCGTTTCCACCGCTTCCGATGGCTCCAAGCAGTAGTGTAAGAAGAATAAGAAATGCTAAGGGTGGGATGAATGGGAACACAATGGCTGCTCGACTGCGTAACCAGAACACTGTAAAAGTTCTCAATGGTTCTGGGGCTTCAAGGACAACAGGTCGTCATTCTACGTCATCAGCCAGCCTTTCTTACCAATCAAGGCCTGTGTTAAAATCTGGGCATTTATCATCATCTAGTTCTCCATGTTCTTCCCAGAATAAGCCGGGAACTAGTAGTGGATACGTACAATCTAGTCATGCAAGCTCCATTCAGTCTGTAACATCAACAGCTAATGTAATTGTCTCGTCTTTTAATGGTGCAAGTTCATCAAGGACTAAAAGTAACACCAGCAAGATCAGTCCCTCTTCTTCAGCCACAAATCTTGTAGAAATAGAATCTCGTAGCAAATCTATTTCCAACTCCCAAGATGACAAGGTAACTACAAATAGCCAGCTGTTATTGAAAGTTGAAGATGTTCGATCTGCTAATAAGATTCTGGTGGAAAAAATTCGTTCTGCATTAGATTTAGACAATGACAAATTTGCTGCATTTAAAATATTATCAGTAGAGTATAACCAGGATTTAATTGACACTGGGGAATATCTTGCCTACGTGCATCAATTTGGCCTGTCGCATCTGGTTCTTGAGCTAGCTATGCTTTGTCCCAACACTCAGAAACAAAGAGAGCTTGTTGAGATTCATAAATATAATACAAGGAGGAACGGCTCAAACGAAACTGGTTTGAGAATTGAATCCGAAGGCAAGAAAAATACAAAGAAGGGTAAAGAGCTATGTGAAGACAATGGGAGCTATAGCTCAGAAAATAACTTGCAGTTTAGTCATAAAGAAGCAGACCATATGCCTCATTCTGTGAAGGGAAAATCAAAGATTTTGTTTGATGCTGGAGCCAACTTAAATTCACCTATGGAGCTAAAGATTGAGAATGATGCTCAGTCAAATAGTGGCTGCCTAAAGAAGAACGTGGGACCAGGGGGAGGAGGAAACAAACCTAGAAAAAAAATGTCGAAGTTCCTTACAAACCGCCTTGGTGATTCTTCAGCAACTGCATTTCCAGATGATGGCAATCCTGATGAGAAGGGAGAAACAACATGTTTGAAGAAGAACACACCTAGAACATTGCCAGTTCATGGAGTTTGGCGAAATGGGGGAGGCCGGAGACTTGTGGTTATGAGCCAAAGAGACCCAACAAAGTGAACAGCTCAATAGAAGTGCTTGTACGTATAGAAAGTGGCCTTGTCTAAGGTGCCTTAAAGTTAGTGTTACTTTAAGTTTGAAGAGCGATTATTGCTTAACCGATATTCATGTATTAAATATTTAATGGAATTATTTTTTATAAATTAAAATATTTAATAGATATAATTTTATAGCGTCTCACAATTAAAACGAGGGTATTATTCATGTATTTGGCTTTTGGGAAAAATGTCCAAATTTTCACTGATTTCTTCTAATCAATACAGATCGCATCATATTTTAATTTTGGACATAGTGGTTCGATTTCTTTTTCCTCTTCAAATATAGAGGGACAGGGAGATATGGTTTGCACTGAAACAACAAATCACAAGATAGGGCTGTGGATTTTGGTTGGGCCTACAATTGTGTCCTGGTCTTGGGATGGTTGGTTCTGGACTCTATTATTGAACGTTTAATTATTTAGGCCTTTTCCTCCTCTTATTATTTTATTTTATTTTTCAATACATTTTAAACATAAAATGCCAATATCTCAGTTATTCTAAATTATAAAAATAGTATTTTTGTTTATAAAAATTAAAATTTGTAAAAAATTATTATTATTAATATAAAATATTATTAAAATTTATAATTTCAAAATACATATATCTATGAGAAGTTTTAAATATAAGATACGTTGGGTTGGCACTAGGAAGCTGCATGATTCTTGCATATGTGTACCCACAAAACCATGATTGTTTTTATAATGTTTAATAATATATTATAATGCATTTTGCATTTATTAATTAATTTAATAAGATCCAGATGTATCAATCTATTGCTTTTCTTAATGGGCAAAAGTCTAAAAGAAGCATGTTTTTGCATGTGCAATTCATAAATTCACTTCCCCACATCAGTCTATGAATCGACTTTCAAATTAAATTAATAAAAAATAATTTTTATTAAAATATTTATTATCATGTACTCAAAAAAAAAAAAAAGTCTAAACAATATTTTAAAAAATTTGTAATTTTAACATTTTTCTAGTAAATCAAAATTGGCCCACTTAATACAATACACGTGGCACTTTCTATGAGTGTCGGCAGTGCCTAACATGGTAGATTTGTTAGCATTAGCAATATATATATATATATATATCTCATAGAAAAAAATAAAAAATCTTAATTAATTTTTAAAATTTTATCATTATCTTTTACTAAACGTAAAGATTATTTTTCACGATTTTTTTTTAAACTCATATTTATCACTTCATAAATGTGATAATTCATAACATAGTAACAACTGCTTGTAGATTTACCTAACTTTGCCATCTCATGCTTCTTGTACAAATGTAAAGGTAAACTTATCAAAACAAAATTCAAAAATTTTTTACTGTTCCTATCAACAGTAAATTTGTCTACCGTTTTCGTAATATAAAATATAATTTTATATTTATGAGCTAATTATCTTACGTCATTAAATGAAAAATCCCACTAATATGAAATTGGTTTTAGAGGTCAAAAACAAGTACCAACAACCTTCTTCTCTAACCAACATAATTTTGGGTCAACAAGCCAGAAGAGGTTGGTGAAAAATATTAGAATAAAAAAAATGAAATAACGAGGTTGGTGAAAACCGGAAGCCACCGGTTGTCCAGGTGAGCCAGTGGGTCATTTCCGGTCGTTTTCCTCCACCGACTCTTTTTAATCTTCACCATCCACTTTTCACTTCCAACGGCTGAGATCTTTTCTACTAACAGCTCCCGAGCTTCGAATGTGGGCCCTGGGTAACGCGTAATCATATGCTAAAAAAGAAATGAATAATTCAACTGAAAAACCATTCGTCTATAAATTTGGAGGCAAAGCAAATCTGTAAAAGTCGCCAAGAGTTCTTCTTTGCTAAAGGACTCGTTGAAAGATCTCTGCTTTCGCTTCTAAGCCAAAATCCTAGATCTGCTCTCTCTTGTGTTTTTGGTTCAGGTACATTTTCATGCTTGGGTTCTTTTCAAATCTTCTTCTTGGTTCTTGTTTTTCAATTTGTCTTGTGCTGGGTCCTTCCGTTTTGATCTTACTGAGAGCAGAATCGCTAAAGATTACCCCTTGTTTTAGATGTTTGCATTTTTTTTATTAGATCTGAGCAGTTATTACAATGGCTTTTTGTTTTTATTGAATTTTGTATCCCTTTGTTTATTTTAACTGGATATGGGGGCGGCTTTTTACTTGTGCAAGTCAATTTTTTTGAACTTGTAATCGGTGTTACTTGCGGTTTGATTGGTTTTGTGAACGGACTTTGGGTATGGCTGGACAGATCCATAAGTTCTTTTTTTTTTTCTTTTTTTTTTTTTTTTTTTTTTTTTTGTTTTTTTTTTTTTTTTTTATGGCAGAAATGAAAATGATGCAGTGTTTCTAAACCCGAAATTGCTGGCAGATTTTAGATATAGTTTTACAAGTTCTGTAGTGATAAACTTGAAATTGATTGGAACTGACACTTTTACATCGTTATGTTGCTTGATAGCTACAAATGAATTATTTATGCATTGAGATTAGCTTTAATGTAGTTCTGTATTTCTTAATATTCATGGGATCTTAAATTTGGTATTCTTTTTAAAATTTATGAAGTTATTAAAAGTGAACATGTTCCTGAGATCTTATTAATTGCTTCTGCAGATGCTTGTCTTTAATATTATTTTTTTTAAGGTATTTTAATTGCTTCTCCAGTTCTTTGAGACTCACCAATTTTTTTTTTTTTTTTTTTTTTTTTTTTTTTTTTTTTTTTTATGGCAGAAATGAAAATGATGGCAGTGTTTCTAAACCCGGAATTGCTGGCAGGATTTTAGATATAGTTTTTACAAGTTCTGTATTGAATTAAACTTGAAATTGATTGAACTGACACTTTACATCTTCATGTGCTTGATAGCTACAAATGAATATTTATGCATTTGAAGATTAGCTTAATGTAGTCTTATTCTTATATCATGGGATCTTAAAATTTGGTATTCTTTTAAATTATGAAGGTTATTAAGTGAACATGTTCCTTGAGATCTTATTAATTGTTCTGCAGATGCTTGTCTTAATATTATTTTTTTTAAGGTATTTTAATTTGCTTCTCCCAGTTCTTTGAGACTCCACCCAATGAGTTTTCTGACTTTTGAATTTGGTTTGTGCTTTTCAGTTGCAAGAATGGAGACCTTCCTATTCACTTCCGAATCTGTTAACGAGGGCCATCCCGACAAGCTTTGCGATCAGGTTTCAGATGCCATCCTCGATGCTTGCCTTGAGCAAGATCCTGACAGCAAGGTTGCTTGCGAGACTTGCACCAAGACCAACATGGTCATGGTCTTTGGTGAGATCACAACCAAAGCCAATGTAGACTATGAAAAGATTGTTCGTGACACCTGCCGTTCAATTGGATTTGTTTCTGATGATGTTGGTCTTGATGCTGACAAATGCAAGGTCCTAGTTTACATTGAGCAGCAGAGCCCTGATATTGCTCAGGGTGTCCATGGCCATCTTACCAAGCGGCCTGAGGAGATTGGTGCTGGTGACCAAGGTCACATGTTTGGTTATGCCACTGATGAAACCCCCGAGTTTATGCCCCTTAGTCATGTTCTTGCAACCAAGCTTGGTGCCCGCCTCACTGACGTCCGCAAGAACGGCACCTGCCCTTGGTTGAGACCTGATGGCAAAACCCAAGTCACTGTCGAGTACTACAATGACAATGGTGCAATGGTTCCAGTGCGTGTACACACTGTTCTCATTTCAACCCAACATGATGAAACTGTCACTAACGATGAGATTGCAGCTGATTTGAAAGAGCATGTTATTAAGCCTGTGATCCCTGAGAAGTACCTTGATGAGAAGACCATCTTCCATCTTAACCCATCAGGCAGGTTTGTCATTGGTGGTCCTCACGGTGACGCTGGACTCACCGGTCGCAAGATTATCATTGATACCTACGGTGGCTGGGGAGCCCACGGAGGTGGTGCATTCTCTGGCAAGGATCCCACCAAAGTAGACAGGAGTGGTGCCTACATTGTTAGGCAGGCTGCCAAGAGCATTGTTGCAAATGGGCTTGCTCGCAGATGCATTGTTCAAGTGTCTTATGCTATTGGCGTGCCAGAACCATTATCCGTGTTTGTTGATTCCTATGGCACCGGAAAGATCCCAGACAAGGAGATTCTCAAGATTGTAAAAGAAAACTTCGACTTCAGGCCTGGTATGATTGCTATTAACTTAGATCTCAAGAGAGGCGGCAATGGTAGGTTCTTGAAGACAGCTGCCTATGGTCACTTTGGAAGGGATGACGCTGACTTCACATGGGAGGTGGTGAAGCCCCTCAAATGGGAGAAGCCTCAAGACTAAACTTCGCATTTGCCCGTTGCAGCTTCTTTGCCCCAAAAAAATCTCCTATCGTTTGCTTGTTTTTGCTTTTATTTTCGTTTTATTTTTTGGTTTGCTTTTGTTTACTTTTCTTTTCCATATATAAGAATATATATGTGGTCTGAATTTTACTTGAAGAAAGCATGTAAAGTAGAGAGGGGCTGCCTTTGGGTGATAGCTGGAAAAGAGAATAGGAATATGAAGAGTCAGCTGCAGAGCAGCATTGATACAAGGCCCATTGATTGATAATGGAAACTATCATTCATTCTTCTTGATTTGGATGGGTTCATTCTTTACTAGTCACTGCAAAAAGGAGCCAACTTTTCTTGGATGGTTATGAAATTTGTTAATTAAAGGAGTAAAATTTCCACAATAATTTCATCTTTTACAATGGAAATGGATTCCAAGTTCATTTATTTACAAAATCTAATGTTTTTGGAAAAAAAAGAAAAGGTTAAAAGAAGACAAAAAAACCATGTAGATGATATTATGCTAATAGTGAGAGGAAGAACGCAGCACTCTCTTTGGCTGGTTAAGGGAAAAAAACAATTTCATGATTACGAGATAAAATTTTTAAACATTATGAGAAAATACACCTTCACACGACAACCTAAAATTATAGATTAGGATTTGCTTCGAACTTTATGTTGGTGTATTGAATTAGGATTGTGTAAGATTTTAAACGAAATTATTGAGTTTGATGAAAGTGAAGGATTTCTTATGATTTTCATAAATTTCACTAGAATTCTAAGAGTTTTATGGAATTTGTGAGATTTTTTTTATAGATTTTAATTGACTTCGATGAAATTATAATAATTTTTATATATCTAATGAAAATTAATTTCAGGACCTAATTGAACAAATTAAAAGATTTTAGGTTCCAATTGAATAACTGAAAAATAATAAGAGATAAAAAAGTAAATATGCTCCAAAATCTTTTTTTTTTTCTTCGTTAAAACCTTACTATCATCGACAGTGAAAGGCTAGCAATGGCCAGCGTCGCCAGTGGCCATCCCGTGCTCCCAGAACAGTCACGATGTGGTTAGAAGATCGCAGACTTCTCGTCTCTTAACTGAGCGGCGACTATCTCGTCAAAAAATCGTGGATTTAAATATATTTGAAAATTAGCAACCACCATTAGCAGTTATATATGGATAGTGATGGAGGTAGTATAGGTATTTTAGGGTACCTTCTCCGCTCCGATTCGTGTAAAGAGGATATGAGCAGTTATAGGTTTTGAACGGATATGGATAGTGAAATTACTATCCGTAACGAATATGGGTAGTGAAATTACTACATGTAAGTTACGTGTACTGCTCATAATGGATACAAGTAGGATAAGTGTATAGATATTTGGATACCCACTATCCATTAATCGCTATATTAAACAGGTTCAGTAATGGGTACCCGCGCCTTATCCACGGGTACTCTATCCATTATTTGTAAAAGATATATTTCAAAATAAATTCAAATTTGACTAGTTTAAAATTCGCGGACACCTTACCCAGAGGTACTTGAAATGAGTTTTGGATAGATACGGATAGTAAAGTTTAAATGAGTACTTAAAAGGGTATTTAAATGGGTTTAGAACGAATATGTTTAAAATTTACGGATACCTATTTCGCTTCCACCCTTATTAAAAGACGTATTAGATGAAGACTTCTTTTAGATTTTAAAAGATTTTTAAAATGTTTGAATAGGAAAATGAATTTGTGAATAACTTTTTCATTCATACCTAACATCTTAAAATCCAACGAAATCAATAATTTTATAAAAATCATTCTAAATCAATAAGTTTTTCAATACCATTAAATTTGTATAGATTTTATAAGAGTCTGATTTAAATACCACAAGATTTTAATAAACTCCAAAAAATTCAAAATTAAATACCATTGAAGTTCTAAAATCATTTAAAATCTAACAGAATTTTAATCCAATAAACCTTCTTTAATTTGAATAGCCTTTACCCTTTATAATTCATATGCAATAAATAATTGTTTGACTAACAGGAAGAAAGACAAAGCAGTTTTTAAATATTAAAATACACGTGGACTAGCCGTTAAATAAAAACATTAGCATGCTAGCGCGAATTTAGTAACCGAGGTTTGGATGACCTGTCGCTTTACCAACAAAGAAAAATTCCTCAATCTAGCAGAATATAGCAAGTCGTAGTAAAACTGACAACAATCATATCATATACTGCAAATATTTCATTATGTCAAAAAACCATTCTACATTAAATCTTTTCTTGAAAGATTTCTACAATTTTGTCCTTCAAAAAGAAGGCAAGGACTTCAAGATTTCAATCATCATCACCTACTTTTCATTTGCAGCTCTGAACAAAGAAACTAAATGGGAGTCCATATTTTCTCAAATCACTCTTGTTTCTATGTTCACTAGGGAGTAATATGATAATAAAGAGTAACAGAAGATTTAGCTATCAAAGTGGCCATTTGGGAGTCTCTTCTGCTGGTCCGAACATCAGATCAACAATCTTGAAAAGGCTAACCAATTCTGTACACACCTCCAATGACATGGGTTCTTCACAACACCAATTCCATACATAAACAAATCATTCATTTCTCCATCTACATTAAGAAAAGAGAGAAAAAAAAGAGCCAAAAGAAAACAACAAAATAAAAAAAAGAAAGAAAATAAAAAATAAAAAATATCACTTCCTACCCCATCCCATGTCCTAGGTATCAACAGCTTTATATAGAGGCAACCCCAAGAATTTAAAGAGCCTAAAAAATTGTAAGAATTATCCACCTCAGTTTATAAGTTCCTCAAATCCCTTCCCTAAACACCATGTCACCATATTATATTCGCCTGCTCTCTGGTCTTGAACCCGGGTAATCACTGCGATCAGTGTCAGAATTCTCTTTCTGAGATTCAATCTCCATACTACCTCCTCCATGTGTTCTTCGATGTCTACGATCCTGAAAATTCACAAATTCAACTCAGAATCCATCCAAAAGTCACATTTTAGATTTTTTATTTTAAACAGTTGAAAAGTAATTGTGAACCAAAAACAAGATCAAAGATTGCAACCAGTCAATGAAAGCCAGGTAAGGTTTATGAAAGACCATTTAATGCTTTCATGAGAACATGGTGGTATCACGGGCATCTCCAAGAATGATATTTTGACTATATGTTGACAATGATCTATGAAAAAGAAGATGATGGCTGCAGCCCAGCCATATGCAAGATTGTTGCATCTTTCTTTTAGATTTTTTTTAACTTTAGATGTATTAGATCCATCTTTGTGCTATAGAATTGAAAACAGAAACTAACCTCTCTTGGAATAGGATACTCCTCAGATTCAAGCATTCGAACAACTTGGCCCATCTTAGGTCTTTTTTCGGAATCAGGATCAACACATCTCAAAGCAGTCAAGAGGGCCCGCTTTAGAGCTCTTGTTGATGGCCTTGCCTCAATATTTGGATCTACAACTTCTTCAGACCGCCTACTTCCAACCATCATTTTTAGCCAATCAACAAGATTTACCTGCAAGCAAGACGTTTTTATGAATGATACACTCCAAAATCTGCTAATGTGAGTGAGACATCCCAGAGTGAAAATGATCAAATACATGGGGCTTCAGCTTATGAAGGTATTGAGTCTTTCATAATTACATGAGAAGCTTGATGGGATGGAACAGCATTCCTCACAAAGCCTATATATAAAGTTGGAAAGACAATGATGAATGTGGAAATGGCTAACTTGGAAAACTAGTGATCCACTTGACTGTTAATATCTTGTGAAACTTAAAATGTTCACATTGTTGTTCAGAGCATTTTGATGGGACAACTTCATCCTTTATGATCTTGTTATCCCAACCATGAAAAATAACATCAGAAACAAAATAAGCTCATCTTGTAAGCAGAATAAGAATTACTTCAAGATGTCCTACTTGCACCCGATAGAAAATAGGAACGGCACTATATGTAGAAGTGGTCTCAGGAACAACATCATCCAGACTAGTCCAAGGAAATGAACTTTCCGAAAAACCAAGTGAATACTTCTGAATTGAAAGGTTATTCCATTAGTACAATACAAATAAAACAAACAAGAACAGGACCGTGTCTCCCAAAACTACAACTGGAAAAAATGAAAATGGAGACAATCCACTAGTAATTTAACAAACTTTTCCGAAGTGTATAATCAGAACTTAAAAACCAATGGGTCAAAACTGGCATTCCAACTTAGAGGTCTCAGGTTTGAAAAGCTAAGCTGGGCTCACAGGGGAAAGAGTGGCTCCACCAATTATGCAGCCCCCAATAATTGCAAGGAAAAGGAGGTAAGATAAAATAGAGAGTGAAAAGGAGGTAAGATAAAATAGAGAGTGAAGTAATTTGATCTATTCTTGATAGCATCATGTGTTTGTGATATTTCCTTTTTGTTTCACACGAACTATTCTGTTTTAAACATTGGACAAAATTTATTCACTCAATTCATGGTTCCAAAAATCATCACAATCAATTCTCTACGGGTGTGTATGAAGTCCATAATTTAGGAAAAAAACACCATTAGCGCCCAAAACCAAAAGGCAAGTCTAAAAGAATGCGTAGATGGGTTGGCCCAATCAACTACAAACCTTCCTTTAGTTAGTCCAAGTTAAGGCTATTAGGTTTCAAATGCATTTCTTTCAGCATTACAGAAATAGGAGATATTATTCTAAGATCTTGGCTCTGGTCATTGTATCCCATCTATCAAGAAGAACAGAAGCTACTCAATCTACTTATTGACAAATTTAGGAAGCCCAGAAGCAGATCAAATACAATAAACAGAAGTGAAGTTAATGAGGTCGGTCTCAAAAACAGTCTAGTCTATGGGATCAGAACTCATGCAGCAGCAGCAACAAGTTAATCAGAGATTATGGATGCAGTAACTTGTCAATGCTTATTGATGCCACTAACTGCATATTCAGCAATTGAACAAATTCAACACATGTACAACTATTGCACACCTCATGGGCAGGACGACCATAGTCAACAGGATCTCTTCCAGTAATAGCTTCCAAGAGCAATACCCCAAAGCTATAAACATCACTTTTTTCATTCAAAAGACCAGTATTTGCATATTCAGGGGCCACGTATCTGCAAAAGTAATATTTATGAGAGAAAGAAGCATAGGATGGATTCAAAAGTTATTTATTCCTCTACTGTCAAAAAATAAGAAATAAAAGGAAGAAAGGGCAACAAAAACTGGAGCATTATTGACTAGGCACCATCAAGAATTTGAAAAATAAATAAATAAAATTTACCCAAATGTTCCCATAACTCTAGTTGTTACATGGCTTTTGCCAGCTCCAAGCAACTTGGCCAGGCCAAAATCAGAGACCTTGGCATTAAAATCATCATCGATTAATATATTACTTGATTTAATGTCTCGATGCACCACCTTTGGCTCAATGGCCTCGTGCAAATAAGCAAGACTGCAAGAAACATAACGAGTCAACATGGAAACCAGAACTCTGAAAAGAGACGAAATGAAATTGACTTACGCCTTAGCTGTGCCAAGTAGAACCTTCATGCGGGCCTCCCAAGTAAGATATCCATGGTGGCGCATAGCTCCATGAAGCCATTGTTCCAAATTTCCATTGTTGACATATTCATAAACCAACATCCTGCAGTCATTTTCACAAAGAGACTATTAGATAAGAACAATATAAACATATGCACTATGGAGAAGCAAGCTAAAACCCTGATACTTAACCTAATTTCGTAGACATGAACCTCGACTGAAACCCATATCATGAAGTACTGCATTTGAGAAAGAAATATACCTGTGAGTCCCTTCCATGCAATATCCCAGAAGGCGAACCAAATTCTTGTGGCGCACATGGCCAATCGCTTCAACTTCCACCCTGAACTCCTTTTCTGCTTGGCCCCTAAAGAAAGGAATTAGAGAGTTCAATTGAATAAGAATTCAATGAATTAAGAATAACAAACCATTTAAAAATTATATAGGAAGAAGAAGAAGAAATTGACAAAGCTAATGTCAAACTCACAAATTGTTCAGGATCTTTTTCACTGCGACGGGAGTGCCATTGATCAAATGTCCCCGATAGACAACTCCATATCCACCCTCCCCAAGGACATTTTCCTTGGAAAACCGGTTTGTCGCAAGCTCAAGATCCCTCAACGTGAACCAGTGACCCCAACCCAAGTGAGAGAATTCAGGCAGGCCGCTTAGAGGAGATGGAGCAGTGATAGGATATGAAGAAGAAGGTTTGTATATTGTTACTGTACCAGAACTCCCTTCTTCACCTGATTGTGATCCACAATCTTTATCTAAATTATGAAAAGAACCCGATTGACTGCTATTGTCTCCATTCTTCACTTTCCCCATACCCAGATGGACCATGACCTTGTCTGATTCTTTATCGCTGGTCTTATCATGAATTGTAAGAAGAATCCCATCACGAGGAACAAATTCATTCGCTGATACTTGTTCCACACGAACTTCCTTGATTTCCTTTGAAACAGTTGGGATTTGGCTAAGAGGAAGCTTGTTTCCATCTCTTCTTGACTTCTTTCGTGAAGTTAAGCAAAATGACAACATGGAGAGTATAATTATGATAAATAATGCTACAGAAATCCCAATCACTTCCCACACCTTGAGACCAAGAATGGCAGTTTTCTTGGACATTTCTGTGTTGAGATCATTGGCCATTTTTTTTTATTCTTCCAAATGTCCAAAACCTACATAATTGACATGAGACACAAAGAAGTTGCAATTTCATCAATGTAGAACCCCACATTGAGAATGGTATTTCTGCAGTAATTAGAGTAACAAAAAAAAAAAAAATCTTTGTCCAAAATGACTTTCAAAAAATCAATATTTCCAGTTTCCAGTTTCAACAACTTCTAAGATAAAAATAAACTTTAACACAAAAGATGCAGGGACAGATACTAATATAAGCATTTCACTAGGCAAAAACCACAAGATCAAATAATACAATGTATTTAGGCCGTCTCTGGTGAAATAGAATCACAAAACAAGTAAAAAGAAGTTGTGAGAGAGAGAAAAGAAAGAACAAGGCTTCATTCTCTTACCTCTCTGCAATGAACTTCAAAAGAGCAGCCGTCAAAGTCTAGATCTTTGAAACCTCTTAACCATATTAACTTCTTAGAAACCAGATCTCAGACCAGCAAAACCCAGAAAACCAATGTCAAAAGGAACCAATGCCCAAGAAACCCAAATCAATTCTAGTGTCAAAAAATGAAGCTATATAGCCAAAAAGAGTAGATTTCCTCTCTTGGGGGGGCAAATATGAGAGCAAATCTAAGATGGGATGGAGCTTTCTGTGAACCCAAAGCCAAAAGTGACAAGAAGAAAAAGGGATTATTGTTGTAGTGGCAATTGTCCTTGTTGATGTTTGTTGTGCTAGAGAGAAGAAGATGATGGACATGGAAATTGTGGTGAATGGGGTGGATTTTTTTCTTGTGGAGTAGTGGGGAAGAGATAATAAGAGAAGAAGGGATGGAGTTATCAGTGGTAGGTGGTGAGTTTCGATGCCTTACATTACACATCCATTACCATTTGCATACAGTAAAAGAGAAGTCATGGAAATGTGTAAGGTCTTCTTGGGATTTTCTTGATTTGCTGTTTTGAGCATGACTGATTATCAGTTATTAACTCTTTTCTCTAACTTTTACAATATCTCTCCCTCTCTTTTTAAATTTATTTATTTTTCTTTTTCCCCTCTTTTTTTTTTTTTGTAAATTTATTCATTTTTCTTTTATTTCTTGTGTTGAGTTTGAGATTAAAAAATTGGAAAATAAAAATTATACTATAAAATTATTGAAATTAAAAATTTGTGATAAAATTATAATTAATGCTGAAATTTAAGCCTTAAAAATGATTACATTTCATCACTACCATTCATATTTTCCAAATAATAAATAAAATAAATTAAAATCAGCAAGATTAGGATTCATAGATTAATATGGTACTTTTCCTTTTTTTTTTTTTTTTTTTTTGGAATGGCTGAAATTTAAGCCTTAAAAATGATTTACATTTCATCACTACCATTCATTATTTTCCAAATAATAAATAAATAAATTAAAATCAGCAACGATTAGGATTCATAGTATTAATATGGTACTTTTCCTTTTTTTTTTTTTTTTTTTTTTTTTTTTTGAAGGGTCTACAAGGTAGGTTATTGGTGATGGTAAATGAATCTGCAAAAATTGTTTCATATAATTAATTTGTTGATCAAACATCACATTTAAGATAGAGAAGGTATGACTGGTGATTATGATTTAATATAAATATGTGTTAATAATTGTCTTTGAATTATAATTTTTTTGGTATATTTTTGAATTAGTGTAATTTAAGTACTTATTAATGAAATGATAAGTCCACAGGTTATAAAATCCATAAAATTTAATATTTAATTAGAAGAATAAAATTCATATATTTAAAAAGGAAATTTTTTGAATGTATATTACTTTTTTAAACTTTTATTATTAATAAAAAAATGGTCAAATAGAGAAAATCTAAATTATAAAATAGATTTATTTTTTTTCAAATTTACACAATTGAGACCATAATAAAATTTAAGAATATCATAAAATATTTAAATTTATCACTTAAATTTTATAAATTCCAACAACCTATAAAAGACAATTATCAATTACTAAGACTAAAATCCAGCTATATATGAGAAGATGAAACTGATGAATTTGAGTGGCAATAGAATTTAAATATTCTAAGGATTTTGTGGAATATTGAGGGTTGGCCCAAAATGATATTAAATAATAATAAATAAATAAATAAAGTCTTCAATTTCAGGGCTGACATAGTATGGTCTTGGAGGACCAAGTTATTGTTTGGTTGTAGGAGGTTGCACAGTGACCTAGGTCCTGACCTTCATAGGCTTAGCTGCATCTAACTATATATATATATATATATATGCAAAACAAGAATAATTAACTGTAAATGCATATATCATCCGATAATAAATTTAAATTCGAATCTCTCTTCCCAATATTTAAAAAAAAAAAAACTATATATATATATATACTAAATTCCTCATAGCATTTCTTGGCAAATTCATCATTAGACTTATTGATTATATACGCTCGATATAAATAAATATTTTCCATAAATAATATGTTATGTCGTATATTAAAGTGAAATATCAGGTACGAAACTTTAATAAATTAACTGTTTTAATAATTATTAATTGTTTAATATTTTCCATAAATAATATGTCATGTCGTATATAAAGTGAAATCTCGGATCTGAAACTTTAGTAAATCAATTGTTTTAATATTTATTAGTTATTTTAATAATATTTAATTGTTTGAGTAATTAGTAGATATTTGATTAATTTTTTACAAAATGTTAAAAGCTAAATTGTTAAAGAGTTTAACCTAAGCTATACGTTATAAGAGTTAACCTCTTATAAAAACATTACATGCTATAAAAGCTAATTCAAATGCTATGGTATCACACAATATAAAAAAACAGTATTTAAACACTAAAAACTATTTATTCCTACCTCTATTTCCTTCTCCCAAGTGGCTATGGATAAAAATAAAAAATAATCTATTAAAGATGCACTAGAATACCTCACAAAATGCAACAATTTTTATTTTTTATTTTTTGTCTTTTAGATAATTGTTTTGGGACAAACAAGAACATAGTTTTCCTTTATTCCCTAAAGGAATCTCACATGAATTTGTTACAAGTCAATCCAAATGCAAAAGGGCTTACCATCCTATTGCCATAGCACAAACAGTTTGTTTGTTTATATATTTGTCCACAACCATTTAAAAAAATAAATAAATAATATCTATAATATATTATTGCTTTAAATTAAAAAAAAATGAATGGGGAGGATTAAATAGTTAATTCCCCTTTTTTTATTTTTTTTAAGTGACCCTTTATATATTCTTGGGTTGAAAATGAAAATTATTTTCACAAACTATTTTTTTATGGTTATCATTTTATCATAAAAAAAATATATTATATTCTAATAAGAATATATGCATTTGATAAAGCATTTTTGGAATATTTTCTGTCACTTTATCTCAGTTTCATTAGAATAATTTCTAAGATCATTGATTAATCACTACTTAATATCATTATTAACAATTAATTAATTAATTAATTGTATATTTATAAAAATTCTTTAAACTTTGGCTGGTTTGTATATGTGTCCAATGAGACAAAGAAACCCTAACAAACTCATGATTTTATAACTAAATATAAATAAATTAATGGATTCATTTTGGTCCTTAACAAAGGGATCCTATGCTCCTATTCATGGGACAACACATGGACATGAAGCCTTTTTTTTTTTTTAATAATATCTATTAATTAATTAATTTAATTAATTATTATTATTATGTTTTGCAACTTGCAATTTCTAAAAATCTTCTGCTATTAATTATTGAATTATTATTATTAATTCAATCATTATTAGACCTTGATTTTTCTTTTTGAAAACTGTCAAATCACATGTTGTAGATACTTAATTGTATTAGAAATTGTTTTAATTCATTTTTGAAATTAATATATGTATATAGAGATGGTAGGGCTACCAAATAAGTTAGGAGTCCCACGGTATAAGGGTACATGTCCCTAACCTAAGACATTAGTGTTTATAAAGATCTCATCCACAGACAGGTAGGAAATGCATATCCGGTTTAAAGATGCTGCTTCTCTTCAACACCCACTTCAATGTACAAAGTATTAATTACCTTATTTCACCTTTCCATCTACCTATTTTTCACTAAAGAATTTCACTGTAAACACTTGAGAACGAGCGTTTTACCCGTTTGACGAGAACGAGCGTTTACCCATTGATGAGCCCGTCGGATGTTGATGAAATCTTTTAATTTCGTTGCTGAAATAACATTAAAGGAACTGAATTTTTATGTCATGCATGAATAGAATTTTATGGGATACCAAAGGAATTTTGGCAATATCTCTCCTTATAAAATCACTTGGAAAACGACCCATCAAAACTTTTTAACTTGGAGAAAAGAAAATCTTAAATACATAAATATTCAAAAGTTATTATGCATTGATATATGTATATAAATGGTAATGGGCACACATGTCATGTGCAATTATGCACCAAATAATAAAAATATTAAATAAATAAATAAGGTTTATAGCGGTACAGTCTTATTGATTTTTCCATGTATTGTAAAATATGTGAGGAATGAGACATTTTGAATTTGAGTCATTTCGACTATAAAAGTTTTCTATATATAAAAGAAATACTAAATTAAATATGTAAAGTTAAAAGTTCGAAATATAAAATCATCGTTAGGGAGCATTTTATTTAAATACAAATCTAGACCTGAATACCATTTATACTATTTAAGTAAATATAATAAACAATATATTGTTACTGCATATTTTTGAATGAAATATATGCTACGTCATATATTTTGATGGAAGCAAAATCTAACCACAATTAATTAAAATCAAGTGCTAACATCTAAAATTTTAATTATTAGCCAGAAAATCAAAGTATTAATTTTAAAAACATTAATTAAAAATAGTTTTGATGTTGATTTGTTTCAAATAATAATCTATAATTGAACATAACTTGATTGCAAGTTGAATAAGTTGCTTGATTAAATTATAGTAATTTGATCGATGGGTTGTGGCTCAGTTGGTAATGCAGGCTGAAAATATGGGTTAAATAGCTCTCAGATTTGATCTCCAATAAACGCATGTACAAAGGGGCGAGGAGCCTTATCTGTGATTAATCCCCGAGCCGATTAAGTGATTTCTAGTAATGGGATCCAGATATCGGTGGTTTACAAAAAAAAAAAAAAAATCATAATTTGTCATAAAAAATAAATTATCATTTTTAAATAAATTATCAAAATAAATTATCGAAAAGGTGAAAAAGATACCAAAAAAAGAAAACCCGAATAAAGCAAATATGCTAATTGTAATCTTTCCAGTTAATTAAGCAGCCCGTGACCCTAGTTTTTCATATTTTAGATTGCATTTGATTCCAAATTATCCCGGTGATTGTGGAACTTTTATTAATCAAATCAAATATACACTGTTGTTTTTATATAATTAAAATAATGATTAATATTAATTATAGCTATCTCAAATTGCAATTAAAATATAATTAACGAAAAGTAATCATTATTAGTAATGAATTTGATTTAATAATATTAATATTGTCTGTTTGATCGTGAAATTTGAGTTTAAACTTTATTTAAAATTTTAAAATAATTATAATATTATTTTTGTTATAGTCTGACTCATGGAAAAAAATGAATTTTCCAATATAATAAAAAAATTAACTCATGCTATTAATTATTATTATTTATTTATGATTGTAATTGCATGTTTAGGGCTTTAAGCAAGTTCAAAGGTGTGGGCCAGTAACTGTGAGGGCCCATACTTTGTCAAGCCTGTTGTCGGTTCTGCGGTTTTTTAGTGATTTGTGGAGAGTTTAAAAGACCATAGTCTTGTGTAATAATTATTCACTCAATGTAGGAAGCTTGAATCATGGTTAACCAAGCTGAATCAAACCGAATAAGCTCATTCAGTCTGACTGAATCTGAAACCGGAATAATATAGGAACCAAATAAAACTGAATCAAAGTGGTTTGGCTCAAATTGAATTATGTTATTTTGAAGTAAATAAGTTATTTTAGGTATAAAATTAATTCAATTAATATATATGGTAATCAAATCATAAATTCAAAATTGGTCGATTTTTCTCACTAAATAGATCGTTGATCAAATTTTAAAACATCTAACTAAATCCAATCAAAATGAGACAGCTTAATTTAATTTTCAATTAGAAATTGAGTATTGCTTACTTCTATCTTGCACGTCTCAATAAGGCAATGTATCAGAAAAGAATAATATCATATTTTTACGAAATTTCCATCAATTTAGAGAAAAAAGAGGTTGCTTAGTCTAATCTGAAATCATCGAAAATGAAACCCTAACAAAAATATTATGATTTGCAAGACATATATTGCACTCAGATTATGAAATCATAGCTAAATTATAATCATAAATCAAGGTTGTTATATATGCAAAAGTTTTAAAACTTCTTATTTTGTGCTTTTTCCACTTGCTTAGAGGAGCTGTTAGGATTACTTGCAAGTGAAAAGAAGTGTTATTGACTTCTTGGTATATTGGGGAGTTAGCTAGTTGCTCTCCCTCAATCTCCATCAACACCCTAAAAACCTATTACCATGCCCTAATTCTTGTCTTATAACTATTATGAAAAACATATTATTTTTACTTTTATTAGCATAAAAGATTAACTATTTACAAATTTTTTTCCTCGTAATTATATGGGAAAGATGAGGTGGGAAGAACGAAACTTGAAATCTGATTGCTTGTCAAATGCATAAGGAATTTTAACATCAGAGTGCAATCCAATATCTAACTATTTACTAGCTCGTTAATAAATCAAATTGAATCAAATCAATTAATATACTGAGATGAGAAGACAATTGCTAATCTAATTAATCCTCTTGGTTCAAAGCAATTAAGCCTTTAAAGTCTAAATGCAAATTATAATCAATATCCTTCTAGATGCTTATGTGCCCCTAACCATAAGGCACTAGGAGTTAATTTAGCATTATCTAAAATCCATGCAATTTATATAGGGTAGTTGTGGTTGCATCAAAGTGTCAAATTCAAGTGATTAATATTGTAATTAAAATTTTATAGCCAGGGCTAATCAAGTCTGGTATGATTGATACTTTTACTTACGAGAGAAGTGAAAGATCTTGAGTTTGAATCCTCTTAATCGCAAGAATTTTCACTAATTTTATGCGTATATAGGAAAGAGCTACCTCCTATTGTATAGCCCATAGTGTTATTTCGGTTCATAAATTTCAAATTAAAAAGGATTTTGATTGATATAGACAGCGGGACATAAACACACGCGTAAAGGATTTGGCTTTTAACCAAATGGATCTTTTAAAGATTGATTATTGATTTTTAAATAGTTAATTTCTTGATTTAGTTCATTTAATTTGTAAGAAAGCTCTTCTTTTTTTGTGCTTCAAAAGATGCCTTTCTTATGAGAAGACAAAAATTTCTTGTCATATCTTCTTTTTCTTTAATCACCAAGATTTCTTGATGTCAAAAGAAGTATACTTTATGGTTTTTATGAGTTAAAAATGTTATAATTCAAGTTTTTGATATCTACTTTAATTTCTTTGGTTTTGTTTATATCAAATTAATTTCATTGGTTTTATTTATATCAAATTGAATCGGATCAAATTGATTTTTTTTTAAAGTTCGAATAAATTAAAAATAATATATGAAATCAAACTGGTTTAATTTAGTAACTTCAGTTTGTTTTTTATTACTATTTTTTAATGGTTTTGGGTTTGAATTAAAAAATTTCAATTTTTTAATGAAAATAAAAAAGAAATCATATGCGTTAAAAAATTGCATCGACTAAATTTTATGCATTAAAATCAAATCGAACTAAATTGACTTGATTCCATGAGTTTGATTGGTTTAACTGAAATATGCTGAACCCTAGTGGAAATGTTTAAGCTTGACAGGGAATACCTTCCCTCCCCTTTAAAAACAGAACGAAGAGAAAAACTTCCCATTTGCCTATTGGGCTAGGCCTGCGCAAGGGTCCAGTAGGATAAAGCCCACTATTTCTTGCCTACAACCAGAAACGCAACGTTTTGTTATTAAACGATTTGTAGAAGGCCAAGAAGTCAAGAACCCAATCCCAAGGCAGCTCCCGCCCACAAACTCAATTTCAAATTCTCTATCGGTCTTGTCCAGAAATCAACTCTCTTTGCAACGTTAATTGTAAATGGGTTCCAGAGAAGGTAGCCAGAGAATTGAGGAATATCAACTTTTATTTTCTTTTTTCCTCTGAATTTGTTACCAGAGTGTGATAATCTCCGCTTGACTATATTTCAGATGGAAATGGAGTTGATTTATGGTCACAAATCATTGCTGAAGAGCCAGGGTACAATGATCAACAACAACAGCAGAAGATTGAAGTGATTTATCGAAGAAGAAAACCCCAGAAAACGCCTGCAGAAGTCAATTTGTAAGCTAATAAGCCCTTTGGTTTTCCTATTTCTGACTTGCTTTTGATTTTTTGTTTCCGTGCATTTTGAAAAATTCTTTTTTTCCTCTCTCTCTCTCTTATCTGAATTTGGTTCATTTCTTCACAGGAAGCAGTTGGAATCTGACGAAGAAAATCGGGTGAGTTTGGTTGCTGTCACCAAGCGGGTCAGTTGGAATCGTTCCCTTTCCATCAGGTTTAATTTAACCCTAATACTCATTCTAGTTCATGAAAAAATTTGTCTGTTTCAAGATTGAGCAGTAATAATATTATATGCTTTTTGGGTAGTTCATGGCCAGTGCATTTTTGGTCTGTTAAATGCATTCCCATTGTTACTGAAAGCTAAAAAAACTGTTTTCCTTGCAATTCATTTTATATTGATGTTCGTGTATTTATGGTTTATTTTTGTGCTTGAAATAGAGGAAGAGTAAGCATCGCTGTTGCTGCATGTGTGGACAATCGGCCTCAAAAAAAGCAGGCCAAAAGAAAGGGCAAGCCTCCTGTTCCAAAAGTATGAATTTATCACTGTTTCTTGCTTCTCCTCTTGCGTTGTGTTAGGGATGTATAACCTCATGTATTAGTATTACATGACAGTTATTTTTCTAAGACATAAAGCCCGTTAGTTATTTTTATTCTTTTTGGATCCTCAAGCTTTTAGTTTCTCTTAATTTCTGGTTTTTACAGGGAAAGGCTGTAAAGCCTCCAAATTTTGAGAAAGAAAAAGAATACTTTCAAGAGGTTGATGCTTTTGAATTGCTGGAGGAGAGCCCCTCACCCAAAAATTCTGGCAAATGGACAGCTGATAATCAAACTGATACAATTCCTATACCACATTTGTCATCGAGATTAGAGAAATGGTTAATTTCAAAGAAATTAAATTACAGCTGTGGACCTTCTAGTACACTTTCAAAGTTATTAGAAACTCCAGTCATGTCTTTGGAACCTATTTGTGGTGATGATTTCGGTGGTATAGATTTGGTAACCCCAGAAAAATCTTCTTCAAAAGTCTGTTCAAGTCTACATTCTGTCCAAAGCAGAATTAATGCCTATTTGATCAATAAATATGTGTCTGGAAGGAACTCCAATTCAGAAAAGAGCAGCATGCTTGCAATTCTGCGTGATGACGATTGTAAAGACATTGAAGCTTCAATTAAGAAACTATCCTTAGCATCAACATCTACAACACTGGATCACGACTATGTGAATCCATTTTCTTCTCTTCTGGCTGTCTGTGGACAGATGGCTCCATTAACTCTTCTGGATGTGTTCTCCAAATATTGGTTTGTCCTTATTGTTATCACGTGATGCTTCTTTTTAAGTTTTAGTTTACTTTTTAAAAAACTTTTCACTACATGTTGCTCAAACGTACGAGATGTTGGCAACTATAGTAGTTGCATTTGCAATCTCTCTCCTTTATCTATTTTAAATTTTCATAACTGGCATTTACAATCTCTCTCCATTATCTATTTTAATTTCTGTTCCATGTTGTTTGAGGAAGTTCAAAATCTTTCTAGTTTCTATTTCAAGCATGTGGTCCTAGATTTTGTACTATTTCAACGAGGCAGGATCTTTACATGAAAGTTGCATTTTCAATAACAAGGCAGGATTTTGTTTTCTTTCGCAATTATTCAACCTTTTCAATTATCCGAAGTACAATAATGAAATCTTTCTTTAGTTCTTCCTCAACCAATTATGTGCCAGAAGAAGTCATCCTATATTGCTTTCAACGGATGAGAGTATGAGCTCGGACAAAAGAAAGAAAGGCATTTGTAATATGGAGTTATATATATTAGATTTCTAAGTCAGGTAGTTCCAATTAGGAATTAACACATTTATCATAATGCATAAGTTATTTTAGCAAAAGTTGCTTCATTGTTCTGCATTTAGCACATTTATCATAATGCATGAATTATTTTAGCAATAGTTTTTGCTTTATCATTCTGCATTTATTTTCGACCTCCTCTGCCTTGTGTGACCTTTGAATGCCGCTTCTAGATCCTTAAACTAATGACAATGGAACTCTCTTGATCCATCCAGTGACCCAAAAAGTGTTACCAAAGTGGGAGAAGGTACATATGGAGAAGCCTTTAAAGCTGGTAATACTGTTTGTAAAATAGTTCCAATAGATGGAGAACTGAAAGTGAATGGGGAGGTGCAAAAGGTATTTATCTTAATGGCATCTCTACTTCTAATTTTCTCTTACATGAGCTTTGTTTTGCTGAGCTATTTGTTTTGTATTTTAATTCAGAGGTCAGAAGAACTTCTTGAGGAGGTCGTACTTTCTAGAACTCTTAATCATCTAAGAAGAAATGATGTTGATGTCCAGAATGCATGCACAACATTCATTGAGACCTTAGAGTATGTGTTCTACTCACTTCTCCAACGTTCTGTAGTTTTGCAACTACTTAGCATCTTTCAGAAACACAATTTGAAATAATGTGAATTTCCATTGATTTCTATTTGTAAGGCTTAAACTCTAAAGTAGAAAGCTTTTCTATTTTATTCATGTGCAATGCTCCTGCACATCAGATGATGGCCCAGTCTGGAATAGCACTGTTTGGGCTTTTTCAAGATTGACTGTGCAAAGCATAAAGCTTAAATTTATGCTAGATACACTTGAATTTGCTTAAGTTGATCTTCTTATACCTATATATAACGTAAGATGAGTATTAGTGTACGATTGTATACTTACTGTCGTTTAACACTATCAGATGTATTGGCGGTCAGTAATCTCTATTAATTTTTTTGTTCCCAGTCTAAAGGTATGCCAAGGTCCTTATGCCAGTGCATTGATTAGAGCATGGGAAGATTGGGATGACAAACATAGCTCAGAAAATGATCATCCTAGGGAGTTTCCAGAGAAACAGGTTTAACTTTGTCCATATGATTTGAATCGATTGACATAACTGTACGTTTCACTTTCTGTTTATACAAGATGCATCCATTTCTCACTCACAATTAACAGGCATCTGCTTGGTAAATATTTGCATTTGTTGGTGGGAAGAGTGTATAAGTTAGATATCGGTCTCTAACATTTTGCTATGTATTTAAAATGCGCCCTTTTAGGTTCACTTACTAATACTAATAAATTGGCACAGAGCTACGTTGTGTTTGTATTAGCACACGGCGGCAAGGACCTCGAGAGTTTTGTTTTATTAAACTTTGATGAGGCGCGGAGTTTATTGATTCAGGTAAACGAATCGTTTTCAGGTCAATTCGTTGAGTTTTTTGTCCTATTAATTCGTATGCTGGTTGTGCATTGCAGGTTACAGCTGCCTTAGCTGTTGCGGAAGCTGCATTTGAATTTGAGCACCGTGATCTGCATTGGTCTGGCTATTTATGCAGTCAATGATATTTTATATATATCCTTTGTAAATGCTGATTTACTCTTGATGTTCCAGGGGAAACATTTTGTTAAGTCGAAATGAATCTGCTATGGTGCAGTTCACGCTGGAGGGGAAGCAAATGCTTTTGAAATCATATGGATTATTGATATCAATAATTGATTTCACTCTGTCAAGAATCAACACTGGTGAAATTTCTTATGTCTTTCACCTCATACTTTTATACATGAAATGTTAAGTTTGATTCTTCATTGCTAATATTTTTATATGCACAGGTGAAGATATACTCTTTCTGGACCTTTCGTCAGATCCTTATCTCTTTAAGGGTCCAAGGGGTGATAAGCAAGTAAGAAACTGGGATACTGAGTTTCCTGATTCATTGCAAGAAAATGGGCTTATTGACTCTTAATATCACTTGCAGGCTGAAACCTATAGAAGAATGAAGGAGGTAACAGAAGACTTTTGGGAAGGAAGGTAATATTCTTTTATGTAAATGCATAAGAAGATACTCAACTTTTTCTTTAGTAGGTGAATCTACTCTGGTGGTGCCCTTGAGGGCATGTTCTGTTGTCCGCATCATTTTACTAATCAGGAGGCAATAGATTTGGGATTATATTTGGAATTGTTAAAATATCTACATTTTTATCAACCAAACAAAAGAAGCCTTACTTGTTAACTGAACTGAATTGCAGCATTGTCACCTCATTCAGTCGTGGGGCATCTTTCAGTTGATTAACTTCATTGTTTGTTACTTACAGAATGTTTTGAATGTTTAACCTTATCGATTTTTCACGTTTTGCAGTTTTCCTAGAACAAATGTGCTGTGGCTGCTGTACTTGGTGGACATATTACTTCTGAAGAAATCATTTGTAAGTCATTTTACAAGTTAATAGAGATTTGAAAAGAATAACCGTCAATTTATCAAAAGTCTGCTGCTGTTTCAGCTCCACATTCTATTTTCAATTCTGTGGATGCACCTCATAACAATTTGGAAAACATATAGGTTACTCCTTGAATATCTACAAATATCAGAAAACTGATATGTCCAATGAAAAACACCTATCTCAGTAAAGTCCTTTTTGGGTCACAAATACCATAATGGACCATTTCAACCTTAGTTGGGTGAATTAAAAAATTAGATGCATGTTTATCTTTACTGTGCTTGTACTAACTTACTAGCTGGGAGGAATATTATTGAAAGTGTTTTGAATAATTATTTCGTACCAGGAACGTACTTCCAAAAATGAAAGGGAGTTGCGGTCACTGAAGAAGAGGTTGGAGAAGTATAATTCAGCAAAGGAAGCTATTTTGGATCCTTTCTTCAGTGATCTGATTATTGAGCAGGTTAAATGAAAAGAAGAGGTCATCGTTATTATTATTATTATTATTTTAATTTTTTTTGTAGGGCTCAGTGTAGATAATTGTAGAAAAACTGATGGGAAAATTTGTATATTTTCACAGTTTTTTGTGAGGAATACAAGCCATGATTGCTAATAGATGATAATTTACAAATACAAAAAAAAAAAAAAAAAAAAAAAAAAGCAGGTTAAATGAAAAGAAGAGGTCATCGTTATTATTATTATTATTATTTTAATTTTTTTTGTAAGGGCTCCAGTGTAGATAATTGTAGAAAAACTGATTGGGAAAATTGTATATTTTCACAGTTTTTTGTGAGGAATACAACCATGGGATTGCTAATAGATATAATTTACAAATACAAAAAAAAAAAAAAAAAAAAAAATCTTCCTTTATCATCCAGAAATTCATGCCAGTGAGGGATGGAATTTAGCACATGGAGGGTTGTACAAAATATTTAAAAGGATCAGCAGACTACTTATATCTTCAGCCCAGACAATCTGCATGAAATGTTCTAAAAGTCGAAAGACAGCGTTTTGCGCGATGCATAAATATATTTTCAATCTTTTCTTTCCTTTCGTGATTCTGTCTTTTTAGTCTTCTCTTGAAAAAAAAAAAAAAAAAACCCCTAAAATATCTTTGATTTCTTGGCAATAGGGCTTTTTTTGGCATCACCGTAGATGCAATGCAATCTATTTAAATCTATTTCTTGAATATATAATAAGATAATTTCAATCTAATACATAAATCTACTTTTAAAATTTACGCAATTTATTTTATGACACTCAAATTTATAAAATTTACGTAATTTATTTCATGACACTCAAATTTACGGGGAATTTATAATAATTATGTACGTTTACATTTTAATCATAACAACTGTGTCTATCAAGTGCTGAGCTGTTTGCTGCATAACTGGAACTATTGTTTTTAGCTCTTTATTTGCCAAATACGAGAACAAAACAAAACAAAAAAGAGCAAAGATGACTTAAATAAATATAATGGTTTAAAGCTAGTTAATCCCTTCTTCTCTCACAATCAGAAAATGACAGCCTTATCAGCAATAGTATCAAATTATGACCATTTGCTCGTCTCTTCTTATACCGGACCTGTTTGCTTTCGGCTGTGACCCAGTCAGATACGGTGCTTTTGACATCAAGAGAAGCACAATATATTATTCCACATGGGTGGGTGTCCCCACCCCTAATGGAATATTATTATTATATGATATTAGTAATAGTAATGCAGGTGGAAAGGCAAAGACATCACCTTGTCAAAAGGCTTTGATTTTCTGATCTCTACTGGCAATTTTTTCTACATGGGATTGTTGTTTTATGCATTATTTGTGTATTCCCATGCTTATCTGTGTTTTACAGGATGTGCTGTCGTCTAAAATTTTGTAAGCAATAAGCTCTCTAGCTAGTTGGATTGTTAATATCTGTTTGGAGAATTTTGAATACACCTTAGTTATTTGATTTTTTTTTTTGTTTGTGCACGTGTTTCCACATTCATGCAAAGTCAGGATTCAAGAAAAGTGATTTCAATAGCGACGATTTTAAATTTCAAATCCCTGATAGTAAGGTGATATTTTGAAAAGAAAAAAAATGTGAAGAGTAATAAATTGTTGTATAGCATGGTGCTTTATAAATGATATTTTAGGCTAATCCAAAGCCTCTTTTATTTGCTTTCCTTTTGTTTACAATAATAAAATTTTGCTATGATTTTTTTTGAGGTAAGCTAATTTGACTTCAATAGATATCTTCTTTTTGATTTGTCCAACCAAATTTAAATCCTTAATTGTCTAAACTTGGGATAGATTAATGGATGCTGACAACAATTTTCCTTTTGGGATTGGATTAACTCTTTTGATTTTATCATATCCAACTTTTAATGCTGAATGTACATCTTACAGAAAGTGGGCAGCTTTCTTGCCATTTTATTTCAAATTTAAATATATGTCTGTCATTATTTTTTTCTTAAATGTTCTAATCAGTACAAATAATCGAATTTTAGTTTCTTTTCTTTAGTATAATAACCCCAAGACAAATGGCACACATGAACTTTGATTGTGCAAGATTTTGCAGAGTGCAAATATACAATCTTCCTAATTTAGATTAGTTTGCATGCATGTTTTTAAGATTTTAAATTCTTGAAAATGGAAAACATTTTCGTTGATGTAACCGCCTGTTGTTTAGCAGAAAAAATCAAGTAAATATCAAGGCAGAAAATTAGGGTTTTAGTGTTTAGCTTTATTGCTAACAGTAATACCATCTTAATCTTCCAAAACATGTTTTGACATCACTGGATTTCTTTGCAAAAACCCTTCAGAAACATGTGCTCTAAGCATTGCCCATTAACCTGGCTTATATTTATAAACAAGTGTACATGCATGTGACGTATAAAAGACTGCAGCTTGTCTTAGTGACACTGCTTTATATCATAAGCCTAATTGATAAAGAAGGTGGTTGAGCAAACAAACAAACAAAAAAAAAAAAAAAGGAAGAAAAGAAAAGGCAATGGATGATTCTTTGTGCTGTGAAGAAGCAGTACATGTCCAGCCCCATCCTTCATGACAAAGTAACATCTTTTCTTTATTATTACATGTAACATAGTCATCTATTCCTTTCACTTTTTCTTCTTTCCTTTTCTTTCTTTACCTTTTATCTGCAACACTTTATTTCTCTCTTTTATTCCAAATTCTATGTGCATTTTCTTTTGAGCACCTCCTTTGTTTGAATCTCGTTAAAATCCAGTTGGGTTCTCTTCCTAAAACCCAGAAAGCATCTCTCCATTAAAATGGCCCAATTAGCTTCTAAGTGCGTTTTCTTACTCTTCTTGTCGCTCCTCACTCTCTGCTCTTCTGGTAAGCAGCTACCGTTTCTTGATCTCACTCTTTTCCCCTTCTTGCAAAATTTAGTGGCACGGAAAACGAAGATAGCAAAGAACATAATTTTTTATTTCGCTATTACTTTTATGAGCATAGAGGGACTAGTCCATTGAACGATCTTCTTGAATTTGTAAGTGAAATAAATTTTTACATTGGATTTTCTTTTCTTTTGCAGGAACTCTGGTGGGTTTCTCCTATAATGCCAGAGGGAGCATTGTATCTTCATCAATCAGCAGAAAACTATCTTCTCTTGAGCTAAACAAGGTCACTCAATCTGATATTCGAGTTTTCGTTGAAGAAGATAGGGTTTTAAGCACACTTTCAAACTCTAATATTTCTGTTGATCTTTACTTAAGTGAAAGCTTAGTTGAGAATTTTACAAATTCTAAATCATATGCTTTCTTGTGGCTGAAAACACATGTGGTGACCTTTCTGCCTAATGTTAGCATCAAAAGCATCGCAGTTAGAGGCAACAACGACTTGTCCAACCTTTTATCCTCCTTGAAATTGATCCATTCAGTTCTCAGTAGTTTTAATTTTAATAATAATGAAGTGAAGGTTTCTGTAGCATTTTCATTGTCGTTCTTGGAGAACTTGAATGGATCACAAAAAAATGACCTGCATAGGGTCTTAGGATTTATCAAGAAAATTAGGTCTTTTATCATTGTAGAAGGCAACATTGATAACGGTGTAGAATTGAGAATGGGAGATCTTTTTATCAAATTAATGGTGCAAAAAGCTACACTTGCCACTTCTATTCTTCCTTGTAGTGATGTTGCCATAGTAATGACGGTCAAGAGCTTTGTAGATCCTAGTGCAAAAGAAGTAGCTGAATTCACTGCTAAGATCTCAAAATCTTTAGAGAATGCTAAGATTGCAGGTCAGATAGTTGAATTATATGCAGAAGTATCTTCCTTTGAAGATTTTGCAGGAAAGGAACTGCAGAGGGAAAATGAACAAATCTTTCCTTCTTCTCGTCGAGAACTCTTGAAAACTTCTTCACATGATTTAATCAACCCACCAGACACTGTTCCTCAAAATAATCCCACACCAACAATTGTAACTGTCCCTGCTACCAATCCTGTAACCATAACACCAACTAATCCTGCAACCACTCCTGTATCAATTCCCTCAACCACACCTGTTATAATTCCACCAACAAATCCTTCTGTTAATCCACCAGCGCCAATAACCAATCCAGTAACCACACCAGCACCTATCACAGTTCCTGGAGGACAACCGATAACTAATCCTGTGACAACATATCCTGCTCCACCAGGAAATGTTCCGGTCACAACACCAGTCGTGAATCCTGTGACGCCTCCTGCAGCTACTAATGCTCCGGCAATTCCGGGCCAGAGTTGGTGTATAGCAAAGTCTGGAGCATTGGAAACTTCACTTCAATCAGCACTTGATTATGCATGTGGAATAGGAGGTGCTGATTGTTCACAGATTCAGCAAGGTGGGAGCTGCTATAATCCGAATAGTCTCCAAAATCATGCCTCATATGCATTCAACAGCTATTATCAGAAGAATCCTGTGGCAACCAGCTGTGATTTTGGAGGGACAGCCACTATTGTCAGTAGCAATCCAAGTAAGAAATGTGCTCGACTTGGTGTTTTTGCTTTCAAATGCTTAAATATTTAAAATTTTTTCTAATACCCTTATAACATTGTAACAGGTACTGGTTCCTGCATCTTTTCATCTTCATCATCATCGTCATCAACATCATCGTTACCAACACCGTCAACTTCAACTACAAATCCAGCAACAACACCAACATCTCCAGCAGCTGGAGGATCATCAGGGTAAATTGTCCAGTCTCGTAGTTTTTTCTTTACAAGAGTAGTTCAATAACTTAATGGAATGACTCTGCACTCTTTCTGCAGAACTGTTACTCCACCATCAGTGTTAAACTCAAGCAGCCCTGGCTCAGGTTCCACTGCAGTGTTTGGGTCTGATCCCCCTCCTGGTATCAGCACTTCCACATCCAATTCCGTTACTTTGCGACCATCAACTGCGTGCATCACTCTGATAACATTTTTCGTTACCAGAAGAATCATCATAAACATGTAGAATGAAGCATTTCTTCATGTACATTACTAGCTTTCACAGCAGAGCAAAGCTGCAGGCACCCCCAACTTACAGGAAGAAAGAAACAGAAGGCGATTTCCACAAGGCTATATTATATCACCTAGGTTCTGCTAAAGATATAACCGGCCTGCTTGAGCTTGTCCGGGTGTAAAGGTGTTTATTACTGAAGGTACGATTTAATTTTCTACATGAAACATAATTGCATGTTCAATGTTAGGCTGCTTTTAGATATTAGTAGTAGAAGGTAATGAAGTTGAATAGTATTAGTACAAGGGCAATTTTGTTCCTGTATATATCTTTGAGAAGTAGAAGAGTTTCTAGTTTGAGCATTTGTATTGTGCTTGATTGCTCAATTAAATGAACTAACTTGCATAAGAAACTTTTTAACGAGTGGGAACTGCATAACCAGTATAATGGTTTAAGTTCAAACAATTTTCTTCATTTACGTGACCATAAAACTGGTGGTGCAAGTATTGTGAAAAAGGGAAGCAGGCAGGTCCAGATATACCTATTTCTTACTTTTGGCTGAGAATATCACATTAGTTTGCAACTTTGTTGACCACAGTTTAGACATGCTAGATTGATTTTCAAGATGCTCCTATCATTTCAAGATGGCCTAGCAGGCAAATTGTTCAAAAAGTAATCCCATACAGCCACGAGTCCATGATAGTAAAGAGCACTTGTGTCAACATCTATGATCAACGAGCCACTAAATGAGTACTTGTTGCATTGGATGCCAATTTTTAGTAGAAAATAATTCATTTAAATCAAGAACTGTTGTGTAACAAAAAAAAAAAAAAAAAACATACAAATTATTGTCATTGTCGGTATCCAGATTCAGAATCCAAGAGAAACTGGAGATATAGTTACAATACATTCACCTAATGAAATCAACATTGAAGATCTCACTACTTCCACTGTATACTCGAGGTTTCTTTGGCACTTGAGACTCTATTTTTGTACCTGCTTCAAAGTATGGTGGCTACGTTGCCAGCATATATTCCATATATTTCCAGATTCTAATAACAGGAGCACCAAAAAGAGGCATCTTTTACTACAGCTAATTTGAAAGAGAATCTCCAGTATGGGAATTTGTAGGACTAAAATGGCCTCTGCTACTGCCCTAAGCTCAAGTAGTAGGATATTTATACACAACAATTGGGGAAACTTGGAAACTTGGATCATTTCATCGCCTTGAGAATACCACTAATATCAACATTGACATGGAAGCTACAATCTTGAATCCAGAACTTTCCCAAAAATTTTGTTTTTCATTATTACCTACAGCCAGAGGCTGTTGTTTTGATGCTAACTGTTCTCTGAGTTCTTTCAGAGCTTTGTCCCGTCGCTCTCCCATCTGTTACAAGAAATATAAACATTTAAGAGAAACTTTTGAATAGCTTAATAAACATCATCTTAGCAAAAAGAGCATTAAAAGATATTCCCTAGAATTAAAGCTAGCATTTTAGCCAGGGAACTTTGACCTGGAGTTCATAAGAGCATGTCAGAAGCCACCTACAGGCTATAATGCTGTGGACCATTCAATTTATTGCAACGTCAATGGCTCACTATGCCAAGATGTGGACTCTTGCACACCATGAGGATGTGGTCCATCTAGACAATTAAACCTAACTTTGCTCTCTGCATAATTTGCATACATGATGATCTTTTCAAGGAATAGCAAACTATGTTGAAATATTATATATGACAGTGTGTTAGTTTCCTAGTTGCAAAACGAAGTATGAGATTTCAATGTAGGGTTTATATGAAATTGGCTCTCCAACCTCAACAGCTAGCTTTTGAGGCCAAGGTCATAACAGAGTGCCCCCATTCTTTCCTTGGATGTAGAGTGACGACATAAAAACTCACCCTTTGGAGCTTTCGTGTCTGAGAACGAGCTTCCTGAAGGCAAAATTCCAGCTTCAATACCCTCTTTTTCAGCTCCTGATCAGCTCGCCGCTGCTTTTCTAACTGTCAACAAAAAGTTTCTTAAATCTCATAAATAAGCAGGTCCATTGATCCTAAAGAAAAAAAAATTCAGATATAGATATAAACCCTAAGTTATAAAAATTGGAAGATGGATGCACCTGTGTTTCCAATTCATTGGTTTTGTACTTCCAGTGGGCAGACATAATTCTTATTTCATCTTTCAATTTGGCTATTTCTTCATCTTTAACAACCAAGAGTCTGTTGATTTTCTCAAAATTTTTTGGTGAAACCTCATCTAGCAATTTCCTGAGTTCACAATCTTTTCCAGCTCCAGTCACGGCAATAGCTTGCATAATGTCTTGCTCAATTCTAAGAACTTCTTCTTTCAGTTGCTTTTGGGAGGATTCCCTTGCCTGAAGATCTTTTTGTAAATTCTCCAACTGCTCTCCTAGCTTAGTTACACGATCCTCATGCTCTTTCAATGAACTGTTCTTCATATCTAATTCCTGTATCAGTGCTAAACACTGAAGCTGAGCTGATTGAGCTGATGCAGCACTTGCATCTGCAGTTGCTTGAGTGGCAGCAAGCTGAGATCTAAGGCCATCCAACTCACTGACGTACTGTTTCACATTTAAAAATTGGAACCAGAATAAAATTGAGTGACACAGTGAGAAACTTGCAATTTGCAAATAATGGACTATAAATGAAGCCAAAAATGAATATATCGCTCTTCATGTATACTTCTAAGCAACAAACTAACAGAGGCCTCTATACCGCAAGACTATAGTCTTCACAACAATTTCTATTTTATTTCTTTCAATTCTTCATTAACTTGCCAAGTCCTTAAATCTTTTCCTTTGAAAGACCCCAGAAAAGAAATCTGAAAGGAGACATACCAAGAAGTGCAGATAGGAGAAACCCCATAACTTCTTATCAATAAAATTGTCAATTGATGCAGGGAATGATATGTTTTGCATGGGATATTAATATAATAATTTAGTATTTATACACATTTGATTATAGAAAAGTACTATATGAAAAAGCCATATTGCTTTTTATCCCATTCACCACAATCAACATCTTGCACTTTTGCATTATCCTCCATGCATTCCAGGCTTGCACTAGTAAATTACAATTTTCCTTTTAAATTGAGTTGCTAGGATATGAGATGTTGAATGAAATTACTACTTGGAGGCATTTTCTTTTACAATATGCTTACCTCGTAGATGCAATTATGGAATGTTTATCCTCATGGATACGGGGCATTGATAGAAAAATTTAAATATATTTACTCAACATCTTGTCATGAAAATACTACATACCAAACTTCTTTTTATGTGATAGCTTCTTAAATATATGAGATAGTTCAAAGTCTCATTTCACAGCCAATCAGAACTGATGTGCAAAACAACCATGCAGTCACAGACAGGTAAAAGAATAAGCCTACCAGCTATTTTGTCACCCAAGAGAATCAGGAGGCATCAAGCTTTGGCAGCAATTGAGTTGATGCACAACTTATCTCAAGGTTACTCACTATCAAGTCATTATCACTATCCATAGTCATTCAACAAAGGCATAATCTAGAATCATGGCCACTAATGATATTAGGTCATATTTATTAAAGATAAACTAACTTCAATCTTGTAAATAATTATTCAAAACATGTAATCACATATGCTATCAATTCTACTAAAAAGAAAATTTACAGTCCAATATTACTCTTCCAAGTATAAAAAGATAAAACTTCCCTTGAGGTTCTTTGGGAAACAAAGTACAATGCCTTTGTCTTGTACCCATAACCCCACACTTGACTTTCTTGGGTATGACAATTAAGCTATTCCAATTTGGGAAAAAAGAACATAATTTTGAAGAATTCAATAAGCATAATTTCACAAACAAGAAAAATTAAACTAATATATTAGAGACGAAATCTACAAGAATAATATAAAAGTGGAAGATCAAATTTGTTTAACTTCAGATAGTAGTGGCATTATCCTAAAGGAATGGTGGAAGCTGCTTTGCGTACCTTTTCTCATAAAGCCATAACGGTTACTAAGCAACATAAGACCTAACAATCTTTGTAGCCACATTTATTGAGGTATCAAACATAGAATTTTATTTAAAGATAAATCTTCACTTTTCCCAGCTTAGACTTTGATGAGCAAGGACAAAACTTTATTGAATTATTGAATTAACAAATAAAGGGGACAATGATATAAAACCAAAGTCACTCAAATTGCCTTTACCCATATGGGCTCCATTAATGAATACAAATAATAAAACCCAAGAGATTTAGCGGAATCTAAAGTCTAAGATGCACAAAGAACAACATTACAAGCCGGATCAACACAAGCCCTTATGGCAAATAATTCCAGGAGTGAATCATGTTTGATTTTCAATTCTTAATCAAAGTGAGGATTTAAAGCAAGAAATCCAAAAGGCAATCTAAATATAAAAGTTAACAGAGAGACATGAGTGGGACCTTATCAGCTGAAGCCTGAAGTTGGCCATTTCTCTCCTCCAATCTCTTTTGTAATATTCGAATTTCTTCTTCCATGGTTTTTGCCTTATTCTCTGCTTCCTGAAAAAATCAAAGCACACAAACCTCAATTCAAATAAACAAAATCAAAAGACCCCACAATCAAAAGGCACAAAAAAATAAATAAATAAAAAGAGAACAACAATGATTAAATCCAAGAACTCAAAATCCAACCCAAACCCACAGATCACATGCCTGCCTTGTTAGCGTCTCTTTAGCGAATGATTGCTCTTGACATGCAAGGCGGCTACGAACCTCCTTTAACTCTGCAGCTAATGAAACCACGTTCCGCCTAAAACTCTGCTTCTTCTCATTTAAATCCTTCAATAATGGATCAATTTCTCTAACTGAAACAGACGTTGAAGCAGAAGAAATTGATGAACTTGGTGATGGCTTGTCCGAAACAGACATCAGAGTTAATTGTTTTGATCAAATGGTAACTATGACCCCGCCCCGCCCCGCCCTTGAAGATCTGGTACAGATTCATACAACAAATAACGTCTCAAAATGAAACCCCTTTTGGTCTACGCAGTTCTAGTAACGAAAGCAATGGTGCTGCTTGAAACCTGCATGTGAAAATGGTAGTTGTGCATTTAATATAAACGGCATCCAAGAAGTGAAATCCATAAATACTAAACTTAAAGAAACAGTAACTCCTAAAACTACAGTGCGGAGGGTCTTCACAATTTGAAATTTGAGGGGTTCAAAATCCAAGTCAATTTTATGTAATTAATCCATATCATGTAATATTTTGTTTCTAGGGAAAATCTTGTCCAAGAAAATAATTTTCAATTATTTTATATGGCAAACAACGAACCTTCTCTCAACAAACACTTAAAGCGTCTGTCCCTTTCAACCGATAAATAAATCAGAGGAGTGTAGAGAGAGAAACAACGAATAATTAAAGAATTGCTGAAAAAAAATTCAAACTTTAAACTTCAGATTCTAACCTACTAAAGTTTCTCGAGAAAATTTTATATGCTAAGAGGGAAAGAAAACAGATAATATAAGACACGTGAAGAAGAAAGTCAGAAAGAGTTTGAAATCAACATACTCAAAAAACTCAAAAAACATCAGCGATAGGGAGCTTCAAAAGCAAATCTAAATTAAAACGAAGCGTTTTCGCTCTACCTACCATTAAATCACATAAAACACGTTCCTCAGAAAAACCAAACAGCTCGATAAGCTTTCAGTTACAGAAAATGAAAATAAAACCCAGAGGAGAAGACGTCACCTTCTTAATTGTTAGCAGAAATGCTCAAAGCCCAAGCTTGAGCATATATGAAAAAACTATAACGCAAGTATCAGCTCACATGATCAGACGGCGGTGATTTCGGCTCCGATAAGATCAACGGCATAAAATGGAAATAGGAAGAACAGCAGAGAGCGTAAATTTAGGGTTTTAATTGTTTTTCTTTAATTTTTATCATTATTAATGTTTGGGATTTTGTCTTATATGGTGCAGCAAATACTGACATGTCTAAACAGTAAACACAGACGGAGGAAATGGAAAGTGATGTAGGTTCGGATTTTAGGTATTCGGTAGTGGGAGTTTGGTTCGGAGTTTTCGAGCCTCGGGTTTGTGATATGACAAAAACCGAAGCTGGCGTTCAGATTCCCCGTTTGACTTGCAGCGCGGCAAATCCGAATTTTTTGAGCTGGATCGCTGCGATTTTGCCTCGTGGAACTATGGATACCGTAGGATGTGCGTGTCGACCATCCGGTTTGTGGATTGAGGACTTGGGCTTCTTATCTTGATGGGCTTGACTGGGCCTTTTCCGTGAATTTATTTAAAATGTTTAAAAAGATAAAATTTAATATTTTGGATTAATTTAATTTTAAAATTTATTTAAAATGATTAAAAAATTATATTCAATAAAATAATAAAAAAAATCTCCATAACAAAAACAAGGAAAGAAAGAATGAAAAATTTTAAGTACATGGCTATGGATAAATGTCTTGCAAGAATGTAAATGGCACCCTCTTTCTTTAATATTCTATTATTCCAAATTGGGACAAGTATAACGCTAACTTGAATTACCATTCGGTATCCAAAGCTTCGAAGAGGATTCAAAAGAATTGAAATATTTAGGATCGATCTCGAAATTTCTAGTTAAAGAAAAAAATATTATTGACAACTCATTTTATCCCTTAACGGCCGCATATTTCAATCGATTTCAATTTACATATAATATTATAATAATTTTCATATAAATAATTATTGCACTTGTAAAAATAAAATTGCAATCAAACAGTCAATTAAATCGTTCTTACATAACAAATTTGTTATATAATAGAACATCCCAAATTTCCAATTTAATAATTTTCCCATTCTAGGATATAACAAACAATGTAATAGATATAGTCCAACAAGAAAAAGTATATAAGTAAATATAGTCTCTTGTTGGAATTACCGTTTACAGTTTTAACCAACTTATTGTTTGGGATATTTAATTTTTCTTTTTATTAGAGACTTTTTTAAACTGTGTATAGGCTTATCTATCCACTAAACAAATAATATTTTAAGTCAAAACGAAGATATTTTTAACTATAAACAAATAATATTTTAAGTCAAAACGAAGATATTTTTAACTATGCACGGGATAAAAGAATAAAAAAAACAGTAACATTTTTTTAAGAAATATTTTTTAATGGCCTTATCCCATGGAAGCAAGAAATTGCCCTGGCTATTGCAGTTTTGCAGTCTTTAACGGTTTTAAGGCATGAGTAGTAGAATAGAATGCCATCTGTAAGTCATTGTCTATTTAGATTTATAGTCAAAATGCAATTTGGGTCCTGAGAAGCAATTCCTTGACGGGCCGAAGCCCGAGCCGACAAAGGAAAGCCTGTTAAACAACAAAAAGGTCAATGTGTTGGAAACTAAAACTTGCTACTTCATTAGGTTTTAGGAACTTGCTTTTCTTGTACTTACACTGTCTTGTTCAGCAACCAACCGGCGGTAAAAATTCTGCAAATGCGCACGTTAGCATAGATATCTGTAAATAAGGAAACCTAATGAGGACAGAAGGGTCATTTAGGTTAAAAGTGTAGTATTCCTTTCCCTCTAATTTACACGCAACGCAACATTGTAGAATGTGCTTTACCTCAAGAACCAAGTCAGGTTTGGTGTTTTTCCAACGTGTGCGATGGGCGATAAGACGAAGCAATCACCGTTCTAAATCACGATCTTTTTTAAAGTAGCCTCTTTTTTTTTTTTTTTTTTTTTTTAATTTAATATTTTAAAATTTCATAATTATTAAAAGATATATTAAAAGTCAGTAGCACTAAATAAAATCTCTAAGAGATGGCAAACGCGCAGAGTCATTCGGATTTTTTTTTTTTTAAATTCATTTAACCATCAAGTTTAAGATTTTTCAAGTTGAATTCAAGCCAAAAGTTAAGCTCGAATTTAAAATTTTCAGATATTAAATTTTGAACTGAGCTAAATACTATCGAGTGGAGTTTCTAGCTTGACTCAGCTTCTCACTTCTCAAGCCAATTAAGTCATACTTAGTTCACAGTTTTAACCCTTTTAATAATATTGATTTATTATTTAATTTAAACCATCGACTTAAAAAATAGAAAAATTTGAAGAACTACTCAAATGATGACTCATTCTCTTGCTGACGTGTCTTACAATGATTGGTAAGTGCTACATGGTTCGAATAACAATTGGCTATTATAGAGCAACCCAAAGACTATTGCAAGTCTCGTAAGTCAAACACCCACCTATTGTAGTATTTACTTATTGGATTGACCGGAAGACCGAATTTAAACTGCTATAGCCATCTCGACCAGATCAGACCACACCACACCAATATGGCAATAGTCAAGAAAAGCTGTCACAGCGCAAGTTAGCAACTACTCCTCTCCCCTCCTCCGTTCTTTCCATTCTCTTCCAAGCGTCGTGTAAAAAACTTTTATTGTTTAAAAACATTAATTATGTTTTTATCCTATAATCTGAATATTAATTATTTTAAAGTGTTAATTTTTAATCATGATGGGACTCGAGGGATAAAAACGTAATACCACTCCCCTGCAAACGCCCCTTTCTTAAAAGTAGACAAATGTTGTGCAAAAGGTTTAGGTCCATAAGACGCCAGAGAGATCCCCTCTCTATATCTCCGTTGCCACTTACCAGAACCACAACTGGTTGGGTTCGGCTTTTGTTTATTTTCAATTTAAAATAGTCGTCTTAGTCAATAATAATAATAGATTGCTGGCGGATTGATCGGGAAGTATGGGCGGGGAAAAAGCAGCGGAGGCGCAGTACGTGACGGCTAAGACTTCGGTCTGGTGGGATATAGAGAATTGCCAAGTACCTAGAGAATGCGACCCACATGCCATAGCCCAGAATATAAGCTCCGCCTTAGTCAAGATGAATTATTGTGGGCCAGTTTCTATCTCTGCTTATGGTGATACCAACCGGATTCACTCTGCCGTCCAGCAAGCTCTGTCCAGTACCGGCATCGCACTCAATCATGTCCCTGCTGGTATTTGACCTACTTTTTTTTTAAGTTATATTTCTTGCTTTGTTGATCGTGTTTGTTTGTTATTTGATGTTTCTTTGTGATTTTGAGGTGGAAAGATTGGATCTTGACTTTTGGGTTCATAATTTAGAAATTTTATCCATTTCATTACAGTTTTATTGTAAGTTGTGCCTTTTCCTCTTCTTTGATTTTGGAATTGTAACGCCGTTTACTGAATTACAACGGAGTGGGCTGGTTCCGTACTTATGCAACGGGTATATTTCTACCTTTCTGAAATATGAAATTTTGTATTGTAAAGCTAGCTCAGTTCGTGGAGTATTCAATTGATCTCTGCATAGACATGAAGAGAGAATTCATAGGATGGATGCTGGATACCTTTTGTTTCTCTATATAGAATATTTACACCAACCACGAGAATCAAGAGACATAGAGGCAAAGCAGAAAATTAAGCGTGATTATTATAAATTACAATACTTCCTGCGTCCACTTTACCTAGTTTTTTCCACCTATAATTGGTCATGGAGCTAATCCTTTTTTTTCCCTTATTAATTATTTTGTATGCCTGTTTTTTGGAGCTAAATGTTTACTGATGTATTACGTTTTTCTTAGTTTTTATTTTGAGGCATACCTGATAGTGGTTCTTTCTTTTTTGTATTGACTCTTTCAAGCGTCTCTACTTTTTTGGAGACCATAATGTTTAGCTATCGCTTCCTTATAGTTGATGCATTTTATGAGTGCAGGTGTTAAGGATGCCAGTGACAAAAAGATTCTTGTGGATATGTTGTTCTGGGCAGTGGACAATCCTGCACCTGCTAATTATTTGTTAATATCTGGTGATCGGGACTTTTCTAATGCTCTCCATCAGCTGCGGATGAGAAGATACAATATTCTTCTAGCACAGCCTCAAAGAGCATCTGCACCCCTCATTGCAGCTGCTAGGAGTGTATGGCTTTGGACAAGTCTTCTAGCTGGAGGACCTCCATTATCAGAGGGTGAATCACAACAACTTGGTAATAATAGTTATACATCAAGTTCAGACACTTTACAGATTCCAGTTTCTGATGCCATTCAGATAAAGCCAGCGATAGATTACTATACTGAAAATCCCCACATGGGAAATCAGAGAATTCCTTATAGTACTAAACAGAAAGGGAAAACCACACGAAGAAACTCGAGTCAAACAAATGGACCAAAAACATCAAATGTTCCTGTTTGGAGCCAAGAAGAGCAGCATGATTCAAACTCTTACCAACCTGGTTCTTCTGTGCCAAAAGTTCCCTTAAGTGGACCTGCTCCAGATTTCATTCCTGGAAATCCTAACTTTACTTGGAGTGAGGTCACTCATGTTCATGGTAACCATCAAAATCATTATACGCCACCATTAAGGCCAAAAGCTCCAGCTATGCAACCTGATTTTGTAGCATGTAATTTCTATCCACCTAATCTTCAAAACCATGGTCCGACTCCCAATGGGACTGCCTTTACCTCAGCGCCGCTTACAAGTGTGCCTGATATTGGTAACTCAAATATTTCTGGATACCCTACCAACTTTCACAACCCTCCAATTGCTCAAAGGCGAAATGGAGAGCAAAAACATGATCAAAAGAAAAAAGCTCCAAAGTCTGTAAACTTAAATAACTCACAAAATGGACATAAGACACAAAAGATGCCATCAGGATACCATGAGAAAATGAAGAATAGCTACCATAATGGTCCAGAATATTCTCCACCATCTTCATCATCAATGGTCACCAATGTTTCTCCTGTTAATGTTATATGGGGAACTCCAGGATGCCCACAACCTTCAGAATTTGTCCAAGGCCTTATAGGAGTTATATTACTTGCCTTGAACACCCTTAAAAGTGAAAAGATAATGCCGACTGAAGCAAATATAGCTGATTGCATTCGATATGGAGATCCTAAACATTGCAATACTGACATTAAGAAGGCTCTTGACAGTGCTATTGAGCAGCAGATAGTCGTGAAACAGAACTTAGGAGCTTTGCAGTTGTATGTTGGTAAGAATGAGAAACTATGGAAATGCGTGAACCCTATAGGCGGTAACATTAAGGAATATCCAAAAGCAAAATGGGATGAAATTCAGAAATTTCTGGCATCTCCAGCTGGACGATCTGCAATTCTTTCTTCTCACTGCAGGTAAAGCCTATCACTTTGCTTTGAGTAAGTTTAGCTGCCCAGGTTTCCCTTCTAACTGTGAAAATGCTCCTAAATTTCCTCTATTATGCAGGTATGAAGCTGCTACTATATTAAAGAGTATGTGCTTGAAAGAACTTGCTTTGGGTAATATACTACAAATCTTAAACATGGCAATTGCCACAAAGAAATGGATTATACACCATCCATCTGGATGGCAACCACTTACCATTACTGTTTCAGAGGCCAACACTGATTTTTGGTTGGCAGCAGATACAGGAGGGGGGAGTTGGGAATGATTGGTTAAGAGCAACGACAGTAGAGCCTTTAAAGGGGGGAGTTGGTGGTTTTGGTAGGAATAGTGGTCCTTGTTTTAGTTTCTCATTACTGGTAAAGGTCTAAAGTTATATCTTGAGGAAGATGCTTAAAGATTTACTTGGGGCCATTAGACAACCTTAATTAGGTCATAATGCCATACAATTTTCAGAGGTTGCAGGGATGCTAGTTGCCAATTTATCTTCTTTTTGCATTCAGGATCTACCCTGCAATATCCAGGTACTGCAATGATGGCCCTTAGTCATTTCTCTATCTCCTCTTACAACTTCATGGTTTTGCTGGGGTTTACTTTATTAGGTATCAGATATCCAAAGAAATATTGCTGGAAATATTTATTTTCCCCAGCATATGGATTCTTTAGCTGGTTATTTGATCATCCACTAGCCCTTTTAGCATTGTGCTAAGAGGGATTAAATTCATAATTTATTGCCTCAAACCATCCCTGTAGATGGTGTCCTTAATGACTCCAACCAAGTTGTACATGATCGAAAATTGGACTGAAATTGGTTATACGCTCGAAGATGAATCTGGAAACTTGACTAACTCGTGGAAACAGAAGATGCAAGTTATATGATTGAAAAGCATGAGGTTACACATCAATGAGTTGTATAACTTAAGAAATTATGTATAGTTGAGAGCATTTTTACTGAAACCAACGCATCCCTAGTGAGAATGATCATTTCAGATGAAAGAAGTAAGATAGGAATTGAGAACCCAAGCAAATGATGGTTTGTGCAGTGGACATACGATGCAATGATTATCTTAGTCCAGTGTGGATTGATTTGGTCATTGAGGTAGTGATATGTTCTTGTAACAGCTTTTGACAGTTAGGCTATGTTTGATGAGCCGTACTGGAATGTAATGCAATGTAATCAAAGGCATTTCTAGTATAATTACGCTAGGAAATGCCGTGATTATGTATTATATTACGTTCCATTGTGGTCCATCAAACATGGCCTTCGGCTTTTTATCTTTCTACTGTTATTAAAGATGTATGTATAAACCTCTAGAGCATGAGGTGACGTATGTTATAGAGAAGCTCTATGCATTTTCTTGTATCTGCTACCCTACTAGTTTTTAGGATTGTACAACGTGTTCTTTATTTGAATAAAGTAATATATAAGCTCCTTTTCTTCTGACTTATTTTGTTTTGAAAATGGGAAATAGATGCTGCCTTTTGCCCTATTTTTCCCCCCTCAGGATGTCACTGTAATTTTTGTTCTTTGTCATTATTCACACTGTTTTGCGAGGGTTTATGTAAATAGAGGCTACAGCTTTCGATCGACAAAGAGGCCATGTTTGGTTCCGTGCATGAGCACTGTTTATTCATCATTTGAACTGAATTAGTCATCATTTGAACTGAATCAAATTGATTTGCAATATTTTAACAAATCATCAAACTAAGGATATGTATCAAAATAAGGTGAAAAGAAAGGTGAAAATTTGAAGTTTGTTTCAGAACATGTAATGGTGAGTTTGTTCAGAACATGTGATGCTGTGGCAACACCAGTAATATGGACCAAGTACAAGGATTAAACGTTGAAAACATAAAAAAATGAAAAAATAAAAAGACGTAATTTCCAAATAGTTAAAAAATTAAATACCAGTTAAATGTCGTATGCGTTCTCATGCTTACATGTGTAAAAACTGGACATAGCGAGCCGAGTATGTAAATTAAAGAACTGTAAACCCGTGCTTTTGCAAACTCCTCCAATCAAAGCTAAGCGCAGATCCTTCATCGATGAAAACAGTCTCATTAGCTAAATTCCATTCTAAATTAAATTTCTTTCTGATGGTTCGCTTCTCAGGTCAGCCTTCAATCTTATTTTGTTTTTGTTCTGCTTTGGCGCAATTTATGTGATCTTTACCTTAAGCAAAATTTAGCGGTAACTGCGATGCTCTCTGCTTTGATACTTTCAAAGAGAATACCCAGATGGGTCAATCTAAAAACATTCTGTTCTTCAATTTCTTGCACTAATAGCATCCAAATCAATCCAGAAATCGATCAAAGTATAGAAAACAGCTTGGATTTTGAAGCAAAGATTCAATTTTTGAGGGATAAGCTATACCCTGATAGCTTAATCAAGGTTTTGAAGAGCACTAATGATATAAGCTCTGCTGTTAAGATTTTTAAATGGGCTTCCCTTCAGAAGCGTTTTAATCACACAGCAGATACGTATTATTGGATAATTTTGAAGTTGGGTATGGCTGGCAATGTAGGGGAAGTGGAGGGTTTTTGTCAAAATTTGGTAAGGGATGGGAGCCCAGGTGTAGATTATGTTCTTGTTTTATTAATTGAATCATTTGTGAGACATCGCAGGCTGAATGAAGCGATATGCATTCTTGTTAACATGAATTTGGGAGGTTACAAGCCTTCCATTAATATATTTAATGTTATTTTGGGAGCTCTCGTAGAGGAAAGGAGAGGTTTCCAAGAAGTGGTCTTTGTTTACAAGGAGATGGTGAAAGCAAGAGTGGCACCTAATGTTGATACTTTGAATTATCTATTGGAGATTTTGTTTGAGATTGATAAGGTTAGTTCTGCTTTAGATCAGTACAGGAGAATAAACAAGAAAGGGTGTAGTCCTAATTGTAAGACTTTCGAGATAGTTATTAAAGGTCTTATTTTGAATAAACAAGTTGATGATGCCATTATTATTTTGGATGAGATGCAAAAAGTTGGCTGTCTGCCAGAGTTGAATTTTTATACATGTATAATACCTTTGTTTTGCAGGGAAAATAAACTGGAAGAGGCAATTAGGTTGTTTAGGATGATGCAAACCTCTAATTTGGTTCCAAATTCATTTATTTATGAGGCTCTGATACAATGTTTGTGCAAAAACCTTCAGTTAGATGATGTGTTAACGCTTCTTGACAAGATGGTTCAAAATTGTTTGACACCAGATAAGAATGTTCTTGTGGACATTGTAAATGGGTTTTGTAGATTAGGAAAGATTGACAAGGCTGTGAAGTTCTTGGAAGATAAACTCATACTTGAAACTTCTCCACACAATGCGTTGCTTGAAGGTTGTTGTGATGCTGGTAGATTTTTTCTGGCTAAAGATCAGCTTGAGAAAATGTCTAAGAGAACTGTAGCTGATTGTGATTCTTGGAATATCTTAATCAGGTGGCTTTGCAAGAAGGCAGATGTTAAGAAAGCACATGAACTTCTTGGGAGGATGATCGTATCTTCACTGGTTCCCAACTGTGCCACTTATTCAGCTCTTGTTATTGGTCTGTGTAGGTTAAGCAAGTTTGAAGATGCTCTACAACTCTTCCTGCAATTACAAGCCAAATCCTGGGTTTTAGATTCTCTATCTTACTCTGATCTTATTGAAGGACTTTGTAGGGTAGAAAAGTATCTAGAGGCTACCGAAGTGTTTCACTACATGTTTTCAAATAGATGTCCCCTCCAGTCATTCTCATTTAGTTTGCTGGTCAAGGGTATCTGTAACAAGGGAATGGTTAATGAAGCTGTCAGCCTACTGCAGATGGCTTTTGATTCTGGTATTTCTTGTGACAATGCAACTTACAATAATATCATGCTTGGCTTATCCAAAACAGACGAAGGAAGAAATCTTCTAGTGTTTCTCTCACAAATGCTGGTTAAGGGCTGCAATCTTGATGCAGAAGCGTATTGCATTCTGATAAAAAGCATGATTGCACGGAATCAAATAAAGGATTGTGCTTTAATTTTCAATACTATGATTAATGAGGGTTTGGTACCTGACTCAGACATGCTGCATAATATGTTATCATGTTTCGCTAATCATTCTAAGTTGCATTTGATTTCATCTTCAATTGATAGACTTGTTCCTAATTCTGAAGTTCTGGATTCAACCATGTATAACATGCTGGTTAAAGGTCTCTGGAAAGAGGGCAATAAGAATGGAGCCCGTCAATTATTGGATTTGATGTTGGAGAAGGGTTGGATCCCTGATGCTACTACTCATAGATTGTTGATTGGATCTGTTGATAGGGTGGAAAGTGGAGAGAAAATGTTGACATATGAAAACTTTACCATTAAAGATAATGTTCTTGACATACTTGCTGAGGGCCTGGGAAAAACGTAAAATTGGCATTTTGATTATACCGACCGCTCAATTTCTTCTTTCAAGGAATTGAAATAGTTTTATCAATTCTTTTTTATGGCTGTCATGAGTAGTATGTGCATAGTGTAGATGTATTAATTCTATTAGTGATTTTTCTGCTGTATAAAATCTGTATTATGTACAATGATCTCAGACATTCCAAAGGCAACTGACTCAACCTCATTTTCAGGAATGGCAAGGGCTTTTGAATACTCTGCTTCATTTTTCTATATCTTAAATTCATTATTGATTAATGTGAGTTTAATCAGGAATTGCCAGAGCAAGTGCAAAGGGACATTTTGCAGTGTGCTGCCAGAGAAACTGGCAAGCTTTTGTAATAACCAGCATCCTTTTGAAACTTATTTATCCTTTCCATGTTGCTCAACTGTCAATTCCGCCTTTTGATGGTATTTAAAAAGGCTCCTCTATTTGTCATTAGTTATCTGAACATGTTGGAATCGTCGACTGGAAAATGACCGTGGGATGACTTCCAACCAGGTATGTCTTACTGCATATTATATTTATTGTATCAATTTATTTAGATTGTGTCTAGGTAGATAATTGTTTGAAGTGAATGATTTAAACGTGAGAATTACACCTGCATGCATTAACTGCTCTTTCTTCCATGCTGCCTGCTCTGCTGCTCATGCTTATTTGTGCCATGGGATTCAAGTTTCTACTTGGCTTTCGACCACTCGTTATAGTATGGATAGAAACTGATGTTGAAATTCCGAATCTTTCTTCATGAGAATTTTTGTAGTTTACTTGGCTAGATCCTATTAAAAGTGAGTGGTAATTGATTTCAAATCCATGTTTTTTAAACTTGAGAAGTAGGTAGATATGGCATTTTTGGATCCAACTGAATTGTATATTGTTCTTGAATTATCATGCTGTAGGGTGCAGGTGCTTCATGATGAGGAAAAGATATGGCAACAAATTGATTGCAATTCCCATAACAGAGTGATATTATAGAGGCTTTTTTGTGTTTTCAGTGGAGTTGAGCCGTCTGATCCATTCAAGCTCAAGGTCTCACATATAAACAACGGGTCCCCCATTTTCTTGTTGTGTCGTCTACACGTGAACACCACACCGGTCATTCATTTCTTTTAATTTAATTCCTCCGTATTGTGTATAGTTTGACTTCCACTTGATGAAATGTTTCAAGTTACCAAACTCTTATGCTGGATTTTGTATGCTGAATTTATATAAAAACATAAAAGTAGTGGATTCGCCTCACTTCATTTATTTTGCAAGAAACATTGCCTCCATTAAAACGACAGGTTCTCTTTTCTACTGTCGTCTATACAAAATTTGAACATGTAATTGGCACGCCCCTTTCAATACATTCAACAATCCCGATAGATGAGAAAAACTATTGATTGTGATGCTTCAGATTACAAATAAAATTATTTACAAGGGAAATTGGAGCTAATCAGAGTTGTGGAATCCTAGCTTCTATGAAAACAACTGCATTATATATACACACACACATATGAAAGGCTAGTGCTACAGGCTTTTTCTGTTTTTATGTGTTTCACCAGATACAACTTCATTCCCTATCTTTCCTCTTTCTTCCAATTCCCGGAATAAAAATCCAGATCTTTTCCTTCACTTTCCCTGCAAACTGCTTTTCTCACAATCCACTCAAACTCGAATCGCTGTCCGTGTTGTCCTTCCAACCACAAACTTTGCTGCATTTGACGGAATCTCCACCATCCTCACCAATAATAGTGTTAACAGTATTTACTATCACAAGGTAAAAACTGGCATTGGTCATTCAATTCATAAACAGGATATCCGGTCGGCATTCCTGCTGTTGTGAATCAATCAATTCAACGATCCTCCAGGAAAAAGCTTGATAGCAAAATGTTTCCACCAATAGGCAGTCCATAGAAACAAATTGTTCAAATAAGATGACAAACTAAAACAAGTCCAAGAAATCATTTGGTACACAATATGCTGGTCTTTTATTTATTTATTTATTTATTTTTTATTGGTGAGAAGCAGAAATTCCCACATCTAAGTGCATACAAGACTAGTAGCTTCATATTCAAGGCAGAACTCATGCTTAGCAAGCCACGATTTAGTGCACAAGGTAAATTGACAGTAAAGTTGGAAAATCAGTACCTTATTATTTCAGAATTAAAAAAAAAAAACAAATTTCAAAACCAGGTCTGACTTTGAATCTCTGACATTTATGCCCATAACAGCTCATAAACGATATAGGATGGGCAACTGGGCATGCACCTTAATACACAAACCAGCCTTTTATCCCCTTAAGTTCAACATAAACACCAGGAAAATAATCTCAGAAGGATTATTTGATGTTTTCTTCAGGATTAGCAGTTTCTCTGTCAACATTAGGAATTCTAGGTCAATGAGCACGATATGGACTTATAAACTGTGTTCATGAAGCACTATAAGAGAAAATTTCCCATCTGCAAAACCCTGTTTATTTAACAGCTAACCTTGTTTACCAATAAACAGAAAATGCATCTGCTCAAGAATCCAAGTAGTACAAACATAACATGGAGAACAATGTATTAGCCTCCAAATGATGATAAGTACACAACACAAGCATCCTCACGAGAGAAACTGGCGAATAGGGGGAAAAATGAGGAAGAATGAGAAGATTTTATTGCTATTGAATATGAATGCACACTACCTAAAAACATACAAAAGGGTGCTAGTAAGAGATTGAAATTGGCTAGAAAAGTTTGATCATAAGACAAGAGCATGTACCCTGATCAATTATACATAAAGACGCAATGCACAGAGAAATAAAAAATTTGTACTTCTTTTGACGCAGAAACTTTGCCTTGTATTACAGAAAAATCCTGAACTGTGACGCCATGAATTCCAATCATTTAGCAACCGACACCTCTGCAAATCAAGCATTTATAATCAAGAAACATTATTTTGCAAATTCACATTGACCATTGAAAACCAAAAATATATACAATGAAAACGGCAACAATATACAATAACCAAAATGGAGTATGTACCTAGGTTTTAGCTGGACAAATGAAGAAGAATCCTCATGGGTTACGAGGAAGCGAATTGACGCCCTCTGGTTTAACACTAACATTACTCTGACTACTCGGCTTCTTCTCAGTGTTATTACCATTATCAAGACCTTTTTGAAGATGTACAGAACTGTTATTGTTGGCAATTCCATTGTTCTTGCCAATTTCCGTTGAAGCAATTCGCTCAACATTCTTAGGTGACCCGATGATAACAGTGCCATCAATGCCATCTCTTTCTCGTTTCCCCAAATTCCCAGATCCGGAAACCTCCACGGACTCCACTTCTTTTCTCTTTGCAACTAGCGCCACGTTTTCTAATGCCTCCCTGGCTCTCTTTCTACAAACAGCCGCCTCCCTCACTCTCCTTTCAGCCTCCGCCCTCGCCACGACCACCGCTTTCGCCATGGAGCAAGCCGCAATCTTCGCAGCGCATAGAAGGACCGTTGCCATTTTCTTATCAATCGTCCGATTATTAGTTTTATCGAGGTGGAAGAAGGAGAAATTAGGGTCGGCACAAGGCGGGCAAAGGAAAGCGAAAGAAGGAGATTGAGAGGGAGCGCAATGAGAGTGGGTAAAGGAGGAGCAGTTAGAGCAAGAGAGGCGTTTGGAGGGAGGAGGAGGAGTAGTGTCGTAGAATGTAAAACACAAAGGGCAGAAAGAGGCAGGGTGGAGCCGGAGGACACAGCAGGTGCATAGGCGGCGATAGATACCTCGAAGGCGGACGTGGTGGAGGAGCCAGGTTTCTTTGGACCTGCAGTGGCTGCAATCTCCTGCGGTTGGATTTGCGTCGCTGTTGACGCCAGCGGTTGTATTGGTTTTCGATGTTATTGGGATATTCATTTTGAGAAATTGCAAAGAAGAAAACGAGACAGTCAGAATTTTTTACTTAAGAAAAGGAGCTTTAGGGTTTCATCCGGACGCGGTGGCAACGCCGATGGTGGTGGTGGTGACTGCGGCTGTTTGTCTCGGAACCGAGGGGTTTATGAGAGATTTTCAACTCGCAGCTGTAAGAGACATTTTAGAGGGCGGACAATAACCAATTCGGAATAAAGCTTTAGCCCATGATCAAACGACGTCGTATATATTCACTAGTTTTGCAAAATTGGTGAAATCTGAAAGTACTATTGATTTAAATGAATTGGAAGTATGAAATTCATTTAGAACACATTCGAATTAAAATTAATCACACGAATTTTTATGTTTTGTATTATATTAATTTAAAATGAAAATTACAATGTTTGGTATAATTTCATAATTGAAATTTATTATTCTCACTTTTTAAACATCTACACTCAATGGTAAGAGAAAAAAAAAAAAAACCTAATAAATTTATAAAAATTAACAAATATATAAACTAATAAACAATATAGTATTAACAAATTATAAAAAAAATTCACATACCTCGTATAAGATGTTTATATAAAAATATAAACAATGTCATTGATAAGTGTATAATAAATTTATTAGAAGGTTAATATAAATAGAAAGCAAATTTCTGATTTCCAAAATGGGTTTAATAGGAGCATTTTAATATAAAAAAATCTTAGTCTTAATTTTATGGAACCTATACAAATTTAGATTTTAGCAATAACCAATTTCATGGGATCGAATTCTTCTTTTCCTTTTCAAACCACTAATGAAATGAAATATAATTAAATGCATTTATAGTATAATATTTACACTAGAAATGCATTTTATTATATTATATCATATTTAAATTTCATCAAGGTTAACCAAATGTAAATGTAATACTATAATATAAGGTAAAAGCATTCAAACATTTCACATCAAATATAAGAAAACCACTTTGTTAGAAAGAGACATGTTGATTTTGTACATAGGAAAGTTACTCAGAGGCCTCTTATCTCATCTCAAACAGAGTCGCTTCCTGTGAAAGCCTCAGGAGCACAAAGTCTCTGCCTTGCTTAAAATTGGAGCTACGTGTTTGAACTCTTCTCTACTAACTAAACTGTAGATCACACCAGTGAGAAGCATATAAATGGACACCAGCCTGCCTTTTTACCCCCTACACCAACAAATTTTGACAACTAATACTAATATGTCTACATCAAGCTAAAACTGATTCCCTAGCATTATTGTCACCTTTTTTTGCATGCTAAGCAAGAACACAAGTTAGGAATACATCTAACAAAGAATACCGGCTACCGAGAAACACTACTGTAGAATGCTACAAGTCCCATGGGTTATATTAGGCAAAACGGTGCAGGCTTTTTAGTGATGACTTTGGGCCCCCTATGACACAGTTGTTGCATGTACACAGTCTGATGCCTCTGGTTCTTGGATGTCATCTCTATTGATGAGACATAAGAGCATTAACGTTGCCAGTACAGATTCTGACAAACATGAGAGAATTTGATTAGTTGAATACTTGAATTGCAGACAGATTAAATCTAAGGAATTCCAAAAGTCGTCTTAAATTATGCAGAACAAGTGTATGTTTATATAGGGAAGGGGAAAAAAAACAACAGCGAAGAATCAGAATCATCTTGGCCAGTTTCTTGACCAAAATACCAAAATTTTAGATGCCGCCAGTAGCATGGATATGTTGGTCTATATTATGTACAGCAGGAATTGCATATGAAAAGCAGTACCTAGAAAAGCAATTCAATTTCTGTGCACAGTGACTTTAAAATCGTGCATATTTATAGGATCAAACAAGAAAAGCATTCGTCCTATGTGATCAAATAATGTGAAGCAAGTTAAGGTGTCCCAGATCATTTTTATTATAAGATTAATCATGTTCAAATAACTAACAGTCTAATACTTACAGTGCCTAACACTTTACAGAAGTTCCTCCAACATTACGAAAGCTCTTTGCAAGTGGATTTGTTGTGCCCCAGACCCTTGCATCTACTGCACTGCAGCTGGCGTTTAACTACATCATGTGGTCCACATCTCTTTGAAGTGGGGCGACCTGGAGGACGACGTGTTGGAGGAGGGGTTACGGTTACTGTAACCTGAGAAGAATCTTTCTGGACAGGCCAGTCCACATTTGGTATGGGGTGGACTGATTCTGAATAAGTTAATCTGTAGCTCTCAGTTGTGAAATATCTTGAGCAATATTCGTATGGACTCCTTCCAATACAAGTAATGACAGAAATAGCATGGCAGCAAGGTAAACCAGTAAGCTGCCACCCTTTGCAACTACAATCCCAGTGGTCAATATCAACCACTTCTACTGATTCACCACGAACCTCAAATGTGCTACCAGCTGACAGTAGCACTTGCAGTTGCATGGAACGGGCTTTTAAGCTCTCCTTTTCAAGTTTTTCCTCCATAGATGGAGTTAACCTTGTCATCCACAAGTCAGATTCTGCCCGCTGTGTGTAGATCAACTCCATAATCTTACCCCGTATTGCATCAACCATCTGAGTTATTGGTAACTCGTGAGCATCTGATGCCCAACTATAGAACATCTCTCCAAAGTTAGATGTCATATGATTATATCTTGCTCCCTGAAAAAATGCATTTGCCCAATTTTGTGGCTCACTTTTTATGATCCAATCATAAGCTTCTACTGAAATGCTTTTGATACTTTCAATGCATCTGTGGAAGACTTCAGGTCTAGGTGCATAAGCAGCAGAGTAGAAGTCCTCAACCATCAACCGCTTCACCTCGTGAGAAAATTGTCCCTTCAAGTCCCGAAAAAGTTGCTCAGTCAAGTACCGAAGGCAATAGCCATGGTATGAACCCTTAAATACATTGTCAATCGATTCCTTAATGGCCTTCTGTCTATCAGCAACAAATGTTATGGGACAGGAGGTTGACAGTGCAGTTTTCAATTGCAGTAAAAACCAATGCCAGTTCTCATCAGTTTCTGCGTCTACAACAGCAAATGCCACAGGAAATACACCATCATCCCCATCTGCAGCTGTTGCAGCTAACAATGTGCCTTGATATTTTGACTTCAATGGTATGCTGTCCAGAAAAAGGAGAGGCCTGCAACCTTGAAGAAAACCATACAATGAGGCGTGGAATGAGACAAATAGACGCTGAAAACTTGAGTCTTCCTTAGTGCTGAAAGTAGCAACACTGCCTGGATTAGTCTCTGCTATCTTTTCACAGAACAGTGGCAACTGATTATATGCCTCTTTATATGAACCTTGAAGCTGCTCCTTTGCAATTTCTTTTCCACGCCACGCTTGAAAATAGTTTAGTTGGATGCCATACTCTTGTTTGATGTCATTGACAATATCCTTGGGCTTGTAATTTGGAAAAACTTTCAATTTTTCCTTAATGATGCTAGCCACCCAGCTCCGAGTTGCCTGATGCCCTGTTGTCACTACAGACCCTTCACATGTATGGGTTGCATTCATCTTTTTAATACAGATTAGTTGAGTAGTTGACAATCTTGATGCATGAATTCTCCAAGGACAACCTTCTGCTTTGCATTTAACAGTTACACGGTGACTATCATTCTTCTTATACCTAAAGGCAAACTGATGTGCAATGGCATATTTACGCAATGATTCACGAAATTCATGAACGCTACTAAATCTTTGACCCACCCCAGTAATAGTATTCTGCCACTGCTGTGCACCTTTAGCATGCCTCTCATCAGTGGAATCAACAAGAGGAAGAATGGGTGAAATGTCAAGTGGTTGATCAAGCTGTGCCTCATCAATATGAACACTAACATGATCAGTATCAACTACAACATCAAGAGGCCCAGTAAGATGGATAGCAGATTGCAAGGTATCATCTACAACCGCATCCACAACAGCAACAGGTGCATCAACAGGAGGCACTGCTTCGGACAAAGTTGTTCGGCTTGATCTACAAATAAAGTATTACCAAAGTTATGCCAATCATCCAAAAACAACAATATATTTAAGCTTAGATAAGGAGAAGACAACCTACTGGCGGGCAAGTTTGAGACATCAGGCAGAACAATATCTTCCAATATTACATAAATATCAGTGGTGACAGAATCCCAGTGAAATTTTAACATCCGCTTCAGGTCCTTGTCATTGGATATAGTAATTAGAGTCTTCCTATTGCCTGGCAGAAAGTATTTGAGAGACATGTTATTGATGCTACAGTTAAACATTTCAGCCACTTCCGTCTTGAAGTCGTTAAACTTCATTTGGTCATCAATATCTATAGCATGAGCATCACCACCTCTGTAGGATAATGAACCATCCTTATTAGCCTCAAATTCACCACCAAGCTGGCAAATTGCTATTAATTTAGTCTCCGCCATAACCTACTCCAGAATGAATGAGAAACAACTTCAAATCATTCAAGGCAAATAAAATTCACATAATGCCTTAAATATCATCTACTAACAAGTCATAAATGCTCATTAAACAAAACATTGATATTACAATGGAGCCCATATATGGTATACAGATAGAAACAAACAACTTTTACTCAGAAACTCCACTTAGCCGTAGTACAACAAGAAAAAGAGAACTGAAATGAGAATCTTTTTTAACTTTTCCGAATTGTCAGGCAAAAAGCAAAATCAACCAACCCATAATTGGTAAAGAGAGAACAAATTCACCATCTTTGCAACAAGCACAAAGAAATCCTGAATCAACAAGGAGCTCAAAAAATTCATCTTTTTTCTTTCTCAGACTCAAATCAACAGAGAACTGATAAACCACCTCTGAAATTCGAATGACTATATACCCACATCCTAAAAAAAACCGAAAAACCAAATCCCCTGAAAATCTATTTCAAATTCAAAACCGAAATTTAGTGACCATTCGGTCCACCAACCAGAAAACATAGCAGAAATTTCACCAAGAGCTCCCAAAAAACAGAAAACCCTAAATTTAAGAAAACCCTAGAGGATGGGACCAACATGGAAATTGACTTGCAAAATAAAAAATCGAGTACAGAACGAAAGCTGTTACCTTTAGTTTTAGATCAGGAAAGAGGAGAAACAAGAGTTTAAATTCAGAGTTCTCAAAATCCCAATTTAGCAAAATATCTGTAATAACGTATTTGGATCGAAATTGGGGTCTCACCTAATTACCTCGAGAGAGGCTACATGGAGAGAGAGAGAGTGGCGTTTGGGTATTCGAATAAGAGCCTACCAGCAATCGAAATCTGACTTCGTTAACAGGTAGGGGATGCTCATGTGTTTCTCTGCCAATTGTTTTTGTTACGGTTCGTACTTTTAGCTACATGGGTGGTGGATTCGGGTGCCACGAATGCTCTCCGTACGGATTCCAATGATTTGGGGCCTACTTCGGTGGGTCCCTTCCTACTACGATTTGAAATTTGATTGTTTGATGATGAGTTGCAGACAAATCACATTTTTTATTTTTGGTTCTTCCAATGTAGTCCAACTAAATTCCCCTTTCCCTTATGGATTTGTTAATTTGCCAATTTATGAATCAAACAAAGGTTCTAATGTGTTATGGGTTGGTAATGCGTTGCACTCTTTGCTAAATCTTAATTATTATTCTTATTTAAATAAAAATATATTTTCTGACGAATTTTATTAAAATTTTAAAATTTAATATTGTTTAAAATTTTTTTTTTAAATATCATTTTAATTTTAGGGATTAAATTTAAATATTTATTTCACATTAAAAGAAGAATCTAATCTAAATTTTAAAAATCATTATAGAGTACCAAAAGTTGAAATATATAAAAATCATTAACAGTGAATTATATATTGAATTTTTTTTTAATTGGAATTATTTTTAAATGATTTAAAATGAAAAGAAAATTAGGAGAGGTTTGTTTTGTTTTTGGCCTCTTTCATTTAGACAAAACAAAAGCGCCAATGTTATGGGAAAATATTTAATAGAAAGAAAGCTACTTCATGAAAGTAAACTTTGCAAGGATACAACAATAACCAGAGCTTTATTCTAGAAGATTTTTGCAAATTTGAATCTAGGTCCGATTTATAGATCCACCAAGAATCAAACCTATGGAAACAAAGATTTTTCAAAAATTATTTTTTTATCCTCTTTTTTTTTTTCTTAATGAATGGTAAAAAATCCTCTTGTTTCAAAAACACATTATTTTAAATTGATTTGATCCACAAATGACATAAATTGGGTTCCAATCCTTGTAACCGTTATGAGTCCATCTAAACCGACTAAAACCAAAATAGGGAGGAATTATTCCATTTCTGATTCGATTCAAATCATTGGGTGGGTCTATTTAGAGGTGGGTTTCCTTGTCATACAACTCCAGAGTTTTACTAATAGATAATGCCAACTTTAGATGGTTATATCAGTTAATATAGCATATTCCATGGGAATATTCAGGTCCCGACACTCTCATGTCATATAACAGATTATTTCTCTATGGAATCTTATAGTTATGATCATAAAAATCACAATCATAACAAAACAACAGAAGGGCGTCCACTGGCCAGCTAAAGCACAAAGGGAATGATCCAATGAGAACAGCATTTGTAGCACAAAAAAGAGGCATACAAGAAAAGCCATAGTTAGGCAAAATTCTCCTGCCTATAAATGAGAGAAGTCATTTTATTTACACAGTTTTAATTCTTCATAAGTTAAAAATGGAAGCTAATACATTTACAACATTGCTTTCGGGTACAACAGACAAGTTGATAAAACTCAAAAAGGAAACGCTGCAGTTTTGATGCAGGCGAAGGCGATAGAGAGAGGTTTGGGGTTCATGGTACCAAAACCATGACCACAGGCGAAGGAGACAGAGAGGTTCATGGTACCGAAACCATGACCACTGGCCAGCGACAATGGCTGTTATTCGTTGGAATACTTCTAGTATCTCCCACTGAACTACAAACAAAGAGAAAGTACAGGTTACAAATGCAACTTAAAGCAAATCACATCCCATATGTTTCATCACAATTATAAAACAGACTTTAGATTGAAATACAAAAAGACGTTTCATTTATTCAACAATTAATAGCAAAGATGCTTTCTTCGTTGCAAGAACCAATTGGAAAGCATACATTGGATATCTTAGGGTTATACTCACAGTTGACAATGCCTTGTATATGATGATTATGTACAATAAATGAACCTCACAAGGAAGTTGTTCCTTTTTCTTCTTTACAGAAGAGGGAGAATCAGAAAGGGGAAGTTCAGAGGGAATATTATGCTACTAGGAACTTGTCAAAATCAATACATGAGTGAACTGAACTATCTAACTAATAAGTGGAGATATATGAACCTAATCGAACTGGACCACTATAAATATTTTCAACAATATTGCAACAAAAAAGAAAAAAAGCTTCTATTTTCATTTGTGAATTGTTCAATTTGGCCATCTTGAGAACTGCCTCTAATAACTCTTGCTGCAAAGTGTTATATCACATTTTAAAAAGCCTTGATCTTGCAGATGACAACAAACCATTAAAGAGACAGTTGTCATTTTCCTCATTCTGAATCATTTAGGCAAAAGCACAAAAAATTGGAATCAAGTCTAAATCAGAACCAATTGACTAGGGATTGAAACAGCTTATAGATCATCTGAATGGTTGAAAGCAAGGCATACCTCTTCAATTAGGGAGGGAGACATGCGCAAGTGAAGCCATCACTAACAAGTTCCTTAATCTTATCCCTGAACTTGTAATAATCCTCAACTTTGTTGTAGACCTGATAAGAAATCCTAGCGTACCCAGTAATAGGACTAACCTCTCCATCTTTTGGATCCCTAAAATAAATTGGAACTTCAATCCCAAACTTATCCCTCAAATGGGTCCTTAAATTCAAAGCATCTGATTCACTCAAAATCCCCAAACAAGCAGGTAATCCAACCATGATCATACTCCCACACATCTCAGGTGGGCAACCAAGATGAGTCCCCCAAGCTTTGACCAACATCTCTCCCATGTCCACCACTCTCTCATGATTCCTTTTCTTGATTTCTTCAATCCCACCTGGAAATCTATTGATGAATTCCAAAACTGAAGGAACTACTAATTGAGCGCTATAGTCTCTATTTCCAATCCAAGCACTCTCCATAGCCAATCCATTACCATACTCGTAAGAAACCACTGGATGATGCAAATCATCATCTCCTTTATTACTCCACTTTCTGCAATACAAAAAAGCAACAGAAGCTGGGCAAAAAAACCATTTATGCAAATTACTAGTATAAAAGTCAGCCCCAATTTCTTTCATGTCAACATCAACACATCCGATTCCATGAGCTGCGTCAACGAAAACCTGGTCTACAAATTCCTCTCTACAAATCTTAACCAAATCTTTAACGGGAATCACCACACTAGGCATGGAAGTCACGTGATCAATTACAGCTAATCTCACTTTCCTCCCATTCTCTTTCCCTCTCTCCAAAGCCTTTCGAAATTCAGTTACAATTTCCTCCCTCGATTTCACCGGAAACGGCAACTGAACTTCGATCACATGTCCACCAGCGCGCTTGACGTAAGCTTCAACGGACTTTTTCACAGAACCGTACGCATAGTGAAGCATAACGACACCATCCCCTTTATTGAATCTGCCTTCAGAAAAGTCCCTAGCTATTTTCTGCAAAACAATAGCAGCGGCGGTTGTTGCGTTATCGACAAGGGAGACTTCATCAACATGGTCAGCGTTGATTAGGGATTTAACGATGGATCGGGAGCGGAGGATACCGGGCTTGAGGTGGTTGAAGTAAAACTCGTCGGGCTGGCGGAGGAAAAGGAGTTGCAGTGATCTTTGGGCGGAAATGACAGACTGTGGACAGCTGCCGAAGCTGCCATTGTTGATGCGGGCGACGTCGGGGTCGTGGTGGGAGAATTCCGACTGAATTTCAGAGTCTGTGATATGAATTGGGGAAGAAAGTTTAGGCTTTTTGGTTACGATGGTGGTGGAGTTGCAGCGGTCGCCATTCAAGGTGTGAACTTTATGGTTGTGATTGGCCATTGTAAGGGTTGTTAGGGTTCGGAGATGAGCTGAGATGACACAGATAAGTGATTTTTAGAATAAAAATTGAGACTTCCATTAACAATAATTGAATCAATGAATATGCTCCACTGTGCTGCCACTCGCACCATTTGCTAATACTAAATAATTTTCCTTCTACTTTTTTTTTTTTTTTTTTCAAAAAAAGATGATCTTTCCAAAATTAACAATAATTGAAATTCAAATTGAATATGTCCACTCGTAGGCTGCCACTCGCACCAATGTTGCTAATACTATAATAACATTTTCCCTTCCTACTTTATTTTTTTTTTTTGAAAAAAACTATTTTTTTTTTTTTTTTTTTGAAAAAAACTAAAATATCATATGCAATTAAATAGGATTTCAATCGATAACTTCCATGCTACTGATGATAAAACAAGTTGTCTAAAAATAATTTACAAGTAGGAAATCTCCTCTTAAATGTATTAAAAAATAAGAAGAAAATTTCAAATATGTATTAATTCATTTTCTATATATTAACATCATGATGAACCACAGTATGCATTCTCACATTATTAATTTTATACATATTGAATTAGCTTTAATATAATAACAATGATCTTAGATAAGACATTAAATTAATTTTTAATATATGGATATGCGATTAGATCAATGAGAGTAGACAAGCTCAAAACTTTAATATAATTGTTATAAAAATATAAATCTATCCTATCCATGAGCAAAATAATTCTACTTCAACAAAAAAAATAAAAAAATTATAATAATATTACAATTTCATTATAATTGTAATTTTTTTTTTTTTTTTGAAAGGGACAATTTCAATTATAATTTGTTTAATTTTTTTTTTTTTTTTGGAAAGGGTTCATTTTATAATTGTAATTAACATTGATCCATGAACAAAAGGGTAATTGTAGAGATTTGTGCGTTATTGGTTAGGTTCCATTCCATCTTTCTATATGTTCAAATGGCTTATTAACAGCAATTTTGTTTTTCGTTAAAGCTTTTCTTATCTCCTGTATATAACAATTCTATCTATACTTTTTTTTTTAGCCTTCAAACTTATTCTAAAATTTATTTATCATTTCAATTGTGTTGTCTTTTACTTTTTTTTTATATTGTGGTGGTTTTATATAAGGGTCCACATATTAAATCTTGTTTTATTAGAATATATGTCTATGACCATTATCCAATTTCTGCAGATGTTTCTCATTTCATCATAGTGAGAGAACTCCATGACAGGCCAACCTTTTTTTAAATTAAGGACAAAAATCATTCAAACAGGTATCTCTGAACTTTTTATGTTCTTGCTTTTAAATCCTCTACATTGATGAAATGTTTTATTGCAGCCCCCTTAAACTTTTTAATTTCTGCATACAATTTCTAAGAGGTTAATTTTAAACTAAAAAAAATATTATTAGTATAATTGGAGCTAATTATCATAGATATTTTTTAACAAGCATTAAGAAGTTCATAAGAACTGCTAAGGAGAAACAAAAATGGTCTGTACCATTAAGCATAAATGAGCACCATTCGCGCATGTGAAACCAGGAAGGTTATAACAAATAATCTATTCTTAAAATACAGCATTACTGAACATTCATGGCTCTTATTACTAAAAATGGAAAATAAATCCTCTTGAAAAGACTAATTCTTCCTACAAAAGCCCTCTCTCAGGATGTAACTCCACATCAAATTTATACTCAGTATTTGCTCAGGTAGAGGAAATAGGATCAGTCTTTGCTGATCAAATTTTTTTTTTTTTTTTGAAAGGGTCATTATAATTGTAATTAACATTGATCATGAAACAAAAGGGTAATTGGTAGAGATTTGTGGTGGATTAGGTTCCAATCCCATCTTTCTATATGTTCAAATGCTTATTAACAGCAATTTTGTTTTGTTAAAGCTTTGTCTTATCTTCTGTATATAACATCATCCTATATTTTTTTTAGCCTTAAACTATTCTAAAATTTTATCATTTCAATGTTGTCTTTACTTTTTTTTATTTTGGTTTTATTAGGTCCACCATATTAAATCTTGCTTTTATTAGAATAATGCTTGACATTATCAATTTGCAGATGTTCCCATTTCATCATAGTGAAAGCTGACAGGCAACCTTTTTAAATTAAGAAAAATCATCAACAGGTTCTTGAACTTTTTATGTTCTTGCTTTTAAATCCTCTACATTGATGAAATGTTTTATTGCAGCCCTTAAACTTTTTAATTTGCTACAATTAAGAGTTAATTTAACTACAAAAAATATTATTAGTTATGACTAATTATCAAGATATTTTTCTGGCAAAAGCATAAAGAAGTTCATTAAGACTGCTAAGGAGAAACAAAAATGGTGTACCTTAAGCATAAATGAGCACCATCGCATGAACCAGAAGGTTATAACAAAATCATCTTAAAATACAGCATACTGAACATTCATGGCTATACTAAAAATGGAAAATAAATCCTCTGAAAAAGACTAATTCTTCCACAAAGCCTTCTCAGGATGTAACTCCACATCAATTTATACTCAGTATGCTCAGTAGAGGAAATAGGATTCATGTCTTTGCTGATAGTGCGGCATTTTGTCGAACAATTAACGGGCAACAACTTAAAGAATTTATGATTCAGAAATGGAAGGGAAAGCCAATCACTAGAGCTGAGATGACGAAAGATAAAGATGGAGATCACCTTAAAAGAACTGAGAACATAAGAGTACGAGACGAAATGTGAGAGCTTTATATTTATATCTATTTACTTATGCTTTCTAATAATAATAATATCTATTCTCTGTAGGAAACTATATTTTTAATGAATTTCTCAAATTTAGTTATTCAAAAGCATATTCTTCAATGAGCAGTAGCAGGTAGATTACCAGGCAGGAGCTTATTTTGGGATTATTTACAGTACAGATATCGTGTATGTCTACGTCTTTCTGAAACTTCCAAGTAATTTCTACAGCCATGGTCCATCACAAGAAAAAGAAGAAAGAAATCAGATTATCAGATAACAATAGACATCCCTTTCAATACGCAATGGAAATTTCGTTTCTGCAGAATTTTGTCACATAATGAGTAAATGCACTGCTGAAACTTGAAATTTTGTGTTTTGTTTTGTAGTCCATTACCGTTTTGTAGTTGCTTGAACATGGCCAAATCAAAGCTTGCACAGTTGCACGCGCTAGAATATACGGAGAGTGATAGATACAGATCATTTTTTATTATTTATTTTTTTCGAAATATTTTATCTAGACGGGATATTTATATAGACACTTCGTTTAACACCACTGCTTGAGGGTCTCTTGCCAGTCTTGAGGAAATATATTTCTTCAACTCCTTCACTCTTTAGACTGCTTCTATTGCATCTCAGGTCAGGTTTTTACTTTTCAAGTACTCTATATCTTCATCACTGCATGAAAAAATTGTGATCAGAGCATAAATTTCAATTATTGATTGTATAGATATGGTAGTATTTTTATCAATTATTTTTTTCTCTTCAAGTTCTGATAGCGTTATTGTTTTGCTGCTGCTTGCTAGCTGGTTTGGTTTCTTATGCGATGTCTCTTTTATGAGTTTCATTTTTTTTTTTTTTCCTGTTCTAATAGAAATGAGTATCATTGGCTTTTCTTGCAGCTGAATCCTTTTCCCATCTTTCATTGCATTAATTTACAGAAATATGAGGAATCGAATTCTGTCGGTGGCCTTTTGTTTATGGGCTTCGGCATGGCTACTTCTTCCTGCTGGTTCTGATGGTCTAATGAGAATAAGTTTGAAGAAGCGTCGTCTGGATGTTGATAGCATTAAAGCTGCAAGAATTGCAAGGGAGGAGGGAAAATCAAGAATTGGTGCAAACAACATGCTTCGCAGTTCAGATATCCATATAGTACCACTTAAAAACTATTTGGACGCTCAATACTATGGAGAAATTGGTATTGGCTCACCACCACAGAACTTCACTGTCATATTTGACACAGGAAGTTCCAATCTCTGGATTCCATCTTCAAAATGTTATTTTTCTGTGAGTTCTACTGAGATATATTGGCTTCCCTGTTATCCTGAAAAACCAGAATCAGATATTGACTCATAATTATTACCTGCAGCTTGCCTGTTATTTCCATTCTAGGTACAAGTCAAGTCGGTCCAAAACATATGTCCAGAATGGTAATAAGATGATCCCCATATTTTTCATTTCTATGTGTTTCGTTAGATTATGTCAAATTGTTCTTTTCCAAATGTGATTCAGGAACATCTTGTGAAATACAGTATGGATCTGGATCAATTGCTGGCTTCTTTAGTCAAGATAATGTTTTAGTTGGAGATCTTATTGTCAAGGATCAAGTATGTTCCGATCCATATAAGTGTATCTTTTGATAACCCTTTATCTCTGGCAACAACAATATACGTCCAACTTTTTTATTTCAGGTTTTCATCGAGGCTACACGAGAAGGAAGCCTTTCATTTATCTTGGCAAAATTTGACGGGATTCTTGGGCTGGGGTTTCAGGAGATCTCGGTTGGGGATGCTGTTCCTCTGTGGTATCATTCTGACCATACCTCAGTCCTAACTTTTTCCATGGAAGACCTCATTATGCATGCGATTACAATTTTTTTCAATTTTCTGCTAATAGTGCATACACAAATTGATTCATGAGAAGACTGCAGGTACAATATGGTGCAACAACGTCTTGTAAGTGATGAGGTCTTCTCATTCTGGCTCAACAAGGATCCACAGGCAGCAGAGGGTGGTGAGATTGTTTTTGGAGGCGTTGATGAAAAACATTATATTGGGAAACATACATATGTTCCAGTTACCCAAAAAGGTTACTGGCAGGTCAGAAACAATTTATCTATAATTTCCTAATCAATTTGTTTCTCTCATATGTCATTTCTGGTGAAAAAACAAGGGCAAAAACAGATTATTGATGAACTTTTCCTTTTTCAGTTCACTATGGGAGATTTTCTAATTGGGCACCGGTCAACTGGTAGAACTTCATGAACCTGAACATAATGTACCATAAATATTTCGAATAATTCCATCTGTACTTGAATAAATTATTGATTTTCCAGGTGTTTGTGCTGGGGGTTGCTCTGCAATTGTGGACTCAGGAACATCCTTGCTTGCCGGTCCAACTGTAAGTTATGTCATCATTTCAACTTCCTTCAAAAGAAATGCCCAATATTCACTGATTATTGTTTTTGTGATACACTAATTGCTTTTTTAGGCTATTGTGACTGAAATCAATCATGCCATTGGAGCTGAAGGGATTGTAAGTGCTGAGTGTAAGGAAGTGATTACACAGTATGGAGAGTTAATATGGAATCTCTTGATATCAGGGGTGAGGCTGACATTTAATTTAGTCTTTCATTTTTTTTCTTCCGTATATATGCATTTCCAATGGAAGATATACTGAAATTTTATATTGTTTTTTTCAGGTACAACCCAGTAAGATATGTTCACAGCTTGGTTTATGCATTTTCCGTGGGTCTCAGTATGTGAGGTGGGTTATTTATCTTGACATGGCCATGACATTTTTGAATCTGCATTGCTAATATCCTTTCTTTTCTTTCCGGCCTCACTACGACCTTCAATTCTTAACATCAACATCTATTCCAATCTAGTTGAAATTGACTAAAATTGATCTTTCTTTAAAACTTCACCCCTTGTCATTGTTGGACTAGGTGATCTAGCTCTAGCCCATTTTAATGCTTTCCCTAGAGTATCTCAGATAAACTCTGAAAACATAATTTTGTACAGCCATGGGATTGAATCAGTGGTTGACAAGGAAAATATAGAGGGATCATCTATTGGGGATGATCTTCTATGCACTGCTTGTGAGATGCTTGTCATTTGGGTCCAGACTCAACTAAAACAGAAGGAGACTAAAGAGGCAGCACTCAACTATGTGAATAAGGTGACTTATTTTACACCCCAATAGCTGCTGAGAAACCAGTTTTTGTGTTTGTGTTGTTAATTTCTGGCTATGATCCTCCACAGTTATGCGACAGCCTACCAAGTCCGATGGGTGAATCAGTAATTGATTGTGATAGCATTTCTGGCATGCCAAACATTACTTTTACCATAGGAGATAAACCTTTCATTCTCACTCCTGAGCAGGTTTGTACCTTTCCTGACGTCTTATTACTTGATCATACTCTTTTTGAAGCATAGAAGTTAAAAAAATCAGCATGTTATCGCAAATTTTTAGATTATATTTTGTTAATGGAACGAGTAAATCTTATGTTCATAGTCGTAGTTGCTCAGTATATGAAAACAACCTCTCTATTTTGCAGTATATTCTGAAAACTGGCGATGGCATGACTGCAGTTTGCATCAGTGGGTTTACGGCCTTCGATGTGCCACCACCAAGAGGTCCTCTCTGGTATGCAATATTTTAGAACTCCACTTTGATGTTCATGCTTATTGTACAAATGGGTTTTATTATCTTTTGAACATTTATCCCATATTTGTTTGTTCACAGGATTCTTGGAGATGTGTTCATGAGGGTCTATCACACACTGTTTGACTATGGAGATCTCCAGCTGGGTTTTGCAGAGGCTGCTTAACAATTGACACTCTAATTGTTATGTAGGTTATACGTTTATGATGTAGATTGAATCAAGTGGACGAGAGAATGTAAAAGGTCTATGCTTTTTATCACTGCACTTGGATAAGTGTAAATTGAAAGCTTGTAATAGTTTTAATCTTACAGGATGCTCAAAATTGAATGGTTAAATATATATTTCTTTTCACCTAACTACGAAAAAAATAACTGTTTTCCTTTCAACTTTAGCCACCAACATATTCAGGCAAAATCTTAACCAGGCTGACATACAGAAAGTGTTGGCTGCCAAAATTGGGATTTGGAAACAACAAACTCCGATTACAAAAAATTATTCCACGATTCCTAAGGATGTAACCTCTTCCGCATGAATATAATCATGACATGTCCTTCAATGTTTCTTAGGCAATTACCAATAAAGCAACATATAAACCAAGCCTGCGAAGCTACACAGAAGATGATGCGAAAATAACACATCAAAGCAAGACTGCATGTTTAACTGCACTTACAAGCGAAATCAGGCGTGCCTGTGCTTTCAAGAACACATTAAACAGAACCTTGCATCAGAGAAATTTTACACCCAGTTTAAGCATTATACAAATTATGGTTTGCAATACAATAATGTCTTGGTTTGTCACTCAGAATAGTTGAGTTCATTGTTGAACTTTCAAATAGGATCTTCGGATCCATAACAACAAAGTTCCTTGAAATTACAGAAACAAAACATTGAAAATACAAATCACCAACCAAATAAATAGAGCTGATGTCCAGCTGAAGGTTCAAAATTTACTGCTCTTCATCACTATCGTTTCCAAAGACTGATGCTACAGCAACTTTTGACTTTTTTGCAGCACTGCCAGATGATTTCTGCAAATTAGTAGAAAAAGCAACATGTTAACAGGGTTAAAATGTTCAAACGTTAACTTCATACCCTTGAACTAATGTGAATATTGTGCATCAATTACAATGTGGGAGAAGGGGTCCAAACTAAATTCCATGAGAGAGCCAGAAAGAGAGAGGAGTTTCTAATCTGCAATGTTGTTTGTCAAAATCTTAACAATATATCATGTCATCATGTCCCAAGTTTTTGACATTGCATGAATTTCACCTTTATTAATCTTACTGAATGGCCTCAAAACAGACATGAGTACGTGTAGTTAAATTCTCAACTTCAGTTGCCTACCTTAGAAGTACCACCTTTAGAAGAGAACCCAAATTTTAGTACGTTCCGCTGATCCTGATCAGCAAGTGCCGTTGCACTTTTAAGTGAATTGGGAACCTGAGTAGATCCAGATTCATTCTGCTGCTGTTGTTGCTGTTGCTGCTGTTGCTGCTGCTGCTGCTGCTGTTTACGAGCATCAGCCCTAGATTGCATTAAAGAATAAAAAAATAAATAAGTAGATCAGGCATCATGCATCAATTAAATTAAGCATTGAGGTTACATCTGAGCAAACTTGGCCATCTCCCTCTCTTGTCGTTGCAGCTCCCGTTTTTGCCGTTCATCACGACTGCTACCGCCGTGCATCTCTCTCATTTCCTTAAAACGCTGCATCATTTGAAAATGGCAAAAGAATGAGCTACAATAGGAAGGTCACACCATTTGATGAAAAGAAAAATCAGCAATATGCCAAGATAGGCCATGCACCTTTCTGTGATTGTGATCGTATGAACTCAAGTGAACTTCAAATTCCATAGCCAATTTGTACTGCTTGTTGCAGAGATCACAATAAAACACCTTCCTTATTTCCTTCACCTCGGTTTGAATTTTCTGCTCACGTTCTGCTAACACCTGAATTTTCATAATGTGCACGAAGCAGGCAGTAGAAGCCACCAGGTAATAAAAACTGCAGGAAATTCTCAAGAGCTTCCAAAGTTGATGTTCCCCTATGATATACCATTCCCGTCAAAAGACATGCATATATGTTATATGCTGCCTTCTGCTATTAGATGTGGGTTTCAGAAAAAGTAAAGCATCAACCTCAATATATTATCTACCAGTTAAAATATTTATGGTGATCTCTACAAGTTAACATGCGTACCTCCCGTTTCTTTGCGTGTTCCTCTGTTTCCTCAATCTCAATTTCCAGTTTCTTTCTCTGAATATTTTCTTCTGCAGTGAAAAAATCATCTTCTTCTTGTTTTCCAATTCCTAACTTGGGATCTCTAATACCAGATTTTATTGGCTCAGTTATTCCTGAACAGAAAAAACCCATAGAAATTATGAAAATCAGAAGATAGCAGACATTCCAAAGAACTTATACGATGAAAAAACTAGATAAGAAAAAAGATTAAGCTCAAAAGAATTTAAAAGAGTTCAAGACAATGTTATCAGTAGACTCAGTAATACACATCAGATCATTTTAGCATGTTATCACACAACATAACATGAAGATATGGTGGTAAGCATAAAGTTTCCAAACATACCCTGCTCATCCTTTCCAAGACCTTTTCCTTTCCATCCCATTTTCTGAAGCAGCCTAAACCCAATATTAGATGCTGTCAACCTTGTGTCTAATGATGCCTGTTCAACATTATCCAGATCGACATTTTCTGTAGGTTTGTGACTAATAGGCAAACGAAAGTCTTCTGCTAAATCCTCAATAAGAGAATCCTGAGCAAGTAGCAGAAAATGCATATGTGGCACATCAATACACTGAAGCATTCATGAACCTTTAATGAATAAGGGAACAAATAAATTGAAGCAATAAATCTTTATTTAGCACAGAACACAAGAATATATTATATCCTGCGCAGCCAGAACTGTATAAACCTGTAATTTACCTGCTCTCTATCTTGTTGATTCTTATCATGGGTGTTTATTTCCTGATCATAACCAAATCGTCTGCTGTCCATTTTTTATCACCTAAATTGCAAATCAATGAACAAAAAATTGAAGAACGTTTATTTGAGGAAAGAAGAAAATGAGAGAAAACATCCTACTTAGGGTTTAAATTGAACAGAGTAAAATTTAACGAGTCAATTAATCCAAAGTCCGGAAAAAATCAATACCATTCATTCACTTGTCGATTTAGAGAAAAAGAACAAAAGGCTTAACATGGACAAATAACCATCAGCTAGAATAATAAGAAAACTTGAGCTAATGAGATCTCTGCTTAATTTCTTTTTTTTCTTTTTCTTTTTTTTTATCCTAACTTTTCCAAGCAAAAAACCATAAAAACATTAACTTTCTCTACAGAACCTCTCTAATTTATAGACAGATTCAACTGGGTTACCTTGAAATTACATAAATCCAAATGCTCGGAAGGAAAAATAATTATCCACAATCCCCATATCTACAAACTCTAAAATTTATCACAGAATACAACAATAAAAAGAGTAAATCTTGGAAAATAATTAATCAATGGCTGACAAAAATATATAAAGTGTAATAGGGTTAGAAGCTAATCCATGATTATTAGCAAATCGGATTGAAATTAATCTCGGTATTAGAAAAAAAAAAAAAAAAAAAAAAAAAAAAAGTTTAACAACGAAAAGAAGCTACGGAGGCAGGGACGAACTGCTTTACTGATCTCTTGCGTCTCTCGCGCTAAAAAAAAAAAAAAAAAAAAAAAAGTTTAACAACGAAAGAAGCTACGGAGGCAGGGACGAACCTGCTTCTGATCTCTGCGTCTCTCGCGCTTTGTTTCTGTGCTGGCTGATCTTTGGGTCGGTCAACTTTTATTTTTGTTTGAGATGGGCTGGGGTGATTTTCAGTCCAAATCCGTTTAAGGAAAGGTTGTACTATAGTTGGGCTCGCCTAAGATTCATATAGGATCATAATGGGCTGAATTGGCCCAAATCTGAATTATTAAAAAAATATTATTATTAGATAGGTCTAAAAATAGTATTCTCGCTGTTCCACTTCCACCTTGTTCCATTTAAGTGAAATTAGATGAAAAGTTTTTAATTTTAAAATCGACATTTTAGCTTGTTCTATTTAAGTATTTATTTAAAATTTTTTAATTTTATCATATTTATTATAGTGAAATTAAATGAAAAATTTTTAATTTTAAAAATGATAATTTAAATATTATTTTTAAAAAATCAATGTATTATGATATTTTTTTTAATCCTTGTAAAAAAAATCAAATGTTACTTAAAGTAAAACGGAGGGTATTTTTATTAATTTATTTTATGGGAAATTGTCCCTAGTTTTTACAAAATTCATTAGTTAGTTATTATTGTTTATACAAATTATTTCACAATCTCGAATATTTACGCTCTTTTTAGCAAAAAACGGTAATGTAATCTTTATATCAGTGTTTAGAGTGTAGATCATGAAATATTAAAACATTTCTAAAATTATTATGAAATGTTAAATCGCTGTTAAAATATTTAACGGCCGATTTTACCGAAAAACTCTAAAATGAATTCAACTTTGTCAAAGATGTTCAGAATGGTGAGAAAAATCATTTAATGAAACTCCAGGAAATTCCATGACATTAAAATGGAAAAAAATCTTATACAACTGACAAAAGAACAGGCATCAGAAGCTTTTTTTATTATGTTGATTCACACTAAAAGAAACTTCTTTATGTAGAAGATGATGAAATATTAGGAGTTGCTGGAGAAAATAACCTTTCCCTTTGCAGTTCTTTTACGACAGCTGCTAGTGCCTCTGGATTTAGACCCAAGTCACACAAGGCGATAAGCACAGAGAGTGTGTGTCGGTCAAGTCCTGTGTCCAGAATGTTCGACATGTGAAATGCCAAATCTAGAGATTCTCTCGCTGTTTTTGTAGCCTCAGGATTCATCTACAAAAGAACCAAATTAAGAACAAAATGAAGCAGAGTTTGCAAGTTTAGTCCAAAAACTCAGAAACATTGAAATAGGTATAAACGCAATACGCTGAAGCATTCATGAATCAAATGAACAAAAAATTAAAAAGATTTACTTCAGGGAAGAAGATAATGAGGAAAGAAAAAGATTCACAAAGTGAATTAGGTTAGAGGCTAATCCATGATTAATAGCAACTAGAATTGAGATTAATCTCTGTCAAAATAATAAAATTGAAGCTATAGAGGAAGAGACGAACCTGCTTCAATCTCTGCGTCTCCCACGCTACGAATCTGGTTGATTTGTTACAGTTGATTTCCGGGTCGGTGGGTCAACTTATATTTTTGGTTATAACTGCCTTAGTGAACTAAAGCTCGTTTGAGATGGGCTGGGCTTATTTTCAGCCACTCAGTCCAAATCACTTAAGGAAATATTGCATTGTAGTTGGGTTCGAACCAGATTCATGTAGGACCATCTTGGGCTATACTGGCCCAAATAGTTAATATTAAAAAATATTAGTATATTATTAAATAAAATAAAATTTTTAGGTAAGATAGAAGTGGTGGGTCTCACTTCCAGTGAGATCTAATTCTTTACACTTCATTGTTTTTTTTTTTTTTTTAATTGATAAGATTACAAATATAATTTTAATTTTTTCAGTTTTATCCAGAAATCATAACAAGATAAAGAAAATCTAAGTAAATGTGGGATAAAAGGGAAACATGTAAGATAATATCATTCCAGGAATAATATTTTTTTAACACCCTATGGATGTAAGAAAAACATTTAATATCATATGCATAAGTATGTGAGAGCTTTTTCTTTTTTTGAGACATGAAATAAGGTAAGGTTTTTTATTTTTTTATGTAAAAAATACTTAAAAATCTTAAAATTAAAGTTTCCAAACCTCTAATATTATAAAATAAACTCATACACCGAATGTTGGTAAATCTTTTCACTCCAGTAATTTTGAAGATATTTGTAAGCCGAAGATATTTGTAAGATGCCATTTCATGGCTACATGTGATGATTTATAGAAACCAAGCTTTTAGGAGTGTTTCAATGGTGATTGGATTAATAAATATCAGAAAGCCATAGTTCATTTAACCAAAAGATCTGTAGAATATATTTTTTAAACATATATAGTACATATTGCAGCAAAATTCTCCTGAAAAATGCGTGCCAGCATTCTGTACTTAGTTGATAAATATAACCATTGACATGACAATTATGATCACAGCCAACCAACCAATTAATAATAATTATTATTATTTTAAGGGTATAGTTATCCATAACATATGTAAAATATTTATAAATAAAAAGGATGTGTAAGTGTAACATCAAAGAAAAACAGACCAAATTAATAAAGTGTTAAAGTGAAAAAATAAAAAGGGAACATATATTCTCAACAACAACAAGGACTTTAATATGTAAAAGCAAAAGTACTTTCTTAGATATGTGCATATATGTTGTTGATGTTGTTAAAAATAGATTTATATATTAGCTTCTTGCACATTATATATCCAAATATATTTTTATAAACGAGATATCCCGACCTAGTAAAATGGTCCGAAGAGGGTGGGTAGAGAAAATCTCTTGGCAGGTTTCGAGGATGGCAGCTAGTTAAGATAGTAGAATGCAAGACACATTAATGAATCGGATCGTATATCAAAATTAGAAAAATAATCATTAGAGACAGATTTTGGTGTAATGTCTTAGAGAATTGGAAGAACTCCGAGATTAAGCATGCTCGTTTAATGAAAAACTTAAGATAGATGACTTCCTGAAAAATTTCTCATTTCACTTGTAGGATAAAATTATTTCACTTGTAGGATAAAATTGTGCGAGTTTTGCCAATCCAGTATATAATGAAATTAATTGGTGCATTAGTAACTAAATTTGTTTGATAATGTAAATACCATCAATAATACATACATATATATATATCACAAACTCTGCTGGAAGAATTAAAGAATTCAAGCAAAATATTATTTGTAAAGAGGTGAGATGGGATGATAAGGTTTTCTTTTACTTAACCTTAGATTTTAAATTTGAATTTTGGGTATAAAGCACATTTAAAACTTGGTAGAAAGCGATTTATCCCCTTCTTGAACTACCCGACACAAATCCAAATTAATTGAACTAGTAAATTTCGGACAGCGGATGGTTACCACCAAAAAAAAGATTTCACAATCTTCAATTAATTAACTACCATACCAAGTTCATGGATGGTATAGCAGAATGTAATACAGTGTATATCTATTATAGTATTTACACAAAAAGTGTATTTAATTATATTACAATATACGAAATCAAATGATAGCTCACTAAGCAAGTTCTAAATATTTAAAATACCTTTTTAATTTAAATGTTCCAATACATACAACTAGGCAAATCAATTAATTTAATTGAATATGTACTGTCTCCGCAGGCATCTAACCTAAATTGGCCAAACTTATTTTCTTCTACTACAGTGTTAAGAGAAGGAAGATTGCCTTAATCAAGAAGAATTAATTAATAATTATAGTTGCTATAGGTTGTTAAAATTATTAAGTGTCGTCAATTCAAGAATTGGAGGCCCACTTTGATCATAATCACAGTAGAGCCATGGATGGTTGGTGTCAAAAAGTTTCATTCTTGTCTTTTCTTTTTCTCCTTTCTGGTTGGTTTTGGTTTGGTTCAAATTAATTAATAATTAATGAATAATTGATATTGCTTCCAGCAAGAAAGCATTATCTTTTAGTTTTTATTAGTAGAATAATTAACAAAATTAATTAGTTCCGTGCACTTGAGTACTAAACTCTAGCTATTTTATATATAATCTTTAGGGTTTTAAAGATACTACCCTAAAGCTAGACAGCTTGCATGTTCTGCTGTAAAAGAATTATTTGGCTTCTCTGCTTCACAAAAATCTGTGGGTCTCTTCCAATCTATCGAATCTAACCAATGAGAAGAAAATGGAACTTGCTAAATGATGGCAAGGGTATGTAATAAGTCGTCACGGAACCAGAAAAAATAATTAGAGATGATGATAAATATTTTCAACATTTAGTAAATTTCCGCGGTTGGTAACGAAGAATTAGGTTTTTCCATATACATTTTACTTATAAGATTAAATATTTGAAATCTAGAGTTATCACCGTTGAAAGCATTTTATCTGAATATTACTCTGATTAAATTTAAAATTAGGGTTAACATAACATTCTTGTAATGGAGGTAGCTGGCGGAGCATAGTATTTAATGATCTTTCTTGCAAGGAAAGGGGAAGCATCTTTGTTTTTAATTAAGAAAAAACCTAAACTAATTCATGAACCATATATATTCAAAGAAGAAATCTTTGGCTCCATTTTTGACCACTTTACTACATTCTTTTGATTTTAAAATTGCTTTGATTTAATGATTAATGTTACTTTTGATTATCGTAGGGTCGTGAGGGGGAAAAAAAAAAATCCCTAATTGCATATTTAACTAATCATCCATCAGTGGTAACTAAATGTCTAAATCATAGATAAAACGTGTTCTAGGTTTTTAGTGTCATAATCATAATTAGCATCTGCTAATTAAATTATGTATACACTTCGTGAAACATACGCTAATAATCTAAACCTAACCAAAATGTTCAAAAAACAAAATTTAGTTTGTAGTTTAATTTTTATTCCTCACGCGATTAATTGAATTATATTCTATGATATTTGTCTCTAAGTTGCCAATAAAACATGTTTAATTATGATATTTTTAGCATTTAAATTATTCATATAGTGTTTAAGGAATAAGCATAAATTAATTCTAGATGTATAGTAATTGAGTTATAAAAAATATTATCTACTCAGAAGTGACATTATTTTCCCAAATTATTTTAATTTCTCATGTGTATATGCATATATATTATAGTCTACGAACTCTAATATTAGGTAATAAAATTAAAAACCCTCACATTAACGGTTGGTTTTCACTAATTTGAGAAAAACCAACGAACAAGTCGGTTTAATGGCAAGCGATTTATGATCATTTCCGCAAATTATGAATTCAAATTTCACTCATGATAGTAGGAACTTTAAGTTTAATCTATATGATATGGGTGCTGCAAAATCTCTTGTGTATATGATATTTGACGGATAAAAGTTTACTAGAATAATAAATCAATTAACAACAAATAAAATGTAAAGGAGCGACTATCTTATGATGCAAGAAATCAGAAATGAAATTTGAACCGTTAATTAAGCTTTTAAGAATTTTTAATGTATAAAGAATGGAAAATTATTCTGTGAAGAAGAAGAAGGGTGAACCATTTCTTGGAAACTAAGAGAAGAAAAAATGGCAAGAAGTATCCAAGAATTAGGCAATGAATACAACCATTACATTCCAATGGCAATACTACTAAACTAAAAGTAGAGGTGACAAGAAAATCAAAAAGATGCAAGTTCATGGAAGAGTTCAGCCAAAAAAAGGTAGAGAAGACCCCAAAAAAATGCTTGAAAGGGTCAATGTCCAAAGTTGCGGACAACAATACATGTGCCTTTGCCAAAAAGTTTTACCAACACACTACTAGTTATTTCTTGGCCCTTGCCTTGCATATTTCATCTTCACCATCCAACTTCCCTGAGAATCAAGATTCCCTCCACTTTCTAATTATTTTGCCCAATAGCCTTCTCCTATATAAGTCCACTAAACCCTCTCCTTCTCATATCAACCAAACTCATTAACCCACATTCAAGAAACAAAGAAAAGAAGTACACTTAGTCTGTATCATTAGAAGCAAGAAAATCTATCATTATGGGTGGGAACAACCGGCAAAACAAGAAATCATCTCTTTCTTTCGCAGCTGCCTTTAACATCTTCAAGTCAAGAAGGACACGACGAGTGGAGGATAACAACGACGACGTTCCAAGTACAAGAAGGGTTTTTCCAAGTGATGAAGATGGACGAGGTCCATGGAGAGTTGCTGATCCTCGAATTGATACCAAAACCTCTGCTTTTATAGCTCATTTTCATGCAACTCGTTTTTCTGAATCTGACCGCCAAATTTACCAGCCTAATTAATTATTCATTAAATTTAATAAAATTCTTCCAAAACCTCTGCTTTTATAGCTCATTTTCATGCAACTCGTTTTTCTGAATCTGACCGCCAAATTTACCAGCCTAATTAATTATTCATTAAATTTAATAAAATTCTTCTTCTTCTTCTTCTTCTTCTTCTGCTGCTGCTGCTGCTGCTGTTAATTTCCTGTGTCTTTAGTGTTCATATATATAAATATCAGTAATGTTATTTGTTTAATGTTGTAGCCTGTAACTAGTTTGTGAATCCTAATTAATTGAATAAAAATT